TTCGTTCCATCGTCACTCAGCTGCATGATCCTGACAGTTGCCGTTGCTGATGATATTGTGGAAACCGGAACAAACCCCTGGTCCATGAAAGATTGGACGGCGTTGCCCTGGTCACTCCAGTTCCCTTGACGTACGTTGCCCGTAGTTTCGATGTTTTGGATGTCGTCGATCACCATGATCGATGCTTTGCGTAGGTCCAATACAGCTTCCGAAGCAACGGAATCATGAATGGAACCTGAAAATTTAGCACTCGTTAACACCAACAATCCCTTGGCAGGAGTGCCTCGAGGATTGAGTCCAAGAACACAGTCCCGAAGAGTCATTGCTAGCTTGATGGGCTTTTGGTGATCTTTCGGACTTCCTGGGCTCATAGGAGACGAAGACCGACGTTGTGGATGCTGTATCTCGGCAACATTAGCTAGGGAATTCGCCATGTTGACAGCCACATCGCCGGTTGTTACGTCGTCACCCAGCCCGAGGACCGCCATGATGGAAGGAATCGTGTATTCTGCACGCAGGCGATGCAACTTGATCTTGATAGTAGGCTCCATTTCATCAGCGATAAACCGAGCCATCAACATTGGATGCTCAGTGGCAGTTGGATCATGCATCGGGCTCGACGGAAGTGCTTCTCCCAGCAACTCTTCGTGGCCATTTCTGATAAAGTTGATAGATCCCACCTGGGCAGCTATGAGCGACGGGATACTGATATGAGCAGCCTCCGCGTTTTTCATGCTAATGGCAATATTGCCCACTTTTCCACCGACTTGCACACGAGCCTCGAAGTCCCGAATTAAAGGAAGAATCAAGATCCCCGGGCGATCATCTTCGGGTAGGTACTTGGCGACGTTAGAAAGCCGACCTAGCTCCTCGCCGAGTTGTACAAGAGCTTCTAATTCCGAGGTACGGTTGATAACAAGCTTTGCTTCGGCAACAGTGGGCCTTAGCACGGAACCCTGCCTTCGCTGCTTCAACAAGGTGTCCACCATAATGTCATCGTCCTCGTCATATTTGTCCTGAGACGGCGTGATGAGCGAGAGCAGGCGATCTAAATCAGCTTCCTTGGGGGCGTAGAGGAATTCTACTCGAACATTGCCCATGTTAATCTTGGCCGGCGCGTCCTTGAAACCACCCAAAGGTATCGGCCCGCTGACTTTGACTTTGTCGATCTGGACACCAATTCCTTCGTATCGACTGACTGTTTTCACAGCGGAAGTCCGTAGCTTGAGATAATGCGTCTCTCCGACTATATCAACTGCCACACCGCCGATGCGAGAATTCATCTTCCACGGAACAGATCGACTTTCAGACCTCACTGCAGGCGGGGGTGTAGACTCAAAGTGCACGCCCCGTCGGGGTTTATTTGGTTCGCTTCTCGGCGGTTTCGCAGCCGAGACAGATGAAATGGAACTTCCAAGTTCAAGGATGGTACTGAGTCCACCGAACCACCCGATCAATTCTTCTAAACGCTGGATATTGACATTAAGGTGCAGCGGAAGTGTCGTGAAGTTCACCCGGGCCGCCTCCGACGATTTGGTCAGCGAAAGAGAGATATCACCATGCATTGGCGAGAGAACGTCTCTTGTCGATTCTCGCATTTTCAAATCCTCGTTGAAAGATATCAGGTCCTCCGAAGCGAATCCGAGAGAGAATTTTGATACATCCAAGCGAAATTTGGTGGTGTCCGCGGTCGACAAGAAGTCAGCCTCCAATCCAGACGCCTTAGCCTGCAGAAGGACATCTTCATGTAGTAAACCAAAAAAGACGGGGGACTGCAATCCCGATTCATGGGACGGGCATGCTTGCCCTGGCACGTGTTCCACAAACTTGATAGATAGTTGGTTGAGGACGAGACGGAAAGCTTGCTTGCTTGAGGTTTGTTCAGCTGGCGGCTTTTTGCTTGGAGCATCACCGGGGTTGAAGGTGGCCAAGAGCCGTTGTCCCACTTTGGCAACAAGCCATCCGGTGGCAATGTCAAACTGTATGCCCACCGAGCCTACCTCGACTGCCACTTGGCTTTCGTCCATTTTGCGCTCGCGCTCGTTGCCGCCATGGTGTAGAGGGCTTCCGGGTAAAACCGATGAGGCCGTGGAGTCATTCCGGGGTCGCGCGATGGCATGGGATCTAGATGATAACAGATCTCCCTCCACTGTAGAGTCCTGCATATGGATCGTCGAATCCCGCAAACTATCTGCCCTCGTTCTGGGGTGAGCGTAGGGTGTTTCTTTCTCATCCGGTTCACTGTCATCGCCATCACGGGAAGGAATCCATACGGATATATGATCAACATGGAAAAGCCGTTTGGCAACGTCCGACTTTTCTAAAGTCGGTGCAGACCTGGCAGACCCCCTGTCGGTCGGATCTGATCCTGCTGCATCAGAGTGATCAGAGAGCTGGCTCTGTGACAATCGGGGTTCAGACTGAGCACCGAGCTTTGGGGTTGAGATCATGGTTTCATCATCCTGGTCGTTTGCAGAGTCCCTGTCGTGAGCCCCGTCGCCTGTAGCTCCAGAGCGCCCGCTTGCAACTGTATCCCTTGCGATCGTGGTCTCCGGAGTGTCCCAGGCACCGGGAATATTCGGCATAAAGCTCTTCGCTGTAGATGCCTGGCTAATGGCGCTCATGTACATGCTCTGAGCCTGTTCGTGGGAGAATAATCTCGACTCAGAAAGCTCCGCATCCCGGTAATTCTCCTGGGCGGAATCCGAACTCGAGGCTTCAGAAGGAGGTGAAGTGATATGTGATGTCCGCAGATCCGCATTGTCCCGATAGGGTGGTTCGTCCGGATACATGTCGAGTAACGGAGCCCGAGGGAAGCTTGATCGCATTTCTAGGTCGTGCTGGTCGCGGCGGCTACTACTTGACAAGCCATCGGACCCCGTATCCAGGAGGTGTGGCGTGGGGATTGGCGCTCCAGCTTGGTCGCGATAAGGTATTGATTCTGAGAACTGCGGGCCAGGACTCCGAGGGCGTGGTGTATCGCCGCTTCTCAATAGCTGCTGTTCATCCTGGAGCAAAAGATCTGTGGACCCTTCAATATCTTCATCGTGAAGTTGCGTGTCGATTACCGAGTCGAGATAATCGGGGTTGTCTAAAAGTCTTTCATCATCAGAGAGGGTTTGCGAATCTTCGAGGTAGCCGTAGGGCGGGTGGTCTTCTTCCGTATCAGCGTCCGAGAATCGACCGTCATAAGTGTAGGTAGAGGCTTCCATTTCCGGTGCATCGCCCGGTCTGGATACAGGTCCTACAACGGCCCCGGGGTTTTCAAAGATCGTCGATTTCGTCATCGCCAGGGCGACACTCGAGGAGGACGAATCGACGGGCGGAGGAGAGGGGTATCTGCTCGGGGGCTGGCTCGGTCTCGATTGCGTGGGAGTGGAAGGCGATTCTGGAGGAGCGTTGAATCTGGAATAGTTCGAGAAAACCACCGGCTCCGAGATCAACGCGATGTTAATATCAGAAAGCGACACCAGTCGCTTCCCTTTCTTCGACGGGACCTCATCGGAGACAGACACCCCCTCGACGCAGACTTGACGCACAGTCAGGAGCGCAGCGATCAGATCGGGTTTGTCTTCGGGTTGACGTTTTGACATCCCCTCCTGTTTCGTCTCCATATCGATCCGCACCGATATGTCATCCACCTGGATCTGTAGACGATCGGCAACACCTTGGAGAAAGTCGGCCACGAACGTGGGCAACGAAACGCCTTCATTTCCCAATCCTAGCTCATCTTCATCATCGTCACTGAGAGATGATGTCGTCCGTTGAAGAATCTGGGATTGAGAGTAGATCGCGGCCTGCACTTCCTCCTTCTCCTCTTTCGGTTCGGCCTCGAGGAACGATTCCGCCAAGTCGGCGGGGTTGGGAAGGATGTTGTCCGGACCAGGACCTCTTCGCGACGTCCCTTGGCCATCTTTACCTGCATGGCATTCTTCTTCTGGCAGCAGTCGTAAGTGAATATCGATCCCGCTAGCTTGGCAGACGATGCCACTGGACCGTATATCGGCGGGGACGGTGAGTTTCAAAAAGCGGACGCGTGCGCTGAGGAGCTTGCTCGAGGGTGGCAGATGCAGGAGAGTGGCAAGTTTCTACCGAAGGGCGGATGGTGTTTAGCAACCTTGTCGAGATTTGAAGCATAATCAAGGGTTTAGGTGGGGTGGCTATGAGGGGCCACCGTCGGGCTGTTCATTCACTTACCTCCAGCCTCAGGCCAACATCACGCAGCTCCACCGAGCTCCTCTGTCCCCAACAGAGGCCCAGACGTTCCAGATCTAGCGTCTCTGCATCGAAAAGCTCTAGCCGCGACAAAACATATCTGATCGCCTGTTTTTGGAAGTACGCAGGCAAAAAGTAAGCCATGTTGAAGACAGCTTGAGCCGACCGGGGCTCATTTGACGATCGCAGCGGTCATCGGAGTAGGGACATAATACGAGAAAGAGGAAGACTTAGATGAGATAAAATAATAGAAGATCAAGCTGAGAAGCCCAGAGGGCAGGAAAACTTTGCTTGCAGCCGGAACCTAGTTCCAAGCAGACTGCTGCTGAGGGGGGAAGATGGGGTTGATGAACGGGTGACGGCGATCGAAGCGGTTATGGAGGATCAACCGCAATTGTCAGGTGGAGCTCCGCAAGCAACCCGACCAACTCACACGTGCAGCCTCTTGACTTGGCCACGTTTGATATCAGATAAGCGGACTGATCTTCTGTGGATATTCTATACGGGGAATAGAGAACAAAACTTCAGGGATAACTAGGTCAGATTTTGAAGGATTAGGTAGAATCTGGAGTGATTGTTTTTACTGGCCCGGTGGTTCAGGCACCTCTGGGGGCATAATTAGTACAAATGAGTATAAACCCGGTCATAATGACCAAACCCAGCAAGGATTACTCCACCCGGAATGCATACGTCATAGTACCGTGGATAGCCACCCATTCCCATGTATACGGTTGGCCTTTTCAATGGGATATTAACATTCTTTCAATTTATTCATTTATCTGAAAGTATCTCTCGCTTGCTAATATCACTACTATCGAATTCCGATCGGTAGGTATCACTTGATAGTTACTAGACAGGAAAGCCTCATGCAGTTGTATGCATTATTACTCAGCATATCCCCGTAAACACTACGCATGCATGGATGGGCCCAACAGGGATGTTCAACAACAGGACAGCAATTGATTGATAGAGAATCAGTCGTCAAGATCGAGCTCTGGAAACTCCTCCAAGATCCATTCGCAGAACTTTTCAAACTCTTCGTACCACTCGCGTAATCGAGACGCCTTTACTCCGTTCCCAGTAACCCCTTCGCGAATTCCAGAGAGCCACTCCGAGGGTGTTTGGTCTTCGTAGCAGCTCCACCGGATAGAGTTTTCCATCATCATCGCAATCCCCGTCAATCCGAGACCCTCGAGCCCCTGGAGGGCGGTCCAGTACTCCGGTGTCAACGTATTGGCGTTTTGCCCGTATGCACCCGGAGTATCGCTGCACAATGCCACGGGGACGCCGCGCGATAAGAGGGTTAGGAGTGAACGAGACTGGATCGCGTCTTCAACATCGAGTGTCCCGTGGGAGTGTAGACAGCTTTCGATAAGAATCTTCTTCTCCTTGACGAGGTCGACGAGCAGTGGGTGTCGATGAAGCGAGGACCCCTGGCCTATCCTGCGCGTGCCCAGCAATATAGCATCGAATAGGTTGCGGTCCACGGTGTCGTCATCTCCAAAGCATCCCCCAGCATGAAACAGGAACGGGATGACAACACCCTCTTCGGCACATAGCTTGCGGAAATAAAACAGCAGTGGAACGAGCTCCACAAGGGCCTTGCCTCCGTCCTCAGGTCCGGCGATATCGTACCCACAGATGACGCCCGGCACGTCCAGCTTTGCCAAAACACACTCTTGCATGTTTTGTACGAGTTGCTTCGTGGGCAGGGATCGTAGCGTTGCCCATATGACCCGCGCACCGTGAAAGCTCTGTCCTTCGTCTGTGCCTTTGAACTGCTCGACTTCTTCTTGGAAAACTCGGCACCATGCTGTGTATCCGTCTTCGGGGGTGTTCCCTCCTTCGAGTGTGAACGGTGCGCTAAACACGTTTCGAAATTCCGCGTATCGGATGTTATCGGCTGCAAGCTGCTTGAAAATGCGACGCAGACACGAGCGCAGAATCGGCTCGTAGCTGAGAAGGGAGCTGAGAATGGGAAGGGACTCTTCTGAAAGCGTCGTAATTTTGTCAGTTACTGTTGACTGACCCGATTCATGTTGCGTGCTGATGCACCGCTGTTGAATCCAACGACGAAACCCGGTTTCTCCGCCATCAGGAAACAAAGTTGCCGCTTCTGAGACAGGGACCAGATCGCCGGGATTGTATGCTCGCGTCCATATATTTGGTCGAGCCCCTGACCCACTAGCACGTTTAGTCGCGTAGCGGAAGTGGAAAGGGACGTTTTTGTAGTCTTCCTCCTGAGCGAATGGCCGGGAGGCACAAATGTGGAGTCCCGGCGTGGCCAGTGCCTCGTTGATGATAAACTCGATATCAACCGCTGCATGCAAATATATATGCAATAGAGAGCCTTTGGGTAATCTCTGCACAACCTTCCAGAGCCGAGAGGTTTCCGCTGGATTGGACAAATCGTCTAATCCATCCCTGTGCTTTGCCAACATCTGCCTATACTCTTGATCGCGGATCCGGGCCACAACTTCGCAAGCCCGGGCAGCCATGGGCGTCAGGGCCTTACGGAAATTGGCATCTAAACCCACCGGCGTCAGCTCTAGAAACCAAAGTCAATCGAAGAAGCGGATCGCACAGACCGTGACGCTGTTTCTGTTCCTCCGAGATCAACGAGTCTCGACCCTTCAGATATTGCTGGATAAAAGGGTCCTCGAGCTGAGGAATCCCTTCTTCCAGCTCCCATTCAATGTCTTTCTGTTCCATTTCAGACCGGCACTTTCGCGCGCAAATCAAGCATGGATCACGATTAAGCTGGGCGGGTGGTGGTGAGTCTAGGTGGGGCGGGCGGCCCAAACCGATTCAACTACCGGAACTGCCCCACATAGCAGTGGCATTCTGGGTCTGCACGGTGTACACCAACACCGTTTAAGCATAGAACATGCTCTTTGGGAGCACGCCATAATACCAAGAGATGAAAAATTGGTTGTGGGATGGATGATGAAGATTTTATCAAACGTATGGCGGTGATGTTGACATAGATGTACTTGTATCAATAGTTGTCCGATTGAAATATCAAGAATAGACTGCTTTCGCCATGGGAAAACAAGATGCCTCAGCCACGGTATCAGTCGAGAGTACACCGTCGTCTACGGAAAATCGAACATGGTATCGCACTACACTTTTCAATGCCTTCGTTATTGGCGGAGTAGGCTTCATGGCCCCTGGGCTGTGGAATGCCATGAACTCCCTGGGTGCCGGAGGTGCCCAATCGCCCTTCTTGATCAATGCTGCGAATTCGCTTGTTTTTGGCCTGAGTATGCTATGACACCGATCGTTTGCTAGATATGGCAGTATAGTAGTGTCCAAAGAAGCTAACTGTTGCGTTGAAAGTGGGATTCTTGTGTCTCCTTGGAGGGCCAATTGCGAATCGGATCGGACTGAACTGGACGCTGTTGCTGGGAGCTATCGGATATCCAATTTATTCGTGCGTGCTAGCATACTTGATACCAGATTTTGTTGAAGCTGATGACAGAGTAGCGCTGCGTTATATACGAATAACCGCTATGTATTGCTCCCGCAACCTGTGCAGTTGAACAGTGCTGATTCTTTATAGGGAAATGTCTGGTTTGTCCTCGTGGGATCGGTGGCTTGTGGATTATCGTAAGTTTAAAGTCCGAAAATGGTTGAATTCGTGTTAAAGACAGCAGGGCCGGACTCTTCTGGGCCTCGGAGGGTGCTGTTGCACTGGGCTATCCGGAGCCATCCAAGCGAGGCAGATACATGAAGTGGGTATACTTACAATCACATCCTAGGACATGACTGACTATGCACAGTATATGGCTTTGGTTCCGTACTGGCGGACCTTTGCTGGGTGGTGCGATTGTATTGGGACTGAACAAGTGAGACCGAGATACGCGGAAACAGTCGACATTGAACAATTCCACTAATCGTGTGACAGTGATACCGGTTCGAAGAGCAAGGGGAAGATTGGTTCCGGTTTGTCTTCATCCTACTACCTCTCTAAGATGGAATATTTCTAACATACGCCCAGAGACGTATCTAATTTTCGTTGCCCTTCAATGTCTTGCTGCGCCTCTGGCTATTTTCTTATCGCCGCCTGAAAAGGCCCAACGCAGCGATGGAAGCAAGGTGGTTGTTATTCGGGAAGATTCATGGCGAAAGGAGATGCGTGCACTTTGGAAACTCAGTCGTCGTAAGGAGGTAAGTTTCTCATACCTAACTAAGGTACCTAGCCGAGCCAATCTGACGAGCACAGGTTCTCCTGCTTCTGCCGGTCTTCTGGGCAGCATACTTCAACCAGTACAGCAAAAGCATGTTCAACTTCTCAGCTAATGATGAGCATAACTGACGTGATGAAGATTTTCAAACGTACTACTTTGGTGTTCGAGCCCGTGCCCTGATCGGGTTTGTCAGTGAGTCTTCAACTCCGTAGATGAACTCTGATGTGGTATGCTAATCTCAGCAAAGGTAACTTTGCAAACCTGATATCCTCTGGAATTATCAGCCGATTCCTCGACTACCAGAAGATATCGACCAAAAAGCGGCTCATGTACAGGTATGTAGCCAGCCATCGAGTATGGAAATTAGAATAGCGCTGAGACCCCCAGTTTCTACTACGTGGTCCTCCTCCACATTGCCGCTTGGGTGTACGGCTGGGTCATCCAAGAAAAATACACTGTCAACCCGCCTTCCCTGGACTGGACTGATCCGGGCTTCACCGAAGGGTTCTTTGTGATTCTGCTCTGGGGTACGTACTCGACAATCCGAGGACCTAAACCCGCCGATCCCCATTGACACAACTATAGATTTCTCCCAGCAGGCGCTGCAGAATCTTCTCTACTATCTGGTCTCCACGATGACAGATAATATCTCTGAGCTGTGTACGTGAAACTTTCTATATTTGGCGATGTACATCACTGACGCGCGTAGCACGACTCACCGGTATCTTGCGCGGACAGGAGAGTTTCGCGCAGGCGGTATCGTTCGGCCTCAATACTCAGAGCTGGACGGGAGGGAGGGTTCCTCTCGCTGTTAATACGATCTTACTTGGTGTGTTACATAACCCTCTGGTGTTCTGTGGATGGGAAGGGGAAAGAGCATGGACTAACGTGTATTGAATATTCAGGTATCGCTGTCTTTCCTACCTGGCTAGTGATTAGGGACCATGTCCCTATTGAGCACGTCGAATACACTACGTCAGAGAGAGTGGATGAAGAGAATGGGATTGTGGAGAAGTAATGGTGAGACTGGTGGAAGTAGCAGCCGCTTGCTAGTATATATATACTTACAATCTGGGTGTGTATGACACTACAGATTAGTAGCAGGATACAACAATCCATGCGATATCAGATGAGATATATACACAGCACACCGTCTAAACAAACAGTATGCAAATGAAGATCCAGAACATGCATCATCCAACCAGTGAACTGCAGAATATCCTCATGGATTGTGGCTGAGTGGTGATGACGATGATGTGATCCGCTGGTGCGATTGGCGGACTAAGGCTCCACCCCCAGGTTTTAACCGACGTTCCAGGCAGAAACCCAAGCATGTCAGGCCACTCTCGTCACTGCCCGCTTCTTCTCCACTGGACACTTTGGACAACCATAAGTCTTGTTCTCTCCCTACATCATTCCACCTCTTCTTTCTTATAATCGCCTCCTTTCTCACCTCACCTTCTTTTGACCCCATCTGAGATATATTTCCAACCCTATACAAAAAACTTCTGTTCGGACAACAACAGCTTCCTACAAAGTTCCGCTACGTCATGCAACTCTCCACCACGCCCCCCACAAGCCACCGGCCCTTTATCCGAGGTCCGACCGTTACCGCGCCCTTCAGGGGCAGAATCGCCAAATGGTACGTGACCTTTCATCTGAATCAGTTTGAAAAGCTGGATGAAATATTCATCAATAAACAATGGCTTACGGGAAATTGAATAGGTATCTCCCTGCTGTGGCTATGATCGGTATTGGTACGTTTTCCCCTATAGAGTCCAGCGGCTATACATTCATCCGCTCGCTCCGTGACACCCGAACCCCCCCGAACAAATGGATACAATTTTATTGAACTCACACCTAATTTTTTATTGATCAGGCTTCGGAATCTCCAACTATTACACCACCCAAGTCCAGAGTCAATGCCAATACGCCGAGGCGGAACAGGAGCGGCTGCGTCGGAACCAGCAGCTGATGGACGCCTACGGCGACAAAGACAACGTCCAGGACTTGCAACGGGCTCTCGATACCTACCGACCGCAATGAGCGTCTGAGTCTCATCGGATTGTGACGGCCTCACCACCTTCGTTCTTTACTTTTCTTTCCCTTTCTTTACTTTTCCGTTCCGGGCGCACTTCGGAGTTTACTCGGCTATGTGATATGATGCAATGGTGGATTCGGATTGATTTCTTGGCATTCTGGAATGCATTTTTCGGCGGGTTGTTTGCATTGTTCCACTGGTTGAGATCCTATGCTCAATTATTTCTTCGTCCGAGTGGCCTTCCCCCGCGGGGTCAATTTGGAGCAGCTGGCTGCTTGGTTGATTGATGCGGGTGCATATTCGTGTTATGGTTACGCTGTCTGTATATATTGAACCATGATATTGGATGTTGACAATATGCGTGATTTTTTTAGTTCAAAGTAGGATTGAGTAGCAAGCTCCAGGCAACGACACTATCGAGCCTCATATCAGATGTATGATATGTGGTTGAAGAAGTCACCTGACAGCACTGTTAATTATCCGCATTGTAGTTCTACAGGTCCAACTCTCTTGACACATCGCATTCTAACTTGCCATGGTTTCCAAATCTCGTTAAGGATTGACCATCCATTGCTTTCCATACGCTACTTAATATTGAAGCAGGAAAAGTTCAGGCAACTGTTGCATCGAACAAGCCACTACAACAGAGTAAGAACTTAATTTCCTGCCCTGTCTTCTAGCGTCGCCGCCCAACCCCCTATTCTCAGTATAGGATCATGAATTCGCGGCCTGTAGCTTCAACGCTCGTTGTTTGGATCAGACTGAGCCATTTCCACCGTCCGTGATATAAAAATATACCAAGTCACAACAAAGCCACTTTAATGATGGTCAAAACGCGTTGTTCGGGCACGTCCTTGGCATCACCTGGGCAAGTGGGCATCAGGTGGACTCCCGAAGCCGGTGGAGCCTAGTGAGGGATTAAGGGTTCAGATCGGCGGGGTGCGGTGGGCCGCTCCCGGCCCTACTCCTCGGAGAGTATAGTTATGCCTAGTGTCTGCCGATGAAGACGATGACTGGCTGCGTCGTCAGAATTCGCGCTAAACATAGGCAGTGAGATTCGGGATGAGTAAGAATGAATCCTTCACTGCCCCAACGTTCAAGGCAATGACTGACTCGTTGACTACGAGTTTCTCGGACCCAGTTTAGAAGGCCAGGCCATTGGTGAGCTCGTCTACATTGGCGTCTTGAGGCTGTATCTATGGAGTAGTGTTGGCTTTCTCCAACCCTGGCGATGGGGCCAAAATCGGCACCTGGGATCCCGATTGGCGGCAAAGACGGAGTATGGAGGGTCACTGGGAACGATCGTCATATCGAGTGGATCGGTCCGTCGACCAAGCCATCGCCGAGTGTCAGCACTATCATAGCCTTGTGCACTCCGCCCCAGACTCCAATGCCCCAGGTAGGCTGGGCAGCGGGATCATGGTAACCAAGGGGGATGGTACTGACTCGCTCGAGTCCGACGGCGAGGATAAAATGGGGTGATCCCCGTTGTAGATGGGATTCTGTTCAAGCCAACCAGATCAGCCCTCATTACCCTCGTACCATGTTCACAAAATCATCCCTGCTTCTCGCCCTCACGGGAGGCGCCCTCGTCGCTGCGGCGCCTCAAGGCTTTCAGTCGACCGACTCTCCGTGCGCACAAGTCTCGAAGCAATATGCGAAGGCTGTCAAATCCAACGGTGAGTGACCGTGATGGAGGATGATCTTGGGGTATCGCTGACTCGGGGTAGACTCCAAACCCAAAGTTCCTGGTGCACTAGCACGTAATTGCCTCTTATCGATGCCCTTTGAAAGCAAGAAAGCCGTGGCATTCGTGGACGATCTGAGGAAGTATCTGCAATGGCAGTCGACTGTCGATGTTATGGAGAGTACGTGGTTCCCCAAGCCTCAAGCCGTGGGAGGTCCCCTCTAATCGTTGTTCATCTGCAGACCCGCCGACGAGCTACCTGGGCGCTCCCGTGGATCTATGGGGAGGCCTGGATTATATCCAACAACAGGCGCGCGCTGACGACTTTACCGGCCAGTACGAGTTCGACAATGCCATCATGGAGCACTTCAACTCAGCCAACGAGGGCCATCTCTCTGTCATCCCTTGCTCCACAGGTATCTTTTCCTTCCAGGTGGATCAGCAACTCGTCTCCGTCTCGTCCGACGGCCTCGAGCTGCCTCAAGTCTATACGATGAGTATGTCGTCCACTCTAAACATCGATAGAGGAAGGAAGCAAGCACGCTGACAGACGACTTTCAGATGATGCCCAGGTTCTTGAAGAGAAGCCCAACGCTGTCTCTCCCGTCGTAAAGATCAACGGCGCCGACGTTAACAAACACTTGAATGACGCGGCGGACAAAAGACGCTACCAGGATGCCGATGCTCGTTACAACGGGCTCTTTCATTCCTTTGCTCGGTATAACGGTAACCCCGAGGGCGGATTCGCCACCAATCAGGATGGCTTGTGGCCTGGCGCGAATGAGTTCATCCTGGACCACGCCAACGGAACAACTACCAAAGCCAAGGTGAACGCTGTAGTTAAGGGCGAATTCAACTACGCCGACGGCAAGGAGTTCTACGAGGCCGTGTGTTTGCCCCAGCAGTCGAGCAGCTCTGCCGCCGCGTCGCGGACCCCGACGTCTACGCCGACGTCTACGCCGACATCCACGCCGATATCCACGCCGACATCAACACCTAAGCCGAGCTCCACCTCTGCCGCCACCAAGCCGCCGACCAACTACCCCAAGGCTGCCGTCCGTGATCACAACAACCTGCTGTCCGGCTACCTGCTGGACGAGCCCGAGCTGAAGGACGTCGCTGTGCTGAGCGTACCCACCTTCAGCATCAGGGAGGTGGAAAAGGTGACGTCGACCGTCTCCAAATTGGTCAATGAATTCATCTCAAAGGCCGTCAAGGCCAACAAGAAGAAGATCGTCGTCGACATGACATCCAACCCGGGCGGTGATTTGCAATACGCCGCGGGCCTCTTCAAGGCCTTCTTCCCCAACAAGACCCCCTACCTCTCATCGCGCTTCCGCGCCCACGACGCCCTCTATCTCGTCGAAAAGGTTATCTACGCCTTACCCAAGGACTCCCTGTTATACGCCCAAGCCATCGAGGCTGGCTTCGCCGGCCACACCAACCCAGACCAGTCCGGCGACCTCACCCTCAAGAAGTTCTACGGCCCGCACAACATCCTCGGCACAAACATGACCTCCCCCTCCTCCTTGGACCTCGACGCCCTCTCCACCAAAGCCAACCCAATCCAAGGCTACGGCGGGATCAAACTCGCGCACGACAAACCCCCCTTCGCCCCAGAGGACATCCTCATTCTCACAGACGGCGCCTGCAGCTCCGCATGCCCCATGTTCACCCAGATGATGCAAAACGAAGGCGTCAAGACGATCGCCTTCGGCGGCCGCCCCCAGTACGGCCCCATGCAGGCCATGGGCGGCACGCGCGGCACCCAGGCCGCCATACACCCCATGATCCAACAGGTGATGATCGCCGCGCTCCAGCACGCCAAATTAAGCGTGGGTGTTCTCTCTGCCGACGAGATCAAGGACCTGGAAGCCTTGACGCCCGCCAAGATTAGCCCGCTCAACATGCAGGAGATGCGTCTCAACCTGCGCGACGGCTTCCACCGCAACGACAAGGACAGCGAGATGCCGCTCCAGTTCGTCTACCAGCCTGCTCACTGCCGTCTGTTCTACACCATTGAGAACGTCCTCCACCCCGCGACTACCTGGAGCGCTGCCGTCAAGGCCATGTGGGGCGGGGGTGACTGCGTTGCTGGATCGAGACACTAGCCTGGCTTCTGCCCCTACTATTCTGGTTTACTCCCTTATTGTTTATAATGTATCTCCTTGACCCTTGCACATACATACCCCTGCACACGAGCTTTTATGTATTTCTTGAGTTTTATTGATTTTGTTTTGATGGGATGGAGTTTCCTCGAGTGATTGGTTTAACATTGTGGCTTTTCATTTCCATAGATTGGTATAGAACTGGGCACATAAACGCAATGAATATTCTATAAACATTTGATTTCTATCTTGAAGCCAATAAATATTCAGGTAGAACTACAACTCCATTTGGCAACCACCACTTCCAACTGTTTACCTTGTATAGAATACCGAGAAGACATTGATAGAACACCTAGACAATCTCGCCATACCACTTTCACTATTCCAGACGATATATGTCCACCACTCAACTCTCGTACCTAAACTTAGCTAGTAATAGAACTAGAGTAGTAGCAAAAGTCGTGAAACAACCGATGAAAACAGTCCAAAAGTAATGATAGGATTGATGATTTTGGAAGTATGAGAAAGGCTGTATACGTTACAAGTTGCAAGTTGTAAGCTGTGAATAATGATGATCATATAAAATAGTATAATATAAGAAGGGATGAGAGCGCTGCAAGTCACATGTTTGACTGGTTGCGCTTGCAGTTACTGCACAAACTAAATCTCTCCAAAAATCAACTATTCAGCTTTAGTGATATGCCAGGGGGACGGACATTCAGACAAACTACGCATGCTCTATACACCACCAATGCATGACTGAAATTTTCAGGTATGTATAGTACACTCTCAACAAGAGCTAAGTCAGAACAAGAAATGCAAAGAATCAACCAATCAATCAATCTAAGAAAAGTATCTCCAAAACAGCATCGAACGAACCAATATCCAAGAAATAGAATCTAGTAAGACCACATGTCCCGATCACCAGTCGAATAAACCAGCTTCGTACTGAAGAGCTGCGGCCCCGTCAAGGCAACCTCCGCGACTGAGATGCCGAGATCGTTGGCGATCCACTCGAAGGGGACACCTTCGGGGACGGCGCGGAAGTGAGGAATGCAGCCGCATATCATTCTGGCGGTGGGGCTAATCGACGCTTTCCAGTCGGGCGTGGGCGGCCTGCTCAGGATGCATTCCTCGGCGGGGGTGCGGTAGGCGAGGGCAATGTTGTGGTCGGATGCTATGGGAGGGGTTTCTTCTTGGAGGTCTGGGGGGAAGAAGGTGGGGGAGGGGCCGTGCCAGGAGGCCCAGGTGTAGGTCAAAATTAGGTGGAGGGGGCTCAGGAGGTTGGCGCCGTGGAGGAATCTTTTGATCCAGGTGGAGGTGGAGGGCTCGAATACTGTAGCTGTGAAGTCGATGGTGAGGCGGTGGAGATTGGGCGCTGCGAGGTGGCGCCAGGCTTCTTGAGGGGTGAGGGGGAGGAGCGAGGAGATGTGGATGCGGAGGCTGTTAAGAGCAGGGAATGAAGACATATTGGGGAGTCCATTAAAAGGTAGCGCCGGGATGTCGAGCTTTTCCAGAGACTGTCGGTGTATAGCTAGTAGGCTTTCGATGGTCGACGCAGTGTAGATATCCGTGTAGGGCGAATCGAGAACGTGGGAGAAGACCACTTCGCGGAGACAGCGTGGCCACTGGAACAGGAGCTCCGCGACGTCAGGGTCTGCTATCGGCACTGCGAGTGTCAAGCTGGTGATGTTTCCTGTTCTGCGGCGGGTAGACGGGAGCAGTTGCTCGAGCTCTCGTGTTGATTTCGGTTGATTGTGAGGGCGGAGCCGCGCAGCGTTAGGGCATTCAGTACCCTCAGCTGCGGACCATGGTCGCATATCTATAACCTCGTCATTTACATATTCTGACCACGCGATATGTCCGAGTCGCAGGGTTTTGAGAGTGGGTAGGTCGAACAGCTCGAAGATGAAGCGGATAGGGAGTCCTTGTTGCACGGTACACAGGTCCAGCTCAACCAGTGGAAACTTGCTTAGGCTTTCAAACAGTGGTATATCACATGGGAACGACATGCTCTCGAACGTTGCCTTGCGGACAGGACTCTCATGCTCGGCTGCCTTTCGCGCCATCTCAACGCAGAGATCGTTGCCTTCTTCGGTGTAGATTGACATGTGGAGAGATTGGGGATAGCGCCAGAGGTAGGGCTTGCTGTCCATATAACGCAACAGCTGCCGAGCCAGACGGTGATCACGTCTTTCGTTGCGATATGTAAGTTTAGAGAAGATGAGACTCTCGGCCACAGTTCTCCACGTCTGGCATACCTGCGTCAGTGGGAGCCATCTGGAACAGAGAGAACGTTGTGGCTCGTGGGGGGTTTCCAGGTATAAAAATATCTGAATCAACACCTCTGTCGGTATAGTAGACGCCATAGACGTTGTTTTTAGGGCCAGTAAAGGTGGTGTTGTAGACATTCCTGTCTTGGGGCAATGGCGGGGTATTTAAAAAACAAATTATGTTGCAAGGCTGAGGAAGCTATCGGCATGCATAGCCACGATATTTAGCGCCATACCATCTGACATGATGTGAGTTGGTCTTGGAATTCAAGGTTTAAAAAGCACAAAGATTAATATTGTGGAACTGCATCTATCCTCACCACATTGGCCACAAACTATGCGTTGATATCCATCCGGGGCCCGGTGAAATTCTTCCTCCCATCCACAATCCACTGTACTACCGATACAATCAAGATGATTCCAAACGCAACGACACAATAATCTACAGAAGACGCATTAGTATCTACGACAAACTTGTGGTGATATCAAACTTACTCATACTGCTACCTGTCACCACTCGCGAGGGAGGGAACAGGAAAAGCACTGTCGTCAAGGCAATGTAAGAGAGCGAGATCTATACTGTTAGCAAGTAGTCTGGGAAAAAGAATGAAAGAGGAAGGAAAGAAGGAAAGAAGGAAAGAAGGAAAGAAGGAAAGAAGGAAAGAAGGAAAGAAGGAAAGAAGGAAAGAAGGAAAGAAGGAAAGAAGGAAAGAAGGAAAGAAGGAAAGAAGGAAAGAAGGAAAGAAGGAAAGAAGGAAAGAAGGAAAGAAGGAAAGAAGGAAAGAAGGAAAGAAGGAAAGAAGGAAAGAAGGAAAGAAGGAAAGAAGGAAAGAAGGAAAGAAGGAAAGAAGGAAAGAAGGAAAGAAGGAAGGAAGGAAGGAAAGAAACGTACAATATCAATCACCCATCCAATCATATTAGGGACCTTCCACTTCCTATCCGGAAGCGTCTTGCGTCCACGGAGACAGTTGACGGCAATGGGCATGGCATACGACAAATCCAGCGCTACGACAGAAGACGAGATGATCGCGTTGAAGGCGCTACACCTGTCAGTACATTCTCTTTATCAACTGAATCAATGACAAACCTTGTCGAACCCAAGTAGATCAGGCCGAAAATCACGACAACCACAGAGCTCAGGCCCAGCGCGTTTAGAGGGAGCCCAAGCTTGGGATGAACGTGCGCGAAGAAGCGCGAGGCCGGAAGACCGCCGTCTCTGTATCAAGTTAGCTTGTTGTTTCCGTCTCGAGGGCAAAGAGAGAATACTTGCCTTGCGAATGCGAAGATCATCCGGCTACTCGTTGTCATGACGCTGAGGGTCGCAAAAGCCAGACACACGAGGGGGAGCCTGTTTCGTCAGCAGCTGCAACGGTGAATCTAGAAGCAAACCTACATTAGAAGGCAGATGCCACCCGCGGTGTTCTTTGTCGCATGCAGGAGAATCTGTAGCAGCGGTCCTGCTTCTGAGTCGATCGCATCTTTAATGTTGCCTGCGACGAATAGAAGAACAATGAGGAAGACGGTTCCGGTAAACGTTCCAATTCCAACACAGCCGACCATGATCTTCGGCCCTCTGATAGATGGTTGGGGAATTTCTAATTCGTTAGGTCGGTTTCGCAACTGAGAGGTAGTGATTATATCGCACCCTCGATCATGTGTACAACGGCGTCCTGTTTCACTGTTAGATCTTTGAAAATCACCAAGACACGGAAGCAGGAAAGCATACAAACGCCGTAACTCCCAATCCTCCTTGAAGAAGCTGCTGTTATTAGCACGCGCGTTATCAAGTCTAAGAATGGGAGACAAACCCCCAGCATCCAAGCAACCCCATCAGGCCCTGACAATTAGCAACACACACACCCTATAGATCATCTAGGACACTCACAGCCAGTGTTGTTGACAAATTCACAAAAGACGAAGCTATGCTATTAGCATTGGAGCAGAGCCCAGGGAAGAAAACATACTAAGCAGAGTTGTAATCCGGCGACGCGCACGCGAGGAGTGTGATGGAGACAAGTACGAAGCCACCCAGCGACCACGTCACTACATGAATCAGCTCAGGCCCCGGTAGATGCAAAATTCAACATACAGGCACCGCGATATATGATTGGGAGGATGGAGTTCATGAACGCGTTAACGACGAATGCCAGCAGTGTATATCCCACGTAGATCAGAAACTGCTGCCAGCGCTGCCACACGAAACCCTATATCGACATTAGTTAATCCGCAAGATGCAGAGGATGAGCATGCCTACCGGGTATACAGAGGATACGATGCCGGCAATGAGTTGGGCCGACAAGAGACAGTTGGTAGCTACCAGGGCAACCTAGGTCTGGTTAGCTACATAACCACTTTGGACTTGATGTCATACCCATCCCGCGACATTGACCCAGCCAGTCACCCACGACAATATCGGAACCCATTCCGGCCAGGAGACTGTCATCTTTAGTACACGACAAAAGATAAGATACCATCATGAAACATACCGGCTAAAGACATATGTTAGATAATTCTCCAATGACGGGGGACAATCACATACCTGCCACCCAATGATACTGACCACCCGCCCTAACGAACTAAGTATGTTTTCTATCCAGCCAGGATGATATACATACGTCGGATAAGCAGACAGAAACTCGGCCAAAGAGGCCGCAATGCAGAGGTTGCAGGTTCCAGCAGTGATCAGCCCTTTACTCATTAGCATTGATCAGGTCAAGGCGGAGGGGAAAACACACCCCAAATTACACTCGTACTCCCACCCGAAGTCAAGCTGATCGATAAACTGGCCGAAAGTGCCGTCCAGGACTAAATCTGTCAGCCCGAAAGTTAAAGATCTGGCACCTGAGCGTGGTATACATTTAAAACCGCAAACGCCAAGCCCAGCATGGACCTAGGAAACGTTAAATCAGTGGACCACGATGACAAGACAATGGAAAGACGTACAGGGTTGAGAAATTCCGTTTCAATTCGGGCCTGTGGCCCATTTGCGCCAGCTGGACATCATCCTCGGCGACCTCCTCGAAACTCTTCTCGTCTTTGGTGTCCATAGTGATAGTGTTTTGGAAAACAAAGAGATTCCAGACGGCGTATCGAACGGTGTGTCCATCCCTCTGGAATATGTAGTAAACTAGGGGTGGCTTGACGCTAGGGCTGCAGCCACTAGGGATTAAAAGACCCTAGCCAGTTGGATGGATACGGAATGTCCATCCTGCGCAAATGCGGGGAAGCTTGGTCGCGTGAAGCCGCCCCTATGTTGCCTTATCTGGCCATGTCCTCGTCTCCTGGTTTCATCACGTTCAGGAGCATGCTTAGGTGCAGCTCCCCTATCATAAGTGGATCGAAAGCCTGCTTATCGTGCTGATCCTTTGAGATATGCTTCCCGCCTGGACTTCCCCATCTCGTGATCAAGCCGATGCTGACATACTAGCTTCAATTGGCTGACATGTTCCCTTACTGATAGTAATGCGTCGCCAAGTGACCCAGAGATAGCTGACTCGTCTTTGTCGTGGGTCATGCTTGCTTTTTGCTGATTGGGTCCGGCTGATAAATAGATCGGGTGTCTGCTCGTCCACCGTCGGCGAGAGCCGTACTACGGAGGAGCTCCCCTTCGGTACCTCGAACGATAAACTGGTCGCGAGGATGATGTTTTCTGCAATTTCCAAGATCTGCGCCCTGCTGGGAGCTGGCGCGCTCCCCATGTGCGCCGGATACGTCGCCCAGCCTCGCAGCAATCAAAAAAGCGACGATCTTTGCACCGAAACAACGATAGCTATCTTGTATGAGATCCTTGTCGATCTGCACGTATATTCTGACACGCACAGGGGTGGCGGCATGGCCGGTGTCTCGGCAGCAGTATGTGATGTGTCTACCATTGGCCTTTCCCTACCATAAGCAATCTCTATAAATCCGTGGCAACTGCATGCTCATCGTACTAGCAAGCGCTAAAAGATGCATCCATTACCGATTTCTTTCTCCTCGAATCCCGAGACACTTTAGGCGGGCGGGTATGGCACACAGACTTCGGTCAAGACAGGGAGGGAAAACCGTACACAATAGAGCTTGGCGCAAATTGGGTGCGTCCTTCGAAGGCAATAACGACCAAAGAGTAATTAGCCACTGACTGGCACAGGTGCATGGGATAGGATCACATACCACCGGTGGGAGACCCGTTTTAACAGCTAGGCTTGTAGCTGGTTGGCTAACTAAAACTAGAGAACCCCCTTTGGACTCTAGTAAGGCCCACTTTCCTATCAATGGTCCCACATCTATAGTAACGTTAGACCAAATAGGCAGAAAAATACAACATCAGCAACACGCACACGACCTACCGCTCTATTCGAACATACAATGAAACCGGGTACACCGATTATAGACATCTACTAGATGCCTACAGTTCTGCATACGTAACTGCTGCCCAGGCGGCGGGACGAATCTTGACGTCCAACCTCCAAGACCAAACAGCCCGCTCGGGACTGGCCCTCGCCGGCTGGCAGCCGCAGAAACATGATATGGCGGCGCAGGCAGTGGAATGGTGGAACTGGGGTACGGTATAGGGAAGACCGTTGAAGGTGGTGACCCTAGTTCTTTCGCGGTGCTAACACAGTGACGTTCGGGCAGACTTTGAAGACGCGTCGACGCCCGAAACGAGCTCTTTCGCGTTTGGCATCGCGGGCGAGAATCTTACTTTTCACCAGTTTGGACCGCGAAACAACATGGTCACAGACCCCCGCGGGTATCGTACAATCATCGAGCGCGAAGCGTCAGCGCTCTTTCCATCGGGTCTGCAAGACCATCGCATATGGCTCGATTCCCATGTCACTGACATTGAGTATTCCCCCAAAAAGGTGACTGTGCGCACGAAGGACGGGAGCTGCGTGCGTGCGGACTATGTCATCTGTACTTTTTCTCTGGGTGTGTTGCAAGACCACGGTGCCGTCCAGTTCGACCCCCCGCTACCGGAATGGAAGCAGACTGCTATCCATAAGTTCACCATGGGCACCTACACCAAGATATTCATGCAATTTGATGAGACATTTTGGTCAACGGATACTTTGTTCTTCCTGTACGCCTCGCCTACCACGAGAGGGTACTACCCGGTATTCCAGTCACTGACAGGAGACGGATTCCTTCCGGGCTCCAACATCCTCTTCGTCACCGTCGTGGGCGAAGAAGCCTATCGGGTCGAGCGACAAACAGACGACGAGACGAAAGAGGAGATTCTCGCCATTCTCCGCGAGATGTTCCCGGACCGTGAGATTCCCGAACCAATAGCGTTCACGTATCCACGTTGGTCGAGGGAGCCATGGGCGTATGGCAGCTATTCCAACTGGCCCGCTGGCACAACCCTTGAGATGCACCAGAACTTGCGCGCAAATGTGGACCGGCTGTGGTTCGCGGGCGAGGCCACCAGCGCCCCATATTTTGGGTTCTTGCACGGGGCTTTATTCGAGGGTCGCGAAGCTGGAGAGCATGTCGCAGCCTTAGTACAGAAGCGCTGTATGATGCTTGACGGGACGAAGTTCTGCGGCGATAGGAAACACTATGAGCATCTTCATGGTACGACGCCGTCAGATTCGTTTTCTGCAGAGAACGGATGGCCCGTGAGTGGTATGGAGTTGTAGTTTCCTTTTCACCTGGGGCGAACTGCATATTTGATTGGGCGTTTGGGAGGTAGGTCTATTTGCAGATATGAGATTGCTTACACTGTCTGCGTTATTTTCGGGTCTTTGGAGCATGGGTGTTGCTGGGGATAGATAGCCGGAGAAGATTTTGCATTGTGTTGGATCTTTGGTCGCAGGGACGGGGATGTCTTGATATTCCATGCCATCTCTCGGAAATAATATTCATAACTACTTGGATCAGATATAACCATTAGTAGACGATTCACAATAAACCACTACATCTCTCCAGAAACTGACCATAGGTGGCATAGGTGGAAGTTCACCTTCGCCATGTATAGGTGTGATTTATTGCAACTTGGCTGCCAGGCATCGAGGCATTTCACCACAATGCCAACTTAGCCGGATATTCTCTGATTATCTTCGAAATCATGACACCATCGAAGCGGAGAACGGAAGATGAGGTGCAAAGGGGGGAGCAAAGAATGAGTGAGGAAAGTGAAGAAGTTGCCCAGTAAACCGGAGAACGTGATTTCTTGAAACATTCTAGATGACCGAGGCACGCACACTACAGTACCCAATTTCGGGCTGTATAATTCAGGCATCAAGAATTTTAATGGTCAGTTTATCCTGAGGATGAGCCTTTGGATTAAATTCAACATCCTAAGCAACCGTCGTGGTCTGTATAGATGCCTTGAAGAAAGCGTGATCAACAACCTAAACTATTAATTACTACATTTTACAGGATACCAAGTTCTAGACTAAGAGAATCCACAAGGCTATTAAAACGACGTAAAGAGTAAAGCGAGATTGGTATGCTGAATTGCCCAATCTAATGGCCCAGATTCTTAGGAGCAGCGGTTGCTGGTCCTTCAGGAGTAACATATGCCTAATGTCATTAGTACAGGTGTCCCTCATACCAAGAGAAAAGTAACGTACCTTGGACATTCCGCCATCGACCACGAAATCAGTACCGTTAACGAAGCTGCTTTCATCACTGGCCAGGAACACCACGGCCTGAGCTTGCTCGATGGCCTCGCCGAATCGACCAGTCGGGAAGTGGACCTCACGACGGTGTCGCTTAGGCTGGTCATCTCCGAGCCAGTCCTGCAAAAGAGGAGTGCTTCGCGGGTCAGGCATATGCTACTTTCACACCAACAAAAAGGACGAGGGAAAGCATACTTGAGAGGCGCGGGACACAGCGCATTGAACCGTAGTCCCTCACGGGCGTGCACGATAGCAAGCTCGCGGGTCAAAGCCAGAACGGCGCCTTTGCTAGCAGTGTAGGCCAGCTGGGGCGTGGCGCTCCCCACGAGGGCGACCACACTAGCCGTGTTGATGATGCTACCTCTGGTCTTCTTGTTGCGGCGCATGCTTTGCACCGCATGCTTGCATCCAAACCACACGCCCTTGACGTTGATATTCTGCGTCATGTCCCAGATCTTCTCGGGGGTATCGACGGCGTCAGCGTCGTCGGCGTGCATAATCCCGGCGTTGTTGAAAATCACGTCCGTGCCGCCCCAGCTGTCCTGGGATTCCACCATAACCTGCACGTCGGACTCTTTGGAGACGTCACACTTGATGATCTCCACTCGAGGGGCGTCCGGCACGACCTCCTTCACCTTAGCGATGGCCTTTTCCAAGGCCGGGACGGAGATATCGGCCATGAGAACCTTGGCTCCTTCGCGCGCAAAGAGGATGCTTGTTTCTAGGCCGATACCACTAGAGGGGGCTTAGCTTTGGGATGCGTGGTAAATAAAAAGGACAAGACAGTCATGACCTACCCCGCGGCACCGGTAATAATGGCATTTTTGCCCTGAAGGCGACCTCTTGGTGCTGAAGCCATAATGCGTCTATCAAGGGTGATGATGTACAAGGCAGGGCTTCGAGAAGACAGGCGGGGCAGGGGTGGACCCATTATCTAAGCGCCGATAAGGCAGCCAAACCTTACCGATAAGGCCTGATAGCTGTCATGCCTGCTGATCTCCTTGCCTGTTGGGAATGGTCTAGATCCTCTTTTGCTTCAACCCTCTCCGTTCACATTTCTCTCACCTTCAACAGGTATTTGCAGCTTGATTCCAACGGGTTCGGTAAAAATGGGCACTTCATCCACGGGCGAGATCACCCTCGAAGATCTACCTGACTTGCTGTGTTATCACAGCCGCGTCAAGGTGGCCGGTGTCGATGTCGATGGCCAGCTGCGCGGGAAATTAGTGTCCAAAAAGAAATTCATGTCGATGGCTGAAGAGGGGTTTGGCTTCTGCTCGGTGGTGTTTGGCTGGGATATGCACGACCAAACGTACTTCAAAGAACTGGGGATCAGCAACAAGGACAATGGATATCGCGATATCCTCGCCATCCCCGACCTCAGCAGCTTCCGGCAGATCCCCTGGGAGAATAACGTCCCTTTCTTCTTGGTCCGATTTTATGATCCCGAGACCAAAGAACCGTTATGTGCGTGCCCCCGAGGTTTGCTGAAGACTGCTTTGAGCAAGGTAGAAGCGGCGGGCTGTCGCGCGATGGCTGGGGGTAAGTGTGGTGACCCTCTTGGAAATGGCCAGATGATACTGACGCGTGTAGCGGAATATGAGTTCTATCAATTTCGTGTCCCAGATACTCACCCCACCCCCGAGCGGAACGCCTCAGCGACTGCTACCTTCCTCAAGGAGAACCCCGTCGAGGCCCTGCCCCCGCTGACGGAGGGGATGTTTGCATATAGCTTGAGCCGTCCGATTCACAATCAAGACTACTACTATGGGGTATACGATGCATGCGAGGAATTCAATTGTGGGATCGAGGGGTGGCACACCGAGAGTGGTCCGGGAGTGTATGAAGCAGTGAGTGGCCGATTTACGCGTGGAGCTCAGCAACTCATGCTGATGGGACAAACTAGGCGTTAGAGTTTGACGAGGCCAAAGCAATGGCAGACAAAGCCGCACTGTTCAAGTAGGTGGCTGAAAGTCCATGGCGACTATCCCGTTAACCGTGAGGTCGTCTAGGTTCGTAGTCAAGTCCATCGGGACCAAGCATGGTATCACCCCGTGTTTCATGGCCAAACCGCGCCAGGGCTTGCCTGGGAACAGCGGCCACATGCACATTTCGCTCGTCACAGCAGACGGAACCAACGCCTTCTACCGCAGCACCCCCGATCCAGCGCCGCCGTACCCCGATGTCGCCCATCTGTCCGACCTAGGACGACATTTCCTGGCAGGTATCCTCAGCGGTCTCCCGGACATTATGCCCATGTTCGCGCCGACGGTCAATTCCTACAAGCGGCTCGTGGAGAACTTCTGGGCCCCGGTCACAGTCTCGTGGGGTCTGGAGCACCGGGCGGCGTCCATCCGGGTGATCTCCGCACCGACGGCAAGCCCGAAGGCCACGCGACTGGAGGTGCGGGTACCGGGGGCGGACGCCAACCCGCACTTTGTGCTGGCGGCGGTGATCGCATTGGGCTGGCGCGGGGTGGAAAAGAAACTGGACATTCCGGTGCCGCCGCTGTCCAAGGGCGACGACATGGGCGGGGCCAGCGACCAGGGAGCGCGACTGGCTAAATCACTGGGCGAGGCGACGGCCACGTTCATGCGTCCGGAGTGTCGCGCGGGAAGTGTTTGGCGACGCGTTTGTGAATCATTTTGGAGGGACTCGCGAGCACGAGGTGCGCTTGTGGGAGGAAGCCGTGACCGATTGGTTTGTTCTCTCTCTCTTTCTCTTTCTCTTTGGATGACTCTGGAAATTGTGCATGCTAACCAGTTGCTAGGGAGGTGCGACGGTACATTGAGACGGTCTAAAATTATGGAGGGGACCTAGGATAGACGCATCTGGGAACAGCATTTGATGAGTGATGATACGCATGGCATTTCTTTTTCTTTTTAGCTTAATTTCTTTTAACCTTTTTTTTCTCTCATATTTACCTTAATATAAACCATATCTTTATTTTCCGTATTATTCATCATTCTCCGGCCTGTTCTACTTTAAAACCACCATGTTTCCTCCGATACAGTATAACCAGGTGTATCCCGCCGTCTCCGTTGGAACCCGATCCCGGGCAGCCATCACATGCCGGGTAGTCAGTATTTCACATGCCGGGGACCTCGAGAGCACGTATACGGAGGACCATGGTGGTAGAGAACCAGGGGACAAGGACTAGGCCTTGATGAGACCATCAGACCAACTACCTAGCTGGCTAGCTAGCTTCTGTCTGTATAGCTCATAGCTTCCATAAGGTTGGTGGTTTTCAGAAGTAAAGCCCGCAGCCTCAGGCCAACATTGATTCCGTCCCGACATCGGAACAAGCCGGTTCGGATAGGAGGCGAGGGAACCGACTGGTGGTGGGAAGATGAGGGATCATTATTGGATTATGAGGACCGGGAGTGGCTGTAGACAATCATATTGACGTCGAGCCGCGGCAGTGGAAGGATGGAAGGATGGAAAGGTGGGAAGGTTATCGGGTGTGGGGAATGTAGAGTTATCCCGAGGTTAGATGAGCTATAGTTAGGGTTGGTTTCAGTACCGTCATCTGTACAGTGGACTGTAGGACGTGGTGAATGATCCAGTGTAGGGGCACCAGCCTGTTAAACATGTTAGATGTTGTGTTCAACCTGAGGGTCTCATGAGTCACTGTCTAATTATAAGAAATGTCTCGTATCTATACAATCGCACGAATGGAGCACGATGCAGGACGGCGTTCTCCGGCGGAAGGGAGGCGGAAGTAGAGAAGTCGGCCGATATCCATATACTGGACCTTGGTATTCACCGTAAGAAACCGTATGCTTCTCCGTGGGAAACTGTCCACGCTAAACCGTCTTTCGTCATTCTGCTTATATAAGGGGAGATTCCCCGCGGGAATGTCACATGCTGCCTGCACATCCAGCGCTCCAGACAACCTCACTGGTCAACCTCATCTCCATCTGCTCCAGAGTTCTCCAGTCATGGCTGGGTGGATCATCCACCGTCTGGCCCAGGTATTCGCCTTACCAACTCAGCGTATCACCGGCTTGGAGCTTGCCCAGCGAGCCTATCATCGACTATCTTCGTTTAACCGCGGTTCAATGGTCGAGGTTCGACGTGACGTAGTCCGAGATGCTGAAGCCATGGCCATGTTATCATATATTATCAACTGCCTCCTCTTTTCTTTCCTCTCTTTTTTCCCTCTTCTGACGCAAACTTTTCGTCTCTCTCAGACTCACCCATAATCCTATAATCCAATTCCATCCGCCATCATGAGTCAAGTCGATACCCAGGTGAAGGATGTCACCATCCTGGGCCCCATCCCCCAGGAGGCCCGCAAGATCCTCACCAAGGATGCCTGTGCCTTCCTCGCCATCCTGCACCGCACCTTCAACCCTACCCGCAAGGCTCTCCTGCAGCGTCGAATTGACCGCCAGGCTGAGATCGACAAGGGTCATCTGCCCGACTTCCTCCCCGAGACCAAGCACATCCGTGAGAATGACGCCTGGAAGGGCGCCCCGCCCGCTCCCGGTCTCGTCGACCGCCGTGTTGAGATCACCGGTCCTACCGACCGCAAGATGGTCGTCAACGCCCTGAACTCGGATGTCTGGACCTACATGGCTGATTTCGAGGGTAAGACCCTGATTCTTCCTCTTGGCATGTAGGAGATACTGACGAATTAGACTCGAGCGCTCCCACCTGGGAGAACATGGTCGGCGGTCAGGTCAACCTGTACGATGCCATCCGCCGTCAGGTCGACTTCAAGCAGGGTGCCAAGGAGTACAAGCTCCGTACGGACCGCACGCTCCCGACCCTGATCGCCCGTGCCCGTGGCTGGCACCTCGATGAGAAGCACTTCACCGTCAACGGCGAGCCCATCTCCGGCTCGCTCTTCGACTTCGGTCTGTACTTCTACCACAACGCCAAGGAGTTGGTGGCCCGCGGGTTCGGCCCCTACTTCTACCTGCCCAAGATGGAGTCTCACCTCGAGGCCCGTCTGTGGAACGATGTCTTCAACCTGGCCCAGGACTACATCGGCATGCCCCGCGGCACCATCCGTGGTACCGTCCTGATCGAGACCATCTCCGCCGCCTTCGAGATGGACGAGATCATCTACGAGCTGCGCGACCACAGCTCCGGTCTCAACTGCGGCCGCTGGGACTACATCTTCTCCTTCATCAAGAAGTTCCGCAAGCACTCCAACTTTGTGCTGCCGGACCGTTCCGATGTCACCATGACCGTGCCGTTCATGGACGCCTACGTCAAGCTGCTCATCAAGACCTGCCACCGTCGTGGTGTTCACGCCATGGTATGTTCTCTCTCCTTGTCACATCTCTTTTATAAGCGTCGTACTAACTGGAACAGGGTGGTATGGCCGCTCAGATCCCCGTCAAGGACAACGCAGCCGCCAACGACAAGGCCATGGAGGGCGTGCGCGCCGACAAGCTGCGCGAGGTGCGTGCCGGCCACGACGGCACCTGGGTGGCGCACCCCGCCCTGGCGGCGATCGCCTCGGACGTGTTCAACAAGTACATGCCGACTCCCAACCAGCTGTTCGTGCGCCGCGAGGACGTGCACATCACGGCCAACGACCTGCTCAACACCAACGTGCCCGGCAAGATCACCGAGGAGGGCATCCGCAAGAACCTGAACATCGGCCTGTCGTACATGGAGGGCTGGCTCCGCGGCGTCGGCTGCGTGCCCATCAACTACCTGATGGAGGACGCCGCCACGGCCGAGGTGTCGCGCTCGCAGCTGTGGCAGTGGGTGCACCACGGCGTGACCAGCTCCGAGGGCAAGAAGATCGACAAGGCCTACGCCCTGCGTCTGCTCAAGGAGCAGGCCGACAGCCTGGCGGCCAAGGGGCCCAAGGGCAACCGGTTCCCGCTGGCGGCGCGCTACTTCGCCGGCCAGGTGACGGGTGAGGACTACGCCGACTTCCTGACGAGCTTGCTGTACAACGAGATCTCGTCGGCGGGCAGCCAGGTGTCGAAGCTGTAGATGATTTGATTTTTGATTCCCTGTATTGTATTTCCTATGTGATTTCCTAGATTGTGACGTTTATGAATACCATTCCACCTACTTCTTACTATGTAATGTCCTCAGCCGTTAACACAACAACAAACCCAAGTAAGTATCCCCCACAAGACAAAACCAACCAAATAATGCAATAAAACAGTTAGAATCATGCAATAATCCAATAATGAAGTGAAATATGAATATAAAAAATAAAATCAAATCAAATCAAATCACGGATCCGAACACCACCCCCCATCAACCACATACGAACTCCCCGTAACAGCACTCGCCTCCCCACTCGCCAAAAACAAAATCACGCTCCCAACCTCCTCAGGCACCAAATCCCTCTGCAAGCTCTGCGCCCTCATCACCTCCTCCCGATACTCAGGCGTCAACACCTCCTCCCTCTGCCTGCGCGTCGCAATCGCCCCCGGCATCACACTATTCACCCTGATACCATGCACCCCCAACTCCTTACTCTGCACGCGCGTCAACCCCATAACGGCCGCTTTGCACGCCGCGTACACGGGCTGTCTCCCGTCGGGGATGCGCCAGGTGATGGAGCCGAGGTTGACGATGGAGCCGCCGCCGAGGGTCTTCATGCCGGGGATGACGGCCTGGGTTAGGAAGAAGACGTGCCGCAGGTTGGCGTTGACGCTGGTGTCCCATGCTGCGGGGGTGGCTGTCTCCGTGGTGAAGCGGCCGGCGGCGCCTGTTGCGGCGGCGTTGTTGATGAGGATGTGGATGGGGCCGTGGGTGGTGAGGATCTCGGAGGCTGTGGATTGCAGGGTGGGGAGGTCGGTTATGTCGCAGTGGTAGTAGGCTGGGGTGTGTGTGGTGGGCGGGTACGGGGGGAGGTGAGGAGGGGGAGTTGGAATGTTGCGGTTGCGATGGTGGTTTTGGCAGCGGCGTCTGCTATGTCGAGGATGATGACTTTGCTGCCTTGTTGGGTGAAGAGGGAGGCTGTGGCTGCGCCGATGCCGTCTGCGCCGCCGGTTATGAGGACGGTTTTGTTGAGGAGGTCGGGGTAGATGGCGGGCATTTTCAATAGATACCTAGGTAAGAGTGTAGGTACTGTAGTGAGGGTAGGGTAATGGAATATGTAGAGAGGACAGTGTAGCTGTTGTATAGGTATAAATAGGCATGAATAAGGAGGACAAAGAAAGCGGGGAATGAGGGGAAGCGGGGATATTTCGGCGTTAGTATGTAGGATGGACTAAGTCGATACTAGTATACCAAGCATTGGAATAGTAGGCAGCCAGAGTATGCGCTAGTGGAACCTGGAGTACCACAGTCTATATTGATTTATACTGATACTATCTATCAAATACTATCTATTTGATACTATCCAGTTACATACTATTTCGACTCAAAGTTATCAAAGTGATCTGTATAACCTGGATAGCATAGATTAGTCATACATACTGTTATTGGCTCCTGAGGCTTACGTTTCCACGGCCCGCTCCAACATCAATCATTGCCCTTCTGGGACAAACACACACTTGGATTCATCTCGACGGTCCCCTTTTCTCGTTCTCTCCGGCTGGTCGGATTTTTCCTGTCCTCGTGGGCTCTTCTCTCGAGCTCACTTCCTCACACTCCTCCCCGTCCGTCTTTCTGTCCCCCCACGGCTCATGCCTTCCGTTCCTTAAAACCATGCCTCCCACCACCTCCAAAGGGCAACGATACGCCCCCGTATCGGGCGCCGTCCCCGACGAAGACACTCCCTACGATTCCGCCGACGAAGGCACCCTCTCGGGCCTCTCCGACATCGACGACCCCAACGAAGTCAAACTCCGCCGCGTCGACCGCTCCGCCCGCGGTCCCCGCAACGCCTCCGCCGCCTACGCCCCCACCTCCGCCCGCCGCAAGTCCGGCGACGTCGAGGCCTACCTCGACAGCATCACCGACGCAGAGCAGGAGCTGCTCTCCGCCAGCAGACAGTATGATCTCGTGGACGACGAGCTGGCCTCGGACGACGAGGAGCTGAAACGCGGCCGGCGCGAGCGACAACGCCGACGGTCGCTCATCCAGGCCCAGTCGGGTGGATGGCGCGCTGTCCGTCATGCCCGGTACTGGTGGCGGACGCTGGTCGCCGTCATCGTGGGGCTGGCGTTGCTGGTGTGGGCGTTTTCGAGTTTTGCGGCGAGGAGGGATAAAAATAGACCGGTGGTATGTTGGTCTTACCTGTCATTGGAGGCGATATGCTGACTGGGTTAGGGCATGCCCCCGTCCGATTCGTGGTTCCCTTCGCCGCGCGGAGGAACCCTGGATGCCTGGGCCGATGATTATCGCAAGGCGCAGGAGTTGGTGCAGCGGATGAGTTTGGTGGAGAAGATTAACATTACGACCGGGATCGGTTGGAGTATGGGCATGTGTGTCGGAAATACTGGTATGTTGATATCGAGCTCAATCTGGCCTACCGCTAATTGAGAGGCAGGCACCGCGGAATCGGTCGGCTTCCCCTCGTTGTGTTTACAGGACGGCCCCCTGGGCATTCGATTCACCGACCGCATCACCCCCTTCCCCGCCGGCATCACCACCGGCGCGACCTGGAATCGAGATCTGATGCGCGCGCGCGGCGCCGCCATGGGTGCGGAGGCTCGCATTAAAGGCATCAACGTTCTGCTAGGTCCGTCCATGGGCCCCCTCGGCATGATGCCCGCTGGTGGCCGCAATTGGGAGTCCTTCGGCTCCGACCCCGTGCTGGCGGGTGTCGCCGCAGCGGAGACCATCCGCGGCATCCAGAGCAACGGCGTCATGGCCACCGCGAAGCACTTTGTCATGAACGAGCAGGAACACTTCCGCCGGCCGTACGAGTGGGGCATCTCCCACGCCGTGTCGTCCAACATCGGCGAGCGGGCCCTCCGCGAGGTCTTCGTGTGGCCCTTCGCCGAGAGCGTGCGCGCCGACGTGGCCAGCGTCATGTGCGCCTACCAGCAGGTCAACAACAGCCACACCTGCGAGAACAGCAAGCTGCTCAACGGCATCCTGAAGGACGAGCTGGGCTTCCAGGGCTTCGTGCAGTCCGACTGGGGCGCGCAGCGGTCCGGGATCAACAGCGCGCTGGGCGGTCTCGACATGAGCATGCCCGGGGACGGCCTACGCTGGGCGGACGGCAAGCCCCTCTGGGGACCGGAGCTGACCCGCGCCGCGCTCAACACCTCGGTGCCGATGGAGCGCATCAACGACATGGTGACCCGCATCGTCGCGGCGTGGTACCACCTGAAGCAGGACGAGTGGGAGCCGGGCCAGGGGCCTAACTTCTCGTCCTGGACCAACGACGCCGAGGGCTACATCCACCACGGTAGCCCCGGCACCCCGGAGACCAAGGAGACCGGCGTCGTCAACTTCTACTTCGAAGCCCGCGGCGAGGGCGAGCTCGCCCACGCCATCACGGCGCGCCGCGTGGCCGCCGAGGGCATCGTGCTGGTCAAGAATACCGACCAGACGCTTCCGCTGGCGCGGGGCCCGCCCACCCCGGAGGCCGGTCTGCGCGTTGGTGTCTACGGCGACGACTCGGGCCCTGGTATGGGACCGAACGGCTGTCCGGACCGCGGCTGCAACCAGGGCACTCTAGGCATGGGCTGGGGCAGCGGCACGGTGGATTACCCGTACCTGGTCAGCCCGCTGGAGGCGTTGGAACAGGCCTGGGCGCCCGGTGTGGACATGACGGCCTACACGCGCAACATGGTGATGCCGCAGGACGCGACCGACAAGGACCTGTGCCTCGTTTTCGTGAGCGCGGACTCCGGCGAGGGGTACATCTCGGCGCACGGCATCCACGGCGACCGCAACCACCTGTTCCTGCAGAAGGGCGGCGACACGCTGATCAACACGGTGGCGGAGAACTGCGGCGAGGGTGCCGGGCGCACGGTGGTGGTCGTGCACGCCGTGGGGCCCGTGGTGGTGGAGCCGTGGATCGACCTGCCAGGCGTGCACGCGGTGCTGTTCGCGCACCTGCCTGGCCAGGAGAGCGGCACGGCGCTGATGGACGTGCTGTTCGGCGACGTTGACGCCAGCGGCCGACTGCCCTACACGGTGGGCAAGAGCCTGGAAGACTACGGACCCGGCGCGCAGGTGCTGTACGAGCCCAACGCGCCGGTGCCGCAGGTGGACTTTGACCAGGGACTGTACATCGACCATCGGTACTTCGACCAGTACAACGTGACGCCGCGGTACGAGTTCGGCTACGGACTGTCCTACACGAGCTTCTCGCTATCGGACCTCAAGATCACGCCACTGCGATCGCGGTCAGTGCTGCCGCCGGCGCGAGTAGCGGACCCGCGCGCAGCCCCAGAATACGAGCGCCAGCCACCACTAGGCGAGGGCGTGCTATTCCCGGAAGGGTTCTCGCCGGTCCCCAAGTACATCTACCCCTACCTCACATCCCTCGAGGGCACCTCCCCCGCCCCATACCAGCACTACCCCAAGAACTACACCGTCATCCCACCCCGCCGCGGCTCCCCCTCCGGCGGCGGCCTAGGCGGCAACCCCACCCTCTACGACCTCATGGCCACCGTCGAAGTCCAAGTCACCAACACCGGCCCCCGAACGGGCCAAACCGTCATCCAAGCCTACGTCTCCTTCCCATCCGGCGTAACCGAAGAAGTCTGGGTGGAGACCGAGGAGGGCTCCGGCGAGCAGGAGCTGGTGACTCTGCCAGTGGACTTCCCTGTGCGGGTCCTCCGCAACTTCAGCAAGGTGGAGGTGGCCCCGGGAGCGCAGCAGACGGTGTCGATGACGCTGACGCGGAAAGACCTGAGTTATTGGAGCAAGGCGCAGCAGAATTGGGTGCTGCCGGCTGGGGCGTTTGAGATTCGGGTCGGGACGAGCTCGAGGGATTTACCGTTGGGGGGGACGTTGTAGGTTGTTTTTGGGGGGGTTGTATATTATTATTTTCTTTATACATATATATACGTGCATTTACATAGCTGCATAGACTTTTTTTACATAGTGTCTACAGTATATCCACAGTCCATACACATTAGTAGACTTGCATTCCATACTCTACACGATATACGTAACATAAGCACCGCCACACCAACCCTCTTCCTCCTCCTCCCTCCTCCTCCCACGTCCACTCCACTCCACTACCCAGATACGTAGATACAGCACCGCCACAAGATAAATAACAGCTCCACTCTCGCTACCAAATCTTCCCTCGTCTCAAGATCGCGTCAACCTGTTTCTTTATTTATTTATTTATTTTCCCATCCTAATCAGGACAATGCAAAACGAGACTAGCTGCCGATCCTATCACCCACGCCTTGGATCCCATCTTTCATACCACCTCTGGGTGAAACATGGTCCGTCTTGCTTTAGTCTACCGTGCACAGTCTCTGGATCGAGGGTTAGCAGCACTGTCTAGTAAACAATAACTATGGAAGAGTCAGAAACTAAGGGGATACCTTGCGAGTGAACTGAACTAAACTAAACCAAACCAACTGAACCAGATTCTGTTCCCCATGTGATGCCTCTGAACAATGGACGGATCTTCATCTTCCAGTGGAGATATGGGGGTACTTCCCACGCACGGGGATCTCTACGCGCTCTGAATCGTCACTGATTCTCACCAACTATGGTTCTTGACTTCTCGGGGTGTCTGTTTGAAACAGATGACGGAGTTGGAGAGGAAAAGAGAGGATTGGAGGGCGATCAGTGCGCTTGTTTTGGGTTTTTTTTGTTGGTTTGACTGGTTGGGGTTGGGGGTGGATCTTTTCTACTTTTTTTTTTTTTCTCTTCTTTTGTTTTGCTACTGTAGGTAGACGGATACTACTGTGTTTACTAGGTAGAGGCAGGACTAGATTGGGAGGATAGTTGAGGTACAGCTATAGATAGGTAGAGATAGGTGTACACTGAGTTGTCGACTATAATTATACTATACTCTGTGTTGTAATGTATGACGATCATCGATAAATCTGCTTCGATTCTATTCTATCTCCAATCTAAATCTACTGAATAACGTCAGTAACTGATCGACGTCTATCCCAGATAGGCAAATGATCCTACATCATCCATCTATCTCATTCTATATAGTGGTAGAGAAAGATATAAAGTTCCGCCACTCTCCTCCCTCCCTCCTCATCAATCATTCTATCACTTCACACTTCAACTAAAATTCCATTGATAAATACAAAATAAACAACATGAAATTCCTTTCTCTCCTCCCCCTCCTGGGCGCCGTCTCCGCCCTCCCCCAACTCCGCTCCGACAGCGGCAACGACAGCTTCACCGTCGTCGCCGCCCGCTCCGCCTCTCCCATCCACTACCTGACCCTGACAGCCTCAGACGGCCACTTCTGGCTGGGCGGACGCTCCTCCACTTACTGTCCTGAAGTCGTTGCCAAGAACGATGACTGTCCTCCTGGGAAGGAGACTGCTATCTCTGGGGATCATTCTTTGGTACCCCTCTCCTACTTTTCCCTTCCTCTCTTTCTCTCCTTCTCTTCCTCTCCTTCTCTTCCTCCACAAGACTGTCCATGAATATATAAAAACAAATGCTAATATAAAATATCAGAACGCAATGGTCCCAGGCTCCCAACAAATCTACATCTCCCCAGCCGGCTCCCTCTCCTTCACGCCCCCGCACGCCTCCTCCTCCATCCCCGCCGGCTCCTCCACCGGCCCCTTCGTGTACACCCCGCCCGCCGTGCAGGGAAGCACCAACGGTACGGGTCTCGGCCGCTGGACCTACGAGGGCCAGGGCGCGCACGGCTTCATGGCTTGTCCCGTGCCCGCGAAGAATGAGACCGTCCCGCGCTGGCAGGTGTTTGCCGCGCTGAAGAATGCCACTGTGCCGGGCGGCAAGAGGGATTCGTGCTTGGGGTTCTCGGCTATGGCTGTTGTTAGGGAGGAGGGGGCTGGGGCTGCGGCTTGGGAGTATCTTTAAACTCTTGTTGCTTTCTCGGTTGATTTTTTGAATTGGGGTGTGACTTTGTGACTTTGTGGCTTTGGGAAAGGGTAGTGGGTGGGATGTGGTTGGACGGTTTTGTATGTGTCTATGGCTATGAGGTATAACTTTCTGGTTGATGGTGTATATGTATATGATGTTATATGGATCAATGATATAGATATGATGTACATCTCGACTGTTTTACTACTCATCCCGCGCATACAATGCCAATATCTCATCCTGCTCAAAAGCAGCCGCCACATCCAACGCCGTCGCCCCCTCCCCATCCTCCGTCCACGGACTAAGCCCCCTCTCTACCAGCGCCGTGAAGATCGCCGGCGCATCCACCAGCGCATTGTCAAGGTCATCGCGCTGCGCCACTACATGCAGCAGCGTCTCCCCCTTGTTGTTGCGCGCGTGCATGTCATGCTCCGCGAAGAGCGCGCCCATGTCCGCGGCTGTTGGGGGCAGGGGGGTCTCCACGTCTTCGTGGTAGATTTTCACTGTCGCTACGTATGCGAACAGTGGCGTGTTGCCGTCGTTGTCGCGTGCGGAACGATCGCATCCGCTTGCTACTAGGCGGCGGTAGAGGCGGCCGAATCGGGTGAGGTTGTCTGCGTCTTCGTCGTCTTCTTCTTCTTTGGAATCGTCATAGAGCGATTTCGTGGGTCTCTGCGTGTAGTCGTACTCCATTAGGCAGGGTGCGATGAAGTGAAGGGCGGTTCGGCCGTCTGGCCCGCGCTCTAGCGGGTTGGCTCCTGCGTCTAGTAGGGACTTGATGATGTCGCATCTGGGCTCTAACAGTGCGTAGTAGAGTGGAGTGAAGCCGGCGTGGTTTTTCACGGCTGGGGACGCGGACGCCGCGAGGAGTGCCTTCACGGTAAACCACATGCCATGCTGCGCCGCGTAGTGTAATGCAGTGGACCCGGTGGCGTCTGTGACGTGCACGTTGACCCCGCTATCGACCAGTTGCAGCGAAGTGTACTCCTTGTTGATGCTCAGGTCGTAAGGATAAGAAGAGGGTCGAATGCATGACCGGTGGAGTGGGGTTCGGCCGTCCGCGTCCCGCTGTTGTAGATCGCATCCAGCCTGGATGATCGGCTTGATGAGGCCGTTGAGGCTGCAGATCTCGTGGAGCGGGGTGGACAGGCCGTTGCGCAGGAGCAAATTGGGGTCAGCACCGTGGTCGAGAAGCAACGAAATGCACTGTTCGTGGGCGGTGATGATATCTGTCCAGCGAAGGTCGATCGAGCGGGATGGACTCGCGGCCAGTTCGAGCGGAGTCTGCTCCTCGACCTTCTTCGGGTGTCGCTTCTTGCTGCGGGGCTTATGTACTAGGTTTGGGTCGATACCGGCTTGTAGGAGGACCTTCAATGCTGATGGGTCGCGCGCATGCAGCGCAGAGAATATAGCCGGTGTGTCTCCTAGGGACGGGTCTGCGCCACGGCTAAGCAGGAGCGCGAGGGTATCCCCGTCCCTTTGATTGCTTAAGGCAGTGTGGAGAGGCGCGACTCCTTCCGAAGTGGTGGCGTTTACGTCGGCGCCGTGCTGCACGAGAACCTGCAGCGTCCGGTCACGCCAGACTTCTCCCAATGAATATCCCGTGTCGCCAGACTCGAGTGCGGTATGGAGCGGTGTTTTGCCATCCGACGTTTTGATTTCAGTGTCGCCTCCAGCGTCTAGAAGACATGCCAGGCCGTCGACATTCCACCAATGCTTCCCTCTGGCCAGGATGTGAGTCGCAGTCACACCATGCCGGTACTTCTCGTCAGTATATTGAGCGTTGGGATCAGCGCCACATTCCACCAACAATTTGATCATCTCGATGTTGGGAAGACGCCGCTCTGCAGCAACAATCAACAGCGGAGGAGAGCACGAGTTGAGGTCACCGGCATAGGGCACCAATCTCCTCATCATCGATACACACCCCCAGCGGGCCGCGAAGCAAAGAGCCGACGTGCCGTCATCCTCGATCAGTCTAAGCCGCTTCGTTCGTACCAGCTCTTCCACCAATAGTTCGTTGCCGGTAGAGATCGCGCGCTCAAGCAGTTGGAGATGGTTTTCAGGCACCGAGAAATCATCTACCCAGCGGAGGGCAGATGGACTGTTGCTATACAAGGACTCGCCTAGAGGATCGACCGGTGAAAGACCATTTCCATCGGAACGGCTGTATATGGCCTGCATCCTCGGTGCGAGCTCTTCGACCACGGCTGATGATCCATGCATCAATGCGACATCGGTTGGGGTGTGTTCCTCGTTGTCAAGTTGTGCAGGATCAGCTTCGGCATTTACGAGCAGTCGGACAACTTCGCGAATATTCTTGCTCCCATCTTCCGTTTCAATCATTACCCCCATCCGTTGAAGAGAGCTATCCTTACTGGTATATTTCTTAGGCTGACTGCCTTCATTTGAATAGCAGGTTCCAGCATTGAACTCGCCTGCCGCATGTAGAGCACTCCGTCCCTGGGCGTCGCGGACGGTGGGATCTGCCCCGGCATCGAGCAAGAGCTTCACAGATTCCTGTCTCCCGCTCCGGGCGGCCTCGTGCAAAGCTGTCCGTCCTGCGAGACTCCGAGCATTGACCAAGTCCAAGCTGCCTTGGTACAGCTCGAGAAGGTAGCAAACAATATTGCTTTGGCAAGCTCTTGCCGCGAAATGAAGGGGCGTTTCATGGTTGTTGGTTCGAAGTCGGAAATCCGCGCCTGACTCAACTAGTCTCCGTGCATTTTGCTCCGATACGGTGGATGCCAAATGCAAAGGAGTGACCCCTTCATGATCCGAACCATTAATATCGAGGCCTATGTGGGCCTGCAGCGCAAACCCGAGCCGAGTGGCCATGCCGCCTTTACCCTCCTGCTTTTCTGATCTGGAACTGTCCTCAGCCAGTGCGGCTAGATGCAAAATGTTTCTTCCTTGGTAATTGCACGCCTGAACCTGAGATCCCAGCTCCACGGCCGCATGCACGGAGGATTGGACCATCCTCCAGCTCTCACGCCACGCCATACTGTCATGCAGGACGGTGTTTCCTGCGTGGTCAACTGCGTGAAGATCGGCACCGGCATCAAGAAGCAGTTTCATCCAGGCTTTCTTCTTTTCCACATCGGCCCTCCCCGCATCGATAAATGACACGACTGATACTGCGATCAAGTGCAATGCTACACCCCATTAGCCTCCCTACAGCCATGTACGAATTCCATCAACTTACCTGATTTGCCTTGGTAGTTTGTGGCTCGTGGATTAGCACCGAGCCCTAGAAGTGACGCTAGCAGAGCCTCGTTCGAGTCACTCCAGCGTTTCCCATCAAGAAATGTAAGAAGAGCCGTACGGCCACGGTGATCCTGTGACTCCAGCGAGAATCCCTTGTCCACCATGGAAGATACCAGCTCCGGGCTATCCACCCCCGAGCTGCAGAGCAGGCTGTGCAGCACTGTTTGGCCGGCGTTGTTCCGAAGGCTTGGGTTTGCAATGGCCACCCAGCTCTGTGCAAGCCGGCTACTCCGCATGGCCCCATTTGCAGCAAGATGGGCTGCCGTATTCCCGTCCGCATCTTGAACGTCGAAATCAGCACCAAATGTGTGAAAGGGCTTGAGATCCACAGCCAAAAGGCTGGCAACAGCTTGAATCATTAATGGCGTTTTTCCATCCGCTTTTCGTTTAGCGTTGATGTCACTCCCTGCTTCGATCAGCAAGCGCAGTGCACTTTCCCCGACGATGCGAGTTTCAAGAAGGTGTAGGATTGAATTTGCCTCATGATCCACAACAGAGGCGTCGGCACCATGGGTGAGAAGTACGGAGACGGTGGCCACAGCGCGATCCTCCTCGGGGCGATAGTTCATGACTTTCCTCAAGACGAACAGCGCTGTTTGACCCAAATGATCTCTCGCGTTTATATCGCAGCCTGCAGCCACGAGAAGTCGCACTACTTCTATTAATTCTCGTAGATTGGTATGCGCATTCCGATGGGAATAAAAACTAGATAAGTGGGCCCATCCATGAAGCGGTGTATAGCATCGTTGAGTTTCTGTAGTAGGAATGCGGCTTGATACCATCCGCTTTGAATTGCGATGTGATCTTGTGTCCCAAGACAATGTGTGAACATCAGCCCCGTGTTCCAACAGTGTCCGAACAGCAGCACTCTCATGTTCACATGCCGCCAGATATAGAGGCGTGTTTCCATTGGCGTCTCTGTCATTGATGCCAAGTTGAACCAGTGGGTTTTGTAACAAGACGCATAAGATACTTGCTTTACCCGCCTTTGCAGCCCAGTGGATGGGGCCATTTCGAATGATATGTGGATCAACGTAATCTTGTAGTTCCAGAAGCGTTTCCACGTGGCCGTAGCGACAAGCGTAGACGAGGGCTGTCTCACCAACGGTGGACTTGCTCCAATGAGGGTTGAAACGATCGTTCTCCTTCGATTTAGCTGCCAAGGGATCAGCGCCACCTTCGAGCAGGGCCCGTAATGATTCGACATGGTTTCTTTGCGCAGCATAGTGCAAGGGAGTCATCCCTGAATTATCTGGTACGTCATGCCTGGTGCCATGCCGCAGCAGGGTGCGCACGACATCGACGTGGTTCTGCATGGTTGCGTAGACTAGTGGGGTGCGTCCAGACCTGTCTGCCATATTCACGTCCGTTCCACGGGAAATAACATTCTCGATATAACAATCGAGGCCGCAGAAGGCAGCCAAATGCAATGGGCGGGCGCTGTGATTGACATCTCGGTGATCCGAGTCCAGGTAGACCTCTTTCCAAAATTCAAATCCGCTCTTCTCTGGAGAGAGTATTCCATTCATCTTTGCGAAAAGCCTTTGGTTGGCGTCAGTTGCTCGGGAAGCATGTGACGGCCAAAATTTGGCGGCATACCGTAGGAACGGGAATCGGCGGAATGACTCCTTGAGGTTTCTGGAGAAAGATTCATCGGACTGGCTGTCATCCTCCTCATATGTAGCATTAGACTCGTTGGCACACACTGTGAGTACATAATCAATACATGTACTGGCAATGTGACCATGTATTATGTTAGAGTCTACAGACTGCATGTCGGCCTGTGGTCCTGACCGTCGCGCATGGCTTAGGTCAGGATCTCGGAGGAACTCCGTCAAGGAATGATGGATAATTTGAAGCACGCCATCCTCGCAAAGCTCCAAGAGCGGTCCACATGAGCTTTGCACAGCGCCTTTTGCATCCTGGTCAGATCCTAGGCCACCTCGATCCGGCAAAGATTGGATGGCGGTTGCTAGTTCAAGCAAGCGCAGTGGACGGACTGAGTGCGTGATCCACTGCAGAACCAGAAGTTGAAACTGGGAGCTTGTTCCAGAGCGTACCGCATGCTCACGCAGTATTTCTGAATACATATTGCTCAGCCCATTCGGCAAGTCGGCAAGTTGCGACATGATATCTTGGGGCTTCGCCAGTAGCTGCTCCATCATCAGCCGAGCGTAGAGGAACAAGCCTTTTCCCTTGAAACAAACGGCCTTCTTGATAGCAGACGCATTGTCCGAGCTGACTGGGGGCTGAGAGGTACTCAGGCGATGGGTGATGTAGGTTGCGATGTCACTGTCTACATGTTGACGGTCGAGCCGCAAGTCGATGAGCCCAGGGGTTCCCATGAAATGATTCTGGAGAAACAGAATCTGACGACTAGTCAACAAGAGCTTCATTGAGCTGGGATGTTGATGTGCGAAGTCAATCAGCGTGCGTATAAAGTTGTCATGGCCCTCTTCCATCTCATCCAACGCGTCAACCACACAGTACACTTTCGGCATCGCCGCCAACCCCGACGAAATGCACCGCCAGAGCCCATCGAAAGGCACAGCCTCTACTTCCGGATGCTCCTCCATCAGCAGCCTGAGACCAGACTGGAGTAACGGACAGCGCGGCAGCAAGCCCCGGGCAAAATCTCGCAACAACGCCTGGGGCGTGCGGTTCGACATGATAATCTCGCGGAAGAAGAAAAATAAGACCGGACACTCGGTCTGAACTTGCAGCTTCCTGACCAGACTAGCAGCCACTACAGACTTCCCACTCCCTGGAATGCCTCTGATCCAAAGGGCGCCCTGGTCACCGCCTTCGAACCATCGGCGATATTCGTCGGTATCCAGAATCCACTGGCCTGTACCAGGCACATGGGAGTTTAGGTGTTTTCGGTACTCGCTGGCCGGAGAATCTGAATCCGTCGGCTCCAGCCAGTCTATAATCTTACGGATCGTCTCGGGCTTTTCTCCAGATAGTGCTTCGGAGCCGGTATCTAAGGGCGTTAGCGACCGATGGTTGGCTTGGCGGTGCACACGAGCTTACCTCGACTGCTGACAAGGACATAATCGCTGGTGTCGACGTCCATGATGATTTTGAGCGTCTGTCAGAACATGCATGGTACCCAAAATGCGAAGACGAATAGCACAAGGACAGCTCAGTGAAAACAGTCTGGCGAGGCTGTCTGCTGGGCGGGGTTCAGTGGGGCGGTGTCAGCCTTGGGATAAAGGTGAGTGAAAGGATTCTGGACCAAAGAGATAATAACACGGTCAACAGGGCGCATCAAGTTGCGGGTCGCAGGATTTGAGGAAATTCGCGAGAAGGAATGAGATGAACCTGACGGTCAAAACCACCTAATGCAGCCTCAGGCAACACTGAGCACATGATATCGATGCTTCTTCCAGTTTCTACTGCAATACTCAACTTGTTTCTCGCCTCTTACAGACATCACCGATCGACTTATTCTTCTAAGACATTACCAAGTTAGAGTCTGCTTGGCAAAACAATTGCTGCACCCGATTCATATGATAATAGAATCACGACTAAGCAAACAGAAGATTTCGACGCGTGGTTGAAACCTGACACATCATCTTCATCTTTCACCATCGCCAGGATCGACACTAACAATTGAACTTAATGGGGCGTCCAGCGGTGGGTCCAGCCAACATCCCTTGATAGGGGATTTGCATCTTGCAAACCTGTGGGTATGACTATGAGGATACCGAGTCCCCAGTGGGATGTACTAAATTTACTATCCGTGAGACTGAGAAGTTGAGAATTCACTGCTAGGGCGACAGTTGACAAGAGACTAGAGACTAGAGAGACTAGTTTCCATAGCCTGTTGATGGATTCTGGTGAAACAGCCCGACAAACGACTGGTGTCATGATTGTCCCCGGTGCGGATCGCCTATTGAGCTTTTTCGGCAGCAGCCAGGAGCATACTACGCAGGCAGGAACAAACTACGATTCAACCAGCAATTCTTCACAAACCCCTGACAAGACACTACCTATTGGCTCTCGCTCAGCCAATCTCCGGTACGTGACTCGTCGATGGAGGTGAAGAACTCCCAAAGTTTGCCGCATTACGCGTCTCCCACCGGTACCTGCATGATCTACATGGCGGTCCATTTGCCTTGAGATCGCCTAGGGAGTACGGAGTGCTCTGCCGAACAATAGATCCGTTGTCCGGCATCTGGTAGGATAGCCAGATCGGTCAATGCCTGAGATTTTTTTTCTCCCTAAAAGGTCCAGAGGATTCCTGGTACCTTGCGGTGGGGTGGAATGACGCGCCCTGTTTCGGAGGGACACCAACAAATCCTATGCGACGTGTTTTATGGTCTCCTACCCGATCAATGCAGCGTGGTTCCGGCCAAAAATCATGCTGTCAGTCGACCCGGCAAAAAGAAGCGATCCACATGGGGCTCGAACCCACAATCTTCAGTTTAGGAGACCGACGCGATACCATTTCGCCAATGGACCTTGTTAAGAGCTTGCAACCATCTCAAGAGCCACCTGGGGGTGAACCAACGAACAGAGTCAGGGCAGTATAAGTCACGTGGTTATTAGTTGGTTTCTTTCCTTTTTGTTCGGTGGAAATCATCCTACGAGCGAGACAGGCTTGGCCAAATCCTCATGGCAGTACCGTGGGGGTTTGGACCAGCTGGTCATGGCGGTGCAACCACAGATGAAGCCCGACGAAAAGGCTCAGACCGGACCGCGGTAGAGCACGCCTTCAGGCCCTGTGGTCAGACCTCTGTGTCACCGGTTCTGTTCGATTTCCAGGTCGCACTTTTCGCTGGCTGTCTTACTGAAGGAACATCGTATCTACTCCGCCTGCCTCTCGCAGCCACGTTGTTCGTGGGGGTTAACGCGGGGTAGTGTCCTACATACGATATTTTTCAATCTCTCGACATCTCGTAATGCTTCAGCTGGAGAGAACAAAATGGCATCATAATCCGTGGTATTAATACCTCACGAGAGAAAAAACTTTGGCAAATTGGAGGCCTACCATTCACGATCGTAAGCGACCATACCGGATGATCGTATTAATGTGACTGGGCTGTGGGTGGGTCACAGCTCGTGGCTAGAACTTCGGAAATAAAAATAATGCAAGATGCATTCCTAGCGAGAGGCATGGCAAGGCCACCCAGACATATCTCCGACCAGTATCATGTCGCACTAATCCTGCAAGAAGGAAAAATGATGATTTCGGAAGACTTGGGAATGCAGTCAGCAAACGGCGGCGCAGCCTCATCCATGATGACAATAACTTTCCATATGATAATCGAACAATCAGCCGCCTGACACACCCCGGAGTAAATTACTTGCAGCGTGATATCAGCCCATGTTATCAGCCATGCCCGCCATCCCGCAATATGAAGGGGCCACAGTGCTTAATTTTAACCCAATTAAGGATGTGCAAAACGCCATGGATGGCACTCTGCGGCGATCTCAAAACGTCAAGGATCGGTTACATCTCGTGTCCAACATTGTCGATCGCAGGGTATCATCGTCTGGAGTGGATGATTACAAACATGGCTCGAGGAGGGAGAAAGGAACACACTAAAAAACCAAAAACAAAAAGTAGAAGAGTAGGCCGTCTCTGACTGGCTCATTCTGACGATTCAAGTCATGCTCAGCCTTGCCAGGTGGTCAATGATTTCGATCGTGACCATAGTCTCCTACAACCGCTAGTCCGACTGCTAGTCAATCTAGGGCTTGTCGCGCATTCTGATTGGAGCCACGAACGCCTTGGGGCCCAACTCGGGACAGTCGCCGATGCCTATCATGTGTTTGTACATTCGGCCGGACACACCTTGTCAGAGAGTTATATCGGTGTACTCTACTAGGAGTACCGGGGCTTGGGAAGTAAGAGTTTAGCAACAGCGTGGGTGGCTTGTGTGCGGGATTTGGGTCCTTTGACTTTCCCCCTTTCGTCTCATTTTCGTGCCCACCCATTGCACTTGATTTCTCTGGTGATGCGATACGTCTCGGGTTGGTTGGATCGTACTTCACCAAGGGAAAAAGGCAGCTATGGCGGGGACTAATCATGCATGGCAGAAAGTCTTTTGGACGCCTTGGAGAGATGGAGCCCGATCAAGGGGGTCTCAAGTGGCGGTCGCATGGCCATCAATGAACTTTGTCAACATAACCATTGATTTTGACTGTGATCTATCAGGAAAGTGAATGAGAGGAGAGAGAGAGCCCGGTCCGTTGTGAATGTGATGGCTAAGATGGGATGCACGGAAGTAAGCCAAACCTCTCCGAAGCCCTAAGTCTTCCATAACATCATCGACGGTGGAGATGATCGCCCGTACTATTTGTCTTTCCCTGTGGGGAATCATCTCGGCTTGTCAACTATCCACTGAGACACCATGCGGCGACTGGATGATTCTCCCAGTCCCATAACACAATGTTATAAGGTTTCTGATAATAAAATCCCGAGCCTCCAGACTCAAAAAGAAACAACACCCTTGCTTGACCGACTAGTCTGATCTGGCTGCACACTCTGCTTGGCATATCTCATCATTCTTTCTATTACCCCCCCTCTCTCACTCAGCCATCTCTCGCTTCTGATCGAGTCACCGTGTCGGCTGGGTGGGCTCACACCCTCCATGGCGCGGGTCATGGACCATCAATCAGTCGGCCCAACGGCTACAATGTCGTCAATGTCCAAATACTCCGTCACATAGTACCTTGCTGTGGATTAAGCACGCCGTGGGGCATGACACGTCACGTTGAACTATCGAATTAAGTTCTAAATTATGTAGAACAATGTTGTACCCACCAAGTCGAGGCTCTGAAGTGCCCACTACCTCCCAGTATCAGCCTCCCTTGCGGATGGTGAATGACCCCCTAACATCCAAACAACCTTGTCGTCTCCTAATATCCACTTTCTCCGTCATTGGCCCATGCGACAACAGATTCAGCGTCAGTTGCAATCCCACCCCACTGCATGCGGAGCTACTATCGTGTGACCTGTGTTGGGACAATGTGCATCTATCCAGGCGTACCTGGCTATGGCTGACAGGGACGGCACACATGGCATTGGACATTATATAAACTGCGGCGCTGCTCGTATCGAATGGACTCGAGAGCTGATTTCATCTCACTCCTTCCTTACCATCATCTGCCTCCTCCTCCCCCAATCACCCCATGGCTTCCGTCATAGTCATCTTCAGTCTTCTTTTCCTCTCACTGGCCAATGCCTTCTCCGACCCAGGTCCCTGCTCCGGCGACTGTTGGACTCACGATGTCGGACTGTTACAGCGCAAATCTGACGGCCGGTGGTTCCGCTTCGCAACCGGCAAAGGTATTCACATCTCCGTGGCTGACTCGATCGAGGGACCCTGGACGGTCAAAGGCGAGGCCCTCGCGGGTGGGTCATCGATCGACCACCCAGGCTCGAAGAACCTCTGGGTAAGACAATACAACACATCGCCCCCCACATATCCCACTGTACTCCTTCTGACAACAACAGGCCCCCGATGTCCACTTAGAAGGGGATACCTACTACATGTACTACTCCGTCTCGAAGCTGGGGACCAAGAACTCCGTCATCGGCGTGGCCAGCTCTCCCAACATGCAAGTCGGATCGTGGAAAGACCACGGTTCTACGGGGCTCACATCCAATGCTGACAAGCCCTACAATGCCATCGACGCCAACTGGATCCGCATCGGCAACACTCCTTTCCTCAATTTCGGCTCCCACTGGCATGACCTGTACCAGGTGCCCATGAAGGGACCCCTGAAGATCACCGACGCCACCCCTTACAACCTCGCGTATAACGCCACCGGCTCCCATCGTGAGGAAGCTGCCTTTGAGTTCCAGCACGATGGCTTCTATTATATGACCTTTTCGTCGGGAATCGGTCTCGGTTATGATGACAAGAAGCCACCTCCGGGTGAGGAATATAGTATTCGGGTGTGTCGCTCACCTGGGGGGAAGGGTAACTTTGTATGTCTCTTCTTTTCTTTCTTCTTTCTTCCCTCTTTCCCTCTTTCCCTCTTTCCCTCTTTCCCTCTTTCCCTCTTTCCCTCTTTCCCTCTTTCCCTCTTTCCCTCTTTCCCTCTTTCCCTCTTTCCCTCTTTCCCTCTTTCCCTCTTTCCCTCTTTCCCTCTTTCCCTCTTTCCCTCTTTCCCTCTTTCCCTCCTTCCTTCTTTCCCTCCTTCCCTCCTAAATCATACTAACCAACCAAGGTCGACCGCGCCGGTAAATCCTGCCTCAAAGGCGGCGGCACCACCCTTCTCGCCAGCCACGGCCACGTCTACGGACCAGGCGGCCAGTACGTCTCCCTCATCCTTTCCACCTACCTATCTTTATATATGAGTATGACCAAACTAACTCAAACAGGGGGGTTACGAACGACAAAAAACATGGCCTGATCCTCTACTACCAGTACGCGGACACTAACAAGGGTCTCAATCCCAGCCAATACCAGTTCGGGTGGAACAAGCTGAAGTGGGAGGATGGCTGGCCGATTGTGTAAACTGGTTTTACAGCCGGTATATACAGTTGAATTGTTTCTTCTCTTATTATTTTCATTTTTTTCATGGTGATTGAGTTATTGTTGAATACCCCTTGTTTGTGCAGTACTGCTGCTGCTGCTTGATTAGAGTGGTAGGGAGAGGGCTGGCTTGCATTGAGTATACTACCTTACTATATAGTATAGTATATACTACTGCTTTTCATACTTATCATGGTGTAGTATAGTAGCTGAGGTACTACATGGAAATTATTCAGGAAAGCGAAGACCAGGATGGGTTGCTTACATCTAAAAGAGTTATCTTTGTAGTGTGGTTTGCCATATGCTTATCTTATTCGCATTTGCAGCACTATAATGGAGAAGTCATTACTACCTCTATTCCAAATAACATATAAAACTAGTCTATCCGCATACATCTTCCAACTGCCATGTCAATGCAACACCAAATAACAGCAACAGCTCCCGCAATAATGGGCACCACCCAGTGAACGGTTGGCACATCAGTAGCCGCAAATCACGCCAGTCCGACTACGATAGCGACTCCGCCGGCGATTACGGCAGGGAGGCGACACTCAGGCGGGGCTGTGCTATAGTTTGCGCGGTAGATGCGGACGTAGCGGGTGTTGTCCCAGCAGATGATCAAGATGCCGACAAACAGGCCGACTAGGACCCCCGTGAAGCCGATTCCGCCGATGCCGGCGCTCCAGCCGCGGTTTTCCCGTAAGACGATGGGGAAGGCGGCGAAGCAGAGGTAGAAGGTTCCGTATATGGCGGACATGTAGAGCTAGGAGACAAGAAGCACGGAACTAAGCGAAAGAACAGAAGAAAGCAGCCCTCGAATGGCACGTAAGAAGAGAAGAAGACCAAGATCTACTCAATAGCATGCTCCTCCCTCGCCTGACAAAGAAACAAATCCCCATAACTCACACTCCCCAAGAAAGGATACGCATCCTGCGCACGAAAAAAGAACTTCTCCAGCGAGCGACACATAGCATCCAACCCCTCACCCTCATCATCCCGATCATCAAGATACACAAACAGCAGACCCCTTGTCGCCCAGTCCACATCGGTGACGACGATAAACGCCGAGGGATACCAGTGCAGGTCGCCCTCGACGTCGGGGTTATCGTCACGCGGGGTGATGTCCTTGTCGAGGGCGACGTGGGCGTCGAGGACGGCACGGCGGGGTTGCCCCGTGAAGTTGTACCGGTCCGGCAAGCGGACGAGTGGTGGGACATCTGTACTGGTGATCCACTCGCTGTTGAGGAGGGTGTAGAGGGCGAAGGCGGCGTTGTCCATGCTGTAGTTTTCGAAGGCGCCCATGGGAGGACAGGTTACGGGGAGGGAAAGATCGGGGGACATCTTGAATAGTATGCTTGGTTGGTTGTGGATTGGTTGATTTGTTGAGGATGGATGATCAAGATGGGGTTGAGACAGAGTAGGAGGAGTAGGGATGAGAGATGGATGTCTGACAGCCAAGACGTCATGGTGGAACAAGCTTCATTCACTCATCTTACATCTCAGGACACTATGCTTTATCTCGGCATTTCTCATTCATCTGTTTCCACTCATGTATAGTAAGCCAACATTCTACACCATACTAAGCACTACTATACGTCGATATCATTCAGACTCCACGAACCCAGCGATATATAATCTTGGAATCAGTCATATCAAGCCCTACCAGATACTGTTTCCACAATCTGGTACAGTGGCTGTCATATCCCACCTAGAGAGCCACCAGTCGTATTTGCTCCGACGTTCCTGGTCCCTGTCACCGTTATCAGGTCAGACCCACGGTCAGCTGAAGCCATCCATCTCGTATCGGTCGATCGGCTACTAATGCTACCGACAGGCCATGGCACTGTCCGCGATGCAGCAGCTCCAGGGGACTCAGCAGCCTGAGCAGGACGGGGGACACGAGCATGGCTCAGATCGAATCTTTCGAGTGGTAGAGAATTGGAAGAAGAGATATAAGATGCGCGGGGACAGCCAAAGCGAGATCGATATCACATCCACAAGCAATTGCACTCAAGACATACGAAAATGCATCTCCTCAGCTGGCTCAGCTACTTCGCCCTTCTATCCATGGGATCTACCATCCCGGAGGCAACAGACTCTACCTCCACGGCAGCGCGAGTGGTCCTCACCTTTGACTGCTCAGATGGCCAAGTCGGCGGTACGACTTCTTCCCCTGCAATTAGAACCAAAAACGTAGACTAACCATATCAGAGGTCTGCAAGAATATGTGTTATGGTATGCCCCCTAACGCTCGAATTGAACCAACACCACCAATCTAACGAAGCAGCCGTCAACTGCAAGCGCAAAGCCAAAAAACCTAACTTGGGATAAGCCCAATACCAGCAAACAGCGCGAACGGAGCTCCAAAGCCGGGTGCAGATCCAACAACGGGTGCAGCAAATCGCCCTACGGGTCGGGCTATCAGTGTGACGAGTTTCCGTTCAAGTCGGTGCGCGAGGCGGACCGGGGAGGACAGTTAAATCGGTGTGTGCTTGCGCGATATAATCGACGTCGGTTCCCCCTTTGTTCACTACAACTGCACTGCTATAAATGAGAATGCTAAGGAAAACAGGCCAAGGCCAATACCTCCGCGACTACTACAACTCCTACGGCGAATTTCGCAACAAAGGGTGCGACAAGAAAAGCCCCTGTCGGTACACCATCGGGTTCAAGAACGAGAAGCGACTGGAGTACTGCAAGGCGCGTCCTCATTGTCGTAACGACGGTAACGAGCACACTAAGAGCGGGCCGGCCACGGTCGACGGCAACGATACGGGTGTGGACGGGCCTGCTGGGGGTTATCATCGGGTGGCATCTGGGGATGTCATCTATGTTCCTGGTGGGGCGGCTGTGGGGGATGTGGTGCTTCAGGCGACGTTTTCCAATGCGACTGTGCCTGTTGCAGAGGAGTTTGGAGAGGAAGTGGACGATGAAGAGTATGTGGTTTTGGAGGACCGAGTTGTGGAGGAGGTAAAGGGGGATGGTCAGGGTGTTTGATTGGAACTGACTGTGGATTGAGTAGTTCAAATCCCCGACTGATTCTCTTGTGGTTATATGCAACATATACTGCAGGGCATGGTGGCAGAGGATAGGATACTTGGTGTCAAATGACTCCTTCGTTAAATGGATACCTTCTGACATCTAACCTAATATACTCACACTAAAAAGTCACAGAGAAAACACGAATGGATGATATTAACATGGTATAGAGATTCAACTCATTATCATTCTATTAACATTACGTATAATATAGTACAGTACAGTATACCTAATATAGCATACTCAACCCCAGCAATCCCAGCATATAAACACCCCCAGAAAAAAAACAACAAGAATAAAAAGGTCTATATTAGAATCCCCCCAGACAGACACAATGCCTCACTTCATTCCCGCCTCCCTCCCCGTCCTCTGGAGGCACCTCCAGTCGACACCGTCCGGGCCAGAAAGGATGCTGGCCACCGCAGTAGGGATTAGAGCATTTCCAGGGTGGAGAATTGAGACTGAAAATTAGTACTTTCTTCTTTTTTATATCTATCTATTACGAAGGTAGAGATTAGAGGAAGGAACTCACTCTTCCGGACAGAAACTAGCAGCGGAGATGAGGTGCTTGCTGTTGCGGATAGAGAGGGAGGTTTGTCTTTGGAGAGTTGTTGTCTGGATGGAGAAGGCTGTAGTGATCATCACGAAGATAAGAAGCCAAGACATCTCAGGTGTGATCGTAGCTAGATAGCTAGAGGTATATAGGTATGAGGTAGTAGATCAGGATGAGGTGAGAAGAGAGAAGGTTCAGCCGGAGCGGCCGGGAGATCGCGATGTAACCTTTTCTCTATCCCGCCGGGCATCTCATCTCGGTACTTCTTGGTATTGCTTTCTTCTAGTTTTCATGTTCACAAGTATTCTCTATAAGAAAGCGATTCTGTCTATGTGACTCCATTGCATTCGTACTGATTGAGTAGAGTATGTAGGTAGTCGACCATTCATAGCCAAAATCTACGAGCATCTTAGGCTTGAGGCCTGCCCTTTTGGTTCTTGTAGTTGCGCGACACCACATTAAGAAGATCACAATTTCTTGAAGTGAGCCCTGTGATGGGGAAGCTAGAAGACATGTGTGAAGGAATAGAGAAAAAGAAAAAAAAAAAAAAAAAAAACAATCAAGTTATAGAAGATAATCCAGTACGAGATCACGTATCTTGGTTATTATATCCTTACCGCCAGGCCAAACGCTAACCAGGGTTTGGTATGGGCCTTAACCTGACAGATATCTCCAGCATTATATACAGGAGATAAAGAAAGAAACTGTGTATAGCGAGGTTGAAGAGAAAGTCCAAAAATAAGGTGAAAAGTTAGTAGGTTATATGTATATCTTGATTACCATGCTTATTCTTCTCTAGCGAGTGAGGTCTCTGGGTAACTTTAATATTATTCTTAGCCACTGCACCCAAAGAATATAATGACAGTTTGGGAGAGCTTGACCTAACTGATATCCCCAACTGTTCTTGTGAGCAAGGGGTTACTGCGGTATGCACAAACCAAAATACTTAAACGCGTCTTTCCCCCAGGTCTTCCACGCCGAATCCCTGCCACCCACTCCTGTCAACCTCACCACTGGAAGCGAATTCCACGCAACTTACCACATGCTAGATATATATCGACTGTTTGCGCTGGGCGCGCTGGTAACTCTGGGAGTTTTCCTGAGTCGAAGGCAGAAGCGCGATCCCCGCGAGCCTCCTGCAGTGGGCAGCAGTATCCCGATTATCGGCCATCTGCTGGGACTGCTGTGGTATGGCACGGAATACTTCAGCCTCATGGCGTGAGTTCTTTTTTTTCGTGCTTTATATCATTCCGGAGTCTAACCCTTTTAGTGAAAAATATAACTATCCGATATTCTCGTTAAGTACGGTGGTTGGCAAATTTTATGTGGTGACGTCGCCCGCCCTGCTCCAGGCGGTCCAGCGCAATAAGTCTCTTACGTTCGATCTGTCTATCGCAATGTCCGCAGAGCGCATCGTGGGCATTCGCGGGCGAGGGGTCGAAATACTGCGTGGGAAGCAGTCAGGAGGCCAGGGACTAACCCACGTGGTGACTCATGCAACCAATTCGACGCTGTCCGGTCGACCGCTAGATCGCATGAATGAGCGTATGACACGGCTGCTGAGGCCGCTGGTTGACGAGCTTGCTACATATAAGACAGTCGACTTGTACTCCTGGTGCTCCCATGCGATCACAATGGCTAGCACAGAGGCCTCCTACGGGCCATTAAACCCATATAAGAGACGAGAGATCGAGGATGCGTTCTGGTAGGTTTCCATTACTGGTAGGTAGAGTCGGTTCTAAGTACTTTAGGGCATTCGAATCGAACCTGAGCCCGTTGATGGCGAATATTGTGCCCCAGTTGACTGCACGAAAGGCGTGGAAAGGGCGTGAGTCTATGGTTAAGGCGTTTGTGAAGTACTATCGGCTGGGAGGCTATAAAGACGGATCTGAGATGACGCGTATCCGGTATAAGACCTTGCGAGAAGGTGGGCTGACGATCGAGGATATCGCGCGCTCCGAAGTGATAATGGGTATCGCTCTACTTACCAACACGGTTCCTGCCACCTTCTGGCTCCTTTTTGAGCTCTGTTCCCGGCCCGAACTGCTGGAGGAGACTCGCCAGGAAGTCGCGCAGAATGCGCTACGCGTAACCGATGACAACGTGCATGTTATTGATATCTCGGCGCTGCGTGATAACTGTCCACTCCTAGTCTCCGCTTTCCAAGAGGTTCTGCGCATAAAAAGCACAAGTTCGCCGATCCGCTTCGTCATGGACGATCTTGTTCTTGCCAATGGATACTTGCTCCGAAGCGGAAGCGTGATTAGCATGCCGGGGCCATCTATAGGCCGGGACCCGGACGCATGGGGAGCTACAGCAGGAGACTTCAACCCGAAGAGATTCCTCAAGACGAGCAAAAACCCCCGTCGCCCGGGTGGACTCATGACCTTTGGCGTGTCGCCTGTTCTGTGCCCGGGCCGGCATTTTGCCAGCTCGGAAATTCTGGGAATGGTCGCTATGATGATCCTGCGGTACGATCTGGTCCCCGTGGATGGGAAATGGGACTCTCCGCCGGGTAACTCTTTGGCAATTACGTCTACCATGAGGCCGCTTAAGAGTGGTTTCGCTGTGAGAGTGTCTTCACGGAAGGAGTTTGAAGGTGCGACATGGGACTGCGAGGCGCAAGAGGGTAATGGGATGTTTAACCTGATGGTTGGATAGAGATATTCAATGAGGGCTTTGCTATAATTATAGATTTGCTAATTCGAGAAATCTGTTTAGCTCTCTTCTCCATAGGAAGGATACTATCTTTGCTATCATTGACTCGTGCAGCATCGGAACCATCGAGGCTGAAGCCCTCGTACGTAAAGCTCTTCCACAAGATCGAAGGGTCGTCTTTCCTGTAAACTGTTCTCTATAACAGCAAACGTGTAAGATGAAAGAAAATCTTTGCCTGGGAGAAGTATAGAGTGAAATGGGGCGCAAGTCTCTGAAATAGTCAAACTGGAAACGGGATTCCTCCTTCGCACGAGGCAGTTGTGAATCATTCAAGGGATATTTCATAACACCTTGGAGGTCGAAGAAAGCAATTAGTTTCTGTATAGAGGCGCCGTTCAGTATATCTAACGCTGCAGCAGGAATATGTGGTATTCAACGAGTATGCTCTTGCTTTGGGAAGGCCTGTGCAATGAGGATGTGACTGACCCCTTTCAAGGTGACTGTATGGATACTTATACAACAAATATAAGATCTTATCTGTTCGAAACGCTTATTGAACCCCTAAATGAAGAAGGCTAGGGGCTGTTGGATGCTACACTCTTGCCGATTCTATGGCTCACAGTTCAGTCGCGGTCTTCAATCCAGCTTGTGTTATACTACGAATGCTACCTTTTAAAAGAGCGACCTTGATCAGACAAGACAGGAAAAGGCCCTTGGCTGTCAGCTGTCAAACTACGGTGCTAATATCATGACTCTTTTCCCGTGCGAAGATTCACGAGCAAAACCCATTTAGTATTTGCGCAAGGACAGATACAGGACAACTATGTGAATCTACAGGCACCCTGATACAGATATAGAAAGGGGCTTGGTGCGGATATCACCGAAAGCAAAGATTCCTATCCCATCATCCATAGTGTTCGCACGGCTGATCTACATCATCCGACAACAGACAGTCTTTTGATGTACACGATGGGACCCACTTTCTCCTAAGCATACCACACCCCGGCTGAAGCCACCGGCGCTCCATCAAGTCCGTCAGGTCTCGCGGCAATAGCGGGAGAGGAGACGGTGTCGTCTCCACATCAGCACAACAGCTGCTCCACAAGGCCCACTGACAAGGGACCAGCCTGCTGACTGGAGAACAAGCGTTCCTCCGCTCCCACGTACCGAAGCATGTGAAGTAGCACGTAGCCAAAGCGTCACCGACCAGATCAGGGTAGCCGCCGCTGCGATGGAGTAATCCCACTGAAGGAACCACAACACGCCCTCGCCGATTGACGACGGTTTTTCGTGAGACCATGGCAGGTGGGGGAGCAGGAGACTCGGTAGGGAAGAAGAATTTTCGGTCCCTGTGAAGCTGACAAGCGACGACATGCATAGGATCCAATGGCTGGTGATTGCGCATGCAAACGCAAACGCATGGAGTGTCTGGCCCGTATCTTGGATTGTCGCCTGTTTCTTTTCCCCTGAACCCTGTAGGGTCGCTGGCTTGCGGATAGAGAACAGCGTCAGCGTGAGGGCGGTTGTCCATATCGGCCAGCCCTGCCACAAGGCAATGAGCATCTGGCTCTGGTCGAATGAAATCACGGTAGGATAGAGAAAAGCGGCGCCCAGAATCGGCGCAAGGAAGCCCAAGAGCAGCGCTGCTGGGAAATGATTTAGGAACGCCAGGTGCTGCCCCTTTGCAGCTATCCCACATCCGGCCCGAGGGGGACTGTGGAAGAGGTCCCAGCCCAACAGAAGTGGCATTATGACTCCTGGTCCAGCTACCTGTACAGCAATACCCTGCAAAGTGGTCCTACATAGCATCAAACCAGCGGTCAGAGACGTACATCGCAAGGCCTAGATTTCTGGGGAACACTGTACCTACCGCATAAGTACCGAGACTGGGCTGTATCGGTGGGCGTTTTCGAGAGTCCAAAGAACCCATGCTCCTGCCATCCCGCCCGCAAAGGCACACCCGTAGGCTGAAATTCCTGGTGGGTCGACTCCGCGAGTCACAGGCCAGAAGAAGATAACGGTGCTGCGGAGGAAGACGTCAAGCAAGGGGATTTTGGTATATTGGGTGACGAGCGGGACATGTGCCTTTCCTGGTAGAACTCTGGTAGCGGCAGCGAGCTCTAGGCTGGCTATCAGTCCATTCTGAAAGGCAAAATAGTACATTGAATAGGTCCCTAAAACTGAGAGGCCTAGGAAAAGGTAGTGCAGAGACCGCATGCTGGATGAATGTCGTTTTGATGGCGGAATAGGCGGATGTAGTTGAAGGTAAACGGTGATTCCATAGTATATGAGTCTCCAGGGCGCAGTAGCTAATACGTACGGAGTAGTTGATAGGAGAATAACATGCGTTTACTCCCTTGCTTGACAGTGTTTGGCCTCAAGACATAAAGACAGTCTCTGATTACATTCAAGGGCATGTGGAGCCGCCCATCGTATTACTGTAGCCCTTGCAGGCGAACCCATCATTTTTCATACGCTCGCAGGCGGGGGGAGTCCCGTCTTTGGACTTTAGACCGAACAAGACACCAATTACTTGATATGAAGAAAAGTATGCGTTAGTACCGATTGTTCTACTATCATGGCGGCTCTAGGATTCCATGCGATTCGCTGCCCTAGCAACCATATCCAGTCCTCTACCAAGAGAAGCCAGTTACTTGCTTCGTTCACTGTAATTGAACCGTCTTCTACGCCGTCACTTTCGTGAAAACCATCTCGTACGGAGGAACATGCGTCGTGAAGCAATCCTGCACGCCATGTCCGCCCAATGACGCGAGGGACAGGGTTTTCGTGTCGTATCCGGGAGCAAATGTAAAGTCGAACCGACCAACGAGGGTGGCAAGTAGCATGCGCATCTCCATTAGAGCGATGGACTTGCCAGCACAGGCATACGGTCCCGTCGAGAAAGGGTTGAATGCTTCGCGACGCAAGACCAGTTCCGGCCGAGTGGACCACCTCTCGGGGATGAAATTATCTGGGAGTGTGAAGTTGCGAGGATCTAGATGAAGAACGATTGAGAGCGTCCAGTTGGTTAGCACGGCGTGCTTGATACCAAAAAAAGCATGACAGAGACAGAGAAGCTCACCCCGATGTAGCGTGTAAGTTGGTGTCGATACCAGCGTGTCGGGTGGGATGGATCGCCCTGCAATCACCGTGCCGTTAGGCCCTGTCTGTCGCTGGGTGCCGCTCATAACGGCGGGGTAGAGACGCAGTCCCTCATTGATGCACCCGTTCAGGTACGGGAGGGCAGCCAGGGAGCTGTGGCTCGCGGGTGTTGGGACAGTCGATCGAAGAGCAACAATCTCCTCTCGCAATCGCGTCAGACATTCCCGATTCTGGGCTAGCAGGAACAGAATTGCGCTGGTTGTTGCTGCCGTGGTGTCGCTTCCGGCCACGATGGCCAATTCAGAGTCGTATATTAGGTCTTGGTCGGTAGGTCCTGTTGATGCATCACCGGTGCTTTTAGATTCACCTACGGACTGCTGTATGAGAAAATGGAACAGGTCCATGTTGGCCAGTCCCCTCTGTTCACGTTCATCAGCTAGAGCTTAAAGCTCTCTGTATGGAAAGAGACATACCTGTCTGCGCTCTTCCACCTGCTCCCCGCACCAGTCGATCCATTCTCGGGCCTTATGACGAATGAGGGGCAATTTACGGAGCATTATCAAGGTCCATGGTGCACAATGTAGCAGACCACCGAGCTTTTTCACCTTTTCCAGCTGTTCCATCCTCGGGTGATAGGCACTGGCCTTGAGCATGTCGAAGGACTTGCCAAAGACCAGCCGCCCCATCGTGTCGAACGCGAACCAGTTGATCCAGGTCGTAACCTCAACTGGCTCTGAATGGCGGATACCAAGTTGCCGGGCGAGTTCCTCACAGTGCTCTTGGATAAAAGGTTCGTATTCGACCTGTGCTGCGGTGGTAAAAGCAGAGTCAATGCACGAGAACAGAACGACGGCAGGTACAGACGGAACCAAGAGCGTAAAGTCTTCTTACTTACCTTTGGTTCCGAGTCCTCGATCCCATAATCGCCGCCGGTTCGAGTGAAAGCGCTTGTCCCGGGCCATCTGCAGAGACCGATGGGGGTAGTTGAGGTCGTAAAACGGGCCTTTGCTGCATTGAGTCGAGGCCGAATGAATGTCTTTGATGGCAGAAGGGTCATTGATGGAGATCTCGCGTGGTTCTAGGCAGTGGCAGACCCTATTAGCCTCTGCGAAACCCCTACGAGACTGCGGGAAGCATACTGATGCGGACGAAATCGCCATATGTCTCGTGGAGGCTTTGTACTCGTGTGTGCCATTGTAGCTCCACGGCAGAACATTTGAATGACCAAAATGCAGTCACTCTTGCGGCAACTGGCCCAGGGAATTGGCACAACCGATGAAGCACGGTCCGGTAGACAGCAATGGAGAGTAGTAGCCCCCCGGTATATGATGCCCAAAGAACCAGCCATAGACGCCGTACAGGAGCTGAATCAACTGACACAGTAAGGAATACGGTTAGAGCTAGCGGGCAGGCAATGAAAAGATACAGAAGGGTTAGCGCATGTCGGTCCCATTCGCCATGGATGAAGTAGCGCTGGTGGCTAAGGACACCGAGGATGGCGGCACCCGTTGCAATGGTGGGCAGTGAGGATTCCATTTGCTCGAGACTGGACGAGCTCTGGAATACAGAAGAACTGGATTCCAGCCAACCGGGCAGACTGTTTGCCACACAAATAGTGCTCCAGATAGCAGAACTCTGACCGACTACCTACGGTAGATATGGAATGCAAGTCACAGTACAATCGCCTTGCCGGTGACGCAAGGGTTCTCACGCAGTGTTCCAATACATGCTGGTAATTATACTGTCTGGCACCGGTATCCAAGCCCTCTGATTTTCCTAATATCCCTTGCAGATACCACAGCCCGGACTTTATGGCGCGGCCTTAGACACTGAAAGATTGTACTCGCCGAGTCCAGAATGTAGGCTGATTTGCAGATTCCGAAATCTCAGGGAGTCCAATGCACCCCAGTGCTGTAGAGCTTCTGTTGCTACGGAGAGATGAGCATTATGAAACAGGAACCATCGAATACAGGAACTAAGTCACAGCAACAGATCAGACCACCACATCCCCTCTCTTCCCAGCCTGCCGAGGCTTCAATACAACCAAACCGCTCATATCTGGGAACAGAATCTTCTTAAAGAACCAATTGCCCGGCCTGGGCCCATGATCCTTGGTAGATATGTGATAGTTTCTTAGAATATGCGCAAGCATGAGTCGGATTTCGTCTGCAGCCATATGCCTGCCGGGGCTGACCGCGCGAAGGGAGATATTAGCATATTTGACCCCAATAGACAGCAACGGGGTAGGGCTAGCTCACCAGGTATGTCTTGCATCCCCAAACTGGAGATACCTGGGGTTAGTCGAGACGAACTTGTGATCCGCAGGCTTCCCGGTTTCCAGGCCGAGTTTGTAAAAGCGATATCCGTCGAACTCGCTCGCATTGGGATAGTACCGCTCGTCAAACAGCACAGGAGCATTCGGTGAGAATACAAACGTCCCTTGTGGTATTTTCAAACCGTTTTTAAATTCGAAGTCTCGGGTCGCGCGTCTGGCGAGCGAGCCTGCCAGGGTGGTCAATAGAAAGCCCGCCGTGAACAACAAGGTGGGTAGTTCTCACCAGAGTCGAGAGGGTTAAACCGCTGGCACTCCTTCACGAAGCTATCGAGCTTGGGCATTGACTCGATCGCGCTTTTTGTCCAGCCATTGTGCGACTCGAATGCTTGTTCAACCTCCTGTCGCAGAGGATCAACGTATTCCGATCGTACGGCGAGCTCGAAGAGGCAATGAGCGAGAACCTGGGGGTAGAGACATGCTTAACACGCCTGCCGCTATCGTCATTACTATTGGGCGGACTACAGCCTACCTGAGTTGTCGTATGAATGGCACCGAAGACAGACGACGTGATGGAGCGGGCAATGTGGACTCTTTGATACACGCCCGGCTCATTCTTCTCCGTATACTGCCATGTCCAATCCATGATGTCCTGTGCTGCAGTCAGTGAAACCTGTTGTAGCCGCATGGTATGGAAGCCCTTCTTAGCATACACCTGGCTCCTTTGGAGGGTCCGCGGCTCTTCGTTCCATCTCGTCCAGAAACATCTGGTCCAATCGGCTTGCCATCTTGGGGGCCTGGCAGAATCGGGCGACGAAACTAGAATACCACATTAGTCCCCGATCATCTTCGCTGCTGTGTGGCCCTTTCTGGGCTGTGGAGATGGCAGTACGGCTTCATAAACTCGGGAAACATGGAGATAAAGAACCCGCTAATGGGCACTGCGTTCCCGTACGCCGCAAAGAGGTCGATGAGCTCAGGATCGCGACAGAGCGGATATCCGACGAGCGATTTCGCGGTAAGATGCGCCACAATCCGTGTGCCGATCTCGTAGCAGCACAGCTCGTTCCATCCTACATGGAAAGTGTTAATCGTAGGCAGAGGTGCAGAGTAGTGGTTTCATTGCCGCGACCTACCGTCCCCCGTTATATTGGTTTCGACTTCCCATGCATGAAAAAATTCCGTGACGAATTGTTGGAAGTATGGGTCGTCCTTGGCGAGTGATCGACCCCGTTGCCACGTCAAGCCCTTGTGAAGCAATGGAATAGGAATTTTATGGACGTTTTCTGCTGCACCTGGAAGAGTCCATGCTGTCTGGAAGAGCTGTGATTGATCATTAGACATTTAGGGTTTTTCGTTCAGCGCCTCTCGCACGCTTACGTCGGCAGTTACTGCGTTGGCAGAGAAGTCCTCGTCCATCAGATTCTTGTATTCCTTGACCATCTGGTCATTGCAGATCCAAACCTCCCAGCGGCTGGGCGTGGCAACCTGAAATGCGTAGTCCCGATGCTTTTCGAGTGAATGGCGTTAGTATCTTGTTCGCCAGTGAATGGTTTGATGTCTCGAGTATAGTATACCTTTTCGTAGCCCTCCTGGATGAGATGCCGGGCGTTTCTTTCCCACTTATACGCAGCGATCCATGCACCGATAGCCCCATGGTCCCCAACGACTGGGACGTCTACCTTATGGGAGTTAGACCCGGTCAAGGGACATGGGACTGGAAGATTGGCATACCCAGGAAGCATAGTATCGACAGAGTCTCTGTACTGCCCAACCGATGGACAGAGCCCCTATGACGAGCAACACCACCGAAAACTGAGAGTTTCCAGCATATAGTAAGTCGTTGAAGGCTGCAGACATGGTGGCCATAGGTCCCTCATCCAAATTTCCTACAGGGAATAATGCGATATTGCCTGGAGATATCGATATGGATCATTTAGGCTCGAATGACAGTACCGGTTGAGAAGACTACCTGTGGCGTCTATTCAGAAAGCTGATATCTCATCACAGCCCTCCCTTTGTGACGCCAGGGGTATCAATTAGGGCAGTAGTTGCAGAGCGCATCCAGTTGCATACCTACGGAGCTGCTTCCGAAGCTGACATAGCAATGCAGCCACCGGCATGCAGTCAAAATATCTCAGCCGACGTGTCAAATGGAGCAAGGAGCTTACATTGAGACAGACCGACATTGAGCCTGTCTTGATCTTGAGAGAAAGGGTCCCTTGTCCACCCCTTAAATCGGCCTCCCAAAGGACCCCGAACCGTTCGACATGAGCCGCAAGAGACCGCTACATCACTCGCCAGACTTCTCTGGTTATCAGCACACACCTGGTCCGGTTTGGCTCTTCTGTTTTCTTGGATAAATCTCTCACCATGGATAGCTTTATCCAGTCGATCAGTCGACCGGAGGTTGGCTGGTTGTGTTTGGGTGTATTGGCCCTGGGCTATTGTATGTTGCCGAGACCGACATACCGGACCAAGGTTGCTGTTCCCACCGTCAAGTTTGGCTCTCCCTGGCTACCATCACTTTTGAGCCGGCTCGAATTTAATTCCAACGCTGTCAAAGTGATCTATGGCGGCTATCGCCAGGTGAGAGACGTTTTGGCTCAGAGACTTGTCGAAATTTGCGGCTAATAAACCATCAGTATAAAAGCCGCGCCTACAAAATACTCAAGCCAGATGGAGACCTGGTAGTGTTATCGACCAGATATGCCGAAGAACTACGCCAACTGCCCTCGAGCTCCTTGAATGCTCTCGAGGCAACCTTTACGGTACGGTATTCTCCCATTTCCAACGCAAAACCGATCAGCGCTCATCTGGCGCGGATTTAGGATCATGTCGGAGACTACACGACAATCCTCACCGACAGTTATCTGCACACAGAAACTATCCAGAAGCGGCTGACTCCTGCCATTGGTGAGTGGTCAAACGAGCATTCTCTACCGCGATGCTAATTCAGGGTCCAGGCAGACTGATCCCGCGCATTATATCGGAGCTGGATCATGCGTTCGACGTAGAGCTCCCTCCGTGTGAAGGTAAGCAAATGTATCCATGGCGTGCCCCAACGACGGCCCTCTGACCGTGCATCCGGTTCCAGGAACATTCGTTGCCATCAATCCGTATGAAATCTTCCTTCGGTTGATTGCCCGTGTCAGTTCGCGAGTGTTCATCGGCGACGAACTGTGTCGGGACGAAAAGTGGCTGCAAGCCTCGATCGACTACACCAAAGACATCTTCATGACCATTGCACTCCTCCGACCAGTGCCTGGCTTTCTTCAACCCTTCGTGGGGCGTCTACTGCCTTGCAGCCGACGTCTGGACCGGCAACTGGCCTATGTCAAAAAGGAACTATTAGGACCGGTGATTGAGTGGCGCAGACAACGCGAAGCTTCCGGGGGCGAGGAATATGAGAAACCCGACGATTTCTTGCAGTGGATGATGGATTTGGCAAAAGACGACAATGAAGGTCACCCGCATAACATCGCGCACAGACTCCTTGGGATCACAAGTATGGCGGTGGTGCATACGAGCGCGATGACTCTAACACACGCCATGTACGATCTGATAGTCATGCCAGAATGGCAGGAACCACTCCGTGACGAAATCCGCACTGCGAATCCCAACTGGCGGGAGACCACACAGGCAGAAGTCCTAGCCCTGAGATGCATGGATAGCTTCCTCAAGGAATCACAGAGACACAACCCGCCTGGAGAATGTACGTCCCAGTGGCTCACTGCCTGTCTTGAACACTACAAAATCTAACCACTGCTAGTATCCTTCCACCGAGTCGTGAAGCACGACCTGAGTCTAACAGACGGTCTCTTCTTGCCCAAGGGTACACACATCTGCATGGCCGCCGGGCCCATCTCCCACGATCCCGAGATCGTCGCCGATCCAGACACATTCGACGCCTTCCGCTACGCGAAGGAGAAAAAAGCGACGTCGTCTCTCGTCAGCACGGGGCCTACTCATATGCATTTTGGCCTCGGTCGGTATGCATGCCCCGGCCGCTTCTTCGCCACCCATGTTATGAAAGTGATTTTGAGTCGGTTCCTCGTCGACTACGAGTTTCACTTCGAGGCTGGCCAGAGGGGACGACCTCAGAACGTGGTGATCGGTGACAAGATCATCCCGAATCTGACCACGCCGATCTTGATCAAGAAACGAGCTGCGGGCTTCTGAGGGCTACACAGCGCACGGAGACAGTCCTTGTAATCTACGCTGTTGGCTTTCCGACGGTCTTTGGTGGTAGACACAACTGCTCCTGGCTTCACTGTCACATTTGGGCGTGTCTTATATAGCTCTAGGTAGGCTTGGATTCGAGCCGCTAGAAGCAAACGAAGATAATGTTGAAAGTAGTCACCTAAGTTAGGCTAATAGCATAGTACTGTTCTCTCGGCTACTGTAGAAAGCTATGACACGTCCCAGAAACCCAGATCCTCATTCGTTCGTGGAAGTAAACGCAGAGATGGTAGGTAATATTTGCATATTGCTCGACGGTCGATGTATGTCTTATTGTCTCGGGTGAATGGCGCGAGGGGCTAGTTGTCGATGCTCGACTGAGTGACAGTGCCAATCTCATGCACGCTCCTTGCGTTACAGCAACTTCCTCAAGGCTAGGGTGGCCTACACAGGTAGCCCAATCGGCCCTAGGGTGCAGAGACCGCGTTCTTTGAATGTCATAATTCATAGCCACACCTTACCGCAAGTGACATGCAAGGATTCTGACTTCCTTTGTTGCAGATCTGTAAACGAAACAGTGGTGTTTCCATAGCCATATTCAAACGCACAATGTGGACTGATATGGTAGCAGACCTAGAATAAGCCGAATCCTTCTCGTACCGGGCCCAGGGTTAAGAAAAAAGATCAACAATGAGAAAGTGCAAATCCAAAATTGGCATTTTTGGAGGAGGGTGGGGGGGTTGGTGTCTATTGCACGTTTAACGCTCGCTCATTGTCTTTGGCGAGTCTACTGAGTAGCATTCCGCTAAGTTTGGACTGTAATTAAGACTTAAGTCAACTTGAGTATCGACCCAAATAGGATGGATATGGTATCTATACCACTGATCGTAGTGGGTGTAGTGGCTGCCCCCGGTAGGGAATATCAATATCAGCGTCACCAGCCTACATCATCTCGACTACGAGGCAGTATGTGAAGCAAGCATATTTTCTGCTGTTCAGCACTACGACCTGGACAACAGTCCTCCTAGCCAGGCTCGGTTATACACGAGTTAAAACACAACCTATCTCCAATCAGGACTATGTACACCGCATATCCAGCCTTCCTCTTGGTCAACGGCGTACACCTCCTTGCGGAATGCATCAAACTTGCTGTGCTGTGCTTCTCAAGCCACCCACTTCTTAACAACTGAACAACTAATACCAGCGGTCTAAATGCAAGGGAGTTGATTATCCATCTCTACGGCATAATACACATCCATTCTAGTCACACCCCAACACGATATTAAATCCCGACCGAGCATGTTGGACATTATATCCCTTGTCTGGGCACATCTCTTATGATAAAGAATTCTGTCCTTAATCTCCCCCACTCCAACTGTCGAGACCTCCAGGTTCAAGCAGGTTTTGATCCAGACAGTTCCAGAATGACTATCAAAACTCCCTTTGAGGCTTACGGCCTACCAAGCCTCGACCATACGGTCCCTCCCTGCTATATACGGATTGCCCTAGTCTTTCCCGTGCCCAAGGTCTCTTCAGGAGTAGAGTACCTGCAAAGAGGCGCTGCCCTCTTAGCATCTGAGTTCCCATTTGTTACCGGCTATGTCACACCTGTCCGGGACCCCAACGCCAGAAAGGGTGCTTTACAGATTGAGCCGATCGCCAGTTCTGACGATGACCATGCGAGTATACTCAACGTGAAGCACCACTCTGCTTCTTGTCACTCGCAATCAACCGTCGCTGAAGAGCAATACCTGCCTCTTCCGTTTGCTCCCCATCCGCATAAGCCGGCCGCAATCTTCCGTCTCCAGGCAAACGCGATGTCAGACGGGGTCATTCTGGGTGCTGTCTTTAACCACCAAGCTATAGATGGTACTGGGGCGGGAGCGCTACTACGCGACTTCGCAAGATGCTGCATGCTCGCGGCAGAAGGAACCGCCCCAAGCGCTGGGACATTTGAGATGGACCATGAGTTACAAATGGCCGGACGAGCGCTTTTAAGCTCAAAGGGCTTGGGTGCATCTCTTCCGCGTCCCAACATAGACCACAGCGCGGAGTTTCCGGTGGTGGCACCGCTGCCTGCGGACTGGGAGACCATTACCTCTGCTCTAGAGCAAGCCGCAGAGTCGCTGAGATTTCAGCGGTTTCTCCTCCCAGCCAAAGGCATAGAGACGCTGACAAATGCATGCAATGACTTGCTTCAGAGATCGTACGAATTGTCGGAAGACCAGCCGTGGGTATCCAAAAATGACGTGGTGGTATCCCTTCTCTGGATGTGCTTCACCCGTGCCAGGCGGGATACAGCCAGCGCCACTCCTGGACAAAACGGTACCCCCTCCACGTCCGGGATCTGCATGGCAGTCAATGTTCGGGGCAGGACTGCTCCGCCCATTCCCGCGGCCTACGTAGGGAATGCGTTTGTCATGCTCCGCCAGAATGTCAGTATGGACGTCATTCTAGGGGACCACGCCCCGTCTTCAGGAGAACGGTGCATTCAGAAGCACTCGAGCACCGTACAAACTCTCTCCCACATGGCATACGCCATTCGCCGGAAGCTCCATTCCATCGACGACACATTCGTTCGGAGCGCCATCTCCTATCTCGAGGGAGTCTCGGATCTTTCCGCCATTGCGATGGGTCAAAGCGATTTCAACATCAGCTGTCTCCAAGATCTGAGTTTCTGCACAACTGATTATGGCGGTGATCTGGGCGTGCCCGCTGATATCAGGATGCCCAAGGGCATGATTGATGGCCAATTCTATGTACTGCCGCGGAAAAGACATCATGGAGACGGAGACGCGTTCTGGGAGGTTGAGGCGACGCTGTGCCCAGAGTCTATGGAACGACTGTGTGCCGATGGGGTTCTGTCGTCGTACTCATGCCGTGTCCCAAAGTAACTCTGGGGCTGATATCCTGCTGGCTTGTCCATAGATTCTGTTCGTTTTCTACTGTGGGCGGCGTATGAAGTTGCTTAGTGCTCCGGTCCAACCATTTCCTTGAATTGCATTGATGATAGGATTATTATGTAACCGTTTTATATCATGGAAACAATTCAATTAGTTTTTGATTGTCTCATAATCTGTTAGGAATATCAAGTAGGTCAAGCCCTCCCAAACAGACATTCAACCTTTTGATGCAATGGCTAAGAAATCACTCTCCACAACAGAAGGCGTTCTCACCAACTCTTACAAAGGTACCTAATGCATTGCAGATCTGCATGTCTCACCAAGAAATCTTCTCAATATGTACTTTTTGTGCTAGCACTCCGGTATCATTGCGTGTCTTGCGGGAATTCAAGGCATCCAGACGTCCTAGGTCATCGTTCTGGGTGAAGTCAATCCATCGGTGGTCGCTTTACCTGCCAGGTTTGAGGGGTTGATTTTGGCTAGTCTCGTTGGATTTTGTACACCAGGGATACTGTTGTAAACTCTCGATATTCTTTACATATACATCTTTGTTCGACTATATCTGACTGCGGCTGCTGTCTGCCACTCAGCTGACCTTTCGATGCCCTCGTTTTATGAATTAACGTATTTGCTTTAAGTGGTTTGCAATCTGGTGGACAACCTCAGAGTTTTGGAGCTGTCCAAAACTGATTAGATGGTATGGACGTGAAATATGTGGAATGCGAACATACTGTGGACGTGTCTCCAACCTGACTGTATTCCCCCGCTGCTAAACACCGCAGTATCCTTCGCGTGATCTTTCCACTTCGAGTTTTGGGAAGTTCAGCCACGATGAACACAAATTCTGGAACAGCAAATGATCCGATCTTTGCCTTGACCATGGTTTTGATGTCGTTTTTCAGTCCTTCCGCATCGCTACCGCATAGCTTCACGGAGGCAAACGTAGCTAATGAGCTACCTTTGATATGGTCAGGTACGCCAACGACCGCGCATTCGACGATGGAGTCTATACAGTCAGTAATCGACAGGTAGCATGAGGACAGACCATACCGTTACTAAGGATCGAAGATTCAATCTCAGTCGCTGATAATCTATGGCCAGAGACGTTGATCACATCGTCTGCTCTGCCTTGGATCCAGTAGTGGCCATCTTCGTCTCTCCTTGCTTCATCACCTGTGATCTGTATTTACAGTTAACGCAGATTCCCGCCTGCTGAGCTCAAAACAGCTTACATAGTAGCCTGTCACCTTGTCGAAATATATATCCTCGAATCGCTGGTGTGACCTCCAGATTGTGCGCGCCATGCTGGGCCATGGTCGTCTGATTGCGAGCATCCCTTTGGCGTTGGGCGCTACAATCTCGTCTCCACTTTCCAAATCCAGAATCACTGGATCAATTCCTAAGAAAGGACGAGACGCGCTTCCTGGTTTGGTCGTCGTGACACCAGACAGCGGGGTGATTAGATGACCGCCAGATTCTGTTTGCCAGTATGTCTGACCTTCTTATTAGCCATTGAACAAAAGCTCTTTCACATCATGGTGGGAAGTATGCTAACTCACGTCAATCACATTTGCCCTTCCCTTTCCCACGGTATCGTGGTACCATTTCCACGTTTCGGCGGCGATGGGCTCCCCTGCGGTGGCAAGGACCTTTAGCGTTTTCAAGTCGCCGGGCGCATACTCATCGCCCACGCTCTCGAGAAGACGGAGTGCTGTCGGCGCAGAACAGAAATGCGTTACGTGGAAATCCTTCACGATGTCCCAGTATCGGGAGCAGGATGGGTATGTGGGGGTCCCTTCAAACAAGACGGTTGTTGCTCCCAGCACAAGCGACATATATACGGCGTACGTATGGCCCATCGCCCATCCAATGTCGCCGGTGCAAAATACTCGATCACCCTTCTGGATGTTGAACGTGTATCTTCCCACCGCGGCCGCGCCGACGAGATACCCAGCGGTGCTGTGCACTAATCCCTTGGGTTGTCCCGTGGAGCCAGAAGTATACAACAAGAAGAGAGGATCTTCCGAGGCCATCGGTCTTGGGGACATATATTTCGGATACCTTTTTACCTCCTCGTGCCACCACAGGTCCCTCTGTGGTTGCATCGGCACCGTTGATTCTGTCCGCCGATATACAATAACGGAGCTGACCAGCGGGCACTCCTGCAACGCCTGGTCCACGATGAGCTTTGCCGGAATAGTCTTTCCACCTCGCCTTCCCTCGTTGACTGTGACGACGATCTTCGACTTCGCATCATGTAGCCGTTGGCGGAGCGCCTGCGCCGAAAACCCGAGGAAGACAACGGAGTGAATCGCGCCTATCCGCGCACATGCCAGCATCGCAATCACAATCTCCGGCATGGTCGGCATATATATAGTAATAACATCACCGCACTTGGCGCCGTGAGCCTGGAGTAAAGATGCAAAGTTGCAGACGCGTTCCAGCAATTCGCCATACGTGATTTGGCGCTGAGCGCCCGGCTCGTCTGCCTCAGAAAGCAACGCCAGTCGCCCGGGATTTTCCAGCGCATGCCGGTCAACGCAGTTGAAACTCGCATTGAGATAGCCACCTAGAAACCAACGGCTTCCTCCTGGCGCGAATGAGGCGGAGTAAGCAGTGTGGAAATCGTTGTCAAAGGATAGCAATAGGCGGGCGACAGTTCCCCAAAAGACGGCGGGATCTTCCACCGAGGTTTTATGCAGCATTTGATAGTGCTCTGGGCGCAAACACTGTCTCTCAAGCTCGGTGCAGAAGAATTTCCGTCTTTCAAGAAAGGCCAGAGTCGGTTCCTTTTCGCTCGATCCTTTAGCCACATTCTCCAGTCTCTTTAGGGGAACCCCAGCGGCGGAACCGGAAACGACGTTCATGAGCCAACCGACGACATCTTTAGTTGTGAAGGACAGCATTGTTCATAGAACCTCGTATCGGAGACGGGTGGAAGTTGTGATTCAGAGAAAGAAAATAGTGTACTTTATTCGCATCTGAACTCATGGAAGGGGGGTTATGTACAAGCGAGGGTGCGATCACATAACAGCTCCATCTTGAATACGGGGAGTTCCTGTGTGAGCCCTGTGACACCAAAACAACCTTGTCCGACAATGCTTCATGGCGTTATCATTCAAACTCTTGGACACACCCGTTATGCAAGGGATGCAGCACTTCCTTACATGCGACTATGCCGGCCTTGTTGCCGTGTCGGTATGGACATGGTGCATGACTCTATCCCAGCATGTCAGCATCCCGCGAGCATACCGGGGGTCTCGAGCCCTCCATGAATCCTGTTAGCATGTGTTCGATATTGACCCTTCGATCAAAAAACACGAATTGGCCAGTGGTAGGGTCTTGGGATCCAACAATCTCTAGTGGCGGGCTAAGGAGTCGCACTTGATGGGAGCCCCTTGTGCGACTGAGAGACCCAGAATGTGCGGGCTCAGAGCATGCAAGGAGTGATTCCGCTCTTCCTCTCTACAATGACAGTGAGCTAGAGCAGGCAGCAAGGGATAAGGGAATCCAGAGCCAGAGCCCATGTAAGGGAGTCCATGCGAGTGTCCGTAAGGGCCCGCAAGGAATGACAGTCAGGGAGAAATGACATTCCGCGCACAAATCACCTCTCCCTCGAGGATATATACTGCATAAGGAAGAGAGCTACCTCCTTCAGCACCGAGAGATCTGCAAGATCCGCCTTCTGACCCATCATCATGAAGGTTGCCGTCATTGGAGGCGGGCCGTCGGGCCTCGTCACCCTGAAGTACCTCGTGGCCGCGCATCATTTCCAGTCGGTAGATCCGATCGAAGTCCAGCTCTTTGAATCGGAAGATCGAGTGGGGGGAACGTTCGCCTATCGTACCTACGATAGGGCCGAGGTAGGTAGTGTTTTATTATCCTCCCCTTTAGAGTTAAGCTCATGAACGAGATAGCTTGTCTCGTCCGCCCAGTTGACCACCTTCTCCGACTACCGCTGGCCAGACAAGTCCGTCGACTACCTCTCTGCGGTGGAGTACGTCGACTACCTGGAGGGATATTGCGAGCGGTTCGGGCTCTGGCCGCATATCCACCTGTCGACGAGAGTTGACAAGATCGAGCGCACGGGCAAGGGAGGCCACCGCATCACCGTCACGCACGGGGGCGAGACGCGCACCTGGGACTGCGATGCAGTCGCAGTGTGCTCCGGATTGCACGTCAAGCCGAATATCCCTTCCATACCGGGACTGGACCGCGTGCCGGTGGTCTTCCACTCGTCTGACTACAAGCATGTGCAGCAGCTGGGCAAGGACACCAACGTGATGGTACTCGGGGCCGGGGAGACGGGAATGGACATTGCATATTTCTCGGTGACGGCTGATGCCACCAAGTCCACGACCGTATGCCACCGTAATGGATTTGTGATCGGATCCAAGGCAAGTCTCTGAACAGTTTTCTGTACGGGGGGCCCAGGATGCTAACACCACAGTGCACAGAGACTACCCGAGATCAAACTCTTCGGCTGGCCGATCTACAAGGCACCGGGGAAGGCGCTTCCCGTTGACGTCTATCGGCCTTATCTGTTCGCGACCTCGTATGTCCATCCCAAGCTCCGGGGGGCCGCGCAGTCTGCTATGACCCGGTGGACGGTGACGGCTCTTCACTGGCTGGCGACTGGCACAACCCGGGGATTTGACCAGTGGGTGGGAGCTCTTCCGGCAGATAAATTTGATGAGTCCCATTGTAAGTCCCAGGATGTTGACATCGAGTTACAAGGAGAAGAGGCGGAGGCAGAATGTCTGTCGTCTTGTGTGCCAGCCCGCTGACGTAGACTCCCTAGACTTCTACTGTAAGTCCACCAAAGCCATGCCATACATCAGTGCCCCCTATCGGTCGAAGAGCTGGATCCACCGTCTCCGATCCAGCATCATCCAGGCCACTCTTCCAGACACAGGCTCACGGACGATTGACCTGGCTCCCTGGCCGGAGTCCATCGATGAGAACGGGGTCGTGCACTTCGAGAGCACCAGCCGGCCGGAGGGCCAGATGATGCTCCAAAAGGGACCATGTAAGCCCGACGTAGTGGTCCTAGCAACCGGATACACCCAGTCTTTCCCGTTCCTGGACTCCCAGTATTGCACTCCCGACCAGGCCGATCAGCGTGGCATCTGGAGGACAGGCGACGAATCCGTTGGCTACATTGGCTTCGTGCGGCCCAGTTTCGGTAAGACAACTGACTGCCCAGTCTCCGACCTGGGAAGGATATGTCAATGTGTTAATTGATAAAAACAGGAGCCATCCCACCACTAGCCGAGATGCAAGCCCAGGCCTGGGTGTTGAAGCTCCTCGGGCGCCTGCCGGGCCCTCTCGAAGAGGACAACACCTACCGTCTATTCAGAAACCCCAGCGGACGGATTGAATACGGAGTGGACCACGACCTGTTCGCTCACCGACTAGCTTTGGATATAGGCGCGTCCCCCTCGTTCTTGCAAGCTATCGCCCACGGTTGGAAGGTGACTGTCTTCTGGGCCCTTGGGGGAACCTTAAACACCAAGTTTCGCCTAGCCGGTCCGTGGGTATGGCCCGGGGCGTCGGAGGTCATCCGCAACGAGCTTCTAGACTCCGTTACTGGACGGAGATCGGTTATCGGTAAGTGTCGTCAGTGACTGCCAGCAAGTGATGCGCGCTAAGATTGCCTAGAACTGGTTTCCCAGTTTATCACCACCCTGATCGTAAGCGGTATCCCGAGCCTGCTTTTCTGGTTGGGAGATCAGCTCGTGGCCCTCTTCGCAGAGATTTTTCGCTTCCTGGGTGCGCTTGTCGGTATCTCGGAGTCTCAAAACAAAGAGAAAGCCGGTTAATACATACGCGAGCGTTCGGCTTCACACGCCTTGGAGATGGCCGAAAACCTCATCGGAGTGGACCCTTACCCTGCCTCCAAGGGGATCAAAATCCATGTCATTGAGTGAACAAGTCAGAGAAGGCTTTACTCACGGTATCGGCTGCTCGAAAGGAAGACATCGAGTCAATGTGAAGCCACGCGTATGTTCAACCTTTGTATGTAACCACAAGCCATCGACTTAGTGGAATGAGTTTGTCCTCTGAACCACGTGCGTATGTCCGATTGATAGAGCTGATAGTTCAATCTGAAAATTTCTATGCCTCATATTAGTGTGATGTCCTTATTTATTGGTAATCGGAGACCTGCAGCAAATTTATAGCAAAATTTTAGGAACGCTTCATGTATACTAGGTCTGTGTATACCAACCCGCTGCTTCAACAGTTGCCGTCACACGATGCGGCATCGCACTCGATAGATACTCCAGAAGCCTCCACGTCTATAGCTTATCAGACCTCTTTGGTTACCTGATAAGATACTGTCAAGATTCATGTGTTGAAAGCATGCGCTAACTCGCAGTAAGGGGTCATGTACACCGACATCATAAACATGCCGAGGGATCCTTGCAGACTACAGACACATCAGTACAGAATTTCTACGCTCTGTCTGATTTCCTCGCAGGCTGTAGTTATCACTGCACTGGTTCAATAGTGGGTGCAATTTGACTTGCGCCTTGCGTCGAGGGTTTCGCAGTGGAAAGTGCAACACAAGCGGTCAACACTGCTAAGCAGAGGGTTGTCAATCAGCGAGATCAGAAGATATAGAGCTGACTGATAGAAGACCGTGGCAGGAAGGCATAAACTTCAAGGTCGTATACTGCATGCCACCGTGCCCAACGGAGACAGCATTGGTATTTAACTGTCAGCTATACTCTGCTCCCCTCTGCCACTGGTGACAGCCTTCTGATTTTCGAAAGTGATTATACCTATCACCGATATCCCCTCAACCGTGATGGAATCCCCAGCCGTCTCTTGCCATCAACGGCTCACTGCTCTAGACACTCTCGTCCCCCCCGCCTACATACGCTTCCTCGTCCTCTTCAACGCACCTGACGTCACCTCTGCTCTTGCTCATCTCGAAGCAGGCATTCAGCGCCTAGTATCAGAATGTCCATTTCTGGCAGGCTATGTATTCACAGGGCCAATTCCTGGGGATCCGAACAGTGGCTGCCATATCATACCACCCCGCGAAAGCGATGCTGACTTGATCATCACGACTGTGAAGAGAGTATCAGAGTCATACCGAAAAGTCTACCCCGAGCACCAAGCCCACGCGGGGCTGGATGTGACCCATTTTCCGCTGAAGCCCATTGCAGATATTGTCAACCCGAGTCCCATCTTCCGCTTGCAGATCAACCTATTCAACGATGGGGTGGGTCTTGGATTCGCCTTGCATCACAACGTCATGGATGCAATAGGGGCTGGTACCGTGGTGAAGGCACTTGGTTCATGCTGCTGTCGCACCGACTCTGGCACAGAACTTGGGCTAGATTTGAATACCCTCACTCCGCTGCAGTACAGCGCGAGGGCATCTCTCAACAAGCTCACCCCAGTGGCTCGTGATTCCGAGCTTGATCGCTCGCGATACGGCCTCCAGCCTCACCCAGGGTCTATCATGTTTGACCAGTCCGGGTTTGGGTTGCTTCCTCCAGCATCACGATTCCGCCTCTCGGCCACCAAGATCCAAGATCTCAAAACCCACCTCAACAACGTCATCGCCCGATCGGAGTCTCTGCAGAAGCAGTTCGGCCCAACAAGCTGGATCAGCAATAACGATACCCTAGTCGCATTGATATGGCTTTGTTACAACCGGGCAAAGCGCCGCTCGGAACCGCCATCGTCTACGCAGCCATTCGCCATAAACCCCGGAATCTGCATGCCAGCAAATATCCGACCACGCGTCCATCCCCCGCTGCCCTCCACTTTCCTAGGGAATGCCGCTGTGCCGGTAAAACCAGCTATGGATGCACAGCCTCTCCTTTCTGCTATCGGCAATGGCTCATTACTCACGGACGAAGTGGTTCCTGAACGTATTCGCGACGATGCACTCTGCCAGGTGGCACTAGCTGTCCGACAAGCTGTGAGCCGGGTCAACAATGACTACGCACGAGACATCACATCCCTGATGCAGAATCCGCAAGTCCCTCTGATCTACGAGTACAACCACGATACGAACATATCCAGCTGGAGAGACTCTGCGATGTACGAGGCGTATTTCGGGGAAGAGCTGGGCTTCCCGTTGGATGTGTGTCTCGATGTGCCTGCCATGGGATACTTCACGTTGGCGCCGAAGCGACGAGCGCCGGATGATTCCTGGGAGGTTCTTGCTGTGCTTAGCCCGGCAATAGCCGGTTGTCTGCGGGATGATGACATCTGGAGCAGTGTCCTTTCGGATTCGCCGCCAGCTGGGGAATAGTTTTCTATGATGATACATGATGTTATGCAGATGACTTACAGAGGGTAGAAGATATATAGATATATTTTGCCCCCGAATGGTATTTTTCAACACATTATAAGTTATCAAACCCGTAGGTCTTGAATGATATTTCACCTACCTAGTTAGTATGTAGGATGATTATATAGGTTTGTGCGTACAAAACCTACTCATGAACATAGAATCATTCCCCGGTCAATGAATTCAATAATAACACATAATCGATAAAAATATAGTATGTAGCAGTAACTATTTATTTATTGATCCTCTACCTTATGTTATCTCCACTATATTAGGACCTAGGCCGGATATAAATATCCTCCATTGCGCGGCACAACCATCTACAGTGATCTTTATATATATATTTCCAAGACACACAAACCAATCTTCAAAACAATATATTCTATTATCTACTGCACAAACCCAGACCAAAAAGGAGTATATAAACTACCCTACCTCCTCTCCTGATCCATGATCCTATTAATAACATTCGCGAACCGTCCCGCCTTATCCGGATCCTGCTTCGCAGTCTCAATACCCAACAGAATCTTCTTAATGCCGACCCCAATCTGCGTCGCGTCGTTAACGCTGTAAATGCCCTCCAGCGCGCGCGTGATCTCCTCCGCCGTGAACGCGCCCGACTCTTCCAGAACACTCCGCAGCTCTTCGTAGGTCTGCACCGTTGGCACGCCCATGTCTGCGTCGAAGGAGCTGTACATGCCCAGCTCTTTGATGAGCGAGCGCTCCGTCGTGGTGGCTAGGATGAGGAGGCGGCGGCCGTGGGGGGGCTGCTTGCGCAGGAAGACCATTAGGCTTTGGTGGACGATGTTGCTGAAGCGGGGCCGATGGGGACCCAGTCGATGATGCGCTCGATATTGTCGACGACCACCACGCTGGTTTGACTCTTGTAGGCGTCGGAGAAGACTTTGCTGATGTGTTGGATTTTGGCCGTCTCGCTGTAGCCGACCATGTCTTCGGGGCTGATTAGGCGGATGAAGGGGAAGTCGGAGTCCATTGCGATGCGCGCGGCTAGGGCGGTCTTGCCGCTGGCGGAGGGCCCGTGGAGGAGCACGGAGAAGAGGGGGGTGGCGTCTGCTGCGCCGACTTGCTTGATGAAGAGGTGGCCTTCGTTGAGGATCTCGTTGATCCGCGGTGAGTAGTGCACGATGCCTCGTGACAGGCAGTTCTCGAACTCTTCCTCGGCGACGCCGAAGGCGGGCTTGACTTCCTCTAGGGCGTGGTAGAAGTCTTCCTGGCACACTTTGAGGTTGACGACGTCGTCTTTGACGCCTGCTACCGTGTCCGGCTTGACGTGTCGGTTGAAGGCGAATGACGACGCCGCCTTGACGAGACCGGAGATCTCGGCACCGGAGAAGTTCTTCGTCAGCTGCGCCAGCTCGGCCACGTCCACGTCGTCGGCCATCACGCCGTTCGCCTTCATCTTCGTCGTGTGGATCTTCAGGATCTGGGCACGGCCCTTCTGATCCGGCAGTGAGATCTCCATGTGCACCTCCAGACGGCCGGGACGCAGCAGCGCGTCATCGATCATGTCCTTGCGGTTCGTCATTCCGATCAGCAGGATGTTGTTCAGCTGGTCCACACCGTCCAGCTTGGAGAGCAACTGGTTGACAACGCTGTCGCCCACGCCCGTGCCGCCCCCGGCGCCCGCGCCACGCTGCTTGCACACGGCGTCCAGCTCGTCGAAGATGATGATGTGCAGGCCGCTCTCCTCGCCCTTCTCCTTGTACTCCTTCTCCGCGTCCGCGAAGAGCTTCCGGATGTTCTCTTCCGACGCACCGACGTACTTGTTGAGCACCTCGGGACCGTTGATCACCTTGGGCTCCCGCGCGTTCAGCATCTGACCGATCTGCCGAGCGATCAGGGTCTTACCCGTGCCGGGCGGGCCGTACAGCAGGATACCCTTCACGTGCTGGATGCCCAGCTTGTTGACCAGGCCGGGCGGGAAGATCCGCGACGCGAACGCACGCCGGAAGATGGTGCTGAACTCCGAGTCTAGACCACCGATGCCCATGTTCTCAAACTTGAAGTCGGGCCGGATGATCGAGTTGGCGGCCGGTCGGCGATCGGACGGCTTGACGTTGATATTGCTCCGGGCGTCCTTGAAGAAATTGACCGCCGTGTGCGGGGTGAGGATACCCCGGGCCGTCGGCACCGTGGCCGCCGTCGTCGCCTCCTCCGGCTTCTCCGACATCAAGTCCACCAGCTCGACGGTCTTGACGGTCAACGCCAGCACGATCCCGCGGTGGTCCATGAGAATCTTCTGGCCGGGGGCGAGAATCTGGTTGCTGAATTTCTGCGCTAGTGAGCTTCTGCCTTGATATGGAACGAACCCTCAAAAGCAAGTAAGTACATACCGTCCGAACACTATTCGCCAAATCATTCTGATCATACGGCTCATCGGTACGACTTCGACCCGCGAACCCGACCTCAATATCCGTTGATCCCAAATACGCCTTCTTATCCTGATGAAAGGGGTTGTAGATCTGCACCTTGACCGCATCCGTGACAGCGATCTTGGCCCACGTGCGCTGGGGTTCCGAAAAGCTGATGAATCCGCGGGGGAAGGTATCCAGCGCGCGCGCCGTAAACACATAGAGGTCGTTGATGACGAGGAAGAAGTCTTTCCCGCCGGACTGGGGGAAATCCTGTGGCGATACGGCCACCCTGTTGGCCACGTTAGCCACTACCACTACAACGCTTGTATGGGAGGAAAGGGGCGGGAGGCGACGTACAGATTCCCATATGTGTAGTCGTTTGTCGGACTCTTCTCCGAGCGCAGCATCCACACCGGCCCGTCGGCATCGGCGTGCGGACTGCTCCTTGCATTGTTCATGGGGACGTCGGGCATGGGCGCATCGAGGCGAGACCGCGGCGGAGCGGCGGGCGCGGGGGAGTACCCGCCGCCACCGTAACCACCGCCGCCGCCAGGGCGAGGGGACGGAGCGGGTCTCGATCCGAAGGGGAGATTGTTGCGATTGAACATGCTGTGTCTAAATCCTTAGTGTTTCAAAGACGGGTGTCAGGGGAATGGGGGATGTCAGGAGAAGGAAGGTGACGGCGGTGGTTGTTCGGGGAATGGATGGATCAGCCGGAGTATAGTATCTCCGAGTCAGCCACCGAGTCGGGAACCTTCTTTCACCACGGTCTGGATGGATTTAATGGTAGTTTACAAAGGGGATACAGTCAGAAGAACGAATATATATTCAAGTAAACCAAAGACACCTCGATTGAAATGTTAATAAGGGGGGGAGGAACCGGATCGAGATTCCGATCGCGTCCATAGACGTCATTGACAAACGTGACAAACATCATGCCTCAGGACACAAGTCTAGCCCGGTCCACAAGGCAGCCCCTTTTATCAGTTACGGTTCTACGGAGTATAACAGTCTGAGATATTAAGAGTAAATCGACAAATCTATTCATCTATATACGGTACGCTTGCAGAATCAAAACACCGATCCGTCTATCATAAGCGAGCATCGGTAAGCCAGAATTTTGAAAACCAGTCATTACAAAGGAAATAAAAACCAGAAAACAGTCATAAACAAATTCAATCCCAATCGAACCAATTAAGCCTCGTCGTCCGTGTCCTCGGGCTTGGGGGTGCCCTTAGGGCTGTTCAGCCACTCGATGTGACGCAGACGGCGGCGCACCTCGCGCTCCTTCTGCTGCGCGCGGGTCATCTTCTTCTTCTTCTTGGCCTTGAACTTCAGGTCGCCCTGGTCCTCGGCGCCCGAGTTGACGGCTGAGGCGGCGGCGCTGGTGGCCGTCGAGTTGGCGGCCGTGCTGCCGGGCTGCGGCGAGCTGGCGGCGCTGTCCTCGAACCGGTCCAGGGAGACGGCGGCGTTGGTGCGCGAGACGACACGGCCGTCGGCGATGTGCAACTGCTCCGGGCACAGGGCGCCCACGAACTCTTCGTTATGGGAGATCATGACCACACCGCCCTTGTAGTCGCGGATGGCCACGGCCAGGCCGCCCAGCGAGTCGCGGTCCAGGAAGTTAGTCGGCTCGTCCAGGACCAGCAGATGGGGGTTGTTCCACATGGCACCGGCCAGCACGACCTTCACCTTCTGTCCACCCGACAGGCCCGAGATCTGGTTGTGGTTGGCGATCTCCGGGTCCAGGCCGACGTCCTCGAAGTGCTTGGAGATGACCTTGGGTTCCAGGACACGGTAGCCGAGACCCTCGCGCGAGGCCTCGTGGTCGTCGAACTCCTGCACCATCTTGACGAAGCCAAGCTGGGTCAAGGTCTCACGCGAGATCATCGTGTTGTTCTTGGGCAGCAGACCGACCCATTTCCTATGGAGCGTTAGTATTCTACCAAACCACAGTAGAGAAGAAGAAAAGCGAAGGATTATGAGGGGAACGTCGGAGGAAAAAGGGGACAACGTACACTTCATACTGGAAGGTCTTCTTCCACTTCTGTCGACCCATCAGCGCCTCAATGCGGCGGGGGCCTCGGCCGTCGCCCAGGTCGACCGGCTTGGCCAGCTGCGCCTTATCCTCCTCGGTGAGGATGCGGGTCTGCTTCAGGTAGACCTCACGGTCGTCACCGTTGGCGTAACGCCACTGCAGGTACTGGTTGGGGGTCTTCTCCAGATGCATCTCAACGTGCTCCAGGGCGTGCTGCTTGATGTAACCGATACGAAGGTTGGGGTGCTTCTCGACCTTACCCTGCTGCGGGATGGTCTCGCCCGTGAGCATCTTGATGAAGGTCGACTTACCCGCACCGTTGCCGCCGATGATGGCGACGCGGGACGAGAGGGTCAGGGTCAGCGACGCGTCCTCCAGGGAGGGCTTGCTGGCACCCGGGTAGGTGTAGGTGCAGTGGCTCATGCGCAGGATGGCACGCGTCAGGGACTTGATGCCGGAGAGGATACCCGGGGGCGGGAAGCGGAACTGCACGTTGGACGCAGACAGGGTATAGTAGCTCTTGCCCTCGGGTTTGACCTTGACGAAGTCGGCCAGGTTGCCCTTGTAGCAGACGAGGCGCTTCTGCTCGTAGTGGTAGATGTCGGTGCAGACCTCGTCCAGGAAGCCCGAGTCGTGACTGACGATCAAGCTGGTGATGTCGGTGTGGCGCTTGAGGTAGTCCTGCAGCCAGCGGACGTTGGCGACGTCCAAGTGATTGGTCGGTTCGTCCAGCAGGAGGACGTCGGCCTTCATCAGCATGGCGCGGGCCAGGGCCAGCTTCATCTTCCACCCACCGGACAGGGAGCCGACGTTCTGCGACTGGCGGCCCTCGGGCCCGTCGGTGAAGCCGAACTCGAGCAGGACCTCGCGGATGTGGTCGGCGCCGGTCTCGGCGATCTTGGGGTCCTTGGACACGTACTCGGCGATGGACAGGTCGGCGTCCTCGCCCTGGTTGTGCTCGACGAAGCAGGTGCGCACCTCATCCGGCGGCGGGAAGCCCTCGAGCTTGTCGTCGGCGATGCTGCGCATGAGCGTCGACTTGCCGGCACCGTTGCGGCCGCACAGGCCGTAGCGGTGGCCCTTGAGCAGGCGGAGGTTGGTGTGGGAGAGCAGCAGCATGCCACCGTAGGCGAGCGAGAAGTTGGCGTTGACGATCTCGACCTCGTTGGGGTCCTCCGGCACGGGCTTGCCGTACTTGCGGTGGTCCTCGGCGACGTAGTGCTCCTGCACCGCGGCGGCCACGGCCTCGGGCGCGCCCTCGGGCAGCAGGCCGCGCAGGTAGGGGGTGATGCAGGCGGGGATGCGGTCGTGCAGGCGGCAGTTGACGTCCTCACGGACCATCTCGGCGACGTAGGACTTGCCGAGCGTGAACAGGGTGTGCTGGGTCTGGTCGACCAGGCCCCCGTGCTGCTGGATCTGGCGGTCGAGGATGTCGAGGACCTCCTCGGGGGTGACCTTCGCGATGGCGCCACTGGCGAGGTCGCGGTCGGCCATGGCCTTCTCGATGACGCTCAGCGCGCGGGTGGCCAGGTCACGGACCTCGGGCAGCGAAGCGCGGTCCTTGACGCCCTGCACACCGGGCTTCAGCTTGGGCAGGAAGGTGCGGGCCTCGGCGGGGTCGTGGACCAGCTTGGTCAGGTTCTCGACGACGACGACGGTCCGGCGCAGGGTCTCCTGCGGGGTGGTGGGGGCGTTCAGGGAGCGCTCCAGCAGCGGGGTCAGCAGGGCCAGGACGGGCGAGTTGACGATGGCGACGAAGGTGGTCTGGGAGAGGGCGTGGATGGCGCTCTGCAGCGTCTTCTCCGACGGCTGCTCCATGGTCTTGATCAGGAGCGGGATGCGCGGGGCGACGTCATCATTGGACAGGAGGGTGGTGACGGCGTGCATGGCCTTGCAGGCCTGCTTGGCGACCTCGCCCTTCAGGTCGTGCATGCCGGACTCAATCAGGGGGATGAGCTCCTTCAGGGTCTTGCCCATGGCCTCGCGGAGGACATCCTTGTCCGTCTCCTCGTCGCGGGTGCCGGCACCCATCTCGGCGCGCCGGGCCATCTGCTCGATCAGAGCGTAGGCCCCGACGAAGCCCTGCCACTTGCCAGAGCCCTTGCCAAGGTAGGCGAGAAGGGCGGGCAAAAGGGCGTTGACCTGGGCCTCGGGCTTGAGGGTGGCGACCAGGGCGTCGATGGCGTACTGAGCGGCATCGCGCACGACGGCGCCCTTGTCGGCCAGGGAATCGAGGGCGATGTGCAGGAGACCTCCATCCTGCAGCAGGAAGGACACCTCACTCAGGGGGTGGGAGGGCGGGAAGCGCTCAAACAGGGCGCCCAGGATGAGCATAGCGCTCTCGCGCCGGGCACCATCCTTCTTATCGAGGGCGGCCTTCTTGATGGGGTTGAGGATGTCGTATTTCTGGAAGCCGGCACATCCGACACTCTGGATCAACAGATTGGTCAGGCCATAGGCGGCATCGAGAGCCCTATCGGAGGTGTCGGCATTGAAGATAGTGTGGAAGAGAGAGGCGACCTCCTCGGAAGTGGGGGGGACGTCGGAGGGAGTCTTAGAGACGGCGGTCGTCATGGCGGGCGATTCCTGATGGGGCATTCTTCACAATACGATGAATATTGAGGTCGTTGTCACCGTGTCTTTAGGATGATATGAAATTGTGGGAATCAGGCAGCCAATGAAGAACTTTTCAGTAAGCAGAAAAAGGAACCTCCCCTATGGATGGTCGTAACGAGGGAGAAGAAATTAATCGAAAAACTTTTTTGGGTATCTCTGACAGAAAGGAAAAGAAACAACAAGAGACACTATACAGGGGAGGATCCCAAAAATGGGGAGGAGGGGAGAGGGGAGGAAGAGAGGAGAGGTTGAAGTCAGAAAGGGAAAAAAAAAAAAGAAACAAAAAAAAAGATCGAGATAAAGAGATAAAGGCGGGGCGGCGATGATTTTTCTGCCCAGTGTGGTCGAGTTTTCTGCCTGAGGCGAGGGCGTTCACCGCCGGAGGGAAGTGGCGCAGGCGGTCTCGGCCGGTGGCTGTGCTGAGTGATATCTTAGTCACGATTTGGGATGAGTCAGCTGAGTCAGCTGGTCATTGCTGAGTAAGATTTAGCTGACTCAGGTCTGAATCAGCGTATTCCTGAGGCACGCGGGGACCCCGTGATACCCCGTGATGGGGCCCGCTAACCCGGTTCGCTCTACCCCGCACCCCAGTTCCAACAACCGAGGATTCTGTATAGATTCATATTGTTCCTCCCAGGAATCTATTCTATATATACGATGTAGGGTGTATCGCCATTTCAGATAATACACGACGATCGACACCACTTCTGCAGGGTTCGAGCAAACATCGTGACGTCCCTCGACCCCGACCGACCGCCGATCTCCTCCCTAGCATCCCATACCCGACACCTCATGTGATAACCGACCGAACTCTTCCACTTTGATAGGACAGAACGGGCCGATGGAAGGATCGACTTCCGTCTGACCGGAGGTATCGGTTACTCTACTACAGTATGGCTTGGGGGTTCCCTTCCATCCCCATAGGTACCTGAGTCGTAACGCACCTCCCTGCAGACTACTAGTCGGTCCTACTAGGGTGCGCCCGCATGCAACCGCGACCGTTGCTTGCCTCGGCCTGAGGCTACTCCGCGGCCAACCGGACCGTCTGTTCTTCCCCCTTCTTTCTCTGCTCTCTTCTCCATCCTTTTATTTTCCCCTCTTCCTCGCTCTCTTCTCCATCTTCTCTTCTCCCTTTCTCTCTCTCTTCTTCTCTCCATTGTCTTTCTCCATCTTTTTGGATTCACTATCACAATGGCTCTTCCCCTCCGTACCTCTCGTCATGCCTCCAAGCTGGCCCAGGTAAGCCCTACTTCAATGGTTATTGGACGGTACCGCGCTAATGGTCAAAGACCACCCGCTGGGTCAACTCCGCCTCGCGCCGCTCCTACGCGACCGAGTCCGACCTCAAGTCGACCCTCAAGTCCGTGATCCCCGCTAAGCGGGAACTGCTGCAGCAGGTCAAGCAGCAGAGTGATGAGGTCATTGGGGAGGTCAAGATTGGCAACACCCTGGGTGGCATGCGGGGTCTCAAGGCCATGCTCTGGGAAGGCTCCGTCCTCGACCCTGAGGAGGGCATCCGGTTCCACGGAAAGACCATCAAGGACTGCCAGAAGGAGCTGCCCAAGGGCCCCACCGGCACCGAGATGCTGCCCGAGGCCATGTTCTGGCTGCTCCTGACCGGTCAGGTCCCCACCACCCCCCAGATCCGTGCCTTCTCGCGCGAGCTCGCCGAGAAGTCCCACCTCCCCCAGCACATCCTGGACCTGATCAAGTCCTTCCCCGCGAACATGCACCCCATGACCCAGCTGTCCGTCGCCGTGGCCGCCCTCAACACCGAGTCCCGCTTCGCCAAGGCCTACGAGCAGGGCCTCAACAAGGCCGAGTACTGGGAGCCCACCTTCGACGACAGCATCGATCTGCTGGCCAAGATCCCCCGTGTCGCCGCTCTGGTCTTCCGCCCCGACGCCGTCGACAGCGTCGGCACCCAGGCCCTCGACGGCGCCCAGGATTGGTCGCACAACTTCGCCGAGCTGCTGGGCAAGGGCGATGCGAAGAACCAGGACTTCCACGACCTGCTCCGTCTCTACCTCGCCCTGCACGGTGACCACGAGGGCGGCAACGTGTCTGCCCACGCCACCCACCTGGTCGGCAGCGCCCTCAGCGACCCCTACCTGAGCTACAGCGCCGGCCTGCTGGGTCTGGCCGGCCCGCTGCACGGTCTCGCCGCCCAGGAGGTGCTGCGCTGGATCCTGGCCATGCAGGAGAAGATCGGCACCAAGTTCACCGAACAGGACGTCCGCGACTACCTCTGGGCCACCCTCAAGTCCGGTCGCGTGGTTCCGGGCTACGGCCACGGTGTCCTGCGCAAGCCCGATCCCCGCTTCGAGGCTCTCATGGACTTTGCCGACACCCGTCCCGACGTGCTGGCCAACCCCGTCTTCCAGCTGGTCAAGAAGAACTCTCAGGTCGCGCCTGGCGTGCTGACCGAGCACGGCAAGGTTAGTGCCCTCTTTCCTCCCCTGAACGTATCCAACTGTAACTAACTCTCTCCCCAGACCAAGAACCCCCACCCTAACGTCGACGCCGCCTCGGGCGTGCTCTTCCACCACTACGGCTTCCAGCAACCGCTGTACTACACCGTCACCTTCGGTGTCAGCCGCGCGCTGGGCCCGCTGGCGCAGCTGATCTGGGACCGCGCCCTGGGTCTGCCCATCGAGCGACCCAAGAGCATCAACCTGCTGGGTCTGAAGAAATAAGGGGATGTTTGACGACGTATGGAATTTGACGAATTAGCCTGTTTGCTTGGACAATCACCTCGAATTGATAGAGACAAAAATGTTAGAATAGATGTATTTTCTACTTACTTGGGTCTGAATACTTTGTAGGGCGTAACTTCCCCCTATCCAATTGGGCAACGACATGACCGTCTGTCATTGAATTGTTCCTGCAGGCGGCTCAATGGACGAACATTCGACAAACGACACACGAGTCAGTGTAGATCCACGGCAGCAGATGCATCCATTCTACTCACGTGATACCAGCCACACGTTCACCTCTTTGACCAAAGGCGATTGTTCGACTTTTCTGGTCCTGGTTGTGTTTTAGTGGGGTATAGCCACCTTTCTATTTCTCCCATCCAAGAGTCACTCCAAGGACGCAGCCAACTTGATAGTCTAGACTCGTGGAGGAGCGTTCGTGGACTCAGCAGGCTATCGACGAGCTTTTCAACGCTCGCAAACCTCCAACTCGGTTAGAATGTGATGGCTATGCCCGTAGGATCTGTGGTGCCTCCGCAGTCCAGGAAGTTGCCGTCCCGGGCTCGCTGAGCTACACGGTCCGTTGCATAGATTGTCTAGACGAACAACAGGATGTGATCAAGTCTTTTCGACAACACGAGTCTGTTGTTAAATCATAAGGGATAGTAACATCCTCTCCAGAAACTTTGCTCGGTATTGGTTAAACCCGCCGCCGGTTGGCCCTAATGCGCGAGCATTGTACCGGGATCGAGTCTACCCCCGACTCACGAAGATCAAGAACACATCACCCTGCATACTCCCCCAGACAATCACCGAACTAGAGCGCAACCTCCCAATCCTCTTCAGCAAATCATACCCCCAAGTCCTCACCCACAAGGACCTCTCTCAAACGAACATCCTGCTAAACGAGGAGACGTTTGAGATCACAGGCGTGATCAACTGGTCTTTAGTCAAGATACTACCGCTCGGCATAGACCTAGACACTCTTCTACTAGCGACCGGCTACATAGATATCAGCGGCTAGCACAATTACACATGTCGCTTGCAGATACTGGATGCTTTTTGGGATGAGATTTGGGTTTAATGCCAGGTTTATGATGATGTACGCCGGCGGGAGGTCCGTGAACATGAGATGCAGGCTGTCAGGACCGGCGCTGTGCTGCACTATGCTTTCCAGCGTAATGCTGATAGATCACCGTCTGAGGAGATGACGAGTTCTGAGTGGGCTTTGAAGACGTTGGATGCTTTGCTTTTGGAGTAAATGCTATGTTGCTTCGGACTGAACGTTATGGGACGTACCCGGCTGGGTGCCGGAGTATGATTCGGATGTGAAGTACTGGTTCACCATGCGTTTGACTGTTCTGAACTTTGAGGATGAAGCAGGAAGAATACACTGCCGGATGTACTCCGTACATGGCCCCGCTCTAGGGAATGATCGTCAACGACCCGTCAGTCGGTGTAGATCCGTGCCCCGCGTTCCAAGGACCTCGGCATTTTTGATTATAAAAAAAGTGTTGGGATTGCTCAACGGTCGACCATTCTCGATTTTTCCTCTTTATGTTAGTAGATAGAATTGGATGGGTGTCAATGGCATTGTATAGATCTTTTTATTATCATAGTAGAATATATTCCTACGATATAAAATACGATCTATTGACGTGGTTTCATTACGATACTTGTAATAATGATATGACCATGCAGCATGCTTACCTCAGGCACAAATAGCCCTAACTACCATGAATCAGTCAAACTTCATGTATCAGTAAATCATCCACGATGTCCAACATCCAGTGCTCACTGTACCGTACAATTGATCGGCTCGTTGACTGGTTCGGCCAGATCATCCACGAAAGCCGACAACCGACGAACCCCGCATGGCCGATCCTTGCTCTTTCCAACAGACTTAGTCCAGGATGGATAGAAGACACGGTGCGGAGACCTCGTCCCAACTGTCTTCCACTGTTCACTGTTCACCGTTCACTTCTTGAATCATGAGTCTTGGTATGCTTATGCTTCCTCCTCACCTGGAGTATAGACACTGACCGACTACAGCAGCTGTCGCCGGTGGCCTCGCGGCCGCCACCTATCTGGATGGCAAATTCCACCTTTCCCGGGATGTCCGCGCCCTGTGGACTCTCTTCCGCAGCCTGCGCGGCTACGAGAAAGCCGCTGCCCAAGGAACGGGCAACATCTGGTACGTGTTCGCCGCCAACGCCGCGCAGTACCCGGATATGGTCTGCATCTGGACGCGCTCCCGGGTCTACACCTTCCGCGAGGCTTTCGACACGGCCGCACGCTTCGCCCACTTCTTCCGCTCGAAGGGTGTCCAGCGCGGTGACCTCGTCGCCTTCTTCCTGACCAACCGTGCCGAGTTCCTCCTCGCCTGGCTGGGCCTCTGCAGCATCGGGTGCGCCCCCGCCGCCATCAACTACAACCTCACGGGCGACGCCCTCGTGCACTGTCTGCGCATCAGCGGCGCCAAACTCATCCTCGTTGACGACGACGCCGAATGCGTCGCCCGCATGGAGAGCGCCCGCCCCACCATCGAGTCTGAGCTCTCCATGACCCTCATCCCACTCGACTCCGCCCTCCTCACCTCCACCCTTCCCAGCTTCCCACCCACCATCCCGGAAGACGGCCGTCTCGCCGCCCACACCGCCGCAGACTTCCCCGCCATCCTCCTCTTCACCTCTGGCACAACCGGCATGCCCAAAGGCTGCGCCTTCACCATGTCCCGCCTCTACGCGACCCTATCCCTCCGCAGCGGCGCCATGCCCGACGCCCCCGGCCCCACCGGCGACCGCTGGTACAGCTGCATGCCGCTCTACCACGGCACCTCGGCCATCTGCATGATCGCCAGCCTCGTCACAGGCGTGTCCATCGCGCTGGGCCCCAAATTCAGCGTGCGCAGCTTCTGGTCCGACATCCGCGACAGCGAGTCCACCGTCTTCGTCTACGTCGGCGAATCCGCGCGCTACCTCCTCGCCGCGCCACCCTCCCCGCTCGACCGCGCCCACCGCCTCCGCTGCATGTACGGCAACGGCCTCCGCCCCGACATCTGGGAGCGGTTCCAGGCGCGCTTCGCCGTCCCCTCCGTCGGCGAATTCTTCAACTCCACAGAAGGCGTCTTCTCCCTCTTCAACTACAACACGGGTCCCTTCACATCCGGCGCCGTCGGCCACCACGGCCTCCTCATGCGTCTCGTCCTCCACAACACGTACGTGCCCGTCGCCATCGACCCATCCACCGGCGACGTCCTCCGCAGCCGCAAGACGGGCTTCGCGACCCGCACGCCCTACAGCGAAGGCGGAGAGATCCTCGTCCGCGTGCCGGACGAGTCCGCCTTCCAGGGCTACTGGCGCAACGACAGCGCGACGGAGAAGAAATTCCTGCGCGACGTCTTCAAAAAGGGCGACATCTTCTACCGCTCGGGCGACGCGCTCCGCCGCGCCGACGACGGGCGGTGGTACTTCCTCGACAGACTGGGCGACACGTTCCGGTGGAAGAGCGAGAACGTGGCCACAGCCGAGGTGGCCGTCGTGCTGGGGCAGTATCCAGGCGTGCAGGAGGCGAACGTCTACGGGGTGAGCGTGCCGCACCATGAGGGCCGGGCGGGGTGCGCGGCGCTGCTGATTGCGCCTGAGGCGAGGGAGGGGTTTGATTTCGGGGCGCTGGCGCGGTTCGCGAGGGCGAAGTTGCCCAAGTATGCGGTGCCGGTGTTTTTGCGGGTCGGCGATAGCGCGTCGCATATTCATAATCATAAGCAGAATAAGGTGCCGCTGCGCGAGGAGGGCATTGAGTTGGAGAGGGTCGGTGAGAAGGTCCCTGGCGGTGCGGGGGATCGCTTTTACTGGTTGCCGCCTGGGGAGGGGGCTTATGTGCCTTTTGGGGGGAGGAGTGGAAGGTGTTGCAGCAGGGTGGGGCGCGGCTTTGATTTTGTATACACTGTATAGGGATACTGTATATACGTCTAGAGTGTATCTCGGTATATATGAAGTGTAGATAGTTGAGTAGATATAGCAGATGTCACGTGGTTAGTAAAACCCTACATTTTTCTAGATGCCAATGCAGGACAACCTATAACCAAATACATAAGTATAGCTCGGCCTATGCGGCAGTCCATGGCGTATTAAATGAGATATAGGTCTAACCATAGGAGTATGCCAACGGGGTGGGTTGTATGCATAGCCGTTCTGAATTCCATAGCTCTGGTCATGGACATTTCAGGTGATCCACAGACATTAAGGATGTTTGTTGGTACGAACCATGAAATTTTTGAGCTGCCGTTCTTGATACTCGTTTATATCGGTTTTATCTATAAGAAGCTTGGATGATGCGGTTAGCACCAGACTGTGGTAAGAATGACTGGCCTAAGGATCAAGGTCGAAGTGGTATCTTGAGCAAGCGCATTGGTCGAAGTTGCCAAGGAGAAATCAGCAGCATAATAGAACTACAAAAAAGGTGAGTAAATATAGAGAGTTAAAGAGACAGCCAAGCAGGAAATAAAGAGAGCAATAATATACTAAGTCCTGAGGAAGTGCAGCATTGAAAGAAAAAAAAGGGAAGTCTGAAGAGAACATCAAATACAACAAATCTCTCTCGAACATTTAAAATTGTGACATCAACTTTCATCATAACAGTCATGCAATGTCATACGAAATCTCTCAACTCTCTCTTCGGCACCAGACTCTCATGCACTCCGCGCCCCACCCCCTCCGTAGGCTTCCACGCCCACGCCTGGTCCTTTTCCGTGCCATTTCCCACCCCACTAAGCACATTGGCCACATACTTCCCAATGATGGGAAGAAACTTGTAGCAGTGGAACGACCCTCCCACGCTGAAATACAAATTAGACAGCCGGGGATCCGGATGTTGCGTGATCAGTGGCTGCTGGGCCGGGGAAATCGCATCCCAAAATAATCGATACCGATCTGGACGTCGATCATGATCCAGCAGTTGGGGAAGACGTTTCTTGACGCTGGAGATGCAGTCATCTTTGAGCTCCTGCGGCACATCGACTGAGTGGGCGGCAGGAACGGATATCTCATGGCCGGAAGGCGTCTTGACGGTGTTTTTGAACGAGGTGGCGATGGTGAACTTGAGTTCCCCGGATGTCGTCGGGGGTATCACCTCGCCTATCAAGATCAGTCACGACAGTTCCTACAGGGTTGGTCAAACCTACCTTGTTCCCCGTACACGAATACCGGTAGCTGCGAGTATTGCTCCTTCTCCACTTCAGACAGCTGGAAGTACGCAACACATACTCCTGCCGCCGAGATCTGCCTCTCAATGCGCTCCTCATCACGCATTCTGAGTTCATCCTCAACACCCGACATCAAATGGCTCGTCCACGCCCCAGTAGCCAAAAGCACCTTATCCGCCGTATACACCTCATCCGTCTCCGTCTCCACCCCCCGCACTCCATTCTCCCCCAGCAGTAATCGACGCACCTCCCCAACCTCATACCGCACACCCCTCCGCACTGCCTCCTCAGCCATAATACTCAGTCCCTTCCCCGCATCAGCCCACCCCGCTGACGGGTTATAATAATACGACCCAAACGGCGAGCAATCCGTCCGAGCCAACAGTCCACCCCAGCGCCTGCGGACCTCTTCCTCCTTCATGTCAAGGATGACCTCGTCGCGGTTCAGCGCGCGGAAATTCTCCCTTATGCGCACCGGCACATCGCTGCCCTGTTCGTCCATCGCGATCCACCCGCTCTGTTGGTACACGCCGGTGCCTTGGAGAAATGGAAGTGTCTTCCAAGCTTTGATAGCTTCAAAGCCTAGCTCCATGTAGAGCTTACTAGAGTAGTCGGCGCGGATGATGCGGTTGACATCGTTGGAGGCTGCGCGGGTGGACGGCGCGGGGGCACGGTCGAGGAGGGTGATTCGGACAGGGTTTGGGTGTGTAGTCGCTAGGTGGTAGGCGGTGCTGACGCCGAATATGCCTGCTCCTACTATCAAGATGTCTTCCATGGTTATCTTGAGTAAGGTAGGCTGTGTTTGTTGTGTTGATGTGGGAGGAGGTGAGGGGAAGATAGTGGGTTGATTGGCGGGTTCCTGGCGATGATGTCATTTGTTATCAGTCTAGTATCATTTTAGAGATATGTAGTGTTGTTGGATGGAGAATGCTATGGTTGATGCTATTTGGTGTGCTTATATCTGATTATCTATATCAGTTGGGACATGGGATAGGGTACAGTGGAATGGCTTGTTGGAAGGAACCCCAATCGCTGCCATAAGGTAGTCTATTATTAGACCAATTCTGTCACTATATCAGTGATTTACCAATTTATCTCACTCTGAAGCAGTCAATACACTGTCATTGTTTCATGTATCAGAGACACTATATACCGTCTATGGAATGTGGCTTGATTGGCTTGATCAAATCTTCAATCAGATAATCAATATCAACTCAATCTTTGCTGTTTCTTTGTTCTTGAAGATAATGACAAAGCAAATATCAATCATCAGCCTGCTATCTTAAGTCCAGACTATGATGATCTCTGTGATCCTGTCTAAGAATTCAACCTCAACCCCTCACAGCCTCATCATCCCCGCTCAAACCCGTCCAAGCCGCCTCTGACGTGACTCCAACTCTAATCACTATTCACTTGTCAGGAACACAATCTAATGATAAGAAAAAACTATTCTCTCAAACCATCTTCCAATCAGTGACCGCTATCCCCTCATCCTCATGTATCTCCTCCATCTCCTCCTTCTCCTCCTTCTTCTCTGACCATCTCCTCTACCCATCATACCCCCATCCCCACCTCAGTCTACTCTCCTACACATCACAATCTCAATCAGCAAAAATCCCACGGCCAACATGACCTCCCCTTCAACGGTCTCTTCTCCAAGTTTCTCCCTCGCACAAATTTTAGAAATCCTTCCTGGCGTCACCGTCCACCGCGAAAGCTACATGCGCTGCCTCGCCACCACCAACCCCCAATCAGCTCCATCCGGCTGCTCCAACATCATCAGTCAAAACCCCGCCATCCATTTCTTACGCGACACCTGGGATAGATTATCCTACAGAGTCACTATGTACGATCTTATGGACATGATGGCCCCGACGTTCCTCTGCGAGCACCACAAACACCAAGCCAATCACCTAGCCGTTCTCTGGAAAAACGAATTCAGCAGATTCTATATCTCGAGTGTACTGAACGCGTCTACGGCGCTGGCTGGAACTGTACCCCCAGTACAGGGCTACTCTTCTGCGTCGACTTCCCCCGCTCCAACTGTGGTTGTTGTGTGCGTCGTCCCCCTCCCCCGGTTTACTACTACCCTAGCGCATCGACTACTAACACTCCTACCAGCCCTACTATTCCCGCGACACGTAATTCCACAGGCAGTCTGATGTTTCCCCCGTCCGAATGGCCCTGGCCAGCCGGCATGGTCAAGCCGCGCCCGCTAGAAGGAGTGTGCGGGATCTGTTTCCTGTCGTTTGTGGGCGAAGAGGCCAAGCAGGCGCGGTGGAATGACGAAGAACCGTTGAATGGGAATTCCGCCCCTGGCAATCCTGTCAACGGACATGCAGGCGAACCTGACAAGACCGAGGATGATGAAGAAAACGACGAGGATAGTGAGGGGCCCGAGGACGAGTGGGACTTTGAGTACGACCTGTTCCCGCTTAAAGGTAAATACGATGTTAATCTGCTGGTGTGGTGTCGCGGGCACTGCGGGACGAACTTTCACCGTCGCTGTATGGACCGCTGGATTGAGAAATTCAGGGGGAATGCTGATCCTACTTGTCCTATTTGTCGGAAGGAATGGGTTGAGTGGGTTGAGTGACTTTTCTGTTTTTGTCTACTTTATGGTTGGTTTGGGGGAGTATTTTTTACTGGTTATTATGGTTGGTAGGTCTGTTACCTGGGGCTTTTTATTCAAGATGTACTGCCTTTTTTCTAAATATCCCATGCATTTTGATGAGCGTATGCATTCTCACAATAATAATGTATAACATATAGCCCCCCACCGGGCTCCCCGCGTCTGTGAAAGCCTATACAAAGTATATGAATACCTACAACCTAGACCCCCCACCCACCCACCTCCAAATAACCCCCACCAACAGATCAATCTCCCCCGTCGTGTTCCCCGCATGCAAACAGACGCGCACACGCTCCCTTCCAGCAGGAACAGTCGGCGCCATAATGGCCCGCACGACGATTCCCTCCCGCTGACACGCCTCCGCCAGCCGTCGCGGGACGGGACTCCGCAGGGCGAAGATGGGCGATCCGGGGAAGTGGTCGACGGAGAAGACAGCGGGGTCACTTTCGCTGGTCAGCTCGTCTAGACGTTTGCTGAGGTAGTGTGTGAGGTTGTGGAGGGTGTGTTGGGCCTGGTTTTTGGTTAGGGTTGGTTTCTATTTTATTATAGCTTATGAAGTAGAGGGTGAGAGGCGTACTGGCTCGGTCTTCCCTTCTGATAGGAGCTCGTACGCGGTCCGGATAGAGGCAAGGAAGGGGAAGCCCAATGCTGTAGTATATATCAAGCTTCGGGCATAGTTGACGAGGTACTCCCTTGTGAGAGGACAGCAGAGGACGATCGCTGCGAGCTAGTTAGCCGGTTCCAAGCACAATTGAGAAATAAATCAATAGATAAAGGAAGAAGAGAATATACCCCCATGACTAGCCAACGCCTTCCCAAACGTATGCACCCTCACGAACATCCTCTCCTCCAGCCCCAACTCCTGCACAACGCCCGCACCCCGAGGCCCCAACACCCCCGTTGCATGCGCCTCATCAACGACAAAGTACGCATTCCCGCGGGGGAGCACCCTATCGACGACGTCGACGAAGGCGCGCAACGGGGCGATATCCCCGTCCATGCTGTACAGGGACTCTACGACGATGAAGACGTTGCGGGTGGCGCGCTCACGCTCACTCAGTTCGTGTAGCAGCACGCGCTCCAGACTCTTGGGGTCGCTGTGCGCGAAGGGCAGGCATTTTGCAGCACGAGACAATTTCATACCTTCCCTTGCGGAAGCATGGACGAGCTCATCGTGCACGATGACATCGCCTGGTTGGGGCAGACAGGCCAGCACGCCTATGTTGGCGTCAAAGCCCGAGTTGAAGAGGAGGCCGGTGGGGGCGTTGTGGAAGGCTGCGATTTGGGTTTCGAGGGACTCTGCGTAGGAAGAGTTGCCATCTAGGAGGCGTGAGCCTCCGCTGGCGAAGGGGTGGCAGGGCGGGGCGGAGGTTAGGTGGTTGAGGAAGCGGGTGCGGTAGAGGGGGGAGGTGGAGAGGGAGAGGAAGTCGTTGGAGGAGAAGTCGATTGCTGTGGGGGGGAGGGTGGTTAGTTGGCGGCGGGAGGAGCGGAGGGCTCTGTTTTGGAGGGCGTTGTGGAGGGTGGTTTGGAGGTTTGTGTGTGGTGGTGATGCTGTTGGTGGTGATGGTAGTGATGGTAGTGATGCTTCTGCTGGGTGCTTCATTGTTGAGGTCTACTGCTTCCACTGCTGTTTCTAGTAATAATGCTGAGCACAAGAACAATATCAATTGAGATGCAATGGCAATGGCAATGCAATGACACAAAGCCATGACTCTAAACTATCCTACTAGTATACTAGTCCGTCGAGCCCTAACGCTGCTTCCTCGACAGTGGATCCAATTCGTTTCAAGCGGAATCGGCAGTTTGCGGCTACTCTGCGGAACCATCTCTACTGGCAGTGATCTCCGCGGGTATTCCGGCATGGTTCAGGACGAAATCTCTTGGTGTTTGGCATTGGTTGACGATGCGTTGATCGGTGGAGAATTGGCGGTTGAGGTTGCCAACCATTGCATCTGAGTCAACGTACCTGTCTTACTCATGACAAAGGATTCAACCAGAGATGGAATTGTAAATTACCTAAATCATTTCGACCTTTATTGATCATTATCCACGTTATTAAAAAAAACCAAAAATAGGAGAAATTGTTGGGCCCAACCGGTGGGGACTGGTGGGTGCCTGTGGGTGCCTGGAATCCGTTTGATATATCCCCTGCCTCAGGCCGCGTATGACCGCCGTAATAGATTACCGTAATTTTCCCCATCCGGCCTTTTCTCCAACTATGAATTCGTCCCCGCATCTCTCGTTTCGAGATCCATTGTGATTCTCATTGCACAGCCATTTACTTCAAACGGCTACATGCAGCATGCCTTCTGTAGGTGCTGCTCTCTGGCGCTCTCTACGGGCGCACCAGGTGTATGGTGCCAACACCGAGGTTGGAAAGACCCTGGTGTCTACGGTCCTCTGTAACGCCGTGCGACGACTCCCCTCACCAGGAAAGGCAGCTTTCCTCAAGCCGGTGTCGACGGGGCCGTTGGATGATGCAGATGATAGGTATGCTGCTTTAGACTAATGTCTGTCAAGTGTCATGAGTACTGACTGTCTAGACACATTCAACGCCATGCCCCCGGGACTCTGACTCGCTGTCTCTATCAATTCGACGAACCGGTCAGCCCGCACATTGCAGCGAAGCAGAACAATTTCACAGTGTGTACTCAATATGTTTCATCAGATTGAATGTCTAGCTAATGAACATGACGTGCAAAGCCCCCCCGGGACGACGATATCGTCGCCTCAATCCATAAAACCCTCTCCGAGTGGGCAGGAAACGGCGTCGACTTCGCCCTCGTCGAGACCGCCGGCGGAGTCCACTCCCCTGGCCCTAATGGCAACTCTCAGGCGGACCTCTACCGTCCGCTAAGGTTGCCAATCGTGCTTGTTGCCGACTCCCGTCTCGGTGGCATCTCCTCCTCCATCTCCGCCTACGAGTCTCTGTTGCTACGAGGCTACGACGTCCACTCCGTCCTGCTGTTCCGCGACGACTACTACCAGAATCACGAGTACCTGCGCCATTATTTCCAGGATAAGAGCATTCCGCTCCTTCCGCTTCCTGCGCCGCCGCCGCGTCCGCAAACACAGGACGTCGATACCGCTGCCCGGGATGAGGAAGCAATGACCACCTACTACCGGCACGTCTCCCAAAGCACAGATGTGGGGGGCCTCCTCGACCAATTGGCCGCCAAAAACACGGAACGCATTGATCGACTGGAAGCAATGGCGAGTCGCGCACAGCAGACCATCTGGTATCCGTTCACGCAGCATCACGGCATGCAACCCAAGGACATCACGGCGATCGATTCGGCCTATGACGACTACTTCCAGACCCTTGTTCCCACGGATGACGCGCACGCCCCCAAGCTCCAGGCCACTTTTGACGGGTCGGCTTCCTGGTGGACGCAGGGACTGGGGCATGGCAACCCCGCCCTGGCCCTGTCCGCCGCCTACGCGGCCGGCCGCTATGGCCACGTCATGTTCCCCGGAAATATCCACGAACCGGCCCTGTCGTTGGCCGAGAAGCTCCTCGAAGGGATTGGCAACCCGCGACTACAGAAGATCTTCTACACGGACAATGGCAGTACGGGGATGGAGGTAGCCGTCAAGATGGGCCTGCGGGCAGCCTGTCATCGGTACGGGTGGGACGCCAGCACGGAACAAATCAGTATCCTTGGCCTCAAGGGCAGCTATCATGGAGATACCATTGGGGTCATGGACTGTTCGGAGCCGTCGACCTATAACAAGAAGGTCGAGTGGTACCGAGGCCGCGGCTACTGGTTTGACTTTCCGCAGGTGCGCATGTCTCAGGGCGTCTGGCGGGTTGACGTGCCTGAAAATCTCCGGCCCCATCTGGGGGCTGACCTCGACTTTCCTTCGCTGGGCGCCGTCTTCGATGTGGAGCAACGCGTCCGCTCGGACGAGGGTAAGCGCTACAGAGAGTATATCCGGGCTACTATTGCAGGTTTAGTCCAACAGGGAATGAAGTTTGGGTCCCTTATCATGGAGCCTATCATCCTCGGTGCTGGGGGGATGCTTTTCTGGTATGTATCCACTTTCTCAAGGATTGAGAAAGAAAAAGAAAAAATGGAAGGAAGAAACTAACTCGGGCTACAGTGATCCCCTCTTCCAGCGCTGCCTGGTGGACGTCGTTCGTCATCACCCCGAACTCTTCGCGCCCAGTGCCCCACACCCTACCGAGGGTAACGCATGGTCTGGACTCCCGGTTATCCTCGACGAGGTCTTCACCGGCCTATACCGTCTAGGTCGTAAATCATCTGCCTCGTTCCTAGGCGTGGACGCCGACATCGCTGTCAACGCCAAGCTGCTCACCGGCGGGCTGGTCCCCCTGTGCACGACCGCAGCCAGCCAAGAGATCTTCCGAGCCTTTGACAGCCCCGACAAGAGCGACGCCTTGCTCCATGGTCACAGCTACACAGCCCACGCGGTGGGATGCCAGGTCGCCGTAGATTCCCTCAACACAATGATGAAGCTCGAACGCAACGGGTCGTGGGATGATTACCGACGCGACTGGGCATCCTCCTCAACGCCCGACGTCTGGAGCGTCTGGTCGCACGATCTCGTCCGGGACCTGTCCTGTGCGGAGTCAGTCAATGGCGTGTTCGCCATTGGTACAGTGCTCGTCGTTTCCCTGCAAGATCTGCATGGAGGTGGAGGTAAGTTGAAGATCCTCTCCGACGCCAACCGCTCCGGACTACTAACATGTGATGTTCTCCACCACCTCACAGGGTACACATCGACGGCAGCCAAGGGTCTCCAGCAGAGCCTGTCGGCAGACGGTCCGAATTTCGCCGTCCATTCGCGCGTGCTAGGCAATGTGCTCTACCTCATGTCCAGTGTGACTTCGCGGCCCACGGCACTTCGGGAGATCGAGGGCCTGCTGCGGGCGGCGCTGCTATAGCTCAGTCCATCCGGAGTGAGTCACTGAGCTCCGGCCCTAATTTATTTTACCTTTTTCTCCACTGTTCCTTCTAGGTTGGATTCGCCAGTGGGGTGGAATGACGGAAGATTTTCCTTCTTCGGGTTGGTACTAGTGGAGGGGATGTGAGGTTCGTAAACAAATCAATTGACCATTGAAATCAATCCCAATGCTTGACCGAAGAGCCAAAGAGTCACCGACTCACCGGTATGCTGTATATTGTATCATCTCTGGTGAATGATCAGATTGAGTCATCGTCCTGGATCGCCCACGAAGTGGACACCTCAGGCACCAGCACCTGTTGAGGTCAGCTACAGCCAATCAGAGACGATACAAACGCTGAGTCATCCATATGTGGTTGAGCGCAGATCAGGTGATCCGCAATCAACCTCAACTTTCAACCGTCACCGATTTCCACCTTCCCAGTTTCATGCAGTCTGGTCCTGGATCTAGGTCGACTCCACTCAATAAGATGTTACGGGGCGAGGAGAAGAATCTACGGTCGACAGCTTTCTTTCCTCCGGTTTTGTGGGGCCCTCTCCTCCTGATCTACACCGGATTGCATGTTGGTCCTTCTCCATGATGCTGAGAATACACAATGGCGATTATTGGTTGAGCTCAACGCTCTCCTATCTGTACAGACTATGGAGGACGTGCTCATCCCTTTGTTTCTCTGTAACACGCCAAGTCGAGCAGGGAATTGTAGAGACTAGAGACACGGTGATGTCGATCCCACCGCTTACAGAATCTCCGGCCAGACCATATACTTTGCAGTACGTTGGGGCCAACTGATCCTGGTCTAATCAACTGGCGTTGAATCTTATTTACTCAGCGACACGTTGACTGGCCCTGTCCTCTCCCCACCGGCGGTTACTGTCTCTGTCTCGGTGAAGACCTACCCCTCTTCCCCTCCCCATTCCTTTCCGAGGCTGTCGGCGGTGTTTCATCCTATAGTTCCGCTCCGATGTATTGTCACGCTTGGTATTGGGGGTGGTGTGTCTGACTCGAATTGGATCCATCGCATTGTCCTGGTGCGGTCAGCCTGTTTGCTATTCATATTGCTTCCCTAGTTCCTTGGATCAGACTCCTGTCATCAACCGACATCTCTACCTTGGCCACCGTCACCATGGCTCTTCCTCTGCCGCGGGTCTTTCCCCGGGCCATTCTGCGACGCACCTATGGTACAGTGCAGTCCACCCCCAGCGCGGGCTCCTTGTCCAGCAAGTTCCCCCCGGCCCTGCAGGAAGCCACAGCGGCGTCTACCCCGCGCACCACCTGGTCCAGGGACGAGGTCCAGCAGATCTACGAGACCCCATTGAGCCAGCTCACCTATGCGGCGGTATGACAGCAATTGTCTTGTCAAGATTGAACTAGGACCTTGATGCTGACTGCCACGCACAGGCCGCCGTGCACCGGCGCTTCCATGACCCCGCCGCCATCCAGATGTGCACGCTGATGAACATCAAGACGGGCGGTTGCAGTGAGGATTGCTCTTACTGCGCGCAGTCCTCGCGCTACACCACCGGCCTCAAAGCCACCAAGATGAGCCCCGTCGACGACGTACTGAACAAAGCCCGCATGGCCAAGTCCAACGGCAGCACGCGGTTCTGCATGGGTGCCGCCTGGCGGGACATGCGCGGCCGCAAGACCAGCCTGAAAAACGTCAAGCAGATGGTGTCGGGCGTGCGTGAGATGGGGATGGAGGTATGCGTGACGCTGGGAATGATCGACGATAAACAAGCCAAGGAGCTCAAGGACGCCGGTCTGACAGCCTACAACCACAACCTGGACACCTCGCGCGAATTCTACCCCTCCGTCATCACAACGCGGTCATACGACGAGCGCCTTCAGACGCTCTCGCATGTCCGGGACGCAGGCATCAACGTCTGCTCCGGTGGCATCCTGGGCCTCGGGGAAGCCGACTCGGACCGCATCGGCCTCATCCACACCGTCGGCTCCCTCCCCTCCCACCCGGAGTCCTTCCCAGTCAACGCCTTGGTGCCCATCCCAGGCACCCCGCTAGGCAACCGCAAGATGATCTCGTTCGACAAGCTGCTCCGCACCATTGCCACCGCGCGCATCGTCATGCCGTCGACCATCGTGCGACTGGCCGCGGGCCGCATCTCACTCTCCGAGGAGCAGCAGGTCGCCTGTTTCATGGCGGGCGCTAACGCCGTGTTCACGGGCGAGAAGATGCTGACTACCGACTGCAATGGCTGGGACGAGGACCGCGTCATGTTCGAGCGGTGGGGGTACTACCCTATGCGTAGTTTCGAGAGGGGTCGTCTCAGCGCTGCCTCTCCCCAGCCGGAGGAACCTGTCGCGGACGCTCCGAAGGTCTCTCCTGAGCCGGCTACAGCGTCGTAAATAGATTGCTATGATGTAGATAGTACACTTACAATCAATTGAAACTCGACCTGGCTTTCTGTGTATCCCGTGCCCTCGTCTTGCAGTGACCATCCTATAGTCTTTGGCAGTTGCCTAGATTTCTGGCTGTCTATATGATCATGCTCCGTTCTCCTACCTTTTGTTTTTCCTACACTCCTGCGTCCTTTCCATGTGCCGTAGGGCTGCAAGACTGACGGTGTAGCCCGAGCGTTCCAGCTCACGCTTGTAGCATGTGGCAGTTCAACTCTACTACTATAATTTCAAGAGTTCATCCACCGGTAGGTATTATTGGACACATTAACTGATTGATTGATTGATTAATAAAATCACTAAATAAAAGACATATAGATCTATCGACTTCATAACACGCTATGCAAATGCACCACGGCCGTCAATCATCCACCGCGTCTGTCCACATGTCTAATCCAGTATTGGCGCAGACCGCTTCAAAACCGAAAAAAGATAGATCACTAAACCATCGACGTCTCAACCTTCACATCACCCGTCGCCTGGGTATCCTCCCGACTCATGGTCGGATACCTCGAGAAATCCTTCCCCTCGCCACGCTCCTTAGCCTTGCGCGCCTGTCTCCGGAAAAAGACGCGCTTGCAATACTTCCAGGTCTCGATGCCCAGCAAGAAGATCGTCGCCTCCACAAAGACAACGCCCCACTCCCACGAAATGCCCGAATGCTTGAACACAACGTCGTTGATAACGGGGATGTAGAGCACAGGGAACATGGTGATGTACCCGATCATAACGCCGCAGAAGAGGAACTTGTTGCGCCACACGTCGTGCATCCACTGCGTGAAGTACTTCTTGGACTCGGGCTGCATGCGGAAGAAGCTGCGTCGCATGTCCATCAGCTCCCAGGCGAGGAAGAGCGCGAACCACGTCATGCAGATGAAGGTTGTGGCGCGCGCGCGGTACACCGTTTCGCATCCTTCGCGCTGGCTGTTGCAGCCGCTGCCGAGGTTGCCGTCGCCCCAGTGGAAGAGGACGAGGGAGAAGGAGGCGAGGCAGAGTGAGGCCATCCAGACGCCGTAGACGAGGGTGTCGATGATGACTTCCCAGGTGAAGATTCCTTGTTTCTGTTTCTGTTAGCTGTTGTTTTCTCTTGAGGGGGAAGATGAGAGGAGAAGGCTTACACTTTGAGGTGGTCGGTCCATGACGTCTGCTGCGGCGACTTCCATTCCCAGGCCCATGTCCGGCAGACCGGAGGTGATCATGATGATCCACAGGATCTCGACAGGGGCGATAGGAAACACGGATTGGTTGTTGTCGTCTTTGAAGACGAGACCGATGAGCAAGGTGAGGGCCAGACCGACGTTTTCCGCCAGCAAATGCAGCACGAATTTCTGGATATTGTCGAAAATGCGACGTCCCTCCTCAATACCGTTGATGATGGACGCAAAGTTGTCGTCACTCAGCACCAGCTCGGAGGCATCCTTGGCGACGTCCGAACCAGCCTGGCCCATAGCGATACCGACATCCGCGCGCTTCAAGGACGGCGAGTCGTTGACACCGTCGCCCGTCATGGCAGCGTACTTGCCGCGGCGGTGCAGCGCGTCGATCATGCGCACCTTGGTGTTGGGCGCGCAGCGGGCAATCACCAGCGGCAGAGTGGGCAAAGCGTCGATCTCGTCCTCGCTCAGCTTGTCGAACTGGCTAGCCGTCATCACCATCGCGTCCGCCACGTCCCGGGCCAGGTGGTGCATGTCCGGCGGGATGATGCCCACCTGGGCGGCGATGGCGCGCGCCGTCCCCGGGTGATCGCCCGTCACCATGTGGACGGAGATACCAGCGTGGGCGCACTGGGCGATAGCGCCTGCGGTCTCGGGGCGCGGGGGATCGTACAGACCGACGAGTCCGTTGAAGGTCAGGTTCTGCTCGATGGCACCGCGGTCGGGCACGTTGTCGGGTCCCTCGACGGGGAGGTCGTTCGCGCGAGACGCCATGGCCAGGACCCGCAGGCCTTCCTTGGCGAGGGCTTCCATGTTCTGTAGGATTTCGTCGGTGATTTCATCGGTGATGGGGACGGGCTCCGCGCCGGGGGTCCAGGTGACGGTTGAGCAGGACTCCAGCACACGCTCGACAGCGCCCTTGGTGAAGATCATTTCGCGACCGTCATCTTTATTGGCGAAGATGACCGACATTTTCTTGATGGTGGAATCGAACGGATACTCGGCCTTTTGGTGCCAGACGGGCTTCTCGCCCCGGGTCCAGCGGTTCAGGCCCCAGTTGAAGCGGCACGCCAGCACCTGGATGGCGATGTCGGTGGGCTCACCACGCGCCTGCCATTCGTTCTCGGCCTCGGAGTGGTGCACGTGGGCCAGGTTCGCCATGGCAGCCACGTTGAGATAGTCTTCCAGCAGGCGGTTCTCCTTGAGCAGCTCGTCGGCGCTCGTCGGTTCGCCTTGCGTGTCGCGGTCCAGCTTGACCGGGGCTTCGGTCAGCAGGCTCAGATCGCCCTCCGTCGGATCCAAGGGGTTGCTGGACGCGCCAACAGAGTACGTGCCCACAGCGGGCAGCCACGCCCTTTTCGCAACCATGCGACCCTGTGTCAGGGTGCCGGTCTTGTCGGAGCAAATATTCGTCACGGCGCCCAGGGCCTCCAGCGAATCCAGCTTGCGCACAATGACATTGCGCTTCACCATCTGCTTCGTCCCAACAGCCATAGTAATAGTCAACACAACAACCAAACAAGCCGGAATCATAGCCAGGCCCGTCGCAACAGCATAGATAATAACCTCCTTATCACCACGCATGTCATTCGCGCCCTCCACGACAAGCGCAAACACCACCGCAATCCCAAACAGCAGCAGGGCCAGCTTCGACAGCTTCCGCTGCAGCGGCGTGCCCACGTTGATGCCCAGGAAGCGTCCCACGGCGTCCGTGCACGTCAGCGTCCACGCCTGCACGTACCACCGCTTCTTGGTCTCGCCTTCGGGCCCGCGCTTCACCTGCCGCCGCTTCCGGTCGTCTGCGCGGAGGGCGGTCGCGATGGCTCCGATCTCTGTGAGCATTCCTGTGCCGACGACGACGCCGCGCGCGCGGCCGCGTGTCACGGTTGAGGAACTGTATGCGATGTTCAGGCGGTCGCCGGGGCCGGTGTCTGCGTCGAAGGTGGCGTTGACTTCTTTTTGCACGGGGAGGGATTCACCGGTGAGGAGGGCTTCGTCTGTTTCGAAGTTCATGGCGTCGACGAGACTGTACTTATTAGCTTCATATGTTTCTACCTCAGATATAATAGAAGGGGAAAGTAAGGCAAAGGAAAGGAGAGTAAGAAAGGGAAAGAAAGAGCATACCGTAAATCAGCAGGAACCGTATCCCCAACTTTCAGCTCCACCATATCACCAGGGACGATCTCCGGGGCGGGGACAGTGTTCGTCTTTCCGTCGCGGGTCACCACACCGGTGGGGGAGCTCAGCGAGCGCAACGAGTCCATGGTCTTTTCCGCCGCGTAGTCCTGATACACGCCGACGATGATATTCAGGGCGATGACAGCAGCGATGACACCACCTTCGATCCAGGACTGGATGCCGAAACTGACGGCCATTGCTATGATTAGGACCTATAAGATAGTAGCTTAGTATATAGATCATTTGGGTCACATGTCTCTTAAAGCAAGAGAGGAAAGGAAAGGAAAGAGGAGAGGACATACCAGCATCATGGCGTTCGCAATCTGGCGGATGACAATCTTCACCATGGAGACGCCCTCTCCGCCTTGCAGCTCATTGTGGCCATACTTCTCGAGACGGGTTTTGGCTTCCGTCGAGAAGAGACCCTCTTCGGGGTCGACGGACAGTTCGCGACAGGCATCTTCGGGGGAGAGGGTGTGGGCGGGTTGGGAGAGGATTTGTTCTGGGGAGGCGACGGCCTGTTCCTTGTCTGAGGCCATCAAGCACAGATGTATGTATGTAGGTAGGTAGGTAGTAGGTAGTAGGTAGGTAGGTAGGTGGGTGGGTAAAAAATGAGAACGTCTTCTTTCATAGGAATGATAGTCTATCTAGAGTCTTAAGGAGGCTCTATATAGATTATATCCTTGGCAGAGTATGAGTCCATCCACAAGAGATCGACCAAACGATTTAAGATTCTTGATCTTTGTCTTTAGACTCGAAGTAAAATGATCTTGTTTATTCTACAATGAAATAAAGAGATCCCAACAACCGGGGGATACAGCCAGTATTTAAGTTTACACATTCCCCCTTCTCAGCCCCCAAACCACAATCACAGTACAATGAGGACCATATGACGCCAACACCGACCCAGACAGTGACGGAAGAGGTTCCTCCCGCCAAGCACCAATGAAACCCCCTTGTGCCAGTCATCCTGGGTTCCCGGGCAGAGTGGCGGACCATGACGCAGACGATTCCGGCCGCACCACGTGCCTTGCCCCCGTCCTGATTGGATGGTGCGTCCCCCGGCGGAATGCCAAGGCTTGTCCGGATGGGCGGGGCTTGGCGTGGTTGTGCGCGGTGCGACTTGGCGGTCTTGCATGCAGAGGTCAGCCACTTAGGTTTCTCTGTGGAAAACCGATTCTTCCGGGGTCGGGTCGGACTCGGCTTATCCTTTCTTTTTTGACTTGTGTTGGGTTCTTGTCCTGCAGTAGGGTGGTTTTGCTGGTCCAGTGGTGGCTTAACTTGCTTCGTCTGCGGGGTGTCTTTGCCAGACGTGGAATGTTCGATGCGGTTCGGTTAGTTGCTTGATATTTCTTGTATTTCTTCTTTCTGAGCATATCTTCTCTGGAGCATATTGTACAACGCTATCTGACCTATCCGTACTTACTCCGCATATCAGATCTCACGCCCGCTTCTCCTGATCTCTCCACGATCACTCCCTCGCATATATCTCCGAGCATACATATAAGATACAATAAGATAGACAATAAAACAAAATGCATAAGTCCCACGCGACACCCAGCATAATTTACCCCCGGCAGTCCCCAGCCGAGTAGGGCTCCGCGGAGGCACGCCTAGCCGCTTGGCATCCTTTGCCCTCTCCACCTCACCTCTTGGCACACCCGCTCTGTCAGACATGTCTCTGCCAACGCCACTACCCTCTCCCGACAAATCGCACCACGGCTCGTGGCCCCACGATTCCTGCCCAAATGACCTATCACGCATCTATCGCCCATCTCCTATCCCCCTAATTGGTATCAATCCTGCGATACGGAGTTTTTTGTGGATATGGCGGCTTGGCCAGGCTGTTGGACTCGGTAAGGCTGGATCTACTTACTCCTTCGGGCGAGGGGATTGAGCGAGTTATGGATCTGTGAGTCGTGCGTCCCCTGGTTGATTGGCTGGCTGGAGATGGGATTCGTATCCCCGTCGCTAAACCGATAGTTTCGACCCTCCTTTACGGAGGTTGCTCTGCGGGGTCGATCGCTTCTAGATGTTCTAGGGCTGGGTCACCTGCTCTGCGCGGCGTACTGCTGCGTTGTTTTATAATATGGGTGTGGTCGGGTGGTTAGGACAAAACACTGTATATAACTTTGTTAGGAAAGGATGAAATGACAGGTGGTCTTAGTGCATGATGAGGTATCACGACGAAAAAGACCCGCGATCAGATAGCCTTGCCCAGCCGCCCAGCGCCAATAGTGCATTTTCCGTTTATTTCCTCCCCCGCATCATAAACTATACTCCGCAGGAGCACCGGCATTCTAGATCAAACGCAATCTTCCCTATCGGTTGTTTTTGCAAGTAAAGCGGATTAAGCGCGAGTGTACGAGACCCACCAGACCATAAGACCTGGCGACGCATTGCTGTCTGAGTCGTGTCGGTAAGACGCAGGGAAACAGACAATTCCATGCAGACGTGTTGTCAATGATCTCGTGGAAGACTGCTGGTTGTCCTCCATGGTTCCAGGGGAATGGCTCGGTCTATCGTGGTTTGCTAGCTTCTTGAAGGCCCATATAAATCTCAATTGTGATGTAAAAACATAAAACTTCTTGTCAAATCACGACTAGGTGTCGTGGCACTTTTTTTTGTTTTGTTTCGTGTTGGAGCAGTATTACAAGAACACATCTTGCTAGGCGTACATAAAGAGAAAAGCAAAACTATTTCATCGAATGAATTTCCACGCAAAGATCTCTTCCGAGAGTATCATCCTCGCATACAGAACAGATTAGGGGGTTCAGGTCAGAAATTAGGACCTCGCGGAAGTTTATAAGCGGTAAAATGATAGGCACTAGAAATAACAGGATTGGTCCAAGCAAAGGTCGAACAACGACATGTCACTATCCCTCTGATGGAATCCGGATATCCGATGGTTTGTCTACATCGGAAAATGTCTCCCATCTTGGTGGCATCCTAATTTCTGGCGAATCGTCCTAATTTGAGTACGTCAGTTGTGGGATATCTTCAATGGTATCAGAAAGGACAAACCCGTCTCGAGATCATAGCCAGCTCGTTCCCAAGCATCCTGGCCTCCATAGAGCTGAATCAGAGTGTGAATCAGCTGCTTTGTTGCTCTAGGAACTTCGTCGGCCTTGGGAAGATACTCTGGGTTTCGAGCGCAGAAATCCAGGAGAAACTTGATATCCTGAAAATCGGTTCTTCTCTTTCCCTCTGTGGGTCGACCAGCGATGGAACCGCATTTGGCGTTCAGAAGCAAGGCCGGCTTCAAGACCTTGATGCCTTCCACTGTGATCACCTCGGTCCCTTGATCAAAGGGCTCTTTGAACAAGAGAGGTGGTGTGAGGATCTCGATCCATACAGGACTTTGTGTCTTGTATATTGTATGGTTCGTTCTTGGTTCAACCTCGAAGTCAGAAGAAGCCCGCAGCAGCTGCCTTGCAGTTGAAGTTCCCCCCCGAGGAACTACAAAGTCGACGTCTTGAGTTGACCGCGTAGAGCCCAAGACCACACACGCCCCGCCGCCAACAAGGGCGTACTTTTCACAACGAGCAAGTGCATTCCCAAGCGCCATTGCGGCTTCACGTATCTCTTCGGGGGAATGGAGATTTGAAGACGACATGGTGATTTTCCTTTAAATTGAGGTTGGTCAGTAGTCAATCCAAGATACAGCTGAGTCTTTCTTTCTGTATATCACCCACTTTTCCAGATCTTTCTCAGGAACTTGGTAATACAGAGAGAAGTGGTGTGCTGATTGTGTTATATGGGATACAAAAGATGGATACAAAAGATGGGATACAAGACAAAACAGGGCAGATGGTCTTGATACCGGTAGAAACAAAGGTTACGACTTAACGTAGGAGGAAGAAGAAGAAGATACCAAGATCAACAAAAGACCTGATATCATATTGATAGAGTCGTCCTGGTGACTGAAGTATGCCTACAGGTCCAACCTGATCTGACACACTTCGCGGTGAAGCAACAGGTGAATGTTGGAAATGTTTAGTCCTCCAAAGATAGAGATTAGCCAGCAGAGTTTCCTTGATGAGATCATTTGGAGGACTGTAAACCAGGAAGGCAGCCCTCTGTCTGAAACTAGGTAACCATTAGGTTGCCAGTGAATCAATAAAAGCAAAGCATGGCGGGCGTATATGGCAGAAAATCATACTTCTCAGGGATAGGATCCCCCAGTTGTTTCCACCAACAACAACCATCTCGTTCCCTGACGTCCTACTTTTCGTCAGTCTTTGCATTCTCCATAAAATTCCATCAAGAAGCTCGTCAGCGGCTATTAACTGCATCAACCTGCGCAGTATCTCACCTCGAGACAAAATCAATTCTCCTCATACATTCTACAAGAATATCGTGGGTTGCTATGGGATTCGAACTCAACTATCATCTTGGCACTGGGAAACCCAGTACTGAAAAAAGATACAGAGTCTCTCAAGTTCTTTCAGATCATCAAGTCCCTCATGTGGTCTGGTTTGAAGATGCTCTTGTCCACTATGGTGTTCCTACCGCGGTGTTTGACCTATATATCCTCGTCGAGGATATTGAACTAACAGCTGAATGTCTTGCAAAAGCTGGATGGACTTTTGATATGCATAGACCACATCGTATTGGGAATGCAGAGGTTGACTTGATGAGCCTCCCTCAACAGCGATTAATATCTGCGGATAACCACACGAGAACTATCCTTCTTCCTGCTACCGACTGGAACTTTTCCCTAACTGACGCGCAACTGGAATATGCCGATATACGACCGGACTCTGCATCTTCAGACAATAAATTACCATTCAAAGTTCCATTTCCACCACTAGCCGGCTTGCTAGATGCACTCATTGAGAGCTGGCTAGAGTGTCCTAGCGATGATACAATGCTGTCGATTGTCCTGGCTTGTCAAATCTCTTACCTCTATGCACATGTTCCAGTTTTGAAGCAACAAAAGTCATTTGTTGAGCAGATGAGATATGAACATCGTCAATTTCACTTCGACGTGTTGGCAGGAATGGAGACCGGTACACTGCCATTTCGAAGACACCAGCGGCCTATTCGTGATGCGCTACGACGGGGAGAGTACGAGTTACGGGAATGCTCTGCCCCCCGCGACACTAAAGAGCTTTTTTTTCCTCTGGGGAGGCTTGGCTCGAAGCCGGTTGAAGAAGAGCAGCAGGATGAGGATACCACCTGAAGGGAATCTTGCAAGGTAAATACCGGTCATGTCCTGCGCAGTATGAATATTTTTCATGTTTCCTAGGTTTTCTCTTTTGTTTAGCCTCATTCATTGTTTCGAATACCCTATAGATGACTTCCAAATCGCACTTTGTATGTTCAATGGGACTTTATACTCCTCAGGAACGCTATTTACATATTTATTATACTAATTTGAAAGTAAAATAAGGAACGAAATAATGAGACGTTTAAAATGCTTAAATTACTAATTGTACTATGACAAAAAACTTAGAATATTGAATCTGCAATTCCGTAAAGCTCAATAAAGATTAAACAAATAGACGTGCACATTCCACCCTCCATCTCTTATCCATCTACCACCACCGATAAACATCAGGACCTGTGTTTTAGACATATCTGATGGGTTACAACTAAGCCAACGTCTTCCAGGCTTTCCCTCTCATGAGTCCTCCGAACCCATGTGTCAGGCCAAAGGCTAGAACTTGTTTCTCTTATTCTCTATCTAACCCTCGAAAGCTCAAGAACTGCTCCCTACTTGTAACCATAAGCGTGAAGGACCATCCAGTATGTCCATAACCCTAAGGTCTCAATCATTAGCGCGCTCCACTAAAGCAAAAGTATTCCATACCCCCACCTGGCAGCGGACGCAATTGATCCTCCCGGGGATAACGAGCATGGTTCTAGGAAACGAATGTACGTGCAATAAGGGCAATTGTCGCAGAAACCAGTGTAAATAAGGCCGGCGGTGCAAGGACCTCGATCTCTACAGGGTTTTGTGTCTTGTAGGCTGTGTGGTTTGTTCTTGCTTCAACCTCAAGGTCAGAGGAGGCACGTATTAGCTGCCTGGCGGTTGAGGTACCTTGTCTCTTTTGTGGCCCATTAATAGCTTTGTAGAGACCCAGATAATGCTGTTGACAGTCTAAGATGGCAATCTCGACAGAGCATGAGTCAGAAGGTTTCCAATAATCAGGGGATTTGATAAAAAAGACATACAAAACAGTACAGCTGTACTAGGTATGCCGAACTTGGAAGTATCGCAATGAAAGACGAGCTTTCTCACTCCCTCTCAGAGTGCGACACGATGCTAGTCCCATTGAATGCCGCGATTTAGGATTCCGTTTAGTAGTAACGTGGGTTCGAATTTGCCTTGCTCTAGTTTTAACGCGCTTCTCTCAAATAAGCAGTCCATAGATATGTACGTTGCGGTGGACCAGTTGCATTGTAATTGCACAGCAGGAGTTCAGTCGAGCTATGTGCATTTCTGCTACTAGCGTGATACCCAGCAAATCGACCCGCACGGGGTAATTTTGATCGTCTCGATCGAATAGCTCAAGTCAACCATGTACAGTTCATATGGACGAACAGCATTGACGGAGTGTTCCACCCCGAAGGACAACAATATTTATGTCTTAGGTGGCCCGAGTCGATCCCAAAACCATATATGCACCACTGTCAACAAGAGCATATATGTAATACCATGGTTACATGGTCTTCCGGTTTCGACAAAGGTGCTGTCTCAACAGACATGATGTTAGTCTATGTATTGATGACCATAGTATGAAATCACTTACCTTCTTAGACAAGCATCATGTCTCCTGTAGACAATTGAAGGATATTAATCTACTGACAGGAGTCTTGGACACTCTAGTAAAAAAATAACATAGACCGTAGATATATAACTTTGCAGAAAGAACTGCTGAGGAGAGTCCATAGAGGGCCCATCGCAGATGACCCGTTGAAATGCCTCTCGCAGTGGTGTCCTCCACCCGAAGCCTTCGCTCTTGGGTCTTGATTTCTCAGTCTTGTCGTTGCTGTCACTTGCTGCGTTTTTGTGTGTTTTCTGGTAAACACATTACCAGGGAGATTGAGTGCGCAGGATTGCAGACCGGGACGTATACTGGAGGGGTTTGAAAAAAAGTATGATGGTTATGCGCATACATTGATACATGACCAAGTCTTGATAAAATCGACGAGATGGTTAAGTATATAAAATGGACGATCGTATAAGGAGTCACAAATGTAGAATATACAACTATGTAGGCAGTAGGTAGAGGGGAATTTCACCTTTATATACCTAGTAGACTAATGTGTTTGACCGTTACAATCACTGAATTTATGATATCTGTCTAGCGTTTAGGAAAGAAATGAAGGGAATAAAGAGCTAATTGTAAACAGTGAATATCAATATTCATTGACAAGACAAGTGATATACCAGACAAAAGTTGACACTCTTAACCTGTCATGTCATCAAGACCAGCAGGTAGCAACTGTCCATGCTGAAACCAGGCCTCAGCAAGTAACAGGCGCTATCAAATATATCTTTATTATAATGGGGAGATCATATTTTTCACAGTCCTAATAAAGACTCACTGTAATATATACACACAATCAATCAACCCCTATACTGCTCAGAACAATAACCCTAATTCAGGCAGCTGGATCATTCCACGTTTCTATCCCAAAAAAGAAGATAACCTCTGTATATCCATTTGATGTTGTATTATATGTCAGACTCTACTCTTGACGACCAACATCCATATCATGATCCCAGTGTTTCTTGCAACACTCTGTCCCTTCAGCGTTATGCTCCGGGGTGGATGTTATAGATCTCAGTATACACATCTGTACCAGGCAATATATAAACAGCTTCGGAGTCACCACTACATCTACCGAATAGTCACACAACACACACTGTACCTATTTAATTCAACCATCAACTAACCACTGCCTATAGACTACAAGCTACAGACATCATACCAAAGAAAAAGATCAGAAACATAATATAAAAATCAATCCCACTAATATTTCCTTACTCCCATTTCACCTGTAGCTCATGCCCAGCCCTATCCATCTTACTAACCAAGCCTTGATCACATCCACTTATCAACCACCCGCTCTCCTCATAACATCAACCAAGGTCCTGTGGTCTAGTGGTCATGACGTCGGATTCTGATTCCGTAAGCCCCGGTTCAATTCCGGGCAGGACCTCATAACATTTCTTTTTTACTTTTTTGTTTCTTCTTTGTCACTTTCTGCTTTCTTTGGAAATGAACACTGTTGAATAGATTAATACTTTCTTTTTCAATTTTATTTTTTTTCCCGTCGTTTTCTCTCAGTTTGACTGATTTCTTCTTTCCTTTAATTTCTTAAATTCCGTTTTATACATTCTACTGCAAATGTATAACTCCGAGTTGGTTATGATATTACACTACTATAGTATGATACTACACAAAGTCCAGGTTGATACGTCGTTGACTATCATTCTAGATTGAACATATACTCCAACGCCTAATTCATACATACATCATATCCACCGATCCAATGCCCACTTATTGATCTTTTTACTGAGCAGCAACCATCTTATCGGTCACATACAGATCGACGTACTGGTCCACATCGATGGCCTCCAGGGCCGACTGGTCCAGACCGACCTTGAGGAGCTCGGCGATGCGGCCCTGGTCGAAGTGCGCCTGCAGGTGACGCTTGTACTTGTCGAGGATCTCGGGCTTGGCCTCCTCGCGGCGCAGGCGGTGGCCCAGGGGCGCCTCGACGGCGACCTCGTCCAGCACGGTGCCGTCGTTCAGGGTGACCGTCAGCGCGTTGGGGATGGTGCGCTTGGAGGGCTCGTGGTAGTCGATGGTGTACTGCGGGTCCTCGACGCACTTGATGCGCTTGCGCAGGTCCTCGACCAGGGGCGAGGTGGCGGCTTCGGAGCCGTCGGCGTAGTCGTTGGCGGTCAGGCGGTTGAAGGAGAGCATGGTAGCGACCATGTACTGTTTTAATCAGTATAAGATCAAAGGACAAAGAAGAAAAGAGAGAGAAATACCTGAACACAGTGGTCACGGTCGGCAAAGTTGTCCATCTCCTTGAACTGCTTGTCGATGATGCGGATGCAGGCCTCGTGGGTCCGGTTGGTGACCTCCTTGATGTCCTTGGCGGACTTGCCGAGGGCGGCCAGCTTCTTGTTGATGATCTGGGCGGCCTCGATGGCGGTCTGGGAGTGGAACTCGGCGGGGTAGGAGACCTTGAAGAGGACGTTCTCCATGACGTAGCTGCCGTAGGGGCGCTGGAACTGGAACTTCTTGCCCTTGAAGAGGACGTCGTAGAAGCCCCAGCCGGGAGCGGAGAGGACAGTGGGGACACCACCCTCGCCCTTCTGGACCTTGAGGACGAGGTTGACGGCGCGCTGGCAGGCGTCACCGGCGGCCCACGACTTGCGGGACATGGTGTTGGGGGAGTGACGGTAGGTGCGCAGACTCTGGCCGTCGACCCAGGCCTGGGTGATGGCGTCGGCGGTCTGCTTCTCGGAGAGGCCGAGCATCTTGGAGACGACGGCGGCGGTGGCGACCTTGACGAGGACGACGTGGTCGAGGCCGACCTTGTTGTAGGAGTTCTCGAGGGCGAGGACACCCTGGATCTCGTGGGCCTTGATCATGGCCTCGAGGACGTCCTTGACCTGAAGGACCTTGCCGTTGCCAACGTTGCCGCCGGCGCGGTTGGTGCGGGAGATCCAGTCGGCAACGGCGAGGATACCGCCGACGTTGTCGGAGGGGTGACCCCACTCGGCGGCCAGCCAGCAGTCATTGTAATCCAACCAGCGGATCATGGCACCGATGTTGAAGGCACCGTTGACGGGGTCCAGCTGGTAGGGGGTACCAGGGACGCGGGTACCGTTGGGGACGACGGTGCCGTCCACGACGGGACCGAGCAGCTTGGCGCACTCCTTGAACTTGAGGGCTTCCAGGCCACAGCCGAGGGTGTCAAGGAAGACCAGACGAGCGGTGTCATACTATCATTAATTAGTTTTTTCTTCTTCATTATTTCTTTTCCATCTCTTCTCTTTTACTCTATTTTTGAGCCAATTGGAGGAGGGGAGGAAAACACACCGCCAAATCAGAGTTCACGTTATACTTGTGAACATACTCAGCCATATCCTTAATCTCAGGATCATAAGGCCGGTTGGAGGGGGCCGCAGGGGCCGCAGACTGCAGAGCGGACATGGTCGAGAAACGCGAGACCTGGGAGGGTTGACGGGGGAGAGTCAAGGAGGAGCGGGCGATGGAAGAAGCAGGAGAAAAGCGGGAGACGGAGGAGACAGAGCGGGAGGGCAACAAAGTGCGGGGAGACCTGTGGGTCAGCCGTCTCAACGCGGAACACGAAGCAGACATGATAGGAGAGAGAGGAAGAGGTGAGAAATACTCAAAGGAAAGAGAGGGGAGAGAATTGAGAAGGGGGGAGGAGTAGAAATAAGAATCAAAGGAATGAGGAGGGAGAGAAGAGGAAGAAGAATGAGAAGGGGGAAGAGAGAGAGAGAGAGAGAACCGAGGCGAGGGAGGCGGTCGCACGGTTATTGCCGGTTATTCAGGATGATAGTGTAGGTACGTAGTATTATGTCGTATACTACGGAGTACCAGGTCGTATTGTCTCTCTACCTCAATAGTAGTACCTACGTAAGTTCCGAAATCGGATATTCCCCCGTGTTTCCAGTCTCCCTCATTATTACTCCAGAGTCCAGAGAGCCCCACCCGGTCCGCAGTCCGGAGTACCCTGAAGACACTCGGCTCCCGGTAGAAGCTGCCATGTCTCCGACTCCCCGGTCGGGCTGACGGAGCATCTACTTTTCTACTTCTTTCCTACTGAATATAGATATAGATAATCCGGGGAACTTGAATGCCTTCAATTGCTCAATTCAATTCCATTCAATCAATTCGATCAATTCGATCAATTCAATGAATCATAATTGACCACCTCAACCATGATGTCTATCCGCTCCCGCCGCAATCCCGCGGCTCGTTTGGGCCCATGTGTTCCGTTCCCACGTGATCCCCAACGACCTGTCGATCATCTCGCGCCAGTGTCAACGGATGAGTCGTCACAGTAACGGAGGATAGGCAGTCAGAGTAACCGCAGAGGCAGCAACCAAGGGAAACCGATAACACCATCAAGACGCAGAAAACAAACACCCCCAAGAAGACTCCCTCTCGTCCGTCCGCTTCAAAGATTCCACCACAGCCCCAAACAACGCTTTCGCCAACATCGGCGGCACCGCATTGCCGATCTGTTTGCGCACTTCGTGTCTACCGAATCGATACTCTAGTGGGAACGTCTGGAGACACGCAAACTCGCGGTTGGTGAACCCGCGCCGTCCAGACGGATGGTAGTTGTTGTCCCCGCCTCCCGTCGTGATCGTCCGCGCCTGCTGGTTGGCGTCGTACTGCGCACGCGGACCCCAACGCATCATTCGCTCTTCCGCTTTGATTACGTCGTGGTCAGATGCCCCCCGGGGAATTCCCTCGATGACCTGGTTGATGGTGGTGTACGGGTGGAGGCCGCTGCCGGGGAGTCCGTGTGTGGGGCCGGGGATCTGGGGGAGGGTCTCTCCGGGTCTGTATCCAGTGTGTCAGTGAGAGGCGACGGAAAGGGGAAGAAAGAGCACGAACCCTGAAGCGAGAATGATCAGTCGGCGTCGAGACTGCGGCACCCCGTAGTCCATACAGTTCAACACCTTCCAGTGGACCGAATATCCCACCTCCACGAAATCCTGGATGATGCGGTAGAACGTGTCGCGGTGCCGCTCGAACAACCCGCTGGTCTCCTCCATGGTATGCACCCGTGGACGACACCGACGGATCAAGTCCGCGCACGAAAATATACAAGCCGAGTTGGCGTCGTCGGTCTCGCAGGCGATCGTATGGGCAGCAGAAAACGTCTGGCAGGGCGGGGAGCCGTGGCTAACGTCCACCTTCAGAAACTCATACCCGTTGGTCAAGAAGCTGAAGACGTCACTCTGCTCACACTCGGCAGTTTCGAAGTTCAACCCGTATGTCGTGATCGCCGGCAGCCATTTGTCGAACGCCCACTTCACCTGCAGACCGGCCTGGCGGGCCCCGCACGAGACGCCTCCCCCGCCGCAGAACCCGTCCCCGAAGGTATACTGTCGGTTCTCCTGGGCCTCGGGCTTGAGATCCTCCGCGTCGAGGTCGATCACGACGGGCGGGGGGTCGAGTATGATCACGGGGTTGCGTGGTGCAGGGGCCGCAGGGGCCGGGGCGGGGGCGGGAGCGAGGGCGCTCCCAAACGGTTCGGTGTGGCCCCGCCACGCCTGTCGCAGTGCTGCCGGCTCGATGCGGTATCCCTCGTCCGCCTCGTCGAAGGACAGGTACTCCACCGACACGTCGTTATCAGCCTCGGGGATCTCCTTGAGACGGCAAAGCAGCGCCCCGGGGATTTGTCCCCAGTCCTGGTCCAAGTAGCAATTGTTGGTGAAGTGGATGCGTACGAACCGCTTGACATCGTCCAGCGCGACGTCGGCCGTCTCATTTGCGATCCAGATCAACTCATCCTGCCGCTTCGGGATGTACGTGCCCTTGTGGGCGGTAGTGCGGATCAGTCGGCGACCGAGGAGGTACTTCGCCCCTGAAGCGTCCTCCTCTAGGGTCGTCGTGATGCGAAGAAAAGTCCCATCCTGCAGCTCAACAGACTGCCCCTCCCGATAGATGATGCCATCGTGGCAGAGTTCGTGCGTGGCGTGTCTCTGGGGCGGGGCTGGGATCTCGGGCTCTACTTCTAGTGTCCAGCGTTCGAGCAGTCTCTGAAAGCTACCGTCGGTTAGATAGTCGCCGTCGTTGATCTCCGCGTCGTTGGTGAGGTCGATGATGTCGGCGGGGCGGGCGGTGGTCTCGTCCCACTGGTCGACTGCGCCGGTCAAATCGATGCAGTAGAATCTGTCGGGGTCGTTGTCGACGGTGACGCTATCCAGGGTGCAGCTGCTGTCGCTGCTGTCTGTGCTGGTAGTGGTTAGGGAGCGACGGCGGTTGCCGGTGGGGGGGATTTCCACGTCGTCCGTCATGGTGCTGAGAGTGGTCTCACGACTGACAGTACTGTCGGAAGTGTGTAGGAGGCCGTCTGATGGATAGTAGGTAAGTAGGTAGGACGTAGGTTGGATGAAAGTAGGTCAGACGGAGGTAGATCAGATGGAAGTAGGTCAGATGGAAGCAGGTAGGTTGATCAGAAGAGGATTTTATCTGTCTAGGTTATGGCAGACAATGAAGGTGAGAGGTGATATTGTAGCTGTTGGAACATGAGTAGTTGTTGGAGAAGTGAGATGGTAGGTATGGTAGTGAATGAGAGTTGTGTGATAAGTGAGGATAGTGAATAAAGACCGACTGTTTGACAAGAGGTAACTATGTCAAACGTAGAATAAAGAGGAGTGATTTGTTTAGTCTAGAAGTCAATATTCCCAGACTCGAATAATGAAGCCTGATTGTCGATCACATATAGTGACTGTTTGCCCTGTTTCTGTATCATATCTTTGATACAGAGTCTATAGGAGAGGTCTAGATCTGATGACCAGATAGTTGTATGGTGAGAGATGGATATTTCGTTTTCTTTCCTCTTTCTCCCTCTTCTTTTCTTTCTTCTTTATTCTCCTTCATCCTTGGTTAGTGTATAGAGAGATAGAGCTTGTTTGTCAGTGACTGGCCCTACAGCCAACAGGAAGTAGAAAGAAGGCTCTATTAAACCTAACAAGTAGAAAGATAGAAAGATAGAAAGATAGAAAGATAGAAAGATAGAAAGATAGAAATACAGAAGGATGAAATCATACTACCATTATATTATATTTCTGTTGTATATCTCTGAAGAGAGCGGATATCATACAGACAGGATGTATAGACTGCAATTCCTCACTTGGAAGTTTCAAGAACAAAGTCATCAATCTAGATATGCCTTTCTTTTCTACAAAATATACATAGCCATCTTTGTCAAATCAATATCACCATCATCTATACAGAGGTTGAACATGCTAATGTCTTGGCAAGTTGTGTATAAAGATGATACATTATTCCATGGCCACATCAAATAGACGTGTCAATTCTGTCTTTTACACCTGATTGAAAAGCTTTTCAAAGCACATCATTCAATATCATGAATAGATCTCCCTGCGCAATAACAACCGCAAACAGCACTGCTAACTAATTATCACGAATCAATCTTTACACAATGGCAGCCCCTCAACTTCCCTGTCTGCCCCCCTCCCTGCCTCCCTGCCCGTCTCACCATCACAAACCGAGGACTCATAATCATGACGGGGGAGTCCGCATACAAGCACTTTCATTGCTGAAAAGCATCATTGACTCAGGAAGACCACAAGGACCAAGAAGGATCCAAGATCGTTGCCGATGAGCTTCCCTAAGGTCTCTCCAGACTCATCTTATCATTGATAAGCATAGATGATGATGACCCACTCCTGACTCAGCATCTCGGAAATTTTCCTCCTCATTTCCCTTCTTTGCTCGTTTTTTCTCTTTTTTCTCGGTTTTCCCTTCTGTTTTTCGTCTTTTTTCTCTCGGTTCGCAGTGGGGAAGAAAATCCTGGTTGACCACCGGATTTGCTCGTTTTTTTCTCTTCTCCGCCATTCCTGCTCCTTTTCTTCTTCTTCTTCTCTTTCTTCCCTCGACCATGTGTCCGTTTCCTCCGATCCCTTCGTGGGTGTGAATCCTCCTCCGACCCTTTGACCACACACAAACACTCTCTCCCTCAGGTGTTATGTCGAGATAGCTCATAGTGTTGCATGAAGCCACTATTCTATCTCATTCCTTCTTCCGGATCTTCTCTCCTTTATCCTCTAATTTTTTAATTTTTTTTCTTGGCTTCTGCCTTCCCCTCCCCCACCATCCCACACTGATTTCTCGGTGTGCTCAAATACATGTAAGTTGTGATATTTGACTTTTTTTGGTTTATCTGTGTTTTTACATATCATTCAGCCTCACTGAGGCTGTATTTTTTTATGATGAATTTCGGTTTTTTATAGATGTTAGACTTCCTAAGCATTTTGCGGACACTTTCCGATCTGACTCAAACGTGTTTTACTTGCCATTGTATCCAATTCGTTGGGTGGATAACGTGCTGACAACCAGATTGGTCTCGCTAGAATAACACAGACCTGTCACGATGTGTGGAATCATCGCTCTGATTCAGGCGAATCCCTCGTCCTCCGCCGCCGTCGATCTGCATGAAGCCCTCTACCTCCTTCAACGTGCGTCTCCAGATTTTCCACCCCTCCGCGACTATCTCACTAACGAAATGATAACCAGATCGCGGTCAAGATGCGGCGGGAATCGCGACCTGTGCCGCCGGGGGTCGCATCTACCAGCTGAAGTCCAACGGCATGGCCGCCAAGGTCTTCAACGATGGTGCCCGCGTCGCCGATCTCCCCGGCTCCATGGGTATCGGCCATCTCCGGTACCCGACGGCCGGGAGCAGCGCCAACGCCGAGGCTCAACCCTTCTACGTCAACAGCCCGTACGGGATCTGTCTCGCGCACAACGGCAACCTGATCAATGCCCCCGAGTTGAAGCGATACTTGGATCTCGAGGCTCACCGTCACATCAACACCGACAGTGACAGCGAGCTGATGCTGAACATCTTTGCTGATGAGCTCAGCGAGACCAAGAAGGCTCGTGTCAACTGCGAGGATCTCTTCTCCAGTTTGACCCGCATGTACGAGCGCTGTGAGGGTGGCTGGGCCTGCACGGCCATGCTGGCTGGTGAGTGATGCAACCGCGGCGGGAAGATTGATTCGGTCAGTCGCTAACCCCTCTAGGCTTTGGTCTGTTGGGCTTCCGTGACTCGTACGGCATCCGTCCCCTCGTCCTCGGCTCCCGGCGCGCCGTGGAAGGTGGGGGCACGGACTACATGATGGCCTCGGAGTCCGTGGCCTTGCAGCAGCTCGGCTTCACCAACATCCGGGACATCCAGCCCGGTGAGGCCGTCATCCTGCCCAAGGGCCGCGAGCCCGTCTTCCGGCAGGTCGCCCCGAAGAAGGCCTACACGCCGGACATCTTCGAGTACGTCTACTTTGCCCGCCCGGATACCGTCATCGACGGTATCAGCGTCTACCGCAGCCGGCAGCGCATGGGCGACCGTCTGGCCACCCGCATCCTCAACGTGCTGGGCCCCGACGTGGTGAAGGATATCGACGTGGTGATCCCCATCCCGGAGACCTCCACCACGTCCGCCGCCGCCGTCGCCCGGTACCTCGACAAGCCCTACTGCCAGGGCTTCGTCAAGAACCGCTACGTCTTCCGCACCTTCATCATGCCCGAGCAGAAGACCCGCCAGCGCGGCGTCCGTCGCAAGCTCAACGCCATGCAAGCCGAGTTCAAGGACCGAAATGTCCTGCTCGTGGACGACAGTATCGTGCGCGGCACCACCAGTCGCGAGATCGTCTCCATGGCTCGGGAGGCCGGCGCGAAGAAGGTCTACTTTGCGAGCTGCTCGCCGGAGATCACGTAAGGCATCCATCCCACTCTCGTCTGGAATAATATCCGCTGACACGCTTGCAGACACGCGCACATCTACGGTATCGACCTGGCATCGCCCACCGAGCTGGTGGCCCACAACCGCAGCGTCGAGTCCATCGCCGAGCACATCGGCGCCGACAACGTCATCTACCAAACCCTGGATGACCTGAAGGGCGCCTGCGCCGAGATCGCCCAGGAGAACGGCCAGTCGGAGCCGCACGACTTCGAAGTGGGCGTGTTCTGCGGTAACTACGTCACCCCGGTGTCCGAGGGCTACTTCGAGCACCTGGAGCAGCTCCGCGGCGAGGGCCGCAAGATCAAGGCGCTCGACAACGCCAAGGAGGCTGTCACGCACGGGTTCGCCAGCGAGAAGGACTTCCAGATCGCCGCCAACGGCGTCAAGCTGGACCCCCGCGGCAACGTCATCCCCGCCGCCAACCCGGGCGAGTCGCAAGTGCCCTCCGTCGGCTACAATAGCACTGCCCATTCTGACCACGAGGAGCCGCCCAAGATCAAAGATCGCATGGACATCAGCATCCACAACATCGCGGATCACGAGTAATCTCTTTATTGATTGATACCTATCCATTGATTTTGGCACCTTGGTTAGCAGGCGTTTTTGGGAGTCTATAGGTGATAGACAAGAAAGACCTGGGGTCTATCTCTTGGGTGGTTTTTTGATCTGTTTTATGCATAGCCGAGGATGGATCATGACTTATAGAATATCAAAGAAATGAAATGAAATTTTTTTTTCCCTCAGAATACCTCTTCTTTTTGTTTTCTTTTCCCCTTCAACCAGTCCATAATAATTGATAATCAGTCACGTTGCTCGCCACCGTCATGTGACGTCGCCATACATCTCTCCCACTCGCACCATCGACAGCTTCACCTCATTTGATCTTCCAATCCATCCATCACCATTCCTGAACCTGAACCTGACTTCAAGCATGCTCTGGAGTGCAAAGCAGTAAAAACCAGACGGGTTCTTCTCCCACTGTCAGAGTTATTGTTAGAGTTTGTCGTTCCTTGGAACAGTCAGTCGCGTGCTTCAATCTCCGCCTCGCTATCCACCATTCATCATCCCACTAGTTATTATATTTCCCCTTTCCATATATCAATTAATCAATCAATCAACCAATCAGTCAACGAATGGAACGCCGCGCCACACGCTCGTCTGCGAGACAGGCGGCGTTACGCGCAGCTGGACTGCAGGATGTCAAGCCTGATATCATGAGTGATGGAGCTATCTCCCGACGAAAGTCTAGACGAGAGAGTCTGAAGGCTGGGAGTATATCTGCCAAAGCGGAACAGCAGAGAGCGGCAGGACGGAGCAAAGTGGTGAAGGGGTCTGCCGCTAAGAAGAGGAAGACTTCTCCTGCGAAGAAGAGGAAGATGAGGGGGGCTGTCGAGAAAATGGAGGATGGTGATGAGCTTCCGCATAACCTGGGCTCGATCTCGAAAGCTACGGGCACTGGTGCGCTTCCCCACAACCGGGGCTCTACTCCGGCGCTTCAGTCGATCGAGAACAAGAACAATCACAAACCGCTTTCAAACCCAAACGAAGAAACTCCAGCAGTCAAGGTTGAAGCGTCAGTCCAGGAAAGCGCAGACCTTCCCTCGCAAACCAAAAATTCCAAGAAATCAAACACCTACGGCCTCACCCCCGGGGTCAGCCCATTCCCAGACTGGAACCGTCCCACGGTCGAAGAATGCGAGCAAGTCAATCACCTTCTCTCTACCGTCCACGGGGAGATCATCCCCCCGCCACCATCCCGGAGCCTTCCCTGACAGTGACAGGCTGCGGCGAGGTGCCCTCGGTGCTAGACGCACTGATCCGCACCCTCCTCAGCGGCGCCACGACGGGGGCCAACTCCGCCCTCGCGTTCAGCGGGCTCGTCCAGAAATTTGGCCTCCTGGACCACGGGATCGGCAAGGGCAGCGTCGACTGGGACGCCGTCCGTCGCGCCTCCCTGCAAGACGTCTTCGAAGCTATCAAGAGCGGCGGTCTCGCTGCCATGAAGAGCAAGAACATCAAGACAATTCTAGACATGGTCTACGAAGAGAACCAGCTCCGTCGCGCCATTCTCGTCAAAGGCGAGGAGGACGCCACAAGCGACCTGGGAAAGAAATCCACCGGCGGCAAGCTGTACGAGATTGCCTGCGCGGACCAGAACTTCCTGTCCCTCAACCACCTCCACGACTTGCCCACCGAGGACGCCATGACGGCGCTCGTCAAGTACCCCGGGATTGGGCCCAAGACAGCTGCATGTGTGCTTCTCTTCTGTCTGCAGCGGCCGTGCTTCGCGGTCGATACGCACATCTTCCGCATCTGTAAATGGCTCGGCTGGGTGCCGCCAACGAAGGCCACGGAGATTACGGCCTTCAGCCATTTAGAAGTGCGCATACCAGACCGTCTTAAGTACTCGCTTCATCAGCTTCTGATCCGTCACGGTAAGACCTGTCCACGCTGTCGCGCCATCACCGGGCAGTCGTCGGCGAGGTGGGACGAGGGCTGTGTAATTGATCATTTGGTGAAGCGGACGGGGAAGCGCAAGGGATAGCCCCCACTTGAACGGCATTTGTACGAGTATCATGTATCTATATGTATTATGAGTAGAGTAATAATTAAATAAAGCCATGAGTCTAATAACACGGTTCACATCGAATGTTTATACAAACACGTGACCGGTCGAACCACCCGGGCTCCGCTCCGCTCCCTCTCCGACCCTCCCTCCTTTTCCTCTCCCTCTTTTTCTTCCCAGCAGCGCAACCCCCCAAATCCCCTTCACTGGGCGACAACAGACAAACCATTCAACTACGCGCTCCCGCGGCGTCACCCCCACGACACAATGGACGCCCTAACACCCTACATCCCACCAGCCGCTCTCCCCCTCCTCGACGCGCTCCGCGCGCAAACACACCTCGTCGGCATCTCGCTCCTCTCGCTCAGCGCCGTCTACCTAGGCTATATATTCGTGCTAAAAGGACGCAATGAAGCTGCCGTCGCGTTTAATGTGCCGCTGCCGGCGGAGGTGCGGGCTAATTGGCCGGGAAGGAGCTGGGAGGATGCTCAGGGGGAGGAGAAGGCTGTTTTGGAGGGGCAGGTTCGGGGGGTGAGTTTATATCCTACTTACTTTTCACTACCAGTATTATGCGGCTAACTTTTGTTTAATCCAGCAATGGAACGATAAGCTGATTATGAGCTACTGCCCCGCCGATGGTCGCATCTTGGGCAAGGGTATCAAACCTGCGACTCCCGACGACGTCAATCGAGCGGTTCAGGCTGCGAAGAATGCGCAGGGGGAATGGGCTCGGACGACTTTTGGGGAGAGGAGGAAGGTGTTGAATACGTTGCTGAAGTATGCATAATTGGAATTCTGTGAGGAAGTCGCCAGCTAACTCAGACGTCAGATACGTTTTGGAACACCAGGATCAACTCGCGGCCGCTTGCTGTCTCGACTCTGGCAAGACCAAGGTTGACGCATCATTCGGCGAGATCCTCGTCACGGCGGAGAAACTCAAATGGACCATCGACCACGGCGAAAAAGCCCTGACGCCCAATCGACGCCCCACCAACTTCCTCATGATGTACAAGAAGAACATGGTCACCTATGAGCCTCTGGGCGTCGTCTCCGCCTGCGTGTCGTGGAACTACCCCTTCCACAACTTCATCTCGCCCATCATCAGCGCCCTGTTCTCCGGCAACGCCATCGTCATGAAGCCCTCCGAGCAGACGGCGTGGTCCTCCGCCTTCTTCCTGGATGTCGCCCGCGGCGCCCTATCAGCCTGCGGCCACTCCCGCGACCTCGTCCAGAGCGTCGTCTGCCTGCCCGCCGTCGCCGACGTCCTGACCTCGCACCCGGACATCTCCCAGCTCACCTTTATCGGATCCCGCCCCGTCGCGCACAAAGTCTGCGAGTCCGCCGCCAAGTCCCTCACCCCAGTCACCGTGGAACTAGGCGGCAAAGACCCAGCCGTCATCCTCGACGACGCGCGCACTGTCAACGAAGTCACCTCCATCGCGTCCATGATGATGCGCGGCGTGTTCCAATCCGCCGGCCAGAACTGCATCGGCGTCGAGCGCATCATCGCCCTCCCCAACATCTACGACAAACTCCTCTCCATCGTCTCCGCACGCATCCCCACCCTCCGTCTCGGCTCCATCCTCCTCGACCCCAGCGCCCCCGACATCGGCGCCCTAATCTCCCCCGCCGGCTTCTCCCGCCTCGAATCCCTCATCGCCGACGCCGTCAACAACGGAGCCCGCCTCATCCACGGCGGCAAGCGCCACTCCCACCCCAAATACCCGCACGGGCACTACTTCACCCCGACCCTCCTCGCAGACGTCACCCCCGACATGGCCATCGCGCAAAACGAAACCTTCGCCCCCGTCTTCCTCCTCATGCGCGCCTCCTCCGTGCCCCACGCCATCTCCATCGCCAACTCAACACCCTACGCCCTCGGCGCCTCCGTCTTCGGCTACCACGCCCCCTCCGTATCCGCCTGCGTCTCCTCCATCCACTCCGGCATGGTCTCCATCAACGACTTCGCCACCTACTACGCCGTGCAGCTCCCCTTCGGCGGAGTGAAAGGGTCCGGCTACGGCCGCTTCGGCGGCGAAGAGGGCCTGCGCGGCCTGTGCAATCTCAAGGCGATTTGCGTGGACCGGTTCCCGAAGTTGGTCGCGACGAGGATCCCGCCGCGGCTGGATTATCCGATCAGTACCGGGGAGGATTATAGGAGGAATGGCGGGGGCGCTTGGGAGACTTGTAAGGGGATTGTGGAGACGGGGTATCAGATAAGCTTTGGGGGGTGGGTGAGGGGAGTTGTGCGGTTGTTGAGCAATATGTAGATTCTCCTTCTGCTTCTTTTGTCTTATCTTATTTGCTTGTTGTATTATTGTTTGATTTGTTGTTGGTAGCTACGGCTACCATGTATGTATAGTATGATGTGTCTACAATATGACTATAGAGTTAGAGCATATAATATATTCATTCAATTCAACTTATTCAAACACGTAATCCCGACATTCTCAACACAGTAGAATAAACAAGAACGATCCGCAACAGGGGTATATAACAACGGGCAGATAAACAAAGCCAACACCCACCCACTCAAGAAACCAGATCCCAAACGGCCAGTCCATAGCCAGTCCAAGGCCGTCCCGAAACGAAACCAAAAAAAAAAAAGAGAGAAAACTACAAATCAACCTCCCCCTCCCCCATCCAATTCTCCAACCCCTCCACCCCCACCACCTCCCTCACATACCGTCTCGCCAACTCCACCCCCTCGTTTGCCCTCCCCATGTAGAAAACCGCATCACGGGCGGGATTCGCCAGCGCGGCGTCCGCCAACTGCGGCATGGCTGTCATGAGGTCCAGCACCCAGCGCCCCAGCGGCCCACCCTGGTGCATAGCCCACTGGGTGATGGCTGAATCATCCGCGGGGAGGGATTCGGCGCTTGTGCGCAGGAGAAGCTGGAAGGTTGTTGGGTCTGCGGGGTGCAGGTTTGCTGCGGTGTGGAAGTGGGAGGGCGGGAGGGTGTAGGGGCCGGGGGTGGAGGTGCGGTGGTGGTGTTCGTCGAGTTTGAGGAGGGTGAGGAGGAGGGGGTGGTTGCGTTGGGTTATTGCGGCGTGGATGCCTTCTTGGAGGGCGGTGCGGGAGAGGGTGATGGGTTTTTGGGGGTTGGGTTGGGTTGGGTTGGGGAGGAGTGCGTGTGGTTGTTGGCGAGGCGGAGGAGTTCGAGGAATTGGGTGTGTGGGGTGGTGAAGCTTTCTTCTTTGTCTGTTGGAGATGTAGTTGGTGGGTGGCCCTGTAGGAGATGGTCTGGGAATGCGGTCACTCCGAGGATGGGGTATACTGTTTGGGAGGCTGTCTCGGGGCAGTCGATGCGGATGGAGACTTTGGGAGTGATGGTCATGGTGTAGTGCGTTGCGGATCCTTCCGTCTCTGCAGTATTTCCACCATGGGAATCAACAGCAGCAGGAATATAACCCTCGAAGACAGTCCGCCCCGACACCCCCGCCATCGCCCTCTCCAGCTCCTCCTCCTGCGCTTTCTCCATGCGCACCCCGGCCCCAACCCACCGACGCAACACCACCAGACTCGTCAACGCAGGCACCTGCGCCATCACCCTCGGCACCGTACACCAGCGACACCGCAGCACACCCACCTGCAGCGCGCTGCGCTCCTCATAGCTCAACACCGGGGGGGCATCCATCGGGCGGAACATCCTGGATATAGACATCCACGCACCCGTGCCCTCCACCCCTTCACCATCATTACCATCATAATGATCATCCCAAAACGCCCTCAATATCAAAGCACGGTAAACACCCTCCCGCGACAGCGCCGCGCCCAGCGCAGGCGACGCGCGCGGCAACTGCAGATTCAGCGCATAGAGAAAGATGCGCTCGAGGAGCTCGACGGGGAGGGACTCCAGGTGGGAGTGGTAGTGTAGCTTCTTGCGCTTCCTGCCGTGTTGTTGGCTTTGGTCTTGTCCTGCGCGACGGCGCGCGGATTGGCTTTGTTGGGAGGAGTGGAGAAGGGCTTGGGGGGTGAGGCGTGGGCGGCCGCTGGTGCGTTTGATGGGTGGGTGGATTTGGCGTTCGTCTGGGGGGGGTCGTTTGCGCCGGCCGCGGATGTGGATGGGGGTGAGGTTCATCTTCATTCCTCCTACCTAGGTTTCCTAGGAAGTGGTTGAAGGTACTGATGGAGGTATGGAGGTCAGTGGAGTATACGGAGGTTGATGATGAGATAGAGATCTGATTGGCGGAAGCTCAGACCGAGGCGTGATCAGGGCATGTCGCATCATGTGACGTAGCCCTAACGCTAGTCTTCTTTAGACCACGTCATACCTAAGGCAGCTAGTGCAATATCTCCCTAAGAAAGACAAAATGACATCATACCCAGATCAACAACAACCTGAAACCGCAACCACGGTTCATCCCATCCCAAATGATGTTATCCCACAGGGAACAGCAAAATCAAGGCAAGATATCGTACCTATGATGATGCATGACGACGTGGCTGCCCCTATGTCTCTCCCTAATTGGACATCAACCCGCCCTGACGAGCAAAACCTAGCTTGACAGTTACCCGACCTCTGCATAGTACCATCATTGCGACTGTCCCACTTCCGTCATTGGGACGGCGATCGTCGCTCGTTTCTCCCTGATAATGGAGGTCTCTTGGACTTGATTTGACTGGACTCCTCTTATTTTTGGATGATTGCAGATCTTTACAAGGGATATTCATTCATTACTATCATACCTATATCAGACCTAGCAGCATAAATAGACAACAGTCGCCATGCGTCCCTTTCACGATTCTACTCATGCTACGGCTTCCTCTTCATCCTCCTCTTCTACTACAGCTTCGTCTACAGACAATATCCCTACAGACAGTATTACACAAAGTGAATCGCAACCAGATTCAACCTCTTGCTTCAGACTGAATACAACAACGACCGAAGAACAACCCTCGCTCTTTCCCAGATTGGCCTACAGATTTAACAGCTCTAAATTGGGTCAATAATTTCTTTACTTTCTCCTATCTACAACCATCGATATCCTCAACCATTCAATCTCTCAAAAACTTGGAAAGAAGACATTGAACCTTTCAATCCAAAACAACAACAACAACAACAACAACCAAACCAATTCATCTATCAATCCAATAATCCAAAATGGGCGCCGTCGTATCCTGCGTACGTCTCCCTCCCCCTCTCTCTAATACTATAAATACTAACAAAAAAAAGATCGCAGGAGTCTTCCGCTCAATCGGAGCCTGCCTAAAGGGCATCGTGCACGTCGTCGGCTCCATCTGCATGGCGATCATCAACGGCGTGGTCTCGCTCTTCGATGTCCTCATTACTTGCTTGACGTGTGGGTATTGTGGGGGACGGAGAAGGAGAGGCGGGGTTAGGAGGTCGAGGATATAATCTCTCTCCCTCTCTCTCTTTCTGATTTTCGTTGATTGATTGTTGGTTGTTTCGTTGATTCTTTGATATTTTTTTTTTTTTTTTATTGTTGGGGGATCGGTTGGCTTTGTTGTTTGATATCCTTTTGCTGTATTGTTTTCACGATGTATGAGTATGAGTTATGATTTGATTGATTCTATTGTTATCTTTTTGCTCTCCTGTATGGTTGATTGTATAATATCATCGCTTTATATATCGCTGTAAACATGTCTATCCACTTGCTTCATCGTATGTTCACTTTTAAACACATCGTCAGGTATATAATATATATATATAATATGAATCATCCCACCCGCGCTAACAACCTCTCCTTCAACACCACATCCCCAGCAGGCACCGTCCCCCACCGCTGCTCAACCAGCAACCGCACAAACGGATCCGGCCCCCGCCAGGATCCGCATACTTGAGCGCCACGTGGAAATGGTTCGTCGACACGGGCCACAGCACCGGGTACTTGTACTCGCGCGACCGGATGTACAGCCCCAGTAAGCGGCGGAAGGCCTCGAGCTCGCGGTCCCGGATCGTCTGCCGTAGACAGCGCCGCGACCGCGCGTGCGATGTGTCCTCGTCGATGTAGGCATCCATGGACAGTAGTTGCAGGAACTCGAGTCGTGCGGGCGTCCACGGGGGCCGGAGGAGCTTGTCGGGCATGCGGGCCGGGGTGTCGACTGCGCAGCTGGGGAGTCGGAAGAGGTCGTGTTCGGTGTAGATGCGGCCGGGGCGGCGCATCTGCAAGGCGCCAAAGTGGAACCAGACGGCGACTTTGCATTCCTCGTCTGTGTGGTGGGCGCGGGCGCGGAGGACGAGGTCGCCTTTGCCGCGGCGGCCTTTGACGCCGCAGTCGCTGTGGTGGTCGGCTGGGTGGTGGAAGTAGCTGCCTAGGTTGCGCAGCGTGTGCTGGTCGTCGGGGGAGAAGTCGAGGTGCGGGCATTGGTGGCGGATGGCGTGGGCGACGTAGTCCTGTTGGCACTTGCGCATGAGGGGTAGCGTGCACCAGCGGCAGTTGAGGATGGCGTTTTGCAGGTCCCGTCTTGCGGGCTTGGAGAGCGCGTAGAAGTGCAGGGGTGGGGGGAGGAAGTCGGGACTGAAGAAGCCCTGGCTGGCGCTTTCGTTGGCGCTGCTGAAGGCGAGGCGGATGAGCCAGCTGTAGAGGACTGGGTCGGAGAGCTTCTGGGAGAGCTCGAACGAGGCCCGTGGTAGGTTGAACTCGAGGCTGTGGAGGAAGATGGTCTGGATGATCTCCACGGGCAGACGTTCTAACGGGGACCGGGCGCGCGTCGGTGGGGTCGTTGGCTGTGTCATTTTCGATGCTGTTCGTGTTGTGTTCGAGAGGACGCCTGGTGATCGAGATAAGATAGATCCAAGATGTCCCCACTAAGGTGTGTCCATGCTACCAGGACCTCGTTCTGCGGGGCGGGTCATGCACCAATCGATGGACCGAGAAGGAATTCCAGGGATCCGGTCGCACTGGGCACCGGTTTCTTCACGATCATCGCCGGAGCGAGGGGTGGTTTCGGTCAAGTCTCGACCGGCACCGCAGTGCGGGGGTAATAACGGCGATAATCACAGTTTTAGCACAATTATTCTGTTGCACCACTATTCAGTAGTGATTGAACAGTGGACAGTATGGACATGTAAGGTAGTGTAATATCATTAATGATTGAGTGGGATCTTACGAGAAGAGCGAGAAGAAAGATGAGATGAGGATGAGGTGAAGAAGTAGGAAGTGGGACGAACTGCCCCGATTTGCCGCCAAAAATATATATCAGATTTTGAGTATGAATATCATCACATATTATAACCACCAGTTTGTAGGATAGAATATATCAAGACATACATATACTATACTCTAACATTTACTTTGATTGATTCTACCTTATTTGAATTTTTACTTCTTGTACAAAACTACAATATACGCAACTGAAAAGAAGAAGACATCTTCTAAATTGAACAATGTTTCTATACACAATCCATCCACCAGATCACACCCCCAGACGCCAGGGTATTCGATCTGGCCATGCCTCAAATGAGACGTTGTCAGGTGAGACCCGGTCGACGGAGATATCGGGCACAAGGGATACGAGCTTAGACAACAGACATATCGCCGAAGCGCTCCTACAACCGGTTAGTATGAGCCAATCAACCTGGATTGAAAAAGAAGAACGCACCTTGTAGCCAGCGGGCATCCATCTGCCCTTGGAGACCAGCGAAGAAGTCTTCTCGTCGATCTCGGGCTGAGCAGCAGCGACCTCGTCCTATGAAGAATCAGCATCATCCCATCATATAAACGAAAGTATCTCCCGTGGAAAATATCTCCCGTGGAAAGAAGGATACATACAACAGTAAGCTCATCGAACGGCCTAGCAGTCTCAATGTTCTCCAGCGTCTTCTGGAGGTTCTGCAGCTCAGCCTCGACCTTACCCTTCGTCTCAAGGGCGCTCTGCACAGCCTGAGCCTCAAAGGCATCGATGGCCTTGACCTGGCGGTTGACGTCGTAGGTGGCCGGCTTGAAGGTCTTGAACTGGTTCTCGATCTGGTCGACGACGGCCTGGTTCTTCAGCACCTTGCGGTAGTGGGCGAAGTCGACGGTCTGGGGCTGCTCGGACAGCGCCGTGACCTTGCGGCGGGCGTCATCGTTGCGCTTCTTGAAGGCCTGCAGCGAGGTGGCCGTCTGGCCACGCAGGCCCAGGGACCCCGTCACCTTGGTCCAGTCGATCTTGGTAGCGGCGCTACGCTGTTAGATTGTTAGTGGGATGGCCAGTTTGTAACCAAACACGGAGATGCAACATTGGGGGGTAAAAAACAGATGCCACTGGAGAATCTTAGGAAAACATACGGCAGCCATTGTGAAGGTATGGAGGAATGGGTGGTGTAGTAGAGGGGAGTTCGATTGCTTAACGGAGAGAACGGTTGGAGTGTCGGCAAGGTTTGGAAGTCGGGGGTGCCCTCACGTGACTGCACACTTCCCGTGTCCCGAGGAATCTTGCCTCAGGCATCCTCGGGAGGCATCGGAGTACTTATACTATGTGTATACTACAATTACTCAATAAACCAGATAAATACAGAATTACAGTCAATATTACAGATAGTGTAGATGAACATTCAGGCTTCTTGATTCTCGCATACTATTTTTTCAATGATTTACACGACGGGTTTCTGCCAGAGGTGACTGCAACCCCAAAGTCCATCCTGCCAGCAGGCTAGAGAGAGACCGACAACCCCGGATCGCGTACAAATCACCGTCCAAACCGGGTTATTTGAGATATTATATGCTGAGAGCCATGATCGAGTTCACGATGTCGTTGTCGTTCTCCCGCAGCGCCTTGACGGCCTTCTTGCGGGACACGTTGGCCTGGGCCATGACCAGCTCGATGTCCTTGGCCTCCAGACCACCCTCGTCGACCTCCTCGCCGTCATCCTCCTCATCCTCCTTCTTGGCCTCGACCTCGGGGGCCTTGCCCTTGCCGTGGTCGTGGTCGTGGTCGTGGTCGTGACCGGCGTGCTCGCCCTGGGAAGCCTCGGCGGCGGCCAGCTGCTGGGCAGCGGAGGCCTGGGCCTGGGAGTTCAGGTCCTCGATCTTGGCCTCACCGAAGATGCTGTTTTCGTTAGGTTAGGTGTATCCAGGGTAGAGAGCGTGATTGAGAAGCTTACATCCAGGTGTTGCTGGAGGGGGAACGGTAGACGTCGGGCTGGTTGATGACGAAGAGGATCTATCGTTTCAAGATGATTAGCTCCCCTGCTTCAAATCGAACTGCGTCGTATCGCCTCGCTGCTTCTCATCCCAGCCCATCCAAGCAGCATCGCAAAAAGAGAATAAAAAAGATAACCGGGAAGAGACTGGTCCATACGTTCTTGGGGCGGCGGAGAGTGACACGGGTGATACCGGGGACGTGCTTCAGACCGAGCTTGCCAATGGCTTTCCGGGCCTTCTTCTCGTTGCGAGAGTGAACGGTGACGGCGGCGCCGGCGGGGATGTTGGGCTCGTCGCCGGCCTCGGACTCAGAGCTGCTGCCAGCATCCTCGACGGTGGTCTTGGGCTCCTCCTCGTTAGGGAGCTCTTCAACGCGGGGGTCAGCCATTGTGAATGTGAGATGAGAGAACCTAGATCGTCCACCAGACGGTCAGCAATTGATAGTAGGATGGGGGGCTGAGTTGACGAGGTTGTGGTCGGTCGTGTGGGTGGGAAATGAGTGGGATGTTCCCACACATAACACACACACACACACAACACACAACGTCACGGCAGCGCTTCCCCACATCGAAATGGCGAGAAATTCGGGGATTCAATCGAAGCAGCCATTTCGGACGGATGGACAGAACGGATTCACCTACCTGAACACAGGATATTAGGTCGTGGTGGATGAGAGGGGAATTTTGGGCCTGGTTGGGGGTTGAAGGTCGCAACGCTGTGTGAAGGAGATCCGGCCGAAAATCGTTAGCGAGCTGATTGGGGGAGAGGGGGGTTTCCCGCACAGAACCGCCTAGTATAGACTTATAGGTATATGTCCAAGTCTACAAGCGCTATTAACACAACAGATCTAGATAATTGATATAATTGATATCGTTGATATAAAGTTAATTACTATATTGATTTATCGGTCTACTGTGTTTACGTATGGATATTTGCCTTTTTTCATAATTACGGCGAGTACTCCATTTCTGATCGTATATCATGGATGGTTCCACTCTCCCTGTCTAGATCGTATCTCCAGATATTGATAGGTCGTGCAATAGTCCAGAAAAGGCATGCCATCGGCTCATGTACGAGTGGAAATCCCCCATCTGTTAGGATATTGGATATCAAGGTCTCGAATGATTTTTATGCTGTCCGTGGTATGCATACAGCGTGTTGGTTTGCTGATATCAAATAAATTCCTCAGCATTGTTTTAAAACAAACCCGTCCCAAGGCACCCTTTTCACACTATGCACCGAGCCCCTCATAACAAGAAATCCATCTATGACTTGGGAGCAGCCGCCCGGAGCTTAGCCTGGGACTTCTGGACCTCGAAGCGAGCCTGTAATCGTTAGTATCTAGTCCAGACCAAACTAACGGATGCGCATGGGTTGGAGTGACAATCATCCACTCGTGCGTCCATATGATGTCCAGAAACCTCGCCGAATCGCACATGGTCGACCATTGTCACCTCCAAACCCATCGCGCGAACCAATCCACACGTACCTGCTTCCTGAGTCTCATGACCTTGAAGCGCTCAAAGTCGTTCAGGTTCTTCCGTCGCTCGGTGCGCTCAGTCTTCTGGGCGTAGTTGCTCTTGGCCCACTTGCCATCGATCTCGTTCTTCTGCCACAGCTTTCTCACGGGGCCGGTACCAGCCGAGCGGGGCAGCTGGGGGATGACGAAGGGAGTGAGGGTGGCGTGGGCGAGAGGGAGAACGTGACGGGGCACGATCTTGTTCTGCTCGGTCGAGGGGCCGTCAATGAGGACCTATATGTGTATTAGAATTGTGGTTCCATTTTCCATCCTTCCACTGTCGCATTTGTCCATCGCATCCATCTCTTGATGTTCAATCCGTCCACTTTTCCACCCGTAATCACATAAACCCGCAATCACAACCCGCAAAACATCAACCAAGTCTCAATCAGGAAAAACGTACACGGCGGTGGTCGACAATCTCAACGATGGCGGCGAGCTTGCCAATGTAGGGACCGCGGCGGATCAGCACCACGCGGCCAACCTCAACCAGCTTCCACTGGGCAACCTTGACATCGATATCGGCCATGGCGAAGGCTTCCTATAAAGTCGTCGCAACGGTCTCAGTTTTCTGATTTCCAAAAAAATTCCAACGACAAGAATTTTCCCGCAGCAAGAATCCAGAACAATAGGGCAGCACTCACGGTCGACAGACTCCGGGACGGTGGGTGAAAATGGTGGTTGTCGTAAGGGGTCGGGGTTGTCGAAGTCGAATCACCGAGAGAGGTCGAAAATGCACAAACAACTTCTCTGCCCAGGGAGCCGATCCACCCACACACGAATTGGACCTTTTTTTGCTCCCGAGTCACCTATTACGGCGGCCGCGCTCGCTTAACTCACCAGTCGCAGGCGGTTTCCGCCGGGGGTCTAGGGCTGTTTACACCCTATACCCTATCAGGCTTAGACTGTTCTGCCTGACGGAGGAAGTGTTCTTCCGTCCCGGCTGGATTCTTCTAGTTCTTCTTTTTTTTTTTCTTCCTCTATATAAGTTCATCTTTCCTCACACTTACTTTGATAATTAACACAACACAATGCTCATTAACACCTCAACTACAGCACTGTCTGTCTGCAACTAACACTGGTAAGCTACCACCATCTTCCCTATACCTTCTTACATGATGCCGTAATTTGCGATTGACCCAGTGTCTGTGAGCTCTCGCCGGAGTTTCAATGCAGCACTGACGCATGATATTTAATTCTTACATATTCTGATTCCAACTTCACACTACCTTGTTATCATCATCATCATTTGGTGTCCTGGACTAACATGTTGAAGATATTATAGGCCTGGAATACTCTTTTCCAACTCATCCATCGCATCGGCTACCTTATGGTATGTATTATTGTGTTTTTTTCTCACCCCCCGCCTATGATTACAACTTTGCACTGCCTAGATAGTATATGATGCCTCTGGCAATGATATTACTAGCATTATCACCAAGATCTCTGAGGGCTTGATCTCTACCATATTGTTTTACTCATCGCTTTTTGAGATGTGTGCTAACGTGGTTGAATAGGTTGCCTTATATGATAGTTTTATATTAATGATATGATTATATTGATTTGCCTATATTATTTCTTGTAAGACGTATTGTGGTTGTTAGGTGTAATACGGACAGTGATACGTAGTGGCTTTCAACTCCATATGACTCATGCTTTTATCTACCATGCCCAACTACAACTTTATTTGCTGGATGGAATACCGTAATTAAAAGAGAAAAAAAAGTAAAAATAGCTATAAAAGACCGCCGTAACCTGTCGTGAGGTCTGTCTATATCATTATATGCAATCACCCCTACGAGGATCCCCCGCTACCACCTCCCTGCATCGACGGCCCTTCCCGACTCAACACCCACATGAACACGAATTGCACCACGTAGGCGTAGACAAATAGGAACTGCGTGCGACGGTTGCGCTGCGACCGCGCCACCGTGTGCATCGATCCCGTGCGCATCGACGTGTCGCTCGTCGAATCCGGGAGGAGTACGTACTTCAGAGAACGGAGCTGGGAGCCAGGTTAGCGGTGGACGTTATAATACTTTCACACCAGTTCAGGGCGACTTACCAGGAAAAACGCATTAGCTAGGAACGTGTAGATGAACACCACCCACCCAACCCAGCTGTTGGTCCCCCGCCCCGGGGTCAGCACCTCGGACATCACCAGCGTCGCGATGATCCCGACGAACTTATAACCCGAGTAGGCCACCAGGTCCATCAGCTGTGACTCGTTGTTGATGCTGAGGATGTACATCGCCAGCTTCAGGCAGAGGATCTCAAACACCATCACCGCAATGGCCGTCGTGGTGATCGAACCGAGAAGCTCCGGGTGGAAGTGGCCGCGGAATCCGGCCAGCATCGCAGAGAGCAGGATGTAGGTCACCAGCGCCATCACCGGGATGTACATGTCGGGCGAGTTGAGGTCATCGCGCGGCGGGAGGAACATGGACGAGTACTGCTGCTGCGAGATCTGGCCATTGGGTCCGGTCGAAGCGGTGGTCAGGCGGGCTTGCTGGCGAGACCAGGGTTTGTGCCGCCAGGGGAAGAGCACCAGACCCAATTTATTGAGAACATAAGAGTTGGAGACGTTGAAGTAGTGCTTGAGAGCGGGGATCGACACATAGCGATTGATCTGGAGACAATGCACGTCAGTTGGGGCCATCCACTACCTCACGCTCGTACGAGTGAAATCGCTTACGTTCTGCTCCATGTAATCCTGACCAGCCGCCATGGCCGTCTTTCCCATCTGGAAGCCCATCTGCGCCGTGGGTTCGTTCATGAACCCCCCCAAGTCCTGGGAGTACGTCCCACTTCCACCCTGCGCCGGGGCTGGCTGGTACGGATTGCCATAACCCGCCATCTGAGGCTGTTGTGGGGCTGGCGGAGGGGCGAACGCATCATAGGCACGGTGGACACATGCTGAGGCACTGGATGGTGAAGTGGAGGTGACTGCGCCGGGGGTGGTGCGAACGACTGGCGGTACATTTTTGGATCGATCAACTGGAATCGGGAGAAAGGACAGATACAACACGAATCCACTGAAAGATGGAGACGGCAGCAGCTGATTTATCGCTGAAAAAGAAGAGTTATGGGGTAGGGTGAGGAGGAAGAAGAAGGGAAGAAGAAGATCAGCAGGGGAGAGAGAGAGAGAGTGAGAGCAGGAAAGTAACGTGGCTCCCGAGTCCGACAAGCTTCGGCTTCCGCCCGCAACCCATTCAGATATTACGCTGTCATCTACTTTCCCCACATCTTTCGCCTCCTTTCTCCTTCTTACGTCGTCCTTTAATATCCTCTATACAATTTATAATCTCTAATCGCATCATGTTGGAAACGTTTGAAATTTTCACCACCTCAGGGGTGGTCCTCTGGTCCAAATCCTACGCTCCTGTGGGGTCCCATGTGGTCAACAGCCTGATCAACGACGTTTTTATCGAGGAGAAGACGCAGCAGTCTCAGGTTCCTGGACTCTCTCCTGCTTACAAGAAGGAAAAATACACCTTGAAGTGGAAGCGAGTCAAGGAATTCAATCTCATCTTTGTGGTATGTAATGCGACTCCGGCGCCACCCCAATCCTCGACCGCTAGTCTGACCTCATCTTGCGACAGGCCGTGTATCAGTCCTTGCTTCATCTGGGATGGATCGACCGACTCTTGGAAAACATCTCGACCCTTTTTATCGATCTCTACAAAGACAAGCTCCTGGGTAACCGCGTGAGAATCACCGAGTACCCCTTCGACAGGTACTTCGACCAGCAGGTCCGCGAGCTGGAGGACAACACGGGCGTGGTGCCCCGGGCAGTAATCACCAGCGAGGATGACAAGAAAGACCCGTTGGTCTCGTCTGACAATGGGGGTCCCCCGCCTCCTCCCGTCCCCGGCCTCCTCAGGGCGCAGCTTGATGCTGCGCCGGGTGGGACCTCCGATGAGAGTACCCCCCCTCAGTCTCCGGACATTTCTCGATCATCGACACCGGTGGCGAGCCATATTCTGACCGCAAAGGGCGGTCCGGGCGGTCGTGTCTCCCGCCGTGCGCGCAAGGCCGCCAACAGCGCCAATGTTTCCTCCGGGGAGGAAAGTGTCCGCAAAGGAAAGGCGACGCCGAAGAGCGCCAAGAAAATGCGGAGGTGGGATGCGGATGGCCTTGCGGATGAGGACGACGGCACGGTGCTCGACTACTCCGCCCCCGCGGACGACGCTGCAGCCGCCCCGGCAGTGGAGGCGGTCTCCCAGGATTCCTGGGGCCGCCGGACCGGCAAGGGCCAGTTCGTTCTCAAGGATCTGGGCGACGAGGTCCATTCGATTCTGGAGAACGCCGACCAGGAGAAAGCCAAGACGTCCTCGACGGGCTTCGTTGGCTCGGGCTTCAATGCGATTGGCGGCATGCTCCGCGGCATTGTGGGCGGCAAGGTCCTGACGGAAGCGGACCTGGAGAAGCCGCTGAAGACGATGGAAGACCACCTGCTGCGGAAGAACGTTGCGCGCGAGGCGGCGGTGCGCCTGTGCGACGGGGTGCAGCGGGAGCTGGTGGGCAAGAAGACGGCCAACTTCCAAAGCGTGGATGCGGCGCTGCGCCTGGCGATGGAGTCGTCCTTGCGCAAGATCCTCACCCCCACGTCATCGCTGGATCTGCTGCGGGAGATCGACGCCACCACGTCGCCCACAAGCAAAGGAGCTGCTCCCCGGCCGTACGTGATTTCGATCGTGGGGGTGAACGGCGTGGGCAAATCGACCAACCTCGGCAAGATCTGCTACTTCCTGCTGCAGAACAACTACCGGGTTCTGATCGCCGCCTGCGACACGTTCCGGTCGGGCGCCGTGGAGCAACTGCGGGTGCACGCCCGCAACCTGAAGGAGCTCGGCGCGCGCGAGACCGCCGGCGACGTGGAGTTGTACGAGAAGGGGTACGGCAAGGACGCGGCCAACGTGGCCAAGGACGCCGTGGAGTACGGAGCCGCCCACCAGTTCGACGTGGTCCTGATCGACACGGCCGGCCGTCGTCACAACGACCAGCGGCTGATGTCGTCCCTGGAGAAATTCGCCAAGTTCGCTCAACCCGACAAGATCTTCATGGTCGGCGAGGCCCTGGTGGGCACGGACAGTGTCATGCAGGCGCGCAACTTCAACCAAGCCTTTGGCACGGGGAGGAACCTGGATGGCTTCATCATCAGCAAATGCGACACGGTGGGCGACATGGTTGGTACATTGGTGAGCATGGTCCACGCGACGGGGATTCCCATTGTATTTTTGGGAGTTGGTCAGCACTATGGGGATTTACGAGGACTCAGTGTTCCCTGGGCGGTGAACCTGTTGATGAAGTGATATTCTTCTTGAGTTTTATAATTAAATGATTATACCATAATATGTCGTCATTGAGTAGAGGAGCCTCATATAGTATCTGTATATTTATCTACTACGTAGTATACAAGTTGTGTACCTGAAATACGGCTGAGTCATATCTTACATCATCCCCGCATTCCATGACGCTTCGCTGGTCTCGATTTGATCGCCGCATCGCAAACTTCTTCTCTCTCTCTCCAGTCTTCACTTCTGCCTCTCTTACCCTCCTGCGGATTTCTAGTCCTCTTGCCGAACCGCCTTTCTGATACCTTTGAGCGGACAGGTCCAATTGTCTCCGTGGTCCGGGGCCCTCCAACCATCACCTTGGAGGCGGCCGTGGAGCCTCGAGTCGCCAACAACTAAGGGTTTGAAACTTGCCTGTACGCACTGCGAACAGTCGCCATGAAAACTACCGAGAGAGATCAGTTCGCTCGGCGACACTCGTCTACCCTACACTATCAGACTTTCGACACCCCGCCACCCAAAGGCCGGGGAAGGCCCACCTCGCGCCAGTCCGCATCCTCCGATGGCTATTCGAACCACCCGCAGAGCGACCCGCACGATGACCACCCGCCGCCACACTCCCCGTTACCCAAGATGCAAATGGCGGTGCTGGCGATGATCTCGTTGTGCGAGCAGACGGCCTTCAATTCCATCAGCCCCTACTTGCCGGACATGGCGTCTTCGTTCCCTGAGGTGGAGCCACGGATGGTTGGGATTTACGTGGGGACAATCGCGACCGCGTTCGCCATCGCGCAGTTCGTCACAAACTACTTCTGGGGCTGGCTGTCTGATCGGGTGGGCCGCAAACCCGTCATCCTTCTGGGGACCATCCTCACGGCCGTGGCCTTCGTCGGGTGGGGCTTCTGCAGGACCTTGACACAGGCCATTGCGGCCCAGGCCTTGATGGGGCTCGTAAATGGCAACCAGGGCTTGGTGTCTACGTGTCTGGGTGAGATCACAGACCGGAGCAACCAGTCCCAAGCCTTCACCTATCTTCCCGTTCTCTACGGGATCGGGGCCATCACGGGCCCCCTCCTGGGAGGCTTGCTCATCTTCCCCAATCTGCCGTGGGGAAGTCACGCGCCAAACCCATACCCGTATCTCGCCCCCAACCTGGTGGTGGCGGGGATGCTCGTGGTTGACTTTGTCTTGACGGCAATCTTCCTGGAGGAAAGCCTGGACGATGCCGAAGCCTTCCCGAAATTGGTTCACGAGAGGGTGCACGCCCTCTACGCATGGCTGTGGCAATTCATCAGCTACGCGAAGCGGGCCCGATTCGTGGAGCCGCCGCACGTCGCCGGCTATCGACCGATGCGAGCGTCCGACGAAGCCGGCTCCGATCACGACAGCGAGCTAGACTCGGCGTCCGAGGCATCCAACCCGCAGGACACGCCCCGCGAGTCCCTAACCAGCAGCGAGATCCTCAACCGCGACACCGTCCTGCTCCTCGCAACGTATCTGATCTTTGCGCTGTGCAACGTCGCCTTCAGCGCGCTCTTCCCCATCTTCTCGCAGGCGGCTCCCCCAACCGGCCGTGGCCTGACGCCCCAGGAGATCGGCCTCGCGCAGGGTTTCTCCGGGCTCGTGACCATCCTCTTCCAGGTCTGCCTGTTCGGCAAGCTGCGCGAGAAGATGGGCAACCGCTGGTCCTATCGGATGGGGCTCCTGGGATTCGTCATCTCCTTTATATTGATGCCGTTCATCGGCTACAAGGGCCAGGACGGTAAAGCCGGCCATATCACGGCCAAGACCGTCTGGATGGTAGTCGAGCTCTGTTTCGTATTGCTCATCAAGACCATCGCGTCCGTGGGCGGTCTAACCAGTGCTCTCCTATTGGTATGTTCTTATCTCTCCCACTTTGACCCCACAAATGAATATTGAATAAAATGCTAACAATCAACAGATCACAAACTCCGCCCCCGACCACGCCGTCCTCGGCGCCCTGAACGGCCTCGCCCAGACCCTCTCCGCCGCCGGCCGCGCCGTGGGTCCCTTCCTCTCAGGCGGTCTCTTCTCCCTCGCGACGCGCATCAAAAAGGGCGAAGCCCTCGCCTTCGGCGTCTTCGCTGCCGTATCCTTCGTCGGATTCGTCATGAGCTTCGGCATCCGCGACCGGTCCCTCGAAGCGGACGGCTACGAAAGCGGCAGCGACAGCGATAACTATAAATCCGATGACGATGACGAAAACGAAGCCCCGGCTCCGTGATGGGCTACGCATCAAGGAAGCGATCTATTGATTTTCCCGTTGTATACGTATATACCAGGAGAGAATAGATCAGACAGACTGATTGGGGTCTGAGGTGGGGCGTAGTAGGTAGTAACGTTTACGACTTTCGACGAGATTTACGTTCTTTTGTCTGTGCCGAAAGGCACTTACTTTTTCTTTTTCTTCTTCTTCTTTTTCCTTTTACTTTCTACTTTCCTTTTTACTTTCTTCCGGAGATGAGGATGTTGTTGGATTACGATCCTCCTCTCTGAGCACTAGGAGATTTTGCATAAACGGTGTTTAGAATTTGTATTTTATAAACTTTTTTTTTCCTTTTACTCTTTTCTCTTTCCCTCCTTTTCCTTTCTCTCTCTCCATTCATATCCTCCCATCTTTTTTATTTTTAAGTTTAGGGGAAAGAAACAGACGACACTAAAAAAGGACGAAGGAAAGAAAGATAGACAAACAAGTCCTCGAGACGAGACAAGACAGGCTCAGCGAACCAACCTGACTGACTGACTTTATAGAACGAAACAAATTCCCAACAACAAACTCAAGAACAAAGCAAAAGCAGAGGGGTACAGTGACAGAGAATACACTACCAACATGTCCTGTGTGTGTGCCATGTACAAAAGAAAAGAGAAAAAGAGCAAGAAAGCAGGTGGATGGATGGATGGAAGACAGGCTTCCGTGTGTTGATACCTACCTACCTACCTGAATGCCTTAGGGAATTGAATAGACACTACAAACATGACTTCTGATATTCAAGACCTGGCTGAAAAATCCTATTCTTTCATCGCGTTGTGGTCGGTTTAGTTATCATGATGGATAGGATACACACTGTGAGATGAGTATGGAATTATCAAAAATGCACGATGTGTCGTGTAGATAAGAGGGAAATAAGAGAAAAGAAAATATTAAAGACTGTATGTGCGCCCAGCACACAAGAAGACAGAGCTATCGGATTAACTAGACAATGACGTATCTAGTCTAAATCCTAGCCCGATCTATCTATCTACTGCCTTCAACAGTGTAGTTAGTATAAATTATACAATAAGCCACTCCCTATCCAATCCAATCAAACCAATGAACCCGACTTGACCAACAGCCTAACAGCAACAACCATTGAATAACACACGAAACAAAACAAACACAAACAAAAAATACAAAATACAATGCAATCACTTCCACACCCACTCAATCACATACATGAACGCCTCCCCAAGATACCCCGGGAGCAGCAGGCCCAAACCCTGAGCATACTCGATCATCTCGGTATCCGGGCCTTGCAATGCGCGGAAGCGTTCCTTTTCGCCGTCGCCGGCCCGCACGCCTATCCGCTTGTCGATCGCCGTGCGGAGCATTTCCTTGCCGGGGGTGACGAGCACGTAACGCGCTCCGCTGGTGGGGGGCTGCGCTGGGAAGGATGGTCTGGATTTGGGGTAGTGTGGGCTTGGGAGTGGGCTTGGGATTGGGCTGAGTGGGTTTGCGGACGGGACGGGCACGTAGGTGATGGTTTCTTGGCGGTCGGGGGTTAGCCAGGGGATTGTTGCTGTGGAGGTGGTGCTGTCGCTGGTGGTTGTTGTTGTGGTTGTTGAAGATGTAGCTGTTGCTGATGCTATTGCTGCCGCTGTTGTGGGGGAGGGGGGCCGGTTGCTCGATGAGGCTGAGGCTGGATTGTCGACCATTGCGTACTGGATGTCTGCGTCGAGGGAGAAGAGGATGAGGGTGTTGGTGTCTGAGTTGAGCTTCATGCGGAAGGTGGTGAAGCTGCGCGGGTCGAGGTAGAATGTGTAGCTTGCGGTGATGTTGATGGGACGCGAGCTGTCCAAGTGTCGGATTTTGGAGATGGCTTGTTGGCGCGCAGCCGTTGGGCATTTTGGTTTCACGGCGAGAGACTTGGACTCGCGTAGCGAGACGGATGGGATGCAGTGGGGGAGGTGGGCCGCCAGGCCATTGCTGTGGCATTTGTCGCTGCAGAAGCGGAAGATCTTGCAGGCTGATGGGAGGTCAGTGATGGGAGGGAATTAGATACTGGGGAGGGGAGGGCTTACTGTTGCATAGGACCGTGGTGGAATTCGAACAGTGCTCGCACCGTCCTGGCTCGTGCAATCCCCACTCCTTGCGTTCTGCGGCCAGTAACTCCCGCCGTCGATTCAGTGCCGCGATCCGTTTCTCGGCGTAGCTGATTCGTGTCCGAGATTGATGCTTTTCCGGAGTGCGACTGGCCATGTGGACAAGTTGCTTGTAGGCGAGGATAGCCTTGTCGATGGAGTCTAGGTGTTCACGGGAGACGCACAGTGCGCTGAGAGCATCGAATGTCTCAGGGGCTTCGGGGCCTTTCACGACGAGGAAGTCCTCCACCAGTGTCTCGAAGAGCTCGGACGCATCACGGTTGAGGCCCGCGTCCATATAGGACCTGCCCAAGCGGTGGATCACCCGGAGGGCATCCGGATCCTGGGAACGCTGGTATTGCTCAAGGACGTCCTTGATCTCAGCGGGGAAGTCGAAGTTCTCAGAGGTCTGCAGATATCGCACCACAGCGTCTCTGGTGATAGGGCTGGTGATGCCGAAGAAGGTCCGGCAGTGGGGAATTGTTCGGCCGCTTATCGTACGGGACTCCTTGTCGAATCCAAGTTTTTGATACAAAAGAGATAGCTGGTTCATCGCGTTTAGGGTTGTGGCATTTTGTAGTCCAAACACCGTGTCGAGGGCGGGGACCGCCTGTTCTAGAAGAAGGAGTGCGGATTCGAGGTCTCCGAGGAGGACCTTCAGAGAAGCAAGGTCCTGCATGCTGCTCAGAGTTTCAGGCGCATTGTGTCCAAGAGTTTTTAGTCGACCGGCAAATGAGCGTTCATATAAAGCGGATGCCTCTGTGGCATACCCATCTCGTTCACAGAGGGCACCGAGATCGTGTAGGACGGCAAAATTCTTGGGGTGGTCTCTTCCCAGTGTTCGTTTGTAGAGCCCCAAGGATTCCAAATAGCATGCTTCTGACTCGGCCGGCATGTCGAGGTTACGATAGGCCTGGCCCAGAGAGTGCAAAATCGATGCCCGTGACAACCGATCTACATCGAGGGCCGGTGCATTGTCGAGCAGTCTCAAGGCATCGTGATATTCAACCACTGCACCTCGGGCGTTTCCGCTTTTTAGCGCTGAGTCGGCTCGTAGTCGTGTCGTGAGGACTCGGGAATGAATATTTGCCGCAGCCGATTCGTCTTTCACTCGTAAGAAAAGCAGCGCGACCTCATCTATCGAGAGGATCCTTTGGCGGCCAGAGACGTCGTGAATGACTACGCCACCGGGCAGGTGTTGTAGGTGAACAAGGATGTTCTGACTCCCCCGAAGCAGGGCAATGTACTCTGCATCGGAGATGGGCGAGGGAGTAGCTGACTGCCTGTCGGCGGCCTGCAAGGGCTGCGAATCGACGGAGTTTCGTACGCTTTCGATGGTATGCAGCTTGTCTTCGTTCTTTGGGTGCCTCCCTACTAAGGAGAATCGGATGGTGTTTGCTCGTTTAATCAACCGTTTGCCTTTGTTTGATGTGGAGCGTGACCGTGATATCCCTGACCTAACATAAGTTTGAGATCTTGGTAAAGGGTCTGGAAGCGTACCTTTAGGGCTCATGCGCCCAAAAATTCTCTGGAGAAGAGTTTGTTTTCGTGGTGACAGACGTGGGTCGCACGCAGCTTCGTTTTTCATATACTCATCCCCTGTGTTGGCTAGATGGTTCCGGTGATGCTCATCTTCCTCACACAATCCCTTTTTGGGGTCTGCTGCCATTAGATCGTGAGGGACTGTCGGCAGTCAGTGTCATGTTGAGACCACAACAAGTCGTTCCTAGTTTCCTTACCGCTGGAGGTGAAACTCGCATTCGACTGCAGGACATGGGCCCCTAGTCCGCACGCTTCGAACTGCTGATAGATACCGTGAGGCGCGTGGACTATGCTGGATCAGTATTATGGAAGATTAAGTCCGTTGCGAAGCCTTACTCCTTTCCAGGTCGTACAGCCCGGCGAAACTTATTGCAACCAGCTCGTCTTCGTCGCTCTGGGACGTTTCTGGATAGGGTTAGTGCAAGTACTTCAACGCATGACAAGGGCGCAGCATACTTCTGAAAGACCACGAGTCCCGTATCCGTCGAGCCCTCTTGGCGAGGGTCTGCTCGCCATTTGGACTGGCGGTCATGGAGATTCTGGACCCTAGGGAGCCCTTCTGGCCAATGCTGGGACTCCGACTGCGAGCGGCACTGGCCGTTGTGTCTCGAAAACTGGCATCGTCCCGTGGATCGTTCAAGATCGGCTCATATCTAAACAGAGGTTAGGCAAGAACGAGACGACGCGGGTCCAATTCTAGGCAAAACTGACGAGATGTTACAATTTTCTCCGCAATTCTTGCAATCGACGAAGGATGGCGTATCTGTGCAGGCGGGTTAGACGGCTTGGAGAAGATAGTCAGATCCCTAGAGACTTACCCCTTGGTCTCTCGATTCGCTCGTCTTCAGGCCCAATGGCAAAATGTCTGTCGCAGTGGCCGCAAAAGAACCGGATCGGTCGACAATCGAAGGACACCAGTCGCTTTTCCATGCGATAGCCCTTGGTGATCAGACTGCAGTTTCAGTCAGCATGGACTGCCCCGACATGGTGACAAACAGAGAGCTTTACCGGTCTCGGGTCATCACATAGACAGCGACAGCAGCGCCAGGGCAAAACCTGGTCAGGTAGTGTTGTTTTAATTCGTTCCTATGGATTGGTCAAATCAACCATCGTCCATACATCCGCAGGGTGGGCTTCAATATACTGTGAAGAATAGACGGCGTCGCAATCCGGGCATTTGACATCCACGGCCCCGAGGGTTGCTCCGTCGTCATCTCGAAATGGTGGGAACAGGCGCAGTGCTTCCTGGAAGTTCTCGACACCGGGTGATGGGTCCTGCGCGTCTAGCAAGGCACGTGGGCGCAGGTTAGTTCTGCCGTCTGGAGAGCTCCAAATACAAAGATAGACAGGGGGCCAAAAGCATACCGTCGACAGACCTGCCTGACAAAGACAATAGGACATCTGAAGCCCGTAAAATCAAGGGCTTGGCTCCTAAGCGTGTAGAAGAGCCGTGGGGAGCGTCTCCAAGGACGATTTGCTTTGCGAGTTCCTTTTTCGCTTCACATTGTATCGATTGGTTGTTATCAACGGCGCCCCTAGGAATAGTTAGTGCCCATTCATCCGTATCGTACGTTGGTGTCGCCAAATTGGAGGATCGCACCGGTCAGTGGGCGGCGACGCGCCCTGACTGTAACCCATGGTCGTCATCGCGAGAGGAGAGAAGACACGACGACGAAGGGGAGACAAGAGAAGCAGCAACCCGAGTGCTTACAGTGTCCTGGAGGATCAACACAAAAACACGAAAAAGAAAGTCACTGTCCTGGGAACGGGTGAGGCGTCATTTTTGAATAAACGGACGATCTGGCTGTATGTAGGAGAAGCCACCAACGCACATATGCGGGTTCAACGGTGGACTCTGTTCTTCTCCATGGGGACCGACACCAGCAGGCCAGCGGTCAACGGGCGTCCCGCATACTTTCTTGTTTCAAGGAGAAATATGGGAGGGAAGATTTCTGGGAGCCCACGCTTGCCATCCCTCGCATCCCAGTGGGCCAGGGGAGAGCAACCCCCATTGGAGACGAGTCAGGGTTGAAACTGAGTTGATCGAGCGATAGGACACGCCCTGGAGACGCGACTGGGATGTGATGGCAGGGCCCAGCTGGTTTGCGTCCGTCCCCTTGAGCTTCCATGGTGCCCAATGCGACCACTTGGTCGATCGACTATCGAATTATATCGGACCGAAACCAAGCATTATTGCAGGCGCCAGAGATCCATCCCTCTGTTCCTTTCTTCTGTCCCCTCGTTTCGCTCCCTGGCGCGACGCTGTAAACACAGTGCCCCTTGCGTCGAAGGCCCAGAGATTCATCCAACTCCTATCTTCGCCCTGTGATGGCCCTTTCCCCCCTTCCCTTCCCTTCCCTTTTCTTCTGCTATGCGCCTCGTTCTTCCATTCTTTCCGACCGAATTCTTTCCCCTCCGACTATGGAGTCACATTCTCTTGGCTCAACAGTTGTGGCATCTCACCTGTCATCAGCACTCATCTGATTCGGCAAACAAGAGACCATATTGCAAATGATCGGCGTCCGGAGCTGCATCCGCAACTGACATGTCACAAGGTGCTCAGGCCTGACCCAATAATTGAGCAACAATGCCATAGTCAAGGCAATAGTCAGTTGTCACGTCAGGATGGATCTCGCCAGCAGATGATCACCCGTCGATCCAGTTAGAGGTCTGGGTGATCCTCCTGCGTCGAACTTGTAGATGACGATGGATGTGGTCCGACGCAGAATAGATGCCCGGATGCCCCACAAGTGCTCACCTGGTCAGATCCATGGAGCATCGCACGAACATATTGGACTTGAATGGCCGAATCACGGTGTGAATGGGTGGAAAGTGGAAACAAGTGTCGGACTGCAGAACGGTTCTAAGACCGATACCACATATAGTCAGTCAACAACCCTGTACTCTTTCTCCACCGACCAGCTCCTAGCCCGATATCGTTCAAGCTGGATCCACCTGATTGAACGATTTGTCAAGCAGCGACGATGAACCAGCCACACATAAACTCGACCGATGGATTGATTGACTGCTAAATCGATCAATCAATTAGATTCTCCCTCGCAACGTCAAAGTCAAAAACCAACGACATACGAAGTAGAGTCCACCAACAACCCAAGATCGATCCGACCAGTCAATCAATCATCCATCGATCAACCCCCATTATCAACCACCACTGCCACCAAGTTCAAATACACCTTCGACTTCCCTGCATCCCAATCAAGCCACTAGATTTCCCCAGAAACTCTGTTCAAAGCTATCGGACCAGCCTGTAAGGCAAGGAAGAACACCGCTGACGTTAGCCAGAAAGCAAAGCAAGCAGCCAGCGCGAGGAGACTAACTATACTTTAATATGGGAGAGTTTATATTCCCGCATCGTCCGTGTCCTTGTCCTTAGCGGAATTGGCTGGGCTGGTAATTGCGATTTGCAAGGCTATCAATTGATAGTGGCAGAGTGGTGGAGAGTGAGTTTATGGTTGTTTTGTGAAGGGGAGAGAAGGAGTGGAAGGACGAAGGACTGGTGGGTGAGGTGAGACAAAGAGAATGGTTGCGCCTTCTCTGATGCTTAGAAATAAACCATGCGTGGACTCGCCATCCGACCTTGTAGGACCTTACAGGGTGTTTGGAAGGGGGGATAATATGAAGTTAATACAGTGGTTTCTATTGTTATCGTTCTGTTGGCTAGAAACTAGAAATCGTAGAATAAGGTCAAGGTCAAGATCCGCACATATAGCATCTGTTGAACTTGCTATTACTACTATGAAATAACGACAGACTCCATACCATGCATATCATAATAGATAAAAGGACGCATCAAAAGCCAAGAACAGGTACCGATCTAAGCACGGAAAAGGAGACAAAGTACTCGTCGACAAGACAGGTCCGTTGCAGCACGTGAATGAAGGCTTATTTTACTCCAAGTAAATGAAAATTGAAGGATTGTACATAGTGGGTATCAAAACTGGATCGACCCTGGATGAGAATCCGAGGGGAACGCTCAACTAACATATAAAAAGGAGATGACGAAGGAAAAGAAAAAAAAAAGCAAACGTATAAAACATACAGGCTCCTGCGTATAAAACAAGTTTTTGCCATCACAAATAAAAAAAATCCCAGAGAAGGGCGATGAGAAAACATGGGAAAACATTAATTCAGGGGGAAAATCGTGACTCGCTCAAGCCCATCTCCAGCCTGCGTTGGCCGCTTCCTGGCTGGAGATGACCGAGGAAGCTAGCTTGCTTTTCTTTGAGCGGGTACTGCTCTTCTTGAAATGCATGGAGAGGCCGATGCCGCGGGTCGTGTTCTTCTGCTCCTTCATGAGCAGCGCGATGGCAGCGTTGGCGTTGATGCCATCGCCACCGTCCGTGACTTTCAGCGCCCACTTGGCGTCTTGCTCCTGGAAGCCATAGTCCCGGACCATCACTTCGATGGCTTGGTCGACGGGGTCGCGGACTTGTGGTTGCCACGAGTACGAGGGGCCGGCTACTGCTGGGTGGGGCGGCGGCTGAGTCGCCAGGGGAGCGTGGTTTGGAAGATACTCAGCAGACGAGGAAGAGGAGAGGCTTGGCGGCGGGGGCGAGGATGCCATGGGGGGTGCGATGTTGTGGGCAACGTACGACGCGGTGGAAGCGGATGGGACCGGGGGCGGCTTGTCGTAGGGAAGACCCTCGAGGCGAGTCATGATAAACGAGTAGCTGGATATAGGGCGCTCGTCACCGAAGGAGATATCGCGCGAGGTCTGTGGCCGATTGCGTCGGTCACGGAGCTGATTCGCGTAGATCTTCTGTCTCCGACGGTGACTGGGCAGAGGAGTCATGTTGATGGCAGGTTCGGTGCCATTTAGGGAACGGCTGTCGCGAGAATTCGGCCGACTGGACGAGCTGGAGCTAGATGAGCTTGACACGGCCAGAGACTGTCGAGTGGGGTGAGTGGTATCCGGTATGTAGGCTTTCCGCACGGCGTCTTTGAGGAACATGGAGCGGCTGATGCCAGATTCCGGTTGTTCCCACCGGGTCAGCCCCATCGCTTGCGCTTGTTGAAAAGTATCCACGGGATTGTCGACGGGACTGATGGACCCCAGGTTCAAGACCGCCGTGGGACCCAGCGTGAGGATGTAGTAAGTCCACTCCTCTACAGAAAATGTATTAGCATGAGGTCAAAAAAAAAGGGGAAAATCAACGCCGGTCTACTCACCCAACAGAGCTTCCTCCTTGGCCGGATCGTTGTCCGGCAATCCGTGCCCTACAAAAACCCCGGCATCACGGGCTTCCTTGCATCTTCCATGGATCGGTTGCAGGAGCACGCCCAGACAGGTCCAAATCTCGGTCATATCATACTGCTGCTCGGGCGACAGGCCACCCGGATTTCCTTGACCGAATCCGTCCGGGGGCTCGAAGAGCACGCTGTCCATGCCGAACGGCTCGGTCACGGAGCACGCCATGAATTGGTGCCGGGTGCGCGCCTGCAGCCCGCCACGGAGCCAATCCAGCTGACCGTCCGTGTCAGCCTCCCGGTTCTTTCCACAGCCGAAAAGACGGCAGAAAGTCCAGATCCTCCAAAAGGCGTCGTCAACGGCCGCGGCGCGCGCATCGCTCGCCCCCGTCAGCCCCTGGACCGTCTCGGGCCGGAGGAAACCGCCACACCGTGCGAGAAGAAGGGACTTGAGCTGGGCCAGGGTAAAGATATCCTGTCCGTACCGTTGCAGGTAGAGGGACGGCGTATAATCGGGCACGGGCGCATCGGGGTCGACCAGGATGTGCCACTCACTAGCCCAAGGAGGACTCATCTCGCGGAGCTCCCACGCGGCCGGGGACATGGTGTATAGGGCATTTTTGACCAGGTCTAGCTCGCGTTGCTTGAACACCCGGTAGAATTGCTTGGATACGAGCGCGAGGTGGAAGAGGTCATCAAGAGAGCGCACGTTCTCGAGAAACTGAAGCGCCACCTTGTCAGGGATGCCGGCGGGCATCGTGAGCTTCCGGCGGGATGCACCGACCGCCGGAGAGAATGTTGAACCCTTAAGGGCGGAGTGGGTAGGACCGCCGGCATCCAGCTCATACACCATTTCGAGGCCCATAGCGTAGTCCATCTCCACACGGCCACTCCCGCTCCCAGACTCCCCGGGCACCTGTTTGCTGGATGCGACGAAGATCTTTTCTTCCGAACACATTGACTGCACCGACTCGATGGGCCTGTCCGTCCCGGCAGGGCGTTCTCCGTGATCGGGCTCTGACGGTTGGGGATGTTGGTTGATCTCCTCCTGTGGTTCCGGCACGGGCTGGTCAGACTTCCCCCCCGTTCGTCCATTTGCGGGGAGGGCCTGAGTGTCCAGGCGGGGGAGCTTGAGACGTAATTCTCGCGCATGCGACAGGGAGTCCGGACTCCACGGGGCTGTTGGGGTGACGGATCCGGACATCGTGGCGGTCTCGTGGATCGGTTCTTTGTCCGCTTCCTTTGTCGTCTCGCCGCCCGCCTCTTTGTTCGTCGACTCCGCTGTCGCCAGATCATCCTCTTCCTGGATGGATTGGGTCTGAGGCCCCGGAGTGCTGGCCGAGCGCACATGCGAACGATAGTACTTTTTGCTGAGTCGTCGCACGGCGAGGCTGAAAGAAGGCGAGGTTGGGCTGCGTTTCTTGACCGGCGAAAAAGTTTCCGCCGAGCTGGATTTGCGCGTGACCTTGACTTGGATCTGGGCCTGGTCGACGGGAGGCTTTGGGGCCGGCCGGCTCGGCGTGAAGTCTGTGGTGCACCGACTAATTTGCAAGGGTCCGTCCAGGACGTACACAAACTTCTGGGGGTAGGGGTTTCGATCCGGTTCGTGGTCGGTCAGCACCGCCAGCGTGTCTTCCAGTTCGCGGGCCGCCTGGGAGAATGTGGGCCGGTGACCCGTTGGGATATCTCCTTCCGACTGCGTTCGGGCGGCGGCGAGGGGCCCACCGTGGCCACTGGAGGTGGGCCAAGAGGAAGGGTGTCGTGGTTTGGATCGGATAGCCAAGGGAGGCATTTCGGATGATTCGGGGAGGGGAGGGAGCGGCTTTGCGGCTGTCTCCGGCGAATTGAATCTGGCGTGGGAACGCGAGATGGCCCGTCGCACGGCCACTGGGTCGGAGGTCGAGGAGTCGGAGCGTCGTCTCGTCGAGCGGCGACGGCTGTTGGGCGGGTCATCGAAGACGCCGGCCATGGTGGGTGAAAAGACCGTATACGAATTTGGCAGCGGCTTGCTCGGCGACAGAGTCGGCTCTGATTCCACACTGGTGACCGACGAGCGGCGACTGTAGCACGACGACGCGCTGTCGGGGACATCGTCCGAGAGGACGGAAGAACAGGTCAGGCCGGCCGAATTGATGGGTTCGTGATAACTGTGGTCGATGTCCTGCGAGCTGACCTGCGTCGTGACGTGAGCGAGGGACTTCACGCCGACATGCGGCTGGAATGTGAGCTCCGGGAAGAAGCGGCGCCATCGCGTCCCCGACCATGCTGGAGGCTGCTGACCCGACAGCAACACCGGGGAAATCGAGCGGCCACCTTCGCCCATTTCGTTATCAATGAGCCAGGAGTCATCCTTGGACATGTTATGAACTGCGAGAGACGACTTCCGACGCATCACCGGTTCTGATTGAGTCGAACTGGGCAACGACAGGACGCTCATGTCTGAGATACTCCTTTCCGAGATGCTCCTTTTCGAGATACTCATGGTGGGCGGGTCAAGACTCTGGGCCTGTTTCGAGATAAACAGAATCGCTGGAGAATATCGAGGATGCAACCCAAGGCTATGCCGTTCTCTTTGTACCAGAGTCGTCTTGTTTCATGTCATTGATGTAAGTAATCAGTGTTCTGCGATAGGCATGGGTTCCACGCTACTTCCAGGGAGTGTCGGAGCTGTTTTCTTTCGTCTTTATTGTTCTTCGGTTCGTACGACAATGCCACCGTCGCAGTATGCCTTGCTACTTGTCCCCGACGAAAGCCTTCTGGCTGATGTAGGGCTCCAATGGTCGGGAGGCTGACGGGAGAAGGTTCCTCGAACCGGGGCGATGATTTGGGTGGTCTTTGTTTCCCTAGGATGGGCGTTCGGACGATGAAGCACGACGGAGAAAGGATCCACGAGACCGAGAGACTAGAACAGATTAGACCCAGTCCAGGAACGGCACCACCATTAATCACGGACAGGAAGGATGAAGAGGAAGAAGCTCAGGAATCCAAACGAGGAGGCCAGAGGCCCGGTGGGTAAACTGGGTATAAGAAAGAACTCGGGACACGTACCATCCTCCTCCGACCATAATCAGAGCTGGAGGGCTTGGTCGATAAGTAGGTAAGGTCATGACGGACCTAACCAAGACCTTGTGGGGCGCAGTGAGATCCTCGTTCGCAGGGAGGGAATTGAATCCATCCCGAGCCAACGATGCAAGGGCTTTGGACTAAGAACTGTACTGGAATTAGTATAGTGGCAACGATCCTCGGACGCGGAGAGCATTCACCGGAAGGCAGACTGATTGGTCCAAGCGTACGAGTTTGTCCACATCCAGGGTGTCAGAAGATAGCGTCGTGGGCATTTTCCTTTTCCTGTGTGGCCCCCAACTATGAACTATTGAAGTCTTTGAACTTCTTCAGGGGGGGCGGAAAAGCGGGCCATGCCTGGTGGCCTCAGTGCCTGGGTGCTCAGGTTGCTCAACCACTGGCTGTCATCCTGCATGAAACTAGACCGAATCCCGTCACATCACACCTCATCCTCCATCCCTTCTATTGATCATGGAATAGCTGATTCGGATCCGGGAGAGGATGGGAAATTTCCGGACTGGTGAGACGGTCGAGTTCAGCGCTCATGATTTCCAGCGTGATTGATACATGATGCCATTCAATTCATCGCAAATTCCTAGATTTATTAATAGATTCTAGATGTCTTGCCCGGTTTGATGCATGGTGGACGCCCATGAGCAGCTGTCGCTTCCCCACCCCCTGCAGTGGAGTTCTTATTTTGGGAATTCGAGAATGCGCCGGCCCGGCCATACACAGTCACTGCAGTCAGATATGGAGGACCCACCATGTGTCCTCATGCTGCGCCTTTCGGCTTGGATCGACATCGTATCTCTCCCGAGTCGGCCAAAAGGGCACAATACTGCGCTAACCACACCAAACGGCACGCTAGCTGATCCTAGGGTCTGGGGGCGAGACGGGAAGGGTAAATTACGGCGCCCAGTTGGGGGGGCTGTGTTTGATGCAGATTGTACTGCATACTGTGCAAGAACGCCTGGACTCTCTGTTGATCCTTGCTCTCCGGTTCACTGCCCGTGGGGCGAGGATATCTACATGACAATTTGGTTCTGGGCATTGGTTTGGAGTCTTACTCTTCTGTATTTCGTCTCCCTAATACCCCAAATGACTCCTATTCCCATCACTGTGATTACTGATTAGTTATGCACGGGGTGGGCACGGTAAGCTCAGACCAGCAACTTCCACGTTACCCTCATGCAAATCAGTGTGGGGAACATGACCAGTCGGACACTGCTCGCCTTCTGCAGGATGGGAATCAGAAGAAATTACGCTTCAAGATTCGGGCTATTTTTCGGCCCCGACACTAACCTCCCTCCGGAGTAGCGCATGGCCCCGTCTCGAGCAGGGTTCTCTCTGGCATGACTAAATGCTACCGATCATCGTAGTATAAACGAGGGTGGGGGGGTGATGATAGCTCGGAGCTAAATAGGGCTGTGTCTGACCTCAGCCATAAGAGCTAACAGAGTAAGTAAATAAGAGCAAGCGAAATGGTAAGGCAGACGGCGGGTCCAACACCACCAGCCCCACGGCTGATGCCATGGAGGGTGTCATCATCGTGGAATGGGGGTTGGGGGCAAATTGGCTTGGACATGGCCCCAAAAACCAACATCATCTTGTCCGGGATGGCATCACCGTCGTCTTTATCCGGTTGATTCTATCGTGAGATACGATGCCAACCACCGAAATCAATTATCAGTTCCCAAAGGGTACTCCCGAGAATGGATACACCTGTTGCCCCGTCGGACCGGGCAAGTTTTCGACACCGACAATGTCCGGCCTAAACCTTAGGTCCAACCGGCTATCGTGATATTCACGATCGGCCAGGATTTCATCCTCCCAGTCTAGTCGCCACTACCAACCAACGCGGTTAGAGAAAAAGCAAATGAACTAATCTAATCACACAGGTAAATGAGAGACCAACATGGCAAGATGTTACAAATGACCTCGTGGCCTACCCGGGCAAAGCCATATAATACTACTCGATATGCACCTCTGACCACTTGACCAAACCACCACAGACAGGATCGTCGAGGAAACTCGTCATTACTCTCTTCCCCTCCACCACTCGAGAGCACTGCGCACCACAGCACTGCACTCTCGGGCGACTCTACCGGGCGTGAAAATCCCTCTGCCCCCTCCCTCATTGAGAAACCCACAACAGGGAGAAGGATGAAAGACGCCCGTGATCCAGCACAAACCTGAACAAAGCGTTTTCGAAAATGTAGGGGTCAGTCATATCACCCAACCGAATCAGGTCATCAATAATCAATTCATACGATATAGTAAAGATTAGTACAATAAGACCTCGCGTAGTAGCTATCCGTAATATAGTAGTCATCATGTCATACCTACTTTAGAAAGTAAGGTAGTGATATTGATTATAGTGGTGATTTTAGCCCCAACCTCCCGTATCTTCCAACAAAAGAATATTATAGTAACGGGTAAAAAGTAGGTAAAGACAGACAAGACCCTCTACGGATTCACCCTCTAGGTAGTATTTTCCGACATCAACAAACTAACCCTCCAAAGCTCGGATGATCGGCATAAGCGATACTTACGCACATGTTTGTCTAGTGCTCACGCGAGAATACTGCGGCCCTCTTGGAGGTACTACTGTAGGTGGGGATCCGATTGGGTCGTTTAGATTGAGGATTATTCGCTGCTGACGAAGACGGTGGATGGTGGTGGGGGCGTTTTTTAGATGAAGAACGGGGATTAGGTTTATTTATGGATACTTTTTTTATAGTGTTTCGGGGCTTTGGTATTAGGTGTGGCTAGAAGCTCGTTGAGTGTGAGGATACGAGGTTAGATGGTCCTTGATGGTGGATATACGAGAAACACGGTCTGTCTGTCGACAATATATTGTATACGAACTCTAAGGATATATTTAGGCTATGTCTTGGATATCTGTCCTCGACAAGAAGAAAGGTATTGTTTCATAGTTCAGCTCAGATAAAAATATATACCATACTATACTGCCCAGAGTACGAAGCCGAATGATGTCACCAAGCCGGGGCATTAGAAGATATATCCATCCCTGCACTGGCCACACAGTCCAGAGACTGGCAGACTAACAACGTCATATCAGCATCTCGTCAGTCGACACGGACTCAGCTCACTCACGCTGCTCAGCCTGCTCAAACTGTGGATTCTCCCGCCGTTTCCGCATGGCCGGGTGGATCTGACTGCCCTGGGCCTTCTCTAGCTTAACGTGCTCCTGGAGACGCTCGAGGATCGCCGTCTGATGGCCTAGTATGCATAGCGTTAGTAAGGACGCGATTCACCAACTGACTATACTGTGTCAAAGCTCACCTTCTGACTCCTTAGAAGCAGACGGAATGTAAGACTCTCTGGAACAATATCCGGATTAGCTGACCGCATCTTTAAACGGACGGAACGGTTCAAAACTATACCGAGAGGCGTCCGTAAGCGTCCGATACTCAACTTCGATTTCTCGAACGTTCTCTTGCAGCAGCACCATTAGCTTATCCATGGTTTTCTCAACCTGCGCCTTGCTCGCGCGCTCGGAGCAGTGCAGATCGCACCGGACCAGTGTCTTCTCCGGAGCCAGCGGCAGCAAATTAATCATATACCACCATCGCGTGCCGTGAATTGTAGCAACCGACGTAGTAGGGAACAGCGTACAGCTGCCTTGTCGTCGTTGAAAGCAATTGATCAAGTTCGCCAGCCACGGCGTTGGCGCAACCTCTTTTTCCAGTCGTTGGGTGTCCAAGTGCAGCAACTTGACTACATAGCATCAGGTATCATATCAGCACATACATACTCCCGTAGTTCCCCACAAGCAGGATGGCAAAAGACCCACCTCCCAATTTCCAATTGAAAGCCCCCTCAATAGCCCCCCCAGCCACCCAGGGAGAAGTATTCCGCGACACAAGCCCACCTCTCCCCGCAAAAGCATCCAACAGGCCCACATCCGGCCCCTCCACCGCCGTCACGACCTCCAAATTAACAAACACAAACCCGGCGCCACTCGTCACCGCGCTGATCTGGAACAAACCGTTCTGCGCCTTATCAAAGCTCGGCAGGCCATCAAAATGCGGGGCCTTGATCAGCGCGCCGAAGGTATTGTAGCTCCAGCCATGGTAGCGACAGCCCAGCACGGGCGTCGACCCGCTCTCTTTCTTGGTGATCGTGTAGGCACGATGACGACAGACGTTGTGGAATGCGCGCACTTCGCCGTCTTTACCGAGGATGAGGAAGAGGGGGAACCCTGCTAGTGTGAAGGACTGGTAGTCGCCTGGTTTATGGAACCGGCTGCGGTGGGCGAGGCAGATCCAGGTCTGTGCGTTGGGTTAGCTTTGGGTTGAGAGGTTGTGTGCTTCTTTTCTTTTCTTTTCTTTCCCTTTTCTGGTGATGGAGGGGGCATACTTTGCTGAAAATGGCCCGTTTCTCTAGCTCGAAGGTCTGGGTGCCTACGAGCCAGTCGAGTGGGAGATCGGGCTCTTTGAATACCCCGTGGGTTGACGATTCTGATGCGTCTGAGGTAGATTGAGTGGTCATAGGCTTTCTGGAAAAGAGCGGCTTGGTGCTCCAGAGTATCGGTCGTGACCATCGCTGATAGAGGAATATAAATCCCGCCAGGAAAGCCAGCAGAATGGCACTAAAGCTATCCATGATGAATGGAATATCAAGGGGTTGCACCGAACGACCGAGAGACTTGTTGGTCTTGAGCTACTGTAAACCTCGATGGTCGTGAGATGGAGGACACGTCGCGGACTTGAGGAAAGCTTTAAGCAACTCGACGATGCTGGACGATATCAGACCTCAGAAGAAGGCGCAGATCATCATCTCCGCCATGAATGACACTGACAGTTCTAGGCCCACCGGGACAGCTGGAGACAGCAAATGGTAATTGCCCCTCATCGTGTTGCCAGATCGGGAGGGGTTTTCCAGTGGCCGTTTTTACTTATCTGTTGTACTTTGCGGACTTGGCTCAAGTTGATACTGTCTAGTATGTATCGTTCCAATATCAATCTGGCAAATGACGGCGTTCATTTTTATCATATCTAGGACCTGAAAAGATACAGTGCTACTCTCAATTTTCAAGACTAAGTAATTGTGACCTTCATGATTCCTTTGGGCTTATCTGTCTGTTACGCAGCGGCTTCGACGTGTCCAGGATACTCCTCTGACCCCGTCAACTGGCCAGCCTTGGGGGGTGCTTGATCCTCCGCATGCTGCTGACAGACCATCTCAAAAACACGGTTTTGATAGTCTTCACGGGTCAGTTGATATCATCTAAGGATTCTCAAAGAAAAGGTTATGACAGAAATTAACGAGGATATACTAACGAGATACACCGTTTTCTTTCTCCGGATTGAGAATACCCTCGGTGTAAATTCCCATTCCAAGATTGTGCTGGGCTTTCTCGCATAGCTCAAAGTCCTCCAATGCCACCTGGCGCACAAACTTATAGTAGTCTTCGAACTTGTCGCCGGACTCCATATGGTAGTAGTCGAACTCCATACGGGTCACAGTAGGATCCTCGGTGGGACAAACGCGGAACGACGACATGCCCCCGCCGTACACGTTCAGCGTGCAGTTGGGGAAGAAGTATAGGAATAGCCCGTCGTCCGCCTTGTTGGGATCGGCGATGTGCTGCGAGAAGTTCTTGTGGTTGTGCACCATGTACGTCGTCGGCGGGTAGTAGACCGAGAAGGACGGGTGCGTGTACTGGCAGTGCAGGCACTCCTGGTAGCCGTCTACCATGGTCTTCCAGTTGAAGCGTCCCTCGTAGCTGATGCTCCGCTTGTAAGGTAGCCGCGTGAAGTCCACTTTGGACAGAAGTGGCTCCAGGTCGGGAAAGAATTTGTCGAAGCTGGGAGCATCGTCCGACACCGTCGTAAAGACTAGGCCGGTGCTTGTGATGTGGAAGCGATGGGGTTTCTCCTGCGGTTCCTTGTCAGACCGGCGCATTTAGCCGTTCACTGCACCTACCGTTTTGGCGCACACCACCTGGATCTCCTCTGCTTCTGGAACAAGTGTCTCCCCAGAGCTTCGAAAGGCCTGAATAGGCTGCTGAGCCACTTCATACTCGATTCTCTCCCCAATGTTGCAAAACCTGGTGACTGGGCCCAGAAGATACCATGACTATAGACGTATGAGAAGAAAGATATACCGTACAACTTCGAATCTGATAGACTGACCTTCATGAAGACCGCTCTCTTTTCAAGCTGATACAGCTGGGAGCTGCAGTACCAGGATGCTGGCAGGGTGCGGGCGAGCTCAGACATGGTGGTCAGTTATCTCAAACTGCAGATTCAGACTGAAACGCATTGAAAAGTCTGCTTGTATGACCAGGCAGTAGACAATCAAGTCCATTGTAATGTCGATTAATATATAGTCCAACGGCCCGGTGTCTATCTCCTGTAGGTCAGTCTGAGGCCATCCCGGTCATCCAGATCTCCCATTGGCCAGGCGTATCATTTCCTGAAGCGGTTACAAGATCCCGAACATCCTTATGTGACTGATGGATTGATCAAACCTGAGAGGAAACAGCTTAAGTTCGCTTTTATCTCGAGACGATATATGGCGCTGTTTGGAAGTTGGAACCTATCCAAGGTGTGTGATACGAGCCATGATAGACCTACCGATGTAGGCTGTTCTGTCGACACTAGAGCACAAAGTAGGGTCCGTGAGCTTTCTCGGGGACTTGAAGACTAAGCCTTGTATATCTAGTACGAGTGATGATTGTAGTTTCGTTGGAGATACTCTGGGTTGGTCCTAATATCAGACTATTGAGTCCCGACCACAAGACATGGTTATTCTCGCCAAGGCATTGACATAATACCTGCTCAGATCCACGTCAAGAACCATGCATATTCGACAGCATACTCAATCTGGAGTATCAATACCAATCTGAGAGGTATAGCATATTCTATTGAATCGGGTATATATGTGCCTTGATGAGTGCTGAACAGCGACGTCATTTTCGCAGTTTTGGTCAACGGATGAAATAGGTATCACGCGTTCCACGTACACGGAGAAGCTCAAATGCCTTCCACCCATGTTAGTAAGAGTAAGATAATCTCTCACGATTAGAGAAGAATGATCAATGTTGAGTTGAGCTGCTGAATAATTGTCCTAGTGCTCAGATTGATCGTGTTGGCTTGGATGTCGACCACAAAGCCATTGTGCACAGCCCACACTTGATCCTACTACACCAAAGCCTTGGACCAAAACCTTGGATCTTCCAGGGTAAAAAGAATAGGAAAAGCGTACTGGCTGCTGTGACTGGTAACTGGTGGATCAATTGGTGGATTGCTGCTGCCTGGAGGCTCACTATCATTACCGGTGGCAAAGAATGGATATCGCGACAGAACCTCTTCATACTGGGAGTCTTCTTGATCCAACACCAAGACTGAATCATCCATTGTACAGATTTTTATCATTTTTGCGACACATGGTAGATTGTTGAATGGATTGAGGTTGAACAGACAGACCGATAAGAGTGGAGATCACATGCTGTAATCAGGTGAGGATAAGATGATCGACGGATTACGTCGTTTTGCCTCACTTCTTTCCCTTCATTCCTCTTCCGCCTCTTCTCTTCCTTTGATCAACACTGCCGTGCATATCATACAGATCTTTTCTAGAATGAACAACCTCTGATCTCTATAGACTGAGGACCCTTCTCACCCACCTCTCGCTTCCAGTATGGCCGGTACCGGGCCCAAATACACCCCTCCGGCGTCCCCCACTGCGTCATTTTACGACATCAGTGACCAGGATGAGGGCGACTACAGCACTATCTCCCACCTTCAGACTCGGAGAGGGGTGAAGCTCTTATTCTCGAAGAGCAAGGTGCGCCCTGCGGCTCGATCCTGTCTTCCGTGCGCCTTTACTGATTGATCCGATCGATCCGTCGGAATTGTATAGGTCTATGTTCATCCCACTCCGTCGTCCAAAGATAACATCCCCGGGTTTATCGCCCTAATCCAACAAAGACCCTTGGCTCCTTTAGGGGAGTCTCGATCTGCGAGTCCGCCAAATAACTCTGATACTTCCTCCTATCTCCTGGCCTGGGTTCCCGAGTCTTCCCTGGGCGACGCGTACAGTACCTATGTCAAGGTTGATCTGTCAGATGACTCCTCGGAGCCGCGACAAAAGTACCTAGTGCCTCCACTTCCCACGACGACGAATTACAAGGACACGATTGGACTCTATGCTTTTGCCGTGCCGTTATCCGAAGTCTACTCGTTGCTCGTGCGCCCTCCAAGTTTGGGGTGGTGGTTCGGTAGCCTCGTGATCAATACCCGGGCCGGCGATAGCTTCCCCGCGCTCTTCTTCCATGACACAGAATGCGAGTCGACTATTTTACAAAAGAAGAGGAGGACCCGGGAGAACTTTGACCCATTCGGGGAAGATGGAAATGTTTTCTGGGGCGGCGATGAGGTTTTGCGCTGGCTGCGGAAGTATGTGGAGGTACAACGCTCTGCCGTTGACCATAGCGTCTACCTGATCAACCCATCCGACGAGGACCGACTTTCGTTTGGAAAACCTCTCACGGCTGGTGGGTCGGTTCCAAAAGGTCGGGGCCAGCCTGCGAACCCGACCCAAGCGAGTGAAAGCACTCCACATGACGCGGGGATGGACCCTTTTACCAAGGCCCTCAAGGAGACCCGGTGGAAGGTCCTTGAGCAACTAAGCAAGATTACCACATACACACGGCGAACCGCCAACGACATTGCCGATAATCAAATGATCCCACCGCAGGTCCGTCGCCTGATGAAAACCCCAGAGATCCAAACGCTACAGGATGAATTCGACAGCGCTAGGATTTATCTTGCCCGGTGGGCCATGAGCCTCTCAGAGCAGAGTGAGCGGGAGAAGAACCAGCGGATATGGACCGCGAAAGATGTCTTGGAGATGGAAAACAGCTCGGTGGGCGATTTCGAGATTCTAGACATGGAGACGGGGATGTTGTCGATCAACGACCGGCGCAAGGTTCTTACTTTGGAGGAATGGGAACAGTTTTTTGAACCGAATACCGGCCGACTGCAAGTGACAGTGGACGAGGTCAAGGAGAGAATCTTTCACGGCGGTTTAGAACCTAATGATGGCGTTCGGAAAGAAGCCTGGCTCTTCCTCCTCGGGGTGTACACTTGGGACAGTAGTCGCGACGAGCGGCAAGCGTTGATGAATTCCAAGCGCGACGAGTACATTCGATTGAAGGGCGCCTGGTGGGAGAGGATGATCGATGGTTCTTCGGATCCGGAGCAGCACGACTATTGGAAGGAACAGCGGAATCGCATCGGTAAGGTCGTCAGCGCTGGAGTCCAGTACTGAATGCTAATTCCACCGGATATCACAGAGAAGGATGTCCACCGTACTGATCGTACGATCCCCCTCTTCGCAGGGGAAGACATCCCCCATCCCGATCCTGACTCTCCATTTGCAGATGTCGGAACCAACGTGCATCTCGAGCAGATGAAAGATATGCTCCTGACGTACAATGAGTACAATCCTGATCTAGGCTACGTCCAGGGTATGAGTGACATGCTGGCGCCTATATATGCGGTAATGCAGGACGATGCCGTGGCATTCTGGGGGTTTGTCGGATTCATGGACCGGATGGTATGTCTTTGAATGTACTACCTTGTTTAAACACTTTACTTACGCCGTTCAACAGGAGCGCAATTTCCTCCGTGACCAGTCCGGCATGCGGGCGCAACTTCTGACCCTAGACCACCTTGTTCAACTTATGGATCCCCAGCTCTATCTCCACCTCCAGTCTGCCGACAGCACGAATTTCTTCTTCTTCTTCCGCATGTTCCTAGTCTGGTACAAGCGCGAGTTCGAGTGGTGCGACGTCCTGCGCCTCTGGGAGGCTCTATGGACCGATTACCTCTCCAGCAGCTTTCACCTATTCATTGCCATGGCAATCCTGGAGAAGCACCGCGACGTAATCATGGACCACCTGAAGCACTTTGATGAGGTCCTCAAGTACAGTAAGTTCATACAAGCAAGCAAGCGACGACAATAACCGCTAACATCCACCCAAGTCAACGAACTCTCCAACACCATGGAACTCGTCCCGATCCTCACCCGCGCGGAGTCCATCTTCCACCGTTTCGAGCGCGCCGTCCAAGCCATCGACAAGAAAAACAACTTCCCTGCCCGTCGACCGCCCACCAACGAAAGCCCATCAAAGACGCCCCCGCCGAATCCAACAAAGGCAAGTCGCCTCAGCGACCGCCCCGCACCACCGGCCACAGCAGTAGCGTCAACGCGGGGCCTTCCAAGTCAGGCCCGAAGGACGAGTCAAAGCCAGCGGTCATCTCGCCGGAGCTCAGAGACTTACTCCGCAAGGACTTTTTCTGGAAGACTCCGTCATCGGAACCGTCTTAGCATGCATTGATACTCTCCCTCTTGAAACGAATGAATCTAGGATATTTATTACTGGGTGGTAAAGCAGGATTTGGCTCAATTTGGGATGCCGGCGTTATTGGTTGATTGAATTTCACACTTACTGACTACCTATTCGTGTCTTCTTCCCTTTCCCATTATTAATGTGACCATGCCTTTTTCTTCCTTCCTCTTTCTCTTCCCCTCCAGCCATGATCAAGTGGTCAAATGACCAAGACGAGGCAGATAACGGAGCTGTCTAAGATTGCCAAGTCGAAGTAACTAATCGAGTGACTACCTGATACAAGATATACGAAGTAAATTCAGTTCATACTACAACAGATAATTAAAAGAAAAGAACTCATTCAAAGGCCCATGTCTGGATTCATTGATTGTTATGCAAACGCTAGCCCCGCAAATCTATGCTATGCCCCTACCTACTAACTAATTACCGAGAAGGAACAAAAATCCAAAATAAGTAAACCAAAAAGTGCAATGAACACAAAGCCTAACCGGAGGGTATCTAGATATCTGAACAGTTTTGAAACAAGAAAAAGAAGAATCAACCCAAGATGACCCCAGCCAAAGAAAAAAGATGCTGCTCAGATATAAATGCGAAACAAGTATGGTCCCAGTCCCAGGACAAGCAATAACTTCCGATAATGCTGGAGGGTGTGACAGTGTGTAACCCGATCAATAAGAAAATGCGGAAAGAAAAGTCAAAAATATGCAACAAGAGTCCAGAAAGATCAAAGTCTAACTGTAGAAAGGGAAAAAGGAAGGAATGGGAAAAAAGGTAGCGCTGCCATGCAAAATGCTCCTTTCCTGCTGAGAATGACAACGGATAAAAATGCAAGCAAAAATGAAAATCCCGCTGTTTCGCAACCCAATGTAGTAATATGGTTCACCTGAACAGCCTGTGACCAGCAAACGCCAATGCTAGTAGACACAGAAATAACCGGAGAGGGAAAAAAAAAAAAAAAAAGATGAGGAATGGAGGATGATATTGGGGGAAGAGAGGTCGGAGGTAGGTATTGGTGGAATGATAAAGGGGAAGTGCCAAGATGTCGGAATCACCGGTTGCCTAGCCCTCGCAATGCGATTCGTCGGCTTGATCCAGCTTTGCCAATGTCACTGATGCTTCGAGATTTCGGCAAAGTCGGGACTCTAACTGGGACGGGCTCTGACTCCTGGAGTGGTGCATTGCATCTGGAGGGCTTCAGGGACGAGCTTCGTCGGGCTTGTCCAAGGACGTCCTCTACCCACGCCTCACTCTCAGGAGTCATGGAGATCTGTCTGGAGCGGGGTGTCGGGCCCGCGAGCCCGAGGGGAACGGCAGGGGAGCCATGGCGGGCCTCGCTCACAGAGGACGTAGCGCCGAAGGAAGCATTCGAAGACACGGAAAGTCGTCTGCGCGAGACAGACGACATGGGAGAAAAGGACAGGTTCAGGGCCTCCCCGGCACTGGCGGCCCTGAAATCGGTGGCGTCCGAGACGTTAGACGGACGTCGCTTTTTGCGGACGTCTAGCGACGATGCGGGCCGGTTGCTGATGACGGATCGCGGTCGAGAGGGGGTGGTGCGGCCATTGCCACTGGGACTGTATCTATTCCCTGGGGAGCCAGTTGGAGTGGAACCGCGGGAGGATAGCCCTTCAACCTCGACGCGGGGGGTCTCTGAGACATGGCGACGGCCATGGTGGATTGCATACTCTCGCAAGTATTCACCTAGATCGGCCCATCCACCCCCCACGCGCACCATCACACGCTCGCCGCTCTCACCTACAGCCCGCACGAAAAGCTTGGTTGGGGCAGATTTTCCGTTCTGGTGGAGGTGGTAGAGCTTCACGGAGCCCTCTTCCGGCGCATGAGACAGTCTTCTGCGTGGCATTGCTGGCGTGAGCATGAGGGATGGAGCAGGGGTGCTGCTGCGCGACGGGGTGCCCGATGGCGATACGGAACGGAAGCGTTCTCTTGCCTTTAGGGGCAGGGACGAGCTCACAGAACGGCCGTCATTGGGATGCTCTTCGGACGACATCAGACGAATACGCGTGGGGATGGTTGTGAGGATAGAGCTGATCTTCTCATCCAGATGGTCTCGCGGTTTCCTCGGCTGGTTGGTGGGAGTGGAGGATCGGGAGCCTGTCTTGCGTACCGAAGAAGCTGGGGCTTGTTCAGCGGGCCGCGATTTAGTTTTGTATGAACCAATGCTTTCAAGGCTTGGGTGAGCTGTCAGCTGTTTCCGCAACCGATTGGTAGTCGAGTGTTTGGCAGCGGCGGGTTCTGGGTGCGTGGCTTCAGATGAAGAATTCTTAACAAAGGCATTTTTATTGTGCTCCCAGGGATTGAGGAGCTTTTTGGGGGAGTTAATCGATCCTTGCACCGTGGTCTCTTCAAGAGGAGGCTCCAGACGACCTCTGGCGGGACGCCGAGGACCATTTGTCGGTGTCGACGATCTGTGGTGGGGTGAGTCTACTGGCCGTCGCTCCGTCTGGAAAGACAGATCGGCAGACGCTCTGGTGGCTCTTTGAGCGGCTGGAGAAGTGTCCGCATCGTCACCACTCTCGGGGTCATAGTCGAAATTCATGCTTTCGTTGATGAAGCGCTCAAGGGGAAGACTCAATGCTCTGTTGTGTTTGAATGCCGTCGGGGGAGTCCTCTTTTGGCTGTCGAGGCGGACCAGGCGGTCTTCCCGCAGCGTGTGAGCGCTCTTCGGCGGCGTAGGGCTAGTTGCGCGATAGTTAGGCTGAATGTGAGGGGGTGTCTGTAAAGCAAGAGGGGTTCCGTTGGACGACGTAGTTCGCGGTTCCCGAATGTCTGGGCTAGACACCAGCGAGGGATAATCAGAGGTCCCAGCGGAGATGTTGGACTCTCGCCGCACGCGAGGCTTGGTGTTCTGACCAAGACTCGTACGACCTGGCCGGCCTGTGGATAGCTTGATAGGGCTTTCCAGTGGCTTCTTGGGTCGCCGGATTTGAGCCTCATTGTCATGCCCGTCGCATGCGGGGGGTTCATGTTTCTTTTCATCAACTAGGGACACCGAGTTCTGGTGACGCTCAGGCGGGGGAGTAACAGACCCACGAGAGCGCTGAGCGCCCAGGTTGATTGCACGAGCCTCAGCGGGCGTGGTTCGGGCGGTCACAACTGGCAGCGCCGTTGCCTCGCCGGTCGATGGGACATGCAGTTGGTCGGAGGCATCATCGAGCGGACGAGGACTGTCCTTGGCCTGGGCCAATCCAGACGCGACCGGCTCCGGAATATCCTCCGGCTGAACCGCGGTGGGAGAATGCAAAAGATCCGCGATGCTGTCGGGATGTTGTGTTGCGCTATGAGCGTCTGTCTGAATGGTGGGAGGGAGCGGATCCTGCACCGCTGGAAGACAAGATTTTTCGAGCGGAGACTGGAGTTCAGAGTCTCTGACATCGTCCTCCCGGACTAAGGATGGTTCGCTGTGGACAGGGGGCTGCGAATTAGAAAGATCCAATGTATGTTCCACTTCGTTGGGATCCGAGGACGACGAATGATCATCATTCGTGCTGCAGACAGATTCTTCGGAGGACGTCTCGACTGGCAGCGAAGTTTCTTCCACATGCGCCGGTTCGTTGCGCAACGAAGAACCATCCGATGTCGCATTGTCTTCGTCCGCCATGGCAGGTGCAAGCTCCGCGACATCGACCGTGTTCCGATCAACAGGGGACTGCTGACTGCTAGAGGGTCCCGTGGCCGGGGTAGCATCAGACACGAGAGGACTATCGGGAGTGGTGTCCCTTTCGTGCACAACAGGATTTCGGGCTCGAGGCTCGTTTTCAAACGGTTCAGGGTCGGTAGGCCTTGCGTATGGGGTATTTGTTGTAGGGGTACTAGTAGCATTGGTATTGTTGTCCGAGAGATCCGACTCCTCTTTCACAGCAGGCCCTTCTTCTGGCTGCGGAGGGGATGCGGAACTATGCGAGGAATCTGTGGAGTCTGAGCTGGAAGTGACAGAAGTAGAGTCGGCAACAGCGTCATTATTCACCACAGGCTCAGAAGTAGGGGGAGATTCTCGAGGCTTCGTGATTGGGTCTTCGGGAGAGGGTTGGGGCGCGCAACGATTGGACGGAGAAGGGGGCGTCTCGAGGACACTAGGAGCGACCGTGGTTTGGGCAGGCGCAACACTCAGATAGTCCTGACATTGGCGGGATCGAACAGATTCAACGGGGCTAAGAACCTCTTCCACAATGGTTTCCATGTGGGAAGGGCGTGCGGTTTGCAATACAGGCTCTGAGGCAGCACGGATTGATCGCACCACATCTTCGCCCTTGCTGATCGATTCAGCTGGCGAGCATTGGCTCAATTCCTGCTGCATTGCGTCCTTCTTGGTGTTGGCTAGCATGCGGCGCCATTCGTTCTCGACGGCGCGTTTTTCCGCCTCCATGACCCAAGACCCAAAATCCGCCTCGACGGCTTCCAGGTCATCGATCCAACTTTCGGGTAACGAGTCTTCTCGGCCCTCGAGCGCATCCAGGAGGCGGTCCATTCTACAGCCAACGGACAGGACGGCGGATTCCAAGGCCACGCGCTTCGCGTGGTAGTTTGCCCTCGAATACAGGACATCCTCTTCGCCCGGGGGGGTCGATGACTTTAACAGCGCCGAGGCTGAATCTAGTTCTGACCGGGCCTGGTGTAGACCTCGCAGGAGTCCTGGGACCTGGCGAAGGACTAGCAGTCGCACGTCCCACGTGGCGAGAAGGCTATTCAAGCGGGAGAGGAGGGGTAGGACGCGGAGGATGGTGGCGGTAATGACGGTGGTAAAGTCGCTTAGTTGCACATAACTGAGGGGAGGCGGCACGGACACGGTGCTGTTTGCCGACGACGGCCGAGACCGCGCTGGAATGTGGGCATTTAGCACGTGTTCTTTCAGCTCATCGACATCCAAGCTATCCAAGCCGTCCCGAATCTCCTCGATGCGCTTTTCGTGTTCGGTGACCACAGCCGCCGGAAGACCCCCATAATGCTCCTCCGCGGGATCAATGGGGGGAACAAAGCCCTTCCCCAGGTGTACGTCGGCTCGTTTCGGCCAGGACCACGCCTGGATTTCTCTGTACCACAAGTTGAGATGTTGCGCCGCTACGGCCGCGCGAATTCCCAGCGCTCGTTCGGCCGGAGAGACCTGAGAGATGCTTCGCGACAGGATATCGTGGGCCGCCTTCTCATTCCGAGGGACGGCATCGGTCGAGGACAGCGCATTGAGCGTGGATTCGGGGGAGAGACTACGGAGGAGGGGATCAAGGATCTGGTAGTTCGGCACGGACGATCGGTCCGGGGACTGGGCTCGTGGGGGTGGTGTCCGAAGCGCCGTGGGCGAGAGCTGGACGGGAGGCCGATAAATGCCAACGGGATCGATGGCCATATCGAGACAAGAAGGGTGGGAGAGCGAAAGTCCCGAGGACGGCGATGTCGAAGAATTCTCAGCTGAGGGCAGAGCGCTCGGTACGAGTTCAATTAACGCGTTTTCGAAGACGGAGGTCGAGTTGCAGTATCAAGCATCAGCGCGAAGGTAAACCGCTGAAAAGATAGCATGCTGAGACGCGATTCCACCGGCGCCCACAAGAAGAAGGATGAGACACAGTGCGATGGATCCGTTTTAAGGCCGAGGTATCGCGTGGCGAGTCCGATGAAAGCCGCGTTTGGCGAGATCGACGTGGGAAGAACGCAGGATAATAAAGCCGACCAAACAATGGAGGCGAGACCGTTTGGATAGATCACACCGGACGAGCCCAAATCGAAATCTCGTTGGCTGGGAGAAGCTGAACACGCTGAATGAGGGACAACGAGGGCGACGTTTGGCCCCTGCGAGAGGATAAATTTAGAAACGGGACGTGGAGGAGGGACCTGCGGGCGAAATCGGCTAGGTCCAGCGGTAGAAAGGAGTGTCGTTGATCGAGATGTTGTACATGCGATGATGCAGAAGAAGGAAAAGAAAGAAAGAAGGTCGACCAGGAGAGAAGAAGAAGAGGAAGAGAAAGAAGATGAAGCGAACGAACCGTTGCTTACAGCAAGTGGAACTGAAGCGGGTTGAGACCTTTCCTGATGGGGCCTTAGAAGGCGTCCAACGCAACCCACTTTGAACACTACCACCACCAACTAGATCGATAGACTCCCCGGGGGTTAATTAGCTGGAGTACCGATACGTAACGAAGATACTCCATTGATACTCACCCTAATTTAACATCGCGACGCGTCGGTGGAGTCCCTAATCGCCTGAAAAGGGGAGGTTTAGGATCCATTCTGCGTCAGATGGGGACTTGGGCTCCTGCAGGTAAATTAATATTCTAATTAGTCCAGGAGACTATCGATATTTCTCCCCAATAATATTTGCAGCAGATTGATTCTGGTCGATCACTGTGATCCCGATGATTGGCTCTGGCTGTCCGACTGGTGTATCTTATTGATTTATTTGGTTATCTTTCTCCCCCTTCGGTGGTCGTTTCGCGCGCGCACACTGTCTTTGTCTCGCTCCATCTCCACTCAGCCGATCCCCAATCTTTCCACACCTGTCAGGGGGGAGTCGGGGGACATTGCAGGATGTTGCTGCACGACATTGGTGCCGCCAGAGGGGTCTTTCTCCGTGACCAATTCTCCTGTGGTTTCTGTGGCCTGTGCATGGGGGAATCCGTCTTGAATGTGCGCAGGTCCAAGCTCATCGATCCGTTCCCACGAGACTGTCTGTCTTCTTCCGCACAAACAGGTTCCAGCCATCTTGTCATGATGCCTTTGTTTACTCCGTAAACCAGGTGGGTATAACCTTGCTTGACCCCGACCCGGGAAGGTGCAGTTTCGACAGCGTCGAATGTTTCTCATCCAGCCATCTTCTGGTTTTGCGACCCCCTACGATATCAACGACGTGAGGGCCAAGGAGAGGCGTTGATCGACAGCCGTCGCTCCCCCTTGCAGATCGGACGTTTGCCACTGAAACCACCTGGGTCTTTTTTTTGGACTTCGCAGCCCCCCGGGGGGTTCCACGGAGCGCCGAATTTCAGAAGATATTGAACAATGTTGTTGTCTTGGTTTCCTCAAGTCGATCGGAGCCGTACCCTCGGATCGAATGGAAACTTGACTGTTTCGTAGCTCGGTAGGAAATAAAACACCAACGAGGGCATTGTTCTAAATTCAGCAGCTCGTCAGACCTGATTCGGATCAAAGGCAGTGCTGAGGCAGGGGGCTAGCCCTTGACCAGGAAGTCACTAGCATTGACATGGTGCTGAGTTCTAGACTGTACACACTACTCTCCGTACACTCGAGTAGGCAACAGCCTTGGATCCTTGTCCAAATTTATTTTTAACTCTGGTCTCGTTCTCAAGGACACCCTATCCTTTAATCGGGAATCAATTGAGAGTAATAGTCTGAGTACAAGATAGAAGTAGATCAAGATGACTGGAATGGAAAGCATCGGATTCTCCACACAAGCTCCATTGCCAGCCAATCACGGGACCAAACCTGCCATACCATCACATTACAAGCCGGACGTTTTTGTTCTCTGCTCCAACATCGAATCAATCCATTCCAATCCATGACTCCACCTCACGATGGAATGATCGCAGCCTAGGCCACTTCCAACAGGCAATGACATGACAGCAGGCGCGACATCACCATGCGTTTTCGCACTCAGCTAACCCACGTTCCCACGTTCAGCAGTACGTGTCCGTCCTATTCCTATTTCAGCCTCACTAGATAACCAACCTCCCCAAACAGAGCTCACAGCATCCCTCTCCTCACTGGGAAAAGTCTGTTGGATGCGCCTAGAAGATGGCGTCGTCCGCTTCACGATCATCCCCGACCAAGGGACCCAAGTCTGGGCCCAACTCCCAGTGGTATATCCCCCCCTCCACCTATAGTGAAACCATTGCCCAGAAACTCAATCCCGTAACAGGAAGCCATCTTCGAGGAATCCACCTACATCCTCGAATCCAACTCCGGCATCATCAACCTCGAAGTTCCCGTCGGCGCCCTGCACCGCGCCCTACGCTCCGCTGTAACAGCGACCACGTCACAGCTGCGCCTGACCAAAAAGGGCAACGTCCCGCTCCTAGCGCTCACAGTGCATGCCTCCTCCTGGACAGCGGGATCCAACGCGATCGGAATCTCCGCGAGCGCAGGAGACCCCGGGCCCGAAAGCGGGGGTTCTGGTCCCCGCGAGCGAGAAACCGTCATCACGCAGGAAGTCCCTGTGAAAGTGCTGCACGAGACAGCCGTGGAGGGCTTGCACGAGCCGCGCTGTCGCGACCCGGACGTGCACATCATTCTGCCCAGTCTGTTCCAGCTGAAGAGCATCTCCGAGCGCTTTACCAAGTTGGCGGCCGATGCCCGTGCCTCGGCTGGAAGCAGCAACGTGGCGGCCTCGGCGGCAGCCTCGCCCAAGCTGGAGCTATCGGCTAACATGCACGGGTCACTGCGGCTGGGGATCGGGACCGATGCGCTGAGCATCTCGAGCGTCTGGACGGATTTGGTTAACCCACCGCTGGATCCGGGACAGCTGTCGCCGGCGGAAATTGAGCAGCTGCCTAGTGAGCGCATGCGCGGGTTTGATCCCGCTGACGAGGCTGGGTGGGCTAAGGTGCGGATAGATGGGAAGGACTGGGGGCGGGTTCTGAGCGTGGGGAGATTGAGTCCGAAGGTGGTCGCTTGTGAGTTCCCTCACCAGTCCTATACCCGTATATCCATTGAGACTAATTCGGGGTATATCCAGGCTTCATCCACGAGACAGCCCTCGTCCTCTACGTCTATCTACCGGGGAGCTGGAACGGCGAGGATTCATGTCTGACGGTGAGTACATTTTCCGATAGGAGCAAGCAACGCGGCGAAACTAACTGTGCCAACCTTCCCAGTACTATATAAACTCGTACGCCGCCTAGCAACGGCCCAGCCTATCTGTAAACACATCGCACGCAGACATCGACATTATATCATGAATAGGTACTAGTATAAGGTATAGAATTATTACAGTAGTGAAAGAGCATGATTAAAGAATCATGCTCGAAGCCAAACAAAAGCCAAAACAAAACAATCATCAGACCAAGATAGTCGATCATCTCGAAACTTGAAACAAGAACAGGGGATCATAATCACACGGAGGGAAGCACATAAATGGTGGGGGGATGAAAATGGAAAGGAAAAGGGGAAATCAAAGCACCGCTCATGGTATGTAAGGGCGTATAATAGTACAGAACGAAAAAAGATGAGAGGGAAAAAAAAAAGGAAAGAGCATGCATGAACGCCTCAGAAGACAGCCATGCACCCTCGCAAAGGGCACACAGTATGCAAGACACAGATGGTGCAAGCCCTATCAAGGTCCTGTTCTATGATAGTAGGAAGATTCAAACCAAAACGCGATCACGGTCGTCTCCAGGAGTTATAGGCAGAGAAGAGTGGAAGGATCCAAGGATGGCTCGGTTGTGCAATAGAGAATCCCTCAACAATAGGTAGAAATGCTCTTGTTTTTGTTTTATTTCGCCATCACATCCACATACCGACCCTTCTTCTTGCCCCTCGGGCCGGCGCCTCTACGCGCCGTAGGCGCTCCGAGGAGATCGTCAATGGAGCTGGCGTGGCTCAGCGACGACGTGGGCCGGGGCGGTCCAGCAGTTGCATCCGGGGGTGTGGACATAGGGGCGCCGGTCGAAACCGATCGGGGAGTGGTGCCGAGCATAGGTGGCGGCGCGAGCGTTGAAGGTCCCGGGCTGCTGGAGAGCGACGGAGGAGCTCCCGCAGACGAGGAAGGCCGACCCTGCGGTGGCAACATCGGAGAGGCGCCTCCCTGAGAGGGTGCTGCGCTGCTACCGCTGGCGGTCCTGCTAGGCATGGCCTTGGGGGGCGGCGGTGTAGCACGAGCCACGGTGGCGCTGTTGGGATCCTTCTTGTTGACCCATTTCTTCAGCTCGGTATCGTAGTAGAAGGAGTTCTCCTCGCCAAGCTTGGCACGGATGGGACCTCCAGTGTGGTGGGCATTGTCCGACTCCTTCTTGGCTCCGCCGAACCACCCGCCGAACCAGCCCTTTTTCGCGGGACCGGGTTTTTTGGCTGTAGACGATAAAGGTCAGTAAGTGTAAGGTTTGCTGGAGAGATGTTACAGGAAACTCACCATCTTCCTCGGCGGCTTTTTTGAAGGCTTCGTCCGCTTCCCGGTCCTTGCGCTCTTTTTCGGCCTTCTGCATTGCCGCTGCACGAGCTGAAAGGTCGTCGTCATCATCATCCATGATGGAAGGTTTCTTTTTGTGCTGTTCATCCACAGACTCTTCCGAAATTTCAGGCACCGGCGGGGTACTGGCGTCGATCGACGGGGGCTCATAGCCGCCGCCACCACTGAAAGGGGGCATGTAGCCGCCATCCGTCTGGGTTGGCGGGGGTGGGATCTGGTTCAAGGGCTGACTAACTGGCTCGTAGCCAGAGGGTTGATAAGACGATGCGGTGCCATGAGATCCCTGCACCGGCGCAATGGACACTCCCGGGTATGATTGAGCTGCCGTATCCTCATCGACCGGCGCAAGAGGCATATAGGACGTTTGAGGCGGCGTTGACTGATAGCCCATAGCGGACGGCGAATTGTGTACCGATCCTCCCTGGTAAAAGCTACTGTCGATCGGCGTTGCTGGATCCTGGGATCCCCGTCGTTGCCCGGATGGGTATTGGAAAGAAGACGATCGCTGAGAGTCGAATGACGACCTTCCACCACGGAAATGTTCGGGCGAAGGATTCGGGGCATATGGGTTGGCAGGTTGATACCGTGAAGGGCCACTACCAGGGACCGGTTGAGGGGGAGGTGCAGGGTATGAGCCATATAGATCCGTCACTGACGGGGAACGGCTCACAGTCGGGGTCCCGGAGAAGTTGGCAAAAGGTCCGACATCCTGCTCTCCCACTTTCCCGGAGCCGGTCGACACGGCATCGCTGTCTTCGCCCGAGACGAACTTATTGAATTTAGACCACATGGAGCCCGACACCTTTTCCATGCTCGGCCTGGAGATCCAAGAAGAACCAGCATCAGTAGTTGTTTGTCGAAGGCGGGCGCTGAGCTCTTCCACGCCGAAAAACAACTGCTGATTATGATAGCCAGATGGTTTCGTGGTAGCTTTCAAGGCCGCTTCAATGGCATCACAGTACTGTTGAGCCTCCGATGTGCGGCCCCGGTCCGCCAGGGACCAGGCGTGGATGAGCTTATATGCCAATAGATGCGGGAAAGTGGGCGTCTGCGAACCGGCCAATACTGAAACGGCAAATTCGTAGGCTTCGGTGAGCAAGATCGCATCATCATCATTCAAGCCATTGGACGGCAGATGCTGGTGGTCAACCCCCAGGAGAACCACCCCTGCCTGCGGATCATCGGCACCACCAAACACCGGGGCGTGAGAGAAGATAAAACAAATATGGGCTGCCTCCGCACGGCCATAGGACAGAAGCAACCGACCGAGCGCCAATAGTGCCGTATGATCGCCTGGGCTGCGGTTACTCAACACCAATCCTAATGTATCCCTCCAGCTTTCGAGACCATCCAGTGCGCCCTTCGCGGGGCCCTGCCCCTCGACCTTGCTGATCATCTGCAAACCAGCCCTAGCGGAGGGAGGAACAAGCTCGTCAATACTCTCGTCGACATTTCCAGCAAAGATCTCGTAGAGTGCTGCGAGCGACTCCGTGTTATTTGTGGAGGACCGGACTTCACGTCTAACGAACTCTTGCACCACCTGCTTCCAGACAGACTTATCGAGGGTCGACGCAATGATCATAGCATGACCCCACAGACGGTTGTCTACTGCGTTCCAAACAGCTTTCTCCCGGTCACCGTCAACAAGGCTATTGCGGATGCTGTCCACCGACCGAAGATCGGCAGCGTCGGGCTGTGACGAAGCATTCGGGCTCGGGGAATGGTTCACCGTCGGCAGACCAGCACCGTATGTTTGATCAGACTCAGTGTTCTGCGGCAGGTTCGGGAATATAATGTTGCGCAGGGCGCTTTTAGCTTCAGCGGACCCTTCCAGATTTCCATCATGCTCAACCAGAAGTCGGACGATCTTCCACAGCAAGACCTTTTCATCATGGCGCTTATGCGGGTCCGGATGGAGTCGGGCGGCTTCGGCGATGCCCTCGTTTTCAAATGCCGCAATTTTGCTGGAAAGCCATGCCAGTAAATCTTTCTTCTTCGACTTGCTTCTCAGGGGCCCCGGATGCTGGACAATACTGTCCGCAGCCGGGATCAAGTCATTCAGCTGGCGTAATTTCACTTCACCCGGGCTTGGTTTGATCTTCGGCGCGGTTTGGCCAGCTGTGTATCGAGGAATGTGTTGAGGAAAGCATGAAGTTATAGTGCCACCGAACGCAAACTTAACAATTGGCGCCCCCTTCCAGCGTTCCAGTGGATCCATCTCCTGCCCGTCACTTGGTGGGATGAAGTCAAGCGTTTGGGAAACAGTGCGGTTATGCAGAGACACTTGCGAGGGAGCATACGGGCTGACGGCCTTGGTCGGAGAGCTAGTGCCATGTGCGGAAGCAGGCCTTAGCTGGGGGTCAAGCGACGGCACAGACAATCGTGGACCCATCGCATGCTGGCCCGGAGACTGTGTCTGTGATCTGCGGGGGGCAACAAATTGCGGCTCCGCAACCGAGGGCACCGACACTGGCGGCGGACTACTGATTGGGGCGACACGCTTGGTGAATTCATCGACGTAGGCTGGAGGAGCGTAACGGGCTTTGGGTGGTGAAGGTGGCTGCTCAACGCCCGGGGTGGCTTTAGTGGCACCTGGCGACCAAGTGCCCTGGGAAGGATCGACGTGAGTAGGCGGTGCAGCACCGATACTCCCCGAGTCATTGGGAACTGGATGCATCTCATTTGCAGGAGTCACCACTGCCGGTGGCGTTGGCAATGCATGATTCTCAGATGGACCTTGGGGTTGGTACGAGACCTTTTCGTGGTAGGCCAGAGGGCTCGACGTGCGAGGTTGAAACGGCAGAGGCGGTCCATGACTAGGAATTCCATTCGGTTGAGACGCATAACGATTACGGGGAGGCGGGGGAGCTGCAGATGGTGGCGGCGCAGGAGAGTATCTCGGGGACGCTGGAGGTTTTGCCCCAAGGTGCGAGCCGGGTGGTTTCGGTGAGTATCTCGAAGCCGTACTTGGGGGGGTAGGAGCGCTCAGCGTATTGGAAGCCAAGGTACTGGCGTAGGGGTCAAGAGATTCCGGCGATTGCAACGGAGACTGGGTAGGCGGGGCAGCACCACCGCCATTTGGCTGCAAAGCGGGAGAAAAGCTGGCATACGGGTTGGCCGGCGGTGGAGGCTGAGACGGCGGTTGAGACTGATACGGCGGTTGATGCTGAGGCGGCGGTTGAGGCTGAGACGGCGGTGGAGGAGGGTGAGAAGACGGTGGTGCTGCACTCACGGCAGGCGTGTACCGGCCTGAACTCGTAGGTCGAGACTGCGTTGTAGGAGGCGGCCTCGGGAGTTCGGACCCCGGGCTTGGAACCCACGGTGACGCGGCCAACGGAGGGGTGGGCGTGGCGGAAGTCCTGGGCGGAGGCCCTGGGATGCTGGGTTGGCGCGGAGGAGGCGGCGGCATGTTCCCAGGCTGGGTGACCACTGCTTTGGCGGTGACATGCGGCCTCCGGGGCAGGGTCAAATCCTCTGGTAGATCATACGGGGACTTGTAGCCCTCCTTGGGGCGCTCAGCAAAGCTCTCTCCTCTATTTGCCGCGATATTTGGCCGGGATGGGAGTTGGGTAAAATAGCTGGTCTGGGGGGCAGAGGTTGCTTGAGGAACAGCCGCTGGGGAAACCCCTTGAACAAGATCGGCAATCGAGGGCTGATGGGGCGTGTATGATGGTGGCGCCATAGTTCTCACAGAGCCCTGCGGGGTGCCAAAAGGACTGCTTAAACCACCGGGGCCAGCGCCCGGCACCACGTTATTGACATGCTGGCTGTCTGTCTCCTGGGGTGCGGTCGAGGTTTCATCCTCCAACAGTAAATCATCGTCATCGTCAAGCGCCGCTTCCCACCGGGCGGCCAGATCCTCGTCAGGGCTGTCTTTTTCATCCTTGGCAAGTTCCGCCTCCCACGCCGCAGCCAGATTCTCTTCCGAAGGCGTACGTCCTACCTGACTCTGGGTCTGATCATCACCTTGCGCCTGATCATGACCTTGGGCCTGGTCCTGGTTCTGTGTCTGGTTCTCCGATGCAGCAGCTGCCAGAATACTGTTGAACTCTTGGGTCGTCGGAGATGTCACGTCATCGGACGGGGGCACTGAAGGGATATCAAGAGACTCGAGCACTTGAGACGTGCTTTTGCGCGTGATATGATGCGACAACGAGATCCTTGGTTGTTGTGGGGACTTTTGAACCTCGTTAAAGAAAGCGCCGTCCTCATCGTCATCTTCACTGAAGATATTGTTGATCGGGTCCTCGACCGCCTCTTTCGGAGGTTTCCTCTCAGGGGACGCCGTCTCCGGGGATGCCTTCTCCGGGGATGCCTCCTCCGGGGATGCCTTCTCCAAGGACGCTTGCTCCGGCAACACTTTCCCCAAGGACGCTTTCCTCGGGGTCACATCCACTGGACTGGCCACCTCACCCTCCAATAGTGGGACACCCTCCTCGAATCGTGACTCTGCTTCGGGTGGCATATAGATTGGCTTCGTTTGAGTCCTGAGCTGGTCAAAGAAACCGTCCTGGGCGTCACCGTTGGTAGGACTTCCCCAGAAATTCTGGCCATCGTCCGTAGGAGGCTCGTTAGGTGCCGTCGGTACGTCTGTGTCCACATGCGGGTGGAAAGGGGTGGTATCGTTGGCGAGTTTCAATTCCTGTGCGTTCTCTGATGTCGACGCCAAGGGTTCCTCAGGGTTGGGCGGCCACTGAACCTCCTGTTCTTGCGGCTCGTGCTCTGCACTGGTCGTGTCATCCTTCGGCCCCTCGTGTTGCAGCTCCTCTGCCTCACGGGGGAGCTCTGGGTCTTCAGTAGTCGCTGGCGGCGCCACTTGGTCGTGGGTCGATGAACTATCGAGTGTTACGTCCAGTGGCTGCCGGTCGTAGTCGGCACCGGTCGCGTCATTCTTCAGCTCCTGAGGTTGCGACTCCTCCACCTTGTGGGCGAGCTCTTGATGCTCAGTAGTCGCTGGCGGCGCCACTTGTTCCTGAGTCGACGAAGTGTCGAGGGTATCCTCCTGGGATGGGCTCTCCCGAGTATTTTGCGGAGCCTCGGAGTCTACCAAACCAGCTGGACTCGTTTCTGATGTACCAGTATCAGCGGACGCGGATTGGACAGGCGCCTCGGCCTCCTTATCCTTGATCGAGGCATCCGGATCAACAGGGGTATCTTCTGGGGTCGACTCTATCGAATCCGCGACCGCGTCGACCGGGGCAGTCTCCGCCGGACCCTCGTGGTCCTCCGCTCGCAAGGCTGGGTTCCACGCGGCGACTTCATCGTTATGGGCCATGCTTGCTGGGTATCTAAGCTCCACCAGAGGTCAGCCACTCCTGCAGTCCATCAAACACGAAACAGGACACGTTGGTCCGGACATCAACTCACCCTGAGGATCAGCAAGACAAACGGCAAATGCTCAGACGAGAGAGAGCTAGGGAGACATGAAACGAATAAATCAAGGAATTAAAGTAAATCAGAATCCACGGTCCTAGGAAATACAAGAAAGAAAAAGAAAAAGAAACGAGCAACAAGCAAGAGAAAGACAAGATTAGAGGGAGAGAGGAAACATCATCGCAGGTGGGGAGAGAGTGCGAGAGTGAGAGTCGAGCGTAAGGGACTTGGTGAGTTTGCGACCGAACAGATAGACTACTGGACACCTGATTATTGAGGGAGCTGGATTATGGCCCCCGATGCGGTATGGTCAATACCGTCAATACGAGGAACACCAGTGAGATAAAACGGCCACCTGTACGTTAATTCCGTTATGCAGTTGTTGTCCCAGTGGATTATATAAGGAATTGACGTCGTTGGTCATGGGATGGATGGCATAAGCCTGCACAAAACCCTTGCTGACAAGATGACACAACTCCATCCCACCTTACAGGACAGATATGCACTTCATCCCCAATCTATTTGCATTGATGATGATCCATGATCCGATGCAGGATCTATCTGGATTAGGAATCACTGAGGGGAAGACCAGGGTAGCCGCATAGAATCCATCTTGAGCGCATGGTATTGTTCCTTCGTGGTAAATACAGCGTATGGCGATCGATGACATCGTGCTTGTTTCAGCCACTGTGGCAGAGGCCATCATGTGATCGGCCTTTCTCCTGCTGTCACTTTATTCATCCTCCTTGTTCGAGACCTCCACAGAACGTGAACCAAAGAGTGCGGTGATTCTGACTCGTGGTATAATCCGACACATCGAATATCCTTCCGGTCTGACCTGCGATTCCAGCCATCGAGAGGACCGTGTGATCCCCGCTGAAACCGCACGACTACCGACGATATCTCCGAGCGACCCAAACAATGATCTCTGGAACCACCTTGCCGTGAAATGACCCCTTGGTTGTTGGTGTAGGAGGCTCTGCGTTGCTCTCCGTGTTTGATTCGCGTAATTACGCTTTGATCGGCCGTGTCCTTCAGGATGCCGTCCGACGACTACCTACCACCCCCGGGCAGTCCGAGTATCTCCGGCTCCGACGATGATCTCGACTTGGAGGAGCTGGATCCCACCACTGCCATCATTCAGAGCTCCCCACGGGCATCGCGGGACGATTCCCATCAACGAGGCGGCTATGGTCAGGGTATCGCATTGAAGAATTTGCGCAAGGGCGTAGGGAGTCGGGTGTGGGGAAGGACCCGTTCGGGGACGCACGGGGGCGAGGACGATATGGATGCGTTATTGGAGAACCCGGATGGCGACAGGCGGAGGAGGTCGCCACGCGCGAGCGAGGACGATGCGCCGCTCTTGGACGAACGCAGGCATAGCGCCGCGCACCTTTTTCCTGATGAGGAACCAAGGGGTGCGCGACGACGTTTCCCGGGGTTGGATGCCATCACACGATTGTTCGGTGCGTCGGGCCGCTCCAGGAGGGAGGTCGATCAGGTAAAGCCTCCGCGCGATGTGCTGGTTGGACGGATACAGCGGTTGCGATACCCTCCCAACGCCGTCTCGAATGCGAAATACACCCCGTGGAGCTTTCTACCTCGGACACTATACAACGAATTCTCGTTCTTTTTCAACATCTACTTTCTATGTGTCGCCTTGTCCCAGACGATCCCGGTCCTGCGGATCGGTTACATGTCATCCTATATCGCTCCGCTGGCGTTTGTGGTTTCCATCTCCTTGGGAAAGGAGGCCATGGATGATATCGGGCGCCGTCGGAGGGATGCAGAAGCGAACGCGGAGGAGTTCTCAGTCCTGGCGTTTGATCGACCGATGGGGAGAAGGTCTCGGCCAACGGCGGAGGAGCCCCGCTCTGAGGCCGAAAGCGTGTTCGAGGTGACCAAAAAATCGCGAGACTTGAAGGTTGGGGATGTTTTGAAAGTTCGCAAGAACCAACGTCTCCCCGCCGATGTTGTCATCCTCAAAAGTGTCTCCAATGATTCGGGTACAGCTAATCGGGACTCAACCACGGAGCCTCCGGCAGCTCTCATCGACTCGGACCAGAGCCCCGCGGATGGAGAACCGAGCTCGAGTTCCCCGGCCGAGGATATCTCTTCGGCGGCCGACACCTTCATCCGCACTGACCAGCTGGACGGTGAAACCGACTGGAAATTGCGCCTGCCTTCGGTGTTGTCTCAGAGTTTGGGCTTTAGTGATTTCACGCGACTCAAGGTCACAGCGAGTGCGCCAGATAAGCGGGTGAACGAGTTTGTCGGGAACATTGAGCTGGAGCCTGCGTCGGGTTTTTACGACCCCCACGTCGGCAAGACAGATGATCAGGAAGACGAAGCTGAAAATCAACCCTCCGAATCCAACTCTGCTCCCTTGAGTATCGACAACACCGCGTGGGCCAATACCGTTCTCGCATCCAACACGATCACCTACGCTGTCATCATCTACACAGGGTCGCAGACGCGCGCCGCCCTCTCGACGTCCCCCTCGCGCTCAAAGGTGGGATTGCTGGAATATGAAATCAACAGTCTTACTAAGATTTTGTGCGCTTTCACCCTGACATTGTCGATCATTCTGGTCGGCCTGCAGGGCTTCCAGCCAACCAGCGACAAGCCGTGGTACGTCGCGATCATGATCTACTTGATTCTTTTCTCAACCATCATCCCCATGAGCTTGCGGGTCAACCTCGATATGGCGAAGTCTGTCTACGGTCGATTCATTGAACGCGACCAAGAAATTCCCGACACGGTTGTGAGGACAAGCACTATCCCCGAAGATCTGGGGAGGATCGAGTACCTCTTGTCAGACAAGACTGGCACTTTGACGCAAAATGGTAGGTTGTTCGGATATTCTCCAATTGAAAGCACCCGACTAACTAGCGAGCAGAAATGGAGTTGAAGAAGATCCACGTGGGAACCGTTTCGTACGCCAACGACGCCATGGAGGAAGTGATATCCTATGTGCGACAAAGTTTTGGCGGGACTTCACTGACAACTCCATCCGCCCCATTTGTCCCTCAGGCAGGAGTGGGAGCTGCTCCCCGTACCCGCAGAGAAATTGGCTCGCGTGTCCGCGACATTGTCCTGGCGATGGCCCTCTGCCACAATGTGACCCCCACCACAGACGAAGAAGACGGGGTCAAAGTAACCAACTACCAAGCTTCGTCGCCCGACGAGATTGCAATCGTGCGTTACACGGAAGACGTTGGACTAAAGCTGGCCTACCGTGACCGGCAGACGATCGCTCTCGAGTCCACACACACCGGTCATATCGTCGTCCGCGCCCGCATCCTGGACATATTCCCGTTCACCTCGGAGAGCAAACGCATGGGAGTCATCGTTCAGTTTGATCGGGAAAAGGGTGCCTTGGATTCTCCCGCGGATGAAAGCGAAATTTGGTTTTATCAGAAGGGTGCAGACACGGTCATGACATCAATCGTCGCCGCCAACGACTGGCTCGATGAAGAGACCTCCAACATGGCCCGCGAGGGGCTGCGAACTTTGGTAGTCGGACGGAAGCGGCTGTCTCTGGCGCAGTTCCAAGAATTTACCGCGAAGTACAAGCAGGCGTCCCTTGCGCTCCAAGGGCGAGACACCGGGATGGCCAAGGTGATCGGCGACTATCTCGAGCAGGATCTGGAGCTTCTTGGGGTGACTGGTGTCGAAGACCGTCTGCAGCGAGATGTCAAGCCATCTTTGGAACTTCTCCGCAACGCCGGGGTCAAGATTTGGATGTTGACCGGTGACAAGGTCGAGACGGCGCGGTGCGTGGCCATCTCTGCGAAACTGGTGGCCCGAGGACAGTATATCCACACCGTGGCGAAGGTCAAGGACAAGTCGAACGCGCAGGAGGCGCTAGACTTTTTGCGCAACAAGACAGACTGCTGCCTGTTGATCGATGGCGAGTCCCTGGCGCTCATGCTGAGCCAGTTCCGATCATCGTTCATCTCGATCGCTGTCCTCCTCCCAGCCGTCGTCGCCTGTCGATGCTCCCCGACACAAAAGGCCGAAGTGGCCGACCTGATCCGACAGTACACGAAGAAGCGAGTGTGCTGCATCGGCGACGGAGGCAACGACGTGTCGATGATCCAGGCAGCAGACATCGGACTCGGCATCGTCGGCAAGGAGGGACGCCAGGCGTCGCTGGCCGCAGACTTCAGCATCACGCAATTCCACCACATCACCAAGCTACTCGTGTGGCACGGCCGCAACTCGTACAAGCGGTCAGCCAAACTCGCGCAGTTCATCATGCACCGCGGCCTCATCATCAGCGCTTGCCAGACAATGTACAGCATCGCCAGCCACTTCGACCCCAAGGGCCTCTTCATCAACTGGCTCATGGTCGGGTACGCCACAGTGTACACCAACGCACCAGTCTTCTCCCTCGTCTTCGACCGCGACGTCGACGAAAAGCTCGCCAACCTCTACCCAGAACTATACAAGGAGCTCAAAACCGGCCGCAGCCTCAGCTACCGGTCCTTCTTCGCCTGGGTGCTAGTATCAGTATACCAGGGCGCCGTGATCCAAGGCCTATCGCAGATCCTCCTCGACACGACCAAAGGTCCACAACTAATCAGCGTCTCTTTCACGGCTCTCGTACTCAACGAACTCCTAATGGTCGCCATAGCCATCACAACCTGGCACCCCGTCATGATCATCTCCCTCCTCGGCACGGCCCTCCTCTACGCCGCTAGCGTGCCCTTCCTGGGCGACTACTTTGACCTGAAATTCGTCATCACCCTCGACTGGGTGTGGCGCGTGTGCGCCGTCAGCGCCGTCTCGTTGGTTCCGATCTGGGCGGCGAAACTCATCAAGCAATCGTGGAAACCGCCTAGTTATCGGAAAGTGAGGGGTTAACTTTCTTTTCTTCTGCTTCTGCTTCTTTTCTCCAGCATGCCCGGTCCTTCTGTTACTATCTTGTCAAGGCGATTGGAATTGGGTTGGATTCTTGCGATCGTAAAGGTTCGCAGGACGAGCGTACATTTTCTATCCTCTTTTACTTTCTTTGCCTTTTTTTATTTGCTCCTCTTCCCTAACCATGTCGTTATTACCATCTGCATTGACTGACCCCTTAGTGGGGTCTGATGTTCTTTCCTCATCTTATATCATGTTATGTCGTGTCATGCCGTATCATATAGACTTGCTCAATTTTTACTTTATAGCAATTTTCTCGATCTATATATAAATTCGTTCTTTGTGGTAAATGGGTGTGCGGGGTTATATTATTACTATTATATATGTCTGAACGTGAGAGCTAGGGGTATAGTAAGGTAAGCACTGCTGAAAGACAAAGGTATAAATATAAGCATGAAGAGTAAATCATATGAATGATGGTTTTGTTTCTTATGGAGGGAGAGTGGCCGGGGTAGTTCGTACTGCTGCCTCCCACTACAATATATATATATATTACGATCCAACCCGACAACACAATAAATACTTATTTACTAACAACATATTCATATACATAGTAATCAAACTAATAGCGCCAGTAAATATGTCCATTGACGATAAGATTAATATTAATACCACAACCTCTGCAGTCCGCACAGTCCGTCCGTCCGTCCGTCTGTCACCCCCCACACGAATACTAACCAGCAGTATCCCCCTCCTTTCCCCCCACACAATCTCATCGGGAGGTCCTATCGCATGCGTCCCCCAACGGGCTTCCTCCCAGCAGGCTCACCCCCATAATAAGGCGACCCAGTGCGACTACTAGTCGGGCTCAGAGCAGGGCTCATACCAGGGCTAACACCAGGACTCGTCCCCGGACTAGGCGACCTTCCGCCCCCATGTAAGCGAGCACGGAGGCGATCCTGCGCCGACGCAGCGCGCTCCAGCGGCGGGGCCGCACCAGCAGATTGAGAAGACGCGGCGCGCTGGCTGGGCAGCGGGCGGGCGCCCGCCGGGTGCAGGGTTGGCGGGGCAGGGGAGTGGGAAGGCGGGCTGGCTATGGGGCTGGTCATGCCGGAGGGCGGGGCACCGGCGGGGTTGGGGGTGCTGCGGCCGCGGCGGAGGGAGGCTGTTTGGGCGGTTGGCGGGGAGGAGGACGGGCCCGAGTCGCCCCAGAGGTCGCCGAGGCCGCCGCCGCTGTTGCGGCCGTAGGCGGAGCCCGGGGGTGCGGCGGCGCCGGGCTGGATCTGGGTTGTTGCCACGATGCGGGCGGGGGATGGGAGCGGGGCTTTCGGGTCCGGGGGCAGCCAGGGGGGGAAGGGGCGGCCTTTATCGGTGTAGTATGCGCGGAGGACGTTGGATACGTGTGAGCAGTCTTCGCTGTCGGGGTCGTCAGCTTCGTTGCCGAGGGTGATGGTGCGGCGGAGGGAGTTGAGCCTCGTGCCGAGATTGGAGATGGCGGAGGAGGAGGTGATGGAGGAGAACATTGTGGCTTCAATACACCCGGGTCGGGATCACCAGCTCAAGACCAGGGCGTTGGGATGTGTTTAAGGGTGTTGGAATAGATTCAATAGAAGAAAGACGAGGTGTCCTCTGGTGAAGGGAAGTTGTTTCAAGTTAACCCGAAGAGGAAGAGATGACGACGTTCAAGCCCACCCGGGTGCACGTGACCGTCTCGTGTATATCATCAATTCGAGTCAAATCCAAGGAAAGAACTGCACAAAAGTTGACAGTGTAAATCATTCTCTACAGTAGAGAAATATGCTAGAACAGTAATTGCAAGGATGGGTATGACATCCAACAAGTCAAGGTCAAGGCAAACACAATATAAAACAACATGACAGTCCATAACGCCGCTGGATAAGATCTCCCCTTTTCTGTCCTTTTTTCTCTTCTCTTCGAATAACCTCCAATCAAACAACCAATTAGGCCAGCATCTGCTCCTTGCCAGCACCCTCCGTCTCGTACTCGATCTCGACCCGGGGTCCCTTCTTGCGCGGCTTGGCCTGAGGAGCAGGGCGCTTCCGCTTGAAGCCCGGCTTGGGCTTCTTGCTCTCGTCATCGCTGGCAGAGATGTCCTTGTCCTCGTCGCTATCCTCATCGCTATCCTCGTCGTCCTCGCTGTAGTCGCTCGAATCGGCCGAGTCCCCACCCAGCCAGTCCTCAATATCCTCCAAGTCCTCCTCCTCCCCTTCGAGGTCGCTCACGTACTCCACCTCGCCGACGCCCTCCTCCTCCTCCTCTTCCAGCTCATCCAGCTCCTCTCCCTCATCCAAATCCTCATCGCGCTCACCCTCACCAGAGCGCTCCAAGCCCCGCAACACACGCTTCCAGATCCCCTCCTCCACATTCAACGGCCGATCACCATAAGCCCCGCTGCGCAAGCGCTCAATCAGCTCGCGCTCAATCGCGCGCTCCACCTTCGCCGCAGACTCCGCCTTGCGCTCGCGCGTCTCCTCCCGCCGACGGATCTTCGGCGCCAGCTTCGGCACGATCTTCTCCCCCAGCCGCTCCTCCTCCTTAGCCAGCTTCTTCATCCGGATCGCCACCTGCGTCAGCCGCGTGAGACGCTGCTTGCACTTGTGCACCAGGAACTTCGGCCAGTAGATCAGGCGGTCGTCGACCTGCTCCAGCGCCTTCGCGTAGTTCGACGACAGGCGCACCCGCTCCCACCACTTGCTGGGCATGTGCGCCCGCTCAACCGTCTTCATGTACAGGTACATCGCCCCGGTCTCCGGGTCTGTCCGCACCGTCGCGTACCGCGAGTTCGCCAGCGGGCACGACTGGCGGTTGCAGAGTCCGCTCACATTGTATTCGTTTCGGCAGAAGTTTTGGCCTTTGGTGGTCCTGCTTGAATTAGTTTGATTCTTATGTTTCCCGCCTTAAAAAGATGAATTAAGAGTATCTTCTTTGTATGAAGAAGATAGGAAAAGAGCAAAGGCTCTGATATGGCTAGTGGCTTCATTGGTTTGGTTTCATCACGTACTTCAGTTTATACGAGCAGAATTGCTGGTTAATCACCTGCCAGACAATCTCGTCTGACGACATCGTGAATATAAAGAACACCGGACGTGCTCGAGATCGAATTGGGTGTGGGGGAAGAGAGAGGACGAAATGTTGGCTGAGCTGCGGAGTCGAAACAAAAAACTAGAGGAAAAAAAAAAGTTTCCGCAGTGACCGGTCACGTGGGCAACTCTTATCGATAAGGACCGGCCACCCGCTTTTATTTCCACGGTTCGTCTTTAGTCTTCAATATCTAGTAGTCAGAACAAAGTACAGTCTCTATGTATAGGGTATATTGATCTAGGACGCTGTAAGATGGCTAGTATCCTTCCATCTGCATGGGACCTCCGCCTCCCTCCCACTCGGTGCCATTAGGCATAGCCCCTGCCATGATCTCTGCCTCGTCGCTGACGCTGTTGAGCACCTCATCCCCCGCAAATCCCCACCCCATGGCCTCGAGCTCGCGCACGAAGAAGTCGCGCTCCTCTTCCATGATAGACGCACCCTCCTCGCCGCCCATGACGTCCTTGTACCGCCGTAGGTGCCACCAGTGCGTGAGTCCGCGCAACGCTTGCTCCAGCGGGAGCGCCTCCTCCACCTCGGCGTCGATGTCCGAGCCCGCCAGCCAGTCGTCGCGCAGCTCCGGCCGGCAGTAGAGATAGATCGCTGTGATCACGCGCATGTTGCTCTGTCGCCATTTCCGCCCGCAGTAGGGCACCTGGGACTTAAAGAGCTTTAGGGTGTAGAACCGCAGGTGGGGATCCGGGATCTTGAGTCCCTTGCGCAGGATCGTGCTGGACTTGTACTGCACCATCAGGAGGCAGCGGTGCGCCTTGTTGCGGGTGATCTTCTGCATGATGTGGAGGTAGTTGATCGCCGAGAAAAAGTTCCGGAAGGAGAACACCGTGATCGGCTCCTTTGGGGGCGGCGCCGTCGGGTATCCGAGCTCGTCCACCTCCGGGCGATGAGGCCCCCCCGTCAGATCTGGCGCTAGGTCCTCCGGCGATGACCCGCGGACGGGGGAGCTACTGGGCACGGAGTCCATCCGATGTCGGGAGATCGGCGGAGGGACGGCCTCGTCGCCGCTAGACTCCTCGTCCGAGTCTTCCTCGGGCTCCGGGGGTTGATCGGAATGAATGTGGCAGAAGTGGAAGAAGCTGTTTCCAGTCAGTACGTTGTAAACAAGTGGAGTAGGGATTGGTTACCCTAGTTCCTCGCGGTCGTTCTTCTGTGCGACCGCCTGGTCAATGTCTTGGTGCGCGAACATCTTCAAGATGAGGGGTAGATAGTTGGAATCCAGAAGCAGTTGCGTCATGTATTCGAACTTCAGGATATCTGCAATCGGTCGGCAATGAGTATTGAGTCAACACATATGGGATAGAGGATGGCGTACGGGATCTCTTGAACCACTTGACCAAGAGCAGCAACGTCCCCGAGATCGCTTTCCCAGTGATTTCTCGTAGACGCGTACTGTCCAGCTCATCAATGGCGGCGTCCATGTCCAGATGGCTATGGAAGCTTGTGGGGGCAGGTCCAAACCCATTAGCGGCACCAAAACTGTCGCTGCACAGGCGTTAGATCGATCTTATCTGACGGCAAATATTTGGGCACATGCACATACCCCATAACCTGACTGTTCTGGACGCTGGCATGGTTGACCATTGCACTGACGTTGGTCAGGATGATTTTCAAAAAGACAATGGTGATCGATTGTAGATGGATCAGAGCGTCGGACTGCCAGCCAGTTAGTGGCGGAAGCTCGGATCCCCATCAGAGGACAGAAGACTCACATAGAACGCGTTCACGGCATCCAGTCGTTGTTGAATATCATTGTTATCGGTCTCCCTTGCCGACGAATCGGAGCTCATTCTGCGTTTCTCTCGCAGGCTCAGATCGTCCAGGTCTTTGGTCAGATCGTCGGCCAAATGGTCGACCGGGCCAGCCCCGTTCTCATCGAGGGACCACCCCCGGTCGTATCGCATGAAGCGCTCTCGCTCCTCCCAAAGCTGCCGCATCGCTCGGGTCATTTTCACGTGCGAAGAAAAGAGTTGTCCCGCCTCAATGATCGACGCTGGCACGTCGCTGCCCTCCCATTTTTTCCCGACTAGGACGTCCTGGACCTCCGTCGTGCCCTTCCCGCCGAGATCGTTGCTAGAATCGTCCAGAGGGGGGTACATGAACGGGAAGTTCTGGTTCGTCTGGTAGTTCTGTTTCTTCCCTGCCTTTCCGCCAGGACCGATGGGCGACGGAGGGGGCGATGGTGCCGGCGTTGCAATATGCACTGATTGGTGCAGGATCGAGCCGTTCCCAGCAACCGATGGGCCGACCCCGGAAAACAGGCCGTTCGAAGCCGCCATTCGGCTAGGGTGCTGGGGCAGAGGAGGAAGAATGGAGTTGTTCTCGAGTTCCACGGGAACTACCGGCGGCGGTGGGTTATAAGAGGGATACTTCGATGTGACCTCCTGTCGGAACGCATGGTAATCCAGCGGGGAGGCCGTGAGAAACGGGGTCCGGTGTGAGGATCCATTCTCCCGCTCCTCGAAAGAAGGCTCCAGTTCTTCCTTGGCCCTTTTCAGGGCGTCCGTGCCTCCGAAGAACAGGAGCAAGGACTTCCACAGGAGCAAGATGATCCGGGTCAGCGGTACGTTGGCGGAATCGTCCCAGCGCAAGCGCGATATGATTTCAACCAAGAACACGAGCAGGTTGGGCTCTAACTCCATGATGGCGTGCCTTAACGGAGGGTTGTAGGGATGGCGCGCCTCCTGTCTCCGGCCCACTTCCACAATGACGTAGAGCGCCGTCAAGACGAGGTTCACCTCCCGCTCGGACGCGGCCAGTACGGCCGGGTTGCTACTTTCAGCGCCCAGGTTGTCCGAGTCGGGGTTCGAGGAGCCGCGACCTCGTTCAAAGAATGCACAGAGACACTCGAAAATGGGGCCCACCCCGGAGCATTCATTGATCAGATTGACATTATTCTCCATCCACCTGATCTGCAATGACTTGGCTCTCGGCACCTCGGCGGCTTCGTGAGGGGGCACGTTTTCGGGATAATCTTCCGCGACCATCCCGGCCGTGGTCCCCCAGATCCCCGTCACCACATAGCAGATGATCTCCAGGGCCTCGATGCGAGCCGCGCTGTCTCGGTTCCGCAGTCGATCAATGATCTGGCTGATGAATGACTTCTGGAGGTCCCGGGGCGCATCCACCCAGGACGATTGGGGACCAGAGGGGTGGTGTCTCTCACAGAACAGCCCCCATCGGTGTTCGAACGAGGATTTCATGCCCAAGAGCATGATCCGGTCGAACTCACTGTACTGGAACCACTCTTCGATCTCCTCGGCGAATGGCTGGGCATCGGCATAATCAAATGCATAAGCCGGCTGCTCCGCCTTGGGCATCTCCTGGACTATTTGTCTCAACTGCGCCAGACTGAGGGAGTCCGGGGGCCTTTGCGACGCCTGTTGGACGGGAGCCGGGGGCGGCGGTTGCAGTGGAGGTGGGGGCGCGGCCACATCCCGACGCAACTCGGGGCGTCTCGCGGCCGTCGTCGTCTGGGGAGGTTGATTCCCAGAGACATCCGAGGGCGCATTGTGGGACGCCTGCTCCTTTCGGATCCCCTCCGCAACCTCCTCCATCAACTGGTCATCGGAGACGGGGCTGATGTCCGTCCCCGTTTGGTCCACTTCGTCGGCCTTGACAAAGTGGTGAGCTTGCATGCTCGTATCGGCCGAGACCGACGACTCATCCATTTCTGCAGTAAGTTTAAAAACCTATCTATGAAGTGGGAGGAAAGAAAGAAACGCTGTGAGGAACTAGAACAAGACACTGCGGCAATCCACCATCACATCAAAACAAACAGGGTATCCGGCCGATGAGGGTAAAAAAGGTACCAGATTGGAGAAGATATCCCCAACCGAAAGGAAAGCAGAAACAAAAAAGAAAATTCAATCATTCATGACCGATCATCAAGAAGACCCATATAGTATCTGGGCCGGTTCGAGGTTGGGATGAATAGGAAAGATGGAGATGAAGTAAGAGGAGAAGTTCGTCGATCCGTGGGCGAGACCGATCACGTGTCCAGGAACTACTATAGATGGCTGGATAACGGAGGATAGCTGTGTCATCCAATTATATGCAGGGATAACTTCTCCAGCAATCCAGGCAGCCAAAGCAGACAAACCGAGCAAAGTCAGGCAGCAATCACAATGCATAAATCCTCATGACTCGTGATTCACAATTGTCTGCCTGATTTTCTCCCAACTTTTTCTCTTCTTCTTCTTCTTCTTCTTCTTCTTCTTCTTTTCTATCTCGATCTCTGCGTGGTTTGAACCTCACCTGTCTCTGATTCTCTGATTCTCCGATTGTACGAAGACGCCCTGTTCCTCCATGTCCAGTCCCATATCGAACCCAGACCGAAGAAAGATTAGCCTATATACTTCCATACAAATCACAGAACCATGACGCACTATTGTACCCCACACGCCTTCCAATCCAATTACTTCCTACTTCCAACTCACCTCCCCAGCAAGAACAACAACAACCGCATCATCGTCTGCCTCTCTGCTGATTGCTCCAATCGGTTGCTGGTCAGAGAACCGGGATTCAATCCATGAACCATCGGGTCGCCAAATCGCCCCCCACTTAACTCTTTCGGTGCTCGCCATCCCCCTCCATCGTCCCTTTTTTTTTTTTCTCTCTCCTCACTATTTATTTTTTTTTACCTCTCTTCTCGCCTCCACCCTATCGATATTTTATGACTTGGTTCTATACCTTCTCATTCCTGACATTCGCTTCCACTGGTGCTATCGGTTTGGAGTTATATTAGCGGTCAATCTCTATGCTTGCCGGCCGATCTTCTCGGTCTTTTGCCTCCCCGGGACGACCCCTCCTGTCAGAGGAATGACGGTGACGAGCGACGAGATCAGAGATAACACTCTATATAAACGATTACGGTTATGACTGACGTGGCGACCATTGCATGCCGACGTTGAACTTCCACTGATCGTCTGCACTACTTGCTTATCCATCGGTCCGGGTCACAATCGATCAAACAAATTTCCCCTCTTTCGCTCTTCTTTTCTGTCTTCCTCCCCCGATTATGGCAGACTCCGACATGCTCCTCGAGGATGACCGCTCCGTTGAACTGTCTTCCATCTCCGCCATATACCCCGAGATCATCATCGACCCCGCCTCGCCGTTCCGGGCTGTTCTGGATTTACCCGTCAAACCATCAACCCCGCTGCGGGTGTGCTTCCATCAGAACACTGACGTCGAGCTCCCGACGATTCTGACCCCTCCCACATCATTCGACGAGCTTGTGCCGGTTGATTTCAACAAAGATGTCCACGTCATCTCTTATCTGCCTCCCCTCCGTCTCGAGATCGACCTTCCCGAACATTATCCTTCTGATTCCCCACCATGCGTTCAACTTCGCACCGACCCTCCTTGGCTACCGATCGATATTACCCAGCGGCTCATAGACGATTGCGAGCGTCTCTGGGAAGAATGCGGGAGGGATATGGTGGTTTACACGTATATCGATCATCTCCAGCAACTGGCGGAGACGGCGTTTGGAATCGACGATATCCCAGACGGAGAAGTGCGGCTTCCTCGTGAATTGAGAGTCGCCTTGCTGGATTTCAATAGCAGGACCGAACGAGACAAGTTTGAACAAGAGACCTTCGAGTGTGGAGTTTGTTTGGAGCCAAAGAAGGGCACCATTTGTCATCGCCATCTCTGCGGTCACGTCTTTTGTGTCCCGTGCCTGCAAGACTTCTACAACAACTGCATCACCGAGGGAGATGTGGACTGTGTCAAGTGCCTCGACCCCGATTGCGCCAAGGAACGGGACAAGGAGGATGTCAAAGGCGCTGCGAGCAGACGGAAGAAGCACGGTAAAACCCTGAAACCGGGCGAGCTCCTTCAGATACCACTCGCACCGGAGATCGTACAGCGCTATGTTTTTCTGAAGCGGAAGAAGAAGTTGGAGGCGGACAAATCTACCGTGTACTGTCCCCGCCAGTGGTGCCAGGGGGCCGCTCGTTCGAAGAAACACCCAAAACCGGAGGACCCTATGTCAGAGGACCTAGATGCGTCCGACGAAGAGGAAGGTGGGCCGGTATTCGATCCCCTGGGCGATGAGGCCCAACTCCCTCCCGTAGCGGACCGGGTCGCCATTTGCGAAGATTGCAACTATGCCTTTTGCTGCGTATGTAAAAAGGGATGGCATGGCGAATTGGTCCGGTGCTTCCCTCGTCGCGAGGCCGAGCTGTCGGTGGAAGAGCAGGCCACAGAGGACTACCTGAGGCGGTACACATCCGCCTGCCCAACATGCAATGCCCCCTGTCAGAAACGCATGGGCTGCAACCACATGAAATGCTTCCGATGCGACACCCACTTCTGCTATCTCTGTTCGAGCTGGCTGTTAGAGGACAATCCCTACCGCCACTTCAACGAGCTCAACAGCAGCTGCTATAACAGGCTCTGGGATATGGAGGGTGGCGACGGTGTCAACCCCGACGGCGCTGAGGTCCTCCACCAGATCCCCGCGGAGCTGCTGGAGGACGACAGTGATGACGATGATTTTCCCGCGTGGGATTTTCAGAACGAGGCCGACAACATCCCTCGTCGACAACCCCCGCCTCCAGCCCCCGCTCCCCCGCGGATTCCCGGAGGCGGCGGCCCTGGAAACCGTGAGTGGGGCCGCAATGGCCATGGCTTGGACGCTGCCGGGAGGGCAGCCGCCGCGGAGAGACAAGCACAGGCACGGGCAATGGCCGAAGTCCGGGGCCGGCCAGACGCTGATGCCGACGATGCTCAAGCCCGGCAACGCGCGGGTCTCCAACGATTTCTAGATCTGGTCCTTAACGACCGCGAAGACGAATGGGACAGTGACGAACTGGACGATGACTTTTAAACAAAAGTTTACGCAACATCACTCTCACGTACACCGCCGTTTGGTTATAATGAAGAAGCCCAAAATCAATGGTTTTCGCCTAGGTATATCACTTCCGGTTTGTTTTCATTTCTCATTTTTCTACCCTAATCTCATCACTTTTACGATTTACCCCCATACAATCTTGTGTATGTACGACTCAGCTTTGCATTGATGACGTGATGATGCCTACCTACTACCTACATTATGTATTAACGAAGGCTTTGTTTTGGATTTCAGCGTTACAGCTTAGCCAGCTGGCTATGTACAAACTGCTGTTGTCACTCTGATATTGATTATGATATTTCTTTCCTCCTCTTCTTCTTCTTCTTCTTCCTCTTTTTTGATATCTTTCTTATATTTTTCTATTATTTTTCTTTCACTCCGTTCGTGTATACCATGGATCCAGCGGGCTTGATTTATGTTTTGATCGTGTGTACTATCTCATGTGGCATGATCCTTTTGTATTTGTGGTATGGGATATACAAATGCATCTTGAATTTACGATATATGACATGAACTTCTACTATCTGGTTCGAATACGCGGTTGATAGTAACTACACAAATAAGCATCAGTGCATTGTTGAACAACGAAGGAAGATCGATTCCATACTTGACTGGTATACTAGGTATGTATGCATGCAAAAAGAAGTCCATAAATGAATAAACAAACAACAAACAAATAAATATATCGAAGGAGCCCGCTAAACTCAACTCAAACCCAAACAACACCCCGAAAGCCCAATCAATCAATATGCAAGCGCTTACTCAGTAGGTAGTGACCGACCTCCTCACCCCCATCTAGTACATCTCCAAAAACCGCATCAGAAGATAGAAAGAAAAGGTAGAAAGACCACTAAACAACCAAATACTGATCCTCCTCTTCTTCGTTCGCTGCGCTTGCGTGCCCGTCCCCGCCCGCCGTGTTCCAGTTGTACCAGAACTCGTAGCTCATGACCGTGTGGTCTGTGTACATGAGGAGCACACGGTACCGACGTGAGGGGTTCCATCCGCGCCAGGGTTCTTCAGGTTGGTAGGCGTTTGTTGCTTGGGCGTGGCATTCTGGGAGGGAGAGGGGGTATACTCTTTTTTGGGCGGTGCCATGGATGTCTCTGCTGTGGGGGATGGATGTTGATGTTGGTTTGGATGCCTGGGGGGTGGAGATGTTGGGTTGGCTGGTCTGAGATGGTGGATGGGTGGGTGGTGTGTCTGCGTCGTCGGTGGGAGGACACCGGTAGCGGAAGGAGAGATCGCTGGCGTCCACGCCGCGAGGGATGTAAGGCACGTCTGGGGGCATCTCGAAGCCTTGGATGGGACTGACGGTCATGCCGAGGAGGGGGATGAGGGGTCTGTCGCCATATTTTTCCTGGCTCTTGAAGGGGACGATCCAGTCGACGCGGAAGGAGAGGCCTGTGGACTCGGACTCGGTGAGGGCGATGACGGCGGCGCGGCCTTTCTGCGACGCGGCGACGACGATGCCGTGCTCGGGGATGTACTTGACCATGTTGAAGCGGTCGCAGGCGCGGATGGAGACGATGGGGTGGGTGAAGGGCTGGCGGAGGGGCGCGCCGCAGACGACGCTGGCATGGGAGGCAAAGGGGTGGGGGATGAGGCGGATGTCCGTCTGGGAGAAGTGGAGGATGGGGAAGTTCGACGTCAGGGGAGCTGGAGCCGGGGGAAGAAGACCTATTAGCGCCGTCTCCGCTTGCCCATACAGACCAGGATCATCGGGGAAGGCCCTACGGGACATACGATCAAAGACCTGGTACGCGGCCGCACCCGATGTGGATGCGTCGCCACTCTCCGAGGTATCGTCGTCCGCTTCATCCATTTCCCGATCGTCGTCGTCATCGTCGTAGGTGTCCTCGTCGATGGCCGAGTAGTCGTCAAAGTACTCTTCCGCGCCCTGGATATCGCCCCCGAGAGCTTCTGAGAGTGCGAACCGGAGGAATTCTGGCGTTGTCAATGGTCCATTTCTGGGAAAGAGGGGGTTCTCATTTGTGTCATCGTCAGGTTCGTCCAGTGCCTGGAAGATCACATCGGTGTTATGCAGAAGTGCTGGTACCTCGGTGACCATGTCCTCGTCGGAGGTATTCTCATGGCTCGCGGTATCTTCGTCAACAGACCCGTCAACGGCTTGATGACTGAATGCGTCCGCGGAGTCTGACGGACGCAGGTTGCTGGCAGAGGTTGGAGGTCGGTGGGCTTCTGCTTGGTCCGAAGACGTCGCGCTGCCTGCATGATAAGGGTGTGATCTGCCAGAATCCAGACTGTCATGCTTCCCTCTTCCGTGGCGGATAGGCCTTGCTGAGCGGTTGTCCCTGGTGATACAGCAATCTGCTCCAAGTATGTCAGGTAAGACCGGCTGTTCCGGTTCGGGCTTGGCCACAGGAGGGAAGTAGTTGTATATGTGCGAGGCATTAGGTATGCGGGAGCTCAGCTTCGTGAGATCGAGCACCGATTGTCCGTCCTTTAAACGACGCTGAGGAAGTCCGCCACACGCTTCTTCGGTGGATTTGAGCAAATGAAAAGTCCGCGGATCCAGAGCCAGGACGGTCCAACCACGTTCAATGCTGGGGCGGTTAGTGACAACGAAAGTCAGCGAGGGAAGAAGAAGAAGATCTTACTCATTACCCAGGGTTTCCGGGAACGATTTGAAGCTGATATCGTTGAAATGGTACACGTTGAACGGACCGAGACTCTCCCATACTTTCCAGATAAGGAGCTTATTGTCAATATCCGTACTGACCATCCACGTGCCGTTGGGGTCCAAGTCGCAGTTAAAAAAGGATACAGAGGGGATGTTCGAAAAATGGCCGGTATACGTCAATCTGATGTTTCGCTTCCGGTGTTTATCCGGCATGAGATTCCGCAACTGCTTGAAATGCTCGCTGCTTTTGATATCTAGCCAGGTCTGGCCGTAGTCAGTGAAGTCATCCTCTTCCTCAGGATGAACCGTCGAATCATGGCTGTGTCCAGAAGCCGGGTTGACCAGGGCGAAAGCGAACACGGTAACCAGACCCGTGTTCGCGGTCACAGCGATCAGACGAGCGAACTTGTGGATGGCCAGGCCCCAGGCACTGGCTTCGACGTATTCGACGAAAAACGGATCGACCTGGGATCCGTCCAGGGGGCACTCTTCGTTATTCTCTACGGCCCGTGCCAGAGCCGAATATATAGCTTCGACACGATACCCGCAGACATTTCCAGAATCAGTCGCCAGCAGTAACACCTCTTCACGGCCCAGATCATCGACGAGGATACTGTTGATTGCGTGCGGAGTTACTGGCGAAATATAGCCAGCGCTATTGGGCTCTTTCATAACGGGGGTAATGATCATTTTAGGTTTAGAACCTAGCGTCTGCGATGACCCCGCCGGCTCCCAAACATATATCCGCTGGCTGTACGCAGTAAACAGCAAATTCCGACGTTGCGAGAGTGCAATCTTCAGGACATTAGCCGGAGCGCGCACCCCACGAACATAGACACGCCACTCACCAGATTGTTGCGCCATGTTGCCGTCTGAGGAGGAAACGTATCGTGTGCTCTGTAACATCGTTCAGCTCTGTTCTTGTCTCATGCAAATAGGAGGTCATACGAGAACTAGAAGACACCGTTAGTTGTCACATGTCCAAATGGAAGAAATAGCACTACACACTCTTTGCTGCCCCTTTTCTACATTCAACGGCCGCATGTGTAGCCCTTCTCTTGAGCGAGCCATCCCCTTAGATAGCCTTCGCTGGGCGTTATGATTAGAAGTCATTTCCAAGCGATATCACCCAGATTTCCAGACTCTGATATCGTGCGGAGCGGCGCGCTCTGAAGCAAGCCAAGCCCAAAGCCCGCAACCCAAGTATCAGACAACCCAGCGGCGAGGATCAATCCGCCACGGCCACCAAACAGCGTATAAAGAAATCGTAATATAGCAAGATCACGAAGGGCGCATATGCAAGGACGCAAATGACATCACACCAGTCGACAAGGCCTATCACTTAGCAGCAGATTTGACAGTATGATAGTACTCATCATTGTCAGGCCTCAACGCGGAGGAGACAAAGACCGGAAGACAGAGCCGCCTGTAGCAGCTTTTCAGCAGCCGCGAGTAAATCAATCCGGGAAGTTATCCTTGCAAACGTGCGACGTTTTCTGTTATGGCGGACGATGAAGTCAGTTCGTCCACCTTCTCACGGCATTGGCCGCCTTGGACTGCGCACGTGCCACATGCGGAGCTCTCGCCGCAACTCTCCTCCGTCCAATCTAGTCCTTTTGTCTTAACTCTGCTACCTCCTTATCTACCACGAACACAAGAGGACTTAGGTTTGGAGATTCTGGAAATTTATTCAATATGGATCTTGTCGCAGGTGTCCGCAAAGAAGGCAGCCGGTAAGCTCCCTTCCCTACTCCTCTCACATCTCACCAAACAAGATACCGTACTAACCCAAACGACTTAACAGTGGCGGTCGCGGCGACTTCAAATGGTCCGACGTCAAAGACTCCTCCCACCGCGAGAACTACCTCGGCCACTCGGTGATGGCGCCCGTCGGTCGGTGGCAACACGGACGAGATCTGAACTGGTATGCGCGGGGAGACGACAACGAGGAGGAGCGGGCGCAGAAAGAGCGCGAAGAGAGACAGCGGGTCAAGGACGCCGAGGAGGAGGCGATGGCGGTCGCGCTGGGGCTTCCGGTGCCGTCGAAGGGTGGAGAGGGGGGGTCGAACGCCAATATGATACCGTTGGGGGAGAAGGATGTTTCGCGCGCGGTTCGGGATACGGCTGCTGAGGAGGGCCGTGATGAGGAGGATGGGGCGAAGGGTATTGGGTATGGATCTTATGGGGGCAAAGCTACGTCTGGGGCGAGGTTTGATGATGGGGATAAGCTTGAGGGTGTTGGGTTTGATAAGGATCCGAGAGAGAGACGACGACGCAGGAGTGAGCGGAGTCGGAGTCGGAGTCCTGGTCGGGATCGGAGACGAGACTATCCCGGTGATAGAGATAGGGAGCGAGAGCGCAGACACCGCAGGCATCGTGATGATCGAGACCGTCATCATCGGAGCCACCGGCACAGGTCGCGTTCCCGCGATCACGATCGACGGAGACGGCGGTCTCATTCACGGACCGGTAGCCGGGACAGAAGACATGGTGAAGAACACGTCCGACGCAGAGAGGACCGGCCTCGCAGGGAAAGGGAAAGGGATTCAAGCCGCTCTCGACGGCATTGAGTGGACGTAAATGATGCATTTGGTCATGCTGGAGTCGGGCGTTCGTGGATTTGGATAACAATAGTGTACAAACTGTCGCATTCTCTAACTTACTACTATTATCTTGTCCTACATAGCCATATCTGCGTATTCCTACAGCTCGTCATGCCCCTTGTTCCCACCGGCGGGAAGATCGGGCATCGACATTATCTTCACCACCATGCTGGTCCAACCGGTGAAGTGCTGGGTTCGCTGCCCTTTGCCTGTGTCGGGGTTGTACTGCTCCCATGCGAACCCGGTCTCTTTCCAGTTCCTGAACACGTTCTCCACCAGGTTTGTCCGGAGTTCGGAGTACATCTCGCGGGCTTGCTCCTGATGAGGTCCCTCCTGGAGTGCGAGATCCTAGAAATCGAACGGTTAGTCATTGACAAATCATGTGTAGACATATTCACTCACGTAAAGACTCTTTAGCACAAGGTAGTTGATGTTAACCCAAACAGGGCTCCTCCAGTAATTCTCCGCAGTACCATAAAACTCGTCCTTCTGACTCAAACTGCGGATCCCATAATCGCTCCAGAGTTCCTCCGGGTCGGCGATCAGATCCAGGATGGCCTTGAGCCTGGGGCTCTCGGGACCAAGCATGCCCGTCAGGAAGGGCATAAGCGAAATGTACCCCTTGTGGCAGATGTGCACGCTTTCCTCGAACTCATCGATGGTAGCATCGCAGTACGTCTGCGCTTGGTCGTCCCAGTGGAGGTCGTCGATGTTCCGCTCGATGGCCGTTTCATAAACCTTGAACTCCTCGACATCTTCCGTTTCCCCAACGGCCTCGGCGATACGGCGCAGGGCGCGCGTCATCATTCCCATCCAGCTGATGAGATCCACGTGCAGCTCGCCAGGGTGCGGTGGCTGTGCGCGAGGATAATCGTCAATGCCGGATGTCAGGATGTGCTGGATTGAACGGCCCCGCCAGCGGTATGCTTCTCTGGTGGAGAATGCTTCGCGGTCGTAGGACTTGACGTCGCCGTACTGGGTCTTTCTGTACCAGAAGTAGTGTCGCTTCAGCAGTGGGTAGATCGAGCGGATGTAAGCCTCGCCCAGCTCCTTTTCTTGCACATAACCAGAGCGGAGACTGTCCAGGACATCTCCGCCGAGATCTTCCGTTGAGATGTTTTTCTTGGCATCCAACTTGTCGATGAAGGCCTCAAGGATGATAAACAGGGTCGGGGGGTTGGCGTAGTGAGGGTACTGGACCGTAAACTCAGGGGGAACTTTGCTGCGGGCTTCGGCGCCTAGGATCTGCTCGCGAGCAATCCAGCCATCTTCATCCATCAAGTTGATCCAGCTCTTCACGATCTCAAGCCTTCTTAACGTCAGCTAATGAAAACAAGGGTATAATGCTGGGGACGGAGGGTAAATCATACGCAAGGCTTGTGTCGTAGTCGACCACTGGAATCAAATGGAACCCTTCATCCCAAAGGAACCCTCTTGGAAAGAACGGGCGAGAGGGAACGCTGGTGAAGAGATCCTTAGGCCCCTCGAAAATAGGCCGAGCTCGAGCTCTGGCCTCCTCCGTTTCCTCCCAGAAACCTTCGTTCTCCTCGTCATACTCCGGTGCTGCGGAACGGTCAACAACATCGGTCCCGTGGAAGAACCCAATGCCGCCAACAAGGTTCGACAGCATGGACTTGGAAAACTGCGAGTATTCCGCAGAATCAAACGGCGACTGCGGCGAAAAGACCTTTTCAAAACGGTCGCTGAACGAGAGCGAGGCGCTTGCAATCTCATCGGTGATAGACTCGGCTGGAACAGTCAGTACAGTCGATCAATTGTCCTTCATCATGGCTAGACGGAGATCTTACATGTCAGGGGTTTGGGGGCAGACCCGGAGGAGAATAGGATATCAAACTGGCCAGTCAGCTACCATTGAGCACGTCGGTCAGAGAGACCTACCTCGAACGCGCCCTTGAAAACCTTCTGCACAAGATGAATGTTTCCGTCTCCAGGATGGTGAGGAATAGTGAAGACCTGAGGAGCCGGGGGAGGATCGTCTGCTCCGTATTTTTCGATGCACTGGTTGATCTCGTTTTTCATCTGCGCAAACATAATCACTTTCCAGCCAAAATCAGCATCTAACCCGCCAAAGAGCATTCACCGGAGAAACAGAAACTCACCCTTCGTCTGCCAAAGATGCTCCGGCGGCATAGTGGCACTAGACACGAAAGTCCGATCCAACGGCTTATCCTCCCAAGTCGGATGCGTATGCTCAGGGTGCTCGTTACTCGCAGGTCCCGCAGTAACATCAATCGCAAAGTCACCAAGGTCCAACGTCGAGCCCGCAAGCTTGACATTATCCTCAAAGCCACGAGGGTCCACCTCGGTTTCCACCCCCAGGTCACCCAGCCCCTCCAGCGCAGCATAGAAGATAACAGAGGTAGACTGGTCCGGGGGCGCATCGTCGCGGGGCACGCCCTTGACACGAGCAGCCCAGCTGCCTCCATGCTGTCCGCCAGGGACCTTGACGAAGTCAATCGTCATATCCACCGAGTTGCCCGCATCGTGGATCGTCTGCCGGCCGCCTTTGCGGATGTCGTACTCGTCCCAGCCGTATCCGGCCATGCCTTCGTCCTGTTCGCAGGTGTGTCTAAAGTCTTCAGAAAGCAAAGCTATGTTAGCACAGAACAATGACAATTCACAACCATAATAGTGAGTATCTCCTATACGCACTCTGTTGCGCCGTGCCATAATCATCCACATTCGCCCACATCAACCCCGCAAACAAACTATTCGCGATCCGAGGCCGCACCCCAAAATACAGATTCGGTTTGTAGGGACCCCATAGTAGCGACTGGTTGTTCGCCCTGGCGGCTTCTTTCGCCAGGACCGATGTATCGTGTTCCGCGGCCTGGCTGGCGAAAACGGCAAGGCAATGGAATGCCAATGCGCACAGTGCGTATAAATTGAGACGATGCATTTTCTCAGTGAGAACGCATCAGAGAGTATGAATCGGGGTGATCATAGAGAGGGGGCTTGGGTTAAGCTCTCTCGGGTTCTGTAGGCTGTTGGGGTTGATCTGGCTTGAGCGGAGGAGCGTATTTACCTCCGCAATTACGTGGTCCAAGCTCCAGTCAGGAACCATACTTACATAACTGTCTCTTTACTCTACTGGTTTGCGTCATAGATCGATCAATTTGGCTTTTTATGTTATGAATATTTTAGCCGCCAATAAGGACATCATAGAATGTATGGAAGCATTTTAAAGCTAGTAGGCTATATATGATCGACGTATCCTTGGGTCTATATGAATTTCCGCGGATCAAGGGCGCCAATCTTTGCGCTCTTCGCCCCCCCATCAAACACAAACTCACTGATCACCTTGCCAGTGCCAGGGGCATTCTGGATACCCCAGCATGTGTGTCCAGCCGCAAGGTACAAGCCCTTGGCTCCAGCGTGACCGATCAATGGGCCTCCGCGAATATTGGGCAGGTAGCAAGCCTGGCGCGCGCAAATCTCCCCATCGCGCAGCTCGTCAGACACACTCCCAACCTCGTTGATGATATCCTGACATCTCTCTAGGTCCACCTCGACATCGGCTGAGGTGGCCGGGAGTGGGACGGTCTGGTCACCGTCGCCACAGGCATAGACCGTAGCGTCAGGGCGCGCGTAGATCTCTGGCGCAGCGACCGTCGGACGCGAGGGCTTCGACGGGTCGAAATTGGCAGGGATTTCGATGTTAGTGAAAAGCGTGTACGCGCTGACAGGTCGCGTAGGTCGGATAACGACGCTATGCGCGCGCATCGCCGTGATGGGAGCTTCCGGCATGACGGACTGGGTCCACGGCCCAGCAGAGATGACAACATCTGTCGCCGGGATAGTTTGCGACTCGCCCGATTGCTTGTCCGAGTACGTGACTGACTGGACGGCATCGCCTTCGTAACCGATATTGGTGACCGACCCGAGCGTAATCTTCGCGCCCTTCTCCTCCGCCAGTCTCGCCATCGACGTCGTAAAGAGATAAGGATGGACCTGGGCGGTCTCCCCGGGACCACTCATACTCTCGTAGCCTCTCAACAGTTCCGGCTCAATCCAGTCCAAGTCAGCAGGGACTTTGGCAGATTTCAGCTTGCCCAAGGCCGCCGCGCTGCGCTTTTCGAGGGACTTGTGCTCATCCCCGCTCGTCTTATTCTGTTGACTGAGCGGCCGCCCCCGTGCCACTAGCTGGCCGCAGTTCACCTCCCTGTAGCCCCACCGGTCTTTTCCATTGTGTTCTTGCGCGAGTTCGGTGTGCAATTTGTAGCTCAGTGGCACGATGCTACTGGGATATGCCCATTGTGCCAGCAGACCGCCCGCCTTGCCAGACGCCCCGCCTGCGATCTCGCTCGCTTCGAGGAGAGTCACGGAGTGGCGGGAGGGGTCGAAAGACGGGTGTCTGGTCAGGTAATACGCTGAGCAGCAGCCGATGATACCGCCACCTGGGGCAGAGATGTTAGGACGGTTGGTGAGCGGGGTAGAGGGTCCGACGGAAGCACACACCGATGATCACGATTTCGCGACGCTCGTTACTGGTCGACATTGTGCGGTACAGCGCGAGCCGGGATCCTAGAGTTCGTAGGGGAGCGATTGGCATAAGAAGATGGAACAGGTGTTGGGTTGGAGGATGGACGAGGGGCGCTCTTCGCTATGAACCATACGTCATTTAAAGTCATGTGCCAAGCCTGTATATTGATTGCCTAAGCATAGATACCACATAACTAACATAACAACAACAGGCAATTCACGATAGATTCCCAGATAACTCAAGTGTGGCCTCATACCTCCAAGACCCGTTGAAAGTTGGGGCACAGAAACGGTTCACAAAATCCTACTCCGACCATGCATTCAAAAGTACAAAAGAAAAAGAAGAGAAAAGAAACACATCGCCGCGGTGCTAGGCCAGCAAAAGTGCACACATAGAAGTATAAAACACATGTAACATGGCAAGAAATCGGAAAGAAAAAGGAGGAGGATGAGAGGGAGGAGAAGGAGAAGAAGTCAATTGTTCTACTGCCGTGACGGACTGAGCGGCCGGTTGAAACCTCCGACACGGTTCATGTACTGTCTGTACTCCGTCTTCTTCTCCTTCCGCACTCCGTAGACATCATTCCCGGGAACTTTGGTGTTCTTGGTGGTCCGGAATCTCGTAAAACCCATGCTGCGGCGCATCATCGCATCGATATCATCTTCCCCGGTATCATCGACATCCATATCCATCGAGTCCCTCGATCGAATGTCGGGCTTCGAGTCTAACATCTCTTGTTTCTGTGTCCGATTATCCCTGCGATCCCCTCGACGGTCCCCTCGTGGGCCTCGCGGCGGCGGTGTCCTCGATGCATCTCTGTTCCCGTTGCGGATTGGCGATCGGGAACGATCGCGGTATCTCCCTGCTTTGGACGGAGGGTTCCCTACCGACCAGTTAGATAAACGCACAACGCAGTCTCGTAAAAGTACAAAAGTACACGTACCTCGCCTCTCGTGATGTCTTTCCCGACTGGGGCTCCTCTCTCTGTCTCTCATTCCCCTGCCGTCTCTATCTCTATTCCCCCGGTCACGGTCATGGTCGCGGCGGTCTCTGGACCTGGAACGATCTCGCCGTTTGTCTCTACGATCTCTGGAACGCGAGCGATATCGCCGATCGTCGCGACGGACATCATCCCGGTCCCGCCGAGGACTTCTGGTCACTCCGAGTTCCGGTTCTGGAGAGCGCGTATTCCCATCATTCATATCCCACATTGTCGAGCTATCGACCCGTCGAGCACGTTTCGCTGGAGGTTCCGCCATGTCTGGTAGTATTATTCAGGCAGCCGTGGCGTTCTGGGGGGGTGGTGTGTTCAGGACGCGACCGACGGGGGAGGATTGTGAAATTTTGACTGTCGATCGGAGTCGGGTCGGAATTCCGAAACAAAAGGGGGGAGTATGCGGGTGAGCCACTAGGTTTGACTATTATTCATTATAGGATTGGAATTAAACAGGGGGTATCAAGATATTGTGGTATGATCTGCGTGGAGTTGAAAGGTTGTTGCGCCAGTGGAAGCAGAGGAAGAGAGTCCGGAGGAAGTTATTACGGGCGCCGAGTGCCACCCAGTGTGCGGTTCTGGCCTTGGTGCCGCAGCAAACAGGGAACTCAACCGTTTACTAGTCGCTGTTAGTGTTGATAAAGGCTATTCTTAGCATGTCTTTTTATCTCTTCTTTCTCCTTTTTTCTTATTTTTAGTTTATATATTTTGATTCAATATGTATCATATATGAAACATTTTTTGAACGCTTTTTCCGAGATCTATGAGGACTACTAGGTACGTGATAATAACAAATCTAGTACTGATACCATCGCCCGCAAAAGCCGTATACAATTCTTGGGCATTGGACCCTCTATATTCCTTATATCTCTCATATACTATTTCAAAAAAAATATATATATATATACAAACCGGTAGTACTTTTAGTGTTCTTTCTGTACGGAGTACTATGTTACAAAACAACGGAGAGAAACAGAACAGTACTTTCTATGCCGCCAACCACTGGAATTTATACTGCCTCTATTCCCACCATATTACAAGTGAAACTCCACCCAGATACCATATGGCTAACATGATCAGCCACGAATGAACTATATAGTAAGTAGGCAGAAGAAGGTACTGGGAATTTATAACCTACTTAACCAAAGGGTAACTTCCCTATAACCGCACATTGACTACGGATTAGTTTCGTTCACTAGCCTATAGCCATACTTGTCAATCAAGGCAATGTCTCTATTCAATGACTTCACATCGGATTCATTCCAACCCTGACCCTCCGTATCTCAATATAAACAAGTGTTAAATTCCGATGCAGAAGCCCAAGCCATGGACGGGCCGATCCGCCGAGCCGCGAAGAAAGATCCGCAAAGGGAAAAGATCGATCGTTCGCTGGAATTCTTTGACGCCCGCTACTTCGACCCCTCCAAAGTAATGCACCGGACAGCCCCGCACTCTTCACCCCATCGAGCTATTGATAGGATACCGAATCGTATTCTCGTGGGACTACTGTAGTTCCTGAATAGAGAAATGGCTCCAACCAGCTTATCCCACCGGCAAACCCACAATTTGCTGTTGATTTCCAAGCTCCTCGGCCACCGCGATACCGCGTCACCCCTCACGTTGCTCATTGATTCTTTGGAGCAGCCTGCAACTCCATTGATCAAGGAGTATATTCGACGTGCAAAGGTCAGTGTCTTCTTTCAATTGTCGCGTGTTGAATATCCATGGAGTGTGGGGTCATTGGCGACAAAAACGGACTAACCTCGATCGCATGACAGATCTCCAAAGTCCATGTTACACTCATCGCCTTCGAGACCCTCAAACCATTAGATGGAGTTGATTCATTCATCTATGCTCGGAGAAAGAACCCGTCGGAGATCGCGAAAGAAGTTGCTACGGCTCAGCAGAAGACACCTACCCGTAGGCAGAACCCCATATGCTATCCAATGTGCGAGTCCTTCATTATTGACCTACCCAATGCAGGACGCCTCATCCTGATCGACTCGATCAATCCTCTCCTCCGCGCCCAACGAGCCAATGCGCACTTTCACCTCCCAACGTTCCTCAGCTCCTTCTTGATTCCGTCGAGTCCCTCAGCGCCCAAGAGTGATACATCACTCGTCGTGAACTTCCACAACGATGTCCCAAACCCTCCGGCCCAGTCACCATACCAACCCTCGCCATTGTCCACCTTGAGCTTTCTCGCGACAACCGTCATCACGCTACACTCTTTCTCCCACATTTTAGCCCAAAAAGCGGCTCGCGATCGCAGTCTGGCGGCGCCTGTTTTCGGACTCGCCGAGGAACAAGACGGTGTCCTCTTGGGCCGACTGGATAAGCCGATCGGCAACGAGTCCACGCAAGGGATCGTCCTGGAGATGGAACACCGCCGAAGAAGTGGGCGTGGCGTTCTGGAATGGTACATTTTGCCTCCCGCTTCGAGCTACCCGCCCAATCAGCTTAAGGAAATTGTGACATTGCTCGACGACCACCCCCTGTATCGACCTCCGGTGGACTCTGGCGCCCAGGAAGGCGAGGAGGAACCGCAATCCACTTTTGAATTAGGTCTGACCGACCGGCAACGAAAGGACAGAGAAGGCGTGGTCCTGCCATACTTTGATGCCCAGCAGGGCGATGGCCCTGGCGAAGGGGGCCGCATCTTATACGACATGGGCGAGGAAGACGATTTCGACGAAGAGGAAGATGAGATATAGCGTGCCCCTCTTCCTGTCCCTTTGGCGCAGTGTATGCGTGGTTTACCTAGCTCTACGGAACATCGTCTGCCTTCGCCAAAGAAAAGCTTCCATTGCCTGACAAGCCTGCTCGTCATTCCTCTCAACGATCCTACTGGCTTGAGTGACTGACTAGAGGGCAGTGTCCTGCAGCCACCCTTGAATATTATGTATGTACACGGGTGTCCCTATGACCAGATACCCACGAAAGACATGACCACCTGCGTGTGGCTAGAAGAAACGCAACCAGAGGAACAGAATAATAAAGAACCCAACGCCCGCAAAGGGCCCATACTACACCAAGTCAGAACAGCATTCTAGGCAGGATAGCTGTGGGCGATTGAAACTCACCTGCTTCAACAACAACTCCCAGTTGATGCGGACCGCCGCTTTCCTATACTTTTGACTGTCCTCGCGCAGACGCCCTGATAACTCGCCCATGCGCTCCAAGCTATCACCTCGGTACAGGAGATCCTCGATATTCTTGGTCATGACCTTGGTCACATCCCGCAGCTCATCGTTCAGCTTGTCGAGGTTCTGCGTGGCACGACCATCCTGGTATAGCTTCTTGGTGCGTTGAATAAAGGTATCAAACTCGACAAACGCATACGGTCGCAGGGTCGGAGAATGGTATTGCGCAGCGGAGTAAGTGGTGGTGAATTCCGTCGCGAGATCCGCCAGATAGGTAAAGGCCAGTTTGCGAGGGTAGGACCGGTCGCATATACAAAGAAAGCAAATATCATCCTGGATCAAGTAGCTAAACAACCATCAATAATCCACTCTCTCCCATAATGCGATCACATCATGCGACCTGTCAACTTACTGTAAATTATACTGCCCAGACTCAATACTGACTTGCGGCGCGGAATTGCGACTCAGGCGGCGAAAGACCATTTTCACCTGCGACTTGATCTCGGCCAGTTCGGTCTCGGCCTACATATTCAAAAGCTTCTTGTTAACGGTGACTGGCCTGTGGGGGGTTCACCATGCAGGTGTAACAAGCTAGCTAGCCTTCACAGCTCCCTCACTCACCTGTTCGTCATCGACAGACGCAGCCAACATCAGGCCTGGAACGTCAGTCAGTCATCCCCAGCACAACACCTCCGCATTACAACATACCATCAAGCCGGGCGATCTGAGTGGATCGAACCATCGTGTCGAAGTGTTACAGCACAAGTGGAGATAATCTTCAGCTTTCCAAGCGATAAGCAAGCTGTGACCTGTTCTGTCTGTTTTGTTGTCCTGAGTCTAGTAATACGCCGGTTTACCTCCTTGGCAGCTCGGGGGGGATCAATGGCCCGCAAGGTCAAGGCGGTCAGGGGTGGCATTACGAGGAGCAGGTACGTAATGATCAATCAACGTGGAGCTCTCTCTTTCCCTCTCTTGTTCTTTCTCTCTCTGCAAGTTATGGTGATAATACAGCACCAATGTCGCTGTTCCTCACCACTCTGTTATAGCCTGCTATAGTTCCAATCAGCCAAATACAGTCTAACAATGAATGGTTTCTAGGAAGGGTCGATCTGGATCTAATGCAGCGGCACCGAACAAGACTGGCGACTCGGGCTCCGCTATGTCGTCGACAAAGCAGAAACCGAAGCGGAACCCCCGACGGGCCGTGAAGGATAGATGGGCGGAGCAGCATTTGATGACGAGTGCTCAGTCTCCGCTGGTTAATATTGACATAGTCGTAAGTGCAAGTTGTGTTCTAGCCGGGTAAATGCGGTACGGGATGACAGGGAGCTAATTACGATGCAAATAAAGAAACTACTCGCGAAACCCGATGCCTGGAACTGCCTCGACGAAGCCGAGAAGGAAGAAATTTTGAATCTACTCCCTGAAGATACCCACCCGAACCGCTACCCATCCGCGGACGACCCCGATGCGAAGATACCCCCGTTACCGGAATCATTCCTGCGATACTCGAACGAGTGGCGCGACGGCATCCGGCATTTTCAGACCGATCTGGAAGATGGTCGCTACGACCCGGCTTGGATCCGACAGGCCGAGGCGGCTGTGGAAGAGAGGGCGGCGGGGAAGTTCGACAAGTTCAAGGAAGAGGAATTTGAGCAGTTCTGGGGCCAGAAGCAGAGGATGGACAGGACTATTGCTGCTGGACAGAGCTCGCAGGTTAAACTGTCGACACTGATTGAGCATGGGGTCATTCATGAAGGCGATGTTTGGCGCTACTCGCGCTCTTTTTCCAGGGGTCGCAATAGGGTCCTGGTGGAGAAAGAAGTGAAGGTTTGTGTTGCTTTTTCCATTGGGGTTTGTCTTCGGGCGTCGTGTTGACTCTCATAGATTGTTGCCATCGACGGCTCACGTTTGACGTTCTTGATGCCTGCTGGCCAACGTACGTTTCTTTCCTCGGTTCAGTCGTCGCCGCCGCTTGCTTCAAATGAGGCAGATGGCCCGTCGAATCAATCAGCTGCCGAGCCTACATCTCAACAGAGTGGCCCCGTGGAGACAGGTGGAGAAGTGCCGATAGTCACAGACGAATCTTTGAATTCTGGAACATCTCAGAAACGCAAATCAGAGACCGAAATCCAACCTCCGAAGAGGGGACGCGGACGGCCCCCAAAGAACCTCCCGAAAACTGAAGACGTCCTGAAAACTGAGGATACCGCCCCCAGTGATCCACCGGCGATGGCCGATGAATCTATTCCAACCCCCCCACCAGATGGAGATACCCACGGTATCGCCAACTCCACGGAGCAACAGGAGCCCGAAACCACCGATGCGAAAGCTTCTTCCCAACCTTTATCTGAAACCAGGCCGGAGGGCCCACCGGAGGGAACCGACGAGATCATAGTAACCGATATCCAAGGGCTTACTGCGCTGGGCGCGAAGATCATAGAACTTGACGGCCGTATTAAGGAGGTTCCAAACGGGAATGCGTGGAAAGAGTTTCGTTCATATCGAAATAACCAGGATATGGGAAGTCTCTGGGAAGTCAGACAGGCTTGGTTCCTGAAGACGCAGTGACTTGGGCAGTCTACGGGAGTCCATTGGACAAGTCACCTCCATACTTCAACTAGCCAACCTGAGTTGGTACACTGCGTCTTGGCTGTGGTGCCCACGCGCCGAAGCAACAAATACCAGAATAGCAACAAATCATCACGACCCACTAATGGGCAATCCTCGAGGGATTACTTTGCATTATGTTGTTAGTTACATCACGTCAGATCATCCATTGAATATCATTAGCGCTACGTTTCACAAGAGAGCATAAATCAAGCATTATCAACTCGCATCCCTACACTATCCTCCTTAGACGGCCTGCTCCCATCCCCATCAAGAGAATAATCCACCGCAAAACTAGACTCTATAAAATCCTCCAACTCCTCACTAACGGTCTTCAACTTCTCCTTCACGCTCGCCACGCCCTCCTGCCCAACAATATGACGCGAGGGAGGATTCTCATGTCCCCCGATAGCGGTAATCGCATAGACAGTCTCAGCAACCAGAACTTCCATATGCGCGGAGCTGAGCGGCGGATACATCGAGAGGACGTTGTCAGTCGAGAACGGGCCGTCTTGGCCATCTTCGGTGGACATGTGGTCTGGATTCTGGTGGGCATTGTCGGCGCCGTATTGGTTGTTTGGTAATCGGGGAACGAGGCGGTTGAGGATGCCGCGGAATAGGGGCGCTTGGGTAGCGGAGGGCGAGTAGATGTGTGACATGGGCGGGACGCTGGTTACTAGGTTGGTGAGGATGCCGATCTCGATGCTGCATTGAAAGATGGTGAGTTTGAGGTTGAAGGGGGCGATTTCGTAGGCTAGGCTCTGTGGGTGGTTTTGTTAGTAGATATTTCCAGGTAATTTCAACAGATGATGGATATTCGTACGTCGCAGAATCCTTCCAGCGCCCAGCCTGCGGCGCAGTACATCCCTAGGCCGGGAGTCCCGATATGGGCAGCTGTTCTCACGTTAGATAGTGGCCGGTTTGCTTGAATGTGAATACTTACTGATCCCGGACAGAATCATTATATGCCCTGATCTTAGCCCCCGCATATGAGGTAGTGTGGCCTTGATTATGTTGAGAGGCCCGAAGTAATTGGTCTCGAACTGGTCCCGGACCAGATTCAGTGTCTGTCGAGAAGCCGCAAGTTCTTCCACCGTTCCGATGAGAGCTGTATCGTATTTAGCTGAAGATCGCAATCAAGTGGTGCTCTACCAGGCATACCTTGACTTGTGCAGCAAAGAAGGATATCTATTCTCCCAAAGGTTGCAACGGCGTCCGCAACCACAGCCTGGCATTCTCCCATCATCCTGCGCAGCGTACGTCAGTCTATGCCAATTGTCTCCCTAGAACCAGAGCACAATCGCACCTTATATCCAAAGGAGCCGTCTTGGTCCGGTCCGGCCATCCCTCATCCCGGTGACTCTCAATTTCCGCTTGAAAGGCTTCGAACCCTTCCCGGCGACACTCATCTCGCTCGAGGCTAAAGTGCGCTAACCCGAGATACACATAGTCCCCATGCGCGAGAACCTGGCGTGCGACCGAGATCCCCGTGGGTGAGTCCCCAGCCGTGATCAACCAGACTCGTGGCTCATTGTGTGCGGGGAACAGTGGGCGGGAATAATTGGGAGAGGAGTGATGGTCCGACATTGGGTCAGAGTCCCTCATGCATTCAAGATTCCATCGCGTAGTAGAATCCTTTAATCTAAATCCAGAGCAATAATCAATGAGGGTAAGGAGAAGCAGATATCAAACAATAGATGACAGTGGATAATCTGGAGAAGCTGTAGATAAAGTGCGGAAGCAAGATGTCACGGGGCGATAAGGACCCGCCAGTGTCAATGCGGACTGGACTGGACTGCCTGGGGCTGCACTTCCGCCGCGCCGCTTCTTCGCTCTGGGTTTTCTCCTTCGTGGCCTCTTTTCTCCCTCATCAACATTTCTTTCTTTTCGCTTTCTACTCCAGCTCACGATGCCGGAGCAGAGACAGCGTAGGAATGAGCCGGAGCAAAGCGTGCGTATGCCTCCTATTCTATTAGTTCCGCCTTGCTGACAGCTTTGTTTTGATGATATAGTCCGGCTTCAAGGGTGCCCTTCAGGGCCTAGCGATCTTCATCTTCGTGCAATTCGTCATCAGTCAACTCTTCGGTGGTAAAGGACAAAGTGAAGGTTCTGGTGGGAAGGCTGGTGGCATTCCCGATTTTGCCGACCGTCCAGATCGCAGTGAGATCACGGACTACAGTCCGATCCCCGACATCGTTACCCCGATATGGCCCGCCGACAGCGCGCTGGACGTCAATATCTATGTGTCGCCGTCCGTTGTGCTTCCTACCTTGAGCAAACTTCCATCGACTGCCTTGGTTCTTCAGGAGAAGAACTTCACCGTTGGCAACTACAGTGACTCCAGGGAGATCGACACGACCATCCAGATTCCCAAGGAAGTGCAGCAGAATGGCACGCTCTGGGCTCACTTCTTTGTCGGACTCACCGGACATCAGTTGGACCCCGCGGCGAAGGATTACAGCACCGACAGCGCGACTCATTTCTTCCGTCCCTTGAACCAGTACCTGCCCAAGAAGAAGGCCAAGAAGCTCAAGAACCTCCTGGCCGGGGATGAGGAAGAAGGCGATGAAGAGGACCATACGCCTGATGTCACGATTTCGTCTTTCTACCACCCGAACTTCACTGTCTCCGTGATCCCGGACTCTGGAACTCAGAAATACCGTAAAATCCATCCTGCGGTGCGTCAGAATGTGCTCCTGGAATCTAGCGGCGCCCGAGATCTCTCTGGCCAGAATGCTTGGTACTATCCCATTGTCTTCCTGAACACATTTTGGCAACTCAAGAGCCAGATGACGGAGCTTAACTCGACCGTGGAGACCGTGCCGCTGCGGATTACCCTGAACAACCTGCAGAACTGGAAGTTCAGCATGATGACGAGCGTCGATGACAGCGCCAAACAGACTTCTCGACAGGCCGCGTACGGCCAGTCGACGCCCGGTGGCGGTGATGGCAGCGAATTCGAGATGGTCAAGGAGGTTCTCCTGAATACGAACATCTATCTCCTCGGCACGACCGGTGTTGTCACTATTCTGCACATGATCTTTGAGACGCTGGCTTTCAAGAATGATATCGTACGTTTGTCTTTTCTTTTTTTTTTTTTTTTTGAGACCTTTCCCTATTCTGTGGTCGGATCGCATGGAACTAACGATATATCTCTTACCAACAGTCCCATTGGCGCAAGAAGAAGGATGTTGTCGGCACCTCTGTGCGCACCATCCTGGCCAACGTTTTCATGCAGGCTGTGATCTTCCTTTATCTCATGGACAATAGTGAAAACACTTCTTGGATGATTCTTGCCAGTCAGGGCTTCGGGATTCTTCTCGAAGCGTGGAAGATCACCAAGTCGGTCGACGTCCGTCTGCGCCCGCCGCCGCCCGGATCATTCTTCTCCTTCCTGCCTTGGATTGTGGTGTTCGAAGACAAGCATAAGCTCACCGAAACGGAGAAGAAGACCCAGGAGTATGATGAGATTGCCTTCCGCTGGCTGTACATTCTTGCAGTGCCTCTCCTGGCCGCCTATGCCGCGTACAGCTTGATCTACAACACGCACAAATCATGGTACTCGTTCGTCATCGAGACCCTCGTTGGCAGCGTCTATGCCTATGGCTTCCTCATGATGGTTCCCAGCTTGTACATCAACTACCGTCTGAAGGTTTGTCTGCCCCTCCTTACAATCAACAAAGACTGACTAACTCTCGTCCAGTCCGTTGCCCACATGCCCGGAAAGGCGTTGACATACAAGTTCCTCAACACCTTCATTGACGACCTCTTTGCCTTTACCGTCAAGATGCCGTGGCTCCACAGACTCGCAACTCTGCGTGATGACGTGATCTTCTTCGTCTGGCTTTACCAGGGCTGGAAGTACAAGGTTGACTACAACCGTGTCAATGAATTTGGCCAGGGAGGCGAAAGCGATGACGAGAGCGAAGAACCGGCTTCGGATTCTGCCCCAGCTCCTGCGACCGCGGACCCCACCCCGGTTAAAGCGTCTGGCAAGGAGAGCTCCAAGGCTCCCACTCGCAAGAGAAAGTGAACTACCTTCAGGCTACCTGTCCTGTAGGGCTTCCGTTTCACTCCGTTCTCTTTGTTGCCTGCCATTTCTATGCCTGTATCAATGGCAGCGCATTTTGTTAATTGTATCGTCGATTCCCGGATTGTTGCGGTTAGCCGGGTCTAATCTTGGGATCTACCTTGAAAGTGGAACCTAATAGTGTAGTAATAGAACAAGTTAGTAGTACATCAAGGTTGAAAAGTTGTCCTGTCTATATTAGCTTCTCTCATCTACTATATTCCAAGGATGGCACTAGTTGATTCTATGTATTAAGACAGAAAAGCTTGGGCTAACGAAAGGTCAATTAAACCTCCGTAAATAATAAATATATATATCTCCAATGTAGATCAAATTAACTCGCATGTAAACAATGAATGTAGTGTGGGTTGGAAAGACGAGGCCTATATTGTATACAGAGCGATCGATAGTGAAGCCGAATTAGCCCAAGTTAGTCATTTCCCGCGACCATCCCGAGGCCCAAACTGCGCAACAGACATCAACAAACACGCTCAGCCGGGACAGGGTCGCACTTCAGCCAGATCATTTCAGCTTTTATAAATCAATACATTCACCCTGTAAATATGAATCTTTGCTGTGCACACGCTCTACAGTTCTGATTAATGCGACATACATAGCTTGCGCAGAACGCGAAACAACAGTCCGGGACAGGCGCGTAATTGTTCGCGGAGAGAGAAGAGAACGGCGCAGACTACATTGAGACGATCGAGCATCTAGTCATTGCCAATGTCATCGAACTCAGATAGAGAATTGTCAGGTATTATTCCAGATCCCTATCGAGTTACCCAATACTCACCACTCCCAGGCTCGGAACCGAGGCCAACCAGCCTGCTCGATGCGCTCGAGCATCTAGAAGCAGGTAAGGCTCTTTTCCCCAACTGATGGGATCTTCGTTGGTCGCTGTATCATAATCTTATTTTTCGCAGTGGCCTTCGTGCCTTCGAAGCAGCGATATACGGACGCTGGCCAGTTGGCCAAAATCATCGCGTCAAACGCATATGAGAGCGGAATCCCGCAAGCGGCTCTGGAGCGCCTAGTCAAGCTTCTGACACAGCCTAACAATCTGGACCAGGGCACGATTACTACTTTGTTGAAAAACCTTTACCCAGTGGAGGGAGTTCCGTCCAAACTGGTCACTCAGGTTGTGTGCTGCCTTGGCCCGAGCAAGAACAAGCCGGCCCCCGCGACTCAGAATCAGCTCTTGCGATGGCTGATCCTGGTTTATGACTTCTTTGACGACAGGGCCCATCTGTCGAAGCTCTACGCGGTGCTCTTCAATTACTTGGACATGATCAGTCTACGCAAGCCGCTCTGCCATCTTCTTTCTTTCATTACGCGGCGCAAGCATGTCAAGCCATTCCGGATTCAGGCCCTTATGGAGCTTGTTGTGAACTCGGGTGGTGAAGATAAGGAGTTGCTCACTCTAATGAAGGTCTTCAAAAATTACTGCCCTGATGTCCTCGTGGGAGACCTGGGGGGAGCCGGAAGAAAGGCGCTTTTCTTCAAGCACCCGGACCCCGAATGGACCAGCCATGTGAGAGCTCTTCAGGACTCGAACGCAGAGAGGCTCCGGGAGACTCAGTCCTCGCGCTTCCAAGTGGTGCTCCGCGGGACCACCAAGCGAAGCAAGATGGAGGTGCTTGTCCCGAGCGTCCAGACGTCTCGGGTGTCGTACAACCATACGTCTCTGGAAGAAATTCGCGGAATCGATCATTTTGTTGAGAGGCTTGAAAAGATTGAGCTCCCCAATCAGATCGTATCTGCGATTGGAGACAACCTAGCCCAGAAATACTTGTTTCTGGTGCAGCCGGAGCCTGCGAAGCGCCGGTTGGACGATTGGCTAAGGAGCTTTTTCAGTGATCACTTGGAGTCCGGCGGGGATCCTGATGATGAGCAAGTGGAGTCATTAGGCTACGTACTGAGCCTGCTCGTGGACTATGTACGGTATACAAAGGTGCCTTCACTCTTCCTTGCACACGATTCGCCAAAGCGCTCACTCTTGTATAGGAAATCCCAGGCACGGTTGCGTCGTTCCTAAAATCTTATATCCCAGTGTGGAATGGAGTTGATAATAAGGAGCAACTACTGCAACTTCTCGAATACACCCCAGTGACTGATTACGATACCGTACGACGGGAGTTTTTATCGCCCCTGGAAACCTCCCTGTTACATCAACCGTTGCCGGTCAAGGGTGGCCTTCTTGACTTCTACTCCTCCTTGGTTCGTCAATGGGGTGTCCACTTGAGGACGCAGCCGTTCGTACCGGGCGAAGAGAAACCCTTGGATCGACTTCTAACTCACGCGGAGCTATTAGCCCTGTCCATCCTGGAATGCCCATCCACACCCCAAGACGGCGACAGCGATGCCACCGACACGAAGCCGATCACGCTATCCGTGGTTGAATTCTACTGCACGCTCGCAGAGTTGTTTTCGTACGCGTCGGTGAACGGCAATATCCGGATTACCATCCCTCTAGCGTCAACTGTATACAGCCTCGTCTTTACACCAATAAGCTCAGTGATATCCATCGTGAGCTCCGTGCTCGCCAGCTACAAGGCGTCCTTCGAGGCATCCATGACATCCCAAGTCCTCCAAGTGCCCGACTCCACAGACGCACTGTATCCAACCCAGCTAGTGGGCCAGTTCAACGGCTACATCATGGACATCTGCAACCTGCTATGGCGAAACCGAGCACTGAACAGCGACGACCCGAACGCACTGGGTTGCCTGATTCCAGCAGGGACCGTAACCGCACTCACACAATACATCCGCGAAATGAACGAAGCGTCTCGGGAGAGGAAGCGCGATATTCCGTTCTCCTACAGCATGCCGTCGCTATTCTCGCTCAGCCACCATGCCGCGCTTTCCAACATGTCCGCGGCTTGCTTTGCTGGGATAGAGGATGAGACTAACCGGGAGGATCAGCCCCGGTTGACGAGGCCCGTTACCCAGAAGGCGCTGAATGCGCTGGAGAAGGACGGCGGTGCTAAGGTTAGTTGGCAGGAGTATAGGGTGCGGATGCTGGATTGGTTGGAGGCCGATGGAAGTGTGGGCGTTGGGAATCTGATGCGGAGCACGATGAAAGCGCTGCGCAAGGAGTGAAGTAGATCAATGCGAGAACTGCTGTGTCCGAAATAGAGGCCAAATCGGAAAGTTCAAGAACTCCGGATATGACAGATAAAAATACACGGGATTGCATCCCCGCTGCTAGTCTACACTATTGTACATAACATGGTCACGTCACGGCGCTATATATACAGGGCAAGGCTCGAACCACGGTCAGAGCTGCTGCGTCGCGTTCACATAGACATCCCGTACAGCAGACTCCTCCCGAAGAAAGCCGACGAGATCCTCAAGTTCTTTGACCTGTTCTTCGTCCTTCACCTCCACCATGGTATCCTTATTGGGATCCCAGATGATCTCCAGTTCTTCGATGGGCAGTGCGATGAGCTTCGACAGCGAGTCTCCCACTTTTTTCGTCTCCGTCGGCTCAGTGAACACGACCAGCCGACCGTCCGCATCAGCCGCAATATCCATAGCCCCCGCCTCGATCGCTTGGTCGAGGTACTCATCCGGGTCCACGCCGTCCTTCTTCTCGAACACGATCCGCCCCTTCTTCTCAAACAGGTATGTCGTCGGAGTGACGGTCCCGCCGTTATCCTTAATCGCATATCGAAGATCCTGCAGGAGGCGCGCTTTCTGATCCGTCTGGCACTCGATCACCGCCGCAACCGAGTGGGGCAGAAGCGCTTCGATCGTGACCTGCTCCAGCGCCTGTCCCGACACACTGACCCCCTGGCCTCTCGCAATCGCCCCGTCGATCACGACCTTTGGGATCCCGGCTCGTTTGGCGTTGGAGAGGGCGAGCGTCAGACGCGGGTTGAACTTGATATCTGCTCCCCATACTTTGCGTGGAGTCAGCCGGAGTTTCTCCTTGCGGGTTGTGCGGTCGGACGGCGGGACAACCTACGTTGTGTGGCGCTACTGATCTCCTTGGCGATGATCTGTCGTTCTTTACTCTTCGCCTTGTCGTTCTTTGCCTTGTCATGTCTGATCGTGGACCATCGGTTATGGCCTGACAAGCGCGGGGGTTGGCTTGTGAAGGTGCGGCGCAGAATGGTGGACGTCAGTAAACTCGAGTCCCGACGGGGATACCACTGTTTCCCCAAGGCCAGTGCCATTGTGAGTCTTCTGGATCTCCCCTTCCACAATGTCCCAACGCGACTTAAGACCGAGCGTTGACCTTGAATGGGATCGTCGTATAATATAATCATCCAGAATTACTATGAATAGAATGAACGGACCGAAGGATTCTCCGGTTCGAGGCCTTGGTTCCTCAGGAATCCCCTAGTTATCTAATCGCCGGCGGTTCTTCTTGTTACGTATATTATTATTAAGGGGCGGAGGGGAATCATTGACTATTGTCAACTGTCAACTGTCCAACTCATGAGCTTCTTTCTCTTCTCTCGTTACGATTTCGCTTCTCTAGGAACTCAATAATTATATTTCATGGGCGGCACTTGGGGCCGAATTATTCCCTTTCAATGTCTTCGTCTGAACCCGCTCCCTCGCCCTCGACTCCCTCCGACAATGCGACGACACCCCCCCGTGCGGAGCTGGACGTCGCGAAGCTCCATGCGCTCCCCTCCGAACAACAGGACCTCTACCTCCTGACGTTCACCTCGGACCTCGTGCAGTATATCTCGGAGCTGGACAAGGCGCAGGTGTCGTCGCAGCAGAAATTCCTGAAGAAGGAACTGTTCAAGATCCTGACCCTCTCGTCGCCGACGATCACACGGGTGATCCGCAATAACCTGGGAAGGTGTTTCGGAGCCATATTCACCAAGGGGGATCGCGGGATACTCTTCGAGACGGTGACGGATCTACTGGGGGTGCTGAATGCCGGGAAGAGCGAGGAATTGAAGACCAAGTTCGCGGCGGCACATTGTCTGGGCGAGGTCTTCGCCGTGGCCGGGGAGAGCGTGTTTGCACAGTCGGGGATTGTGACGTCGAGCTTGCTGAAGTCGCTGAAATCGGCAAGCAACCATGTGGGATATCGCGGGTCGATCTTCGCTGTCCTGCGCAAGGTCATCGGAGGGGTGGGTGTGCCGGTGGATGAGGCCACCGCGCGAGACGTCTGGAAGCAAGCTCGGAATGCTGCCACCGGGGATAAGTCGACGTTTGTCCAGGTGCATGCGTGTCGTTGTCTCGAGCAGTTGGTCAGCGCGACTCCCTTCTTCGATGATAGCCACGACTTCGACACGTTGAAATCGGTGATTTGGAAGGTGATCGACAGCCCGGTCGCTCCGGTCCGACACGCTGCGGCCGTCTGTCTGGCCCGGGCGCTCGCCAAGTTGCATGCGGCGGATGCTCGAGTTGTGACCGTTCCGAAGCCGAAGAAGTCGAAGCGCCAGTCGAAGAAGCCGGCGCCCCGGCCGGGTGAGGAGGAAGACCAGGAGGAGATGTCGGAGTCGTCGGTTGCTGCCGCGCCCAAGAAATCCGACGCACGGCTGTACTTCCTCTTGCCCGACCTTCTCCGCCAACTGTCCACGCAGTATTTGAAGAGTACCACGTCGAATCGCTCCCGGGCGGGCATCTCGATCTGCTATAAGCACGTTCTTCGGGCCCTGGGCGACAAGGTGATGGAAGAGCGGTATAGTGATATCGCTAGTCACCTCCTGTTCGATCTCCTAAATCACCCCACCGTCACCTACAATCGGTTCCGGCTTCTGATGACCCGCAAGTTTGTCAAGAGTATCTTGGAGGACACCGTGGGTCGGGAGTCGCTGCGGGAAAGCAGCCAGGTCAACGCCGCCCAATGGTTGATCAACAATATCCTCAAGGATTACCCTCAAGTCATCCAGGAACGCCGGGAGCCTAGTAAATACACCTTGACCAGCACTCTCAGTGCCTTGTCTTCGTTGATCTGCTCCCTTGGCTCTGCCTTTGCGTCGCTAGCGGAGAGCTGTCGGGAAGCTCTGCTCCAGGTGCTACCGCACCCCAGCTACACTGTTCAGATCCACGCGGCCCACTGTCTCCGCAGCTTCGTGCTGGCGTGTCCGAACCAGTTGATCTCCTGCGTGACGATCTGTCTGAACAGCCTGAGCAGGGAGGTCGGGCAGCTGTCGACGCCCCGACAGGCCCCTCGACGCTGCGTTGGCTATGCCAACGGACTATCGGCCATGCTGAGTACCTCTCGACTACAGCCTCTCTACGGCTCAGTCGAGGTCTTCTCCCGGGTGTTCACCCAAGCAACGGACCTTCTAAAGACGAGTAGCAACTCAGAATTGCGCGCGGCGAGCACGCAGATCCAAGTGGCGTGGATTCTAATCGGCGGCTTGATGCCCCTGGGCCCCAGCTTTGTCAAGATCCATCTATCCCAGCTCATGCTCCTGTGGAAGAACGCTCTGCCCATCCATCTTAGCAAGGAAAACTCCGCGCGGCGTGGGAACCTGGAAATGAGCTTCCTAGCGCATGTCCGAGAGTCCGCCTTGGGATCGCTGCTGGTGTTCATGGAGTTCAACAGCAAGTTGATCACAGCCGACGGCGCGCGAAGGATCGCTGCGTTGTTGCAGAACACGGTGACCTTCCTTGACGATCTGCCTCGCCAGCGAGCCACGCATGAAATCTCCCAGCGTCTGCACCCGTCGTTTCATTTGCACGATACCGCAACAATGGTCCGACGACGCGTGTTACAGTGCTTTACCAAGCTCCTTCACGTCCACCCTCAGACCCACGGCGATGTGATCTCTCAGACAAGCCTCCTGGGTCTGGCCATCTCGTCGTTTGCGGACCCGGATGCCACCCAGTCTGGACCACTGGAGAGCTCGATCGCTGCCTCCACTGCCCAGTTCGAGTCTCTATGGGATCTGTGCGACAACTTCGGCTTTGGCGTGACTGGATTAGCTAGGGCATACGTCCGCGCGACTCTTTCTGGCAAAGATGAAACTGACAACGGCCCGTCCTGGTCCGCGGTTGACTCGGCCGACCAAGCTATTGACGATGCTGTGAGTATTTTTCGTTCCGCATAGCCTCAACCCCCAGAAGCTGACCCATTGCAGTTGACTTTCCCTATCTGTCAAGCCAGCGAGCATGACTCCATCCTCTTGTACTCATCCCGGGCTGGCGATCATCTTTCCGCCGATCCGCACGCCACGGGTGTTGTCAATGCCGCTGTCGAGCTGTTCTCTGTGGCCATCCCATTACATGCCCCGAAGGTCCAAGAAAGCAGTGTCGAACAAATAGCCACGTTCCTCACATCGCAGTCTCTCCAGCGTAATCCTGGGCGCAAAGCTGCCCTGGTTGTCAACGTGGCTGTGGCGTTGCTTCACGCTTTGAAAGCATCTGGCAAAGACAACAGCGCGACGATGGGACGGCTAAACCCGGCGACGGACAAAGTATTGCAAGAGCTTTTGCAGGTATGTGGCGTCCGCTTACATGTTAACCCGGATGGAAGTAGCTGACAGTCATAGAAATTTGTTACCGACCCTGATCTGATCGTGCGCACGGTGGGCGTCGAGGCACTCGGAAGGTTGTGCGACAGTTCCGGAAATGCCTTCACCAACGCACAGATCAACTGGCTCGTTGATACCATCGTGGAAAACCGCGAACCCAACGCGCGTGCGGGATGTGCTGCAGCTTTGGGTTGCATCCACTCCCAAGTCGGTGGTATGGCAGCAGGTCTGCATCTCAAGACGATCGTCGGGGTGTTGATGTCGCTGTGCAACGACCCTCACCCGGTGGTGCATTTCTGGGCGCTCGGGGGCCTGGAACGAGTTGCCAATTCGGCTGGTCTGACCTTTTCGCCGTTTGTGTCGAGCTCACTCGGCATGCTGGCCCAGCTTTACAACGCCGATACCCACAATGTGGAGGCGCAGGTGCTAGCCACCTCCAACACCGAAATGTCGTTCCTCACCCCGGTGGTCATTAGTCGTTGCGTCGATTCTCTGATCAATGTCCTGGGTCCTGATCTTCAGGACATCGCCAAAACGCGCAATCTGATCCTCTCCCTTTTGCGGCAGTTCCAATTGGAGGACAATCCAGCTCTGGTCACTGAGAGCTCGAAGTGCTTGGACCACTTGTCCCTGTATGCACCAAGCTATGTGGACTTTTCCGGATACGTGAGACGGCTGCAGCACGAGCTCTCCACAGACAACCCACTGATGAGAGATGTGGCCATTCGCGCCTTGAGCAACCTCATGAAGCGAGACGCTACATCCGTCATTCAGACCGCCACGCCGGCCCTAGAAGAGGACCTCTGGCTAGCCTTCGACGACACGCCGGATAACCCTATTCTCAGAAGCATGATCCAAGACTGGATGCAGCAAACTGCTCTCACCGAGACAGAGTTGTGGATCCAACGCTGCCAGAACGCCTTAACCAAGACGCGCGCAAAAGCAGATGAAGTTCCTCTTTCCACTGCCCGGCCCGCTGCCAACGATCTACCAGATGACGAAGTCGCGGGCTTTGCATCTGCAATTGCGGGCCCAGGGCAGACGGAGAATGCGAACGAGACCGTCGCGGGCCAGGAATTGCTGAAATGGCAGACTCGGAACTTCGCCATGAGTTGTCTGAGTGAGCTTTTGGCCACCACGCAGGAAGCTATTCTGCCAGACCAGACCATTCCTGCCGAGCTTGCCCTCCAGCAGAAGGTGGGTGACATTGTGCGAATGGCGTTCTCGGCGTCGACGGCGAACGTTATTGAATTACGTGTCTGGGGTCTGAGGATCATCGATCAGGTTCTTCGGGTATGTATGATTTATCTTTGGATATTGCAAAATCTAACTGTTATCTAGATGTTTGGCAAGACTCCTGATCCCGATTTTGCCGAGGCGTCCTTGCTCGAGCAATACCAAGCTCAGATCGGATCGGCCCTTACGCCGGCCTTTGCTGCTGATTCTTCACCGGAGCTAGCATCAGAGGCCATCAACGTGTCTGCCACGTTCATCGCTACAGGGATTGTGACGAACGTGGATCGGATGGGCCGGATTCTGAAGCTGCTGGTGCTGGGTCTGGAGAACTTTTCGAGTACGTCCAATGCAACGACCCGTGGAAAGCTATACTGACTCGACGCAGAAAACCCGGACACTACGGAGATCGGAGACCTGAAGGGACTTAACTCGAACGCCAGAGTCATGGTGAAGATGGCGCTGTATTCCGCCTGGGCACGACTGCAAATCGCTAGCATTGAGCAGGACTACCTGAACCAAGTGGTGCAGCCGTATATTGCCAAGCTGACCCCGTTGTGGCTCTCTTCGCTTCGGGAATTTGCTCGTCTTCGGTTCGAGCCTGATATCTCTGGGAGCTTAGGCACGGGGCCGCTGGGGAGTGATTTGGATGAGGTGTATTCTGCTTTGAATCGGGAGACACTGTTGAAGGTGAGTTCGACAGAACCAAATAGCGCATACGATTATCGGCTGACTGAATTGATTTAGTTCTACCAAGATACCTGGCTGAGTCTTGTTGATGCTATCGCCGGTCTGGTCGAGAAAGACATAGACTTTGTTTTCGATGCCTTGGATGGCAAGTCGCAGGTCGAGAACAAAGACGAGGAGAAAGCGCCAGAGGACAAGAAAGAAGGAAAGGGCCACGATATCAACTACCGCGATGAACCGGTTGCCTTCTTTTTCGTGCTGTTCGGGCTGGCGTTTGAAGCTCTTGTTGATCAGTCTACCACGGCATCGCAGCGATTGGAAATCCTCCGGGCTCTGGAGAGAATTCTGCGACCAGTCATTTCTGGAAACGCGATCTATCAGGACGCAATTTTTGGGGAGACGATGGATTCGCTGGATCGCCTTGCGCTGACGGAGGGGATTCCCATCCAGAACGTGATTGTCGAGATCGCGCGCAACCTGTCGTTAGATCACCCCGCCGCCAAAGGCAGCGAGAACAGAAGCGACCATCTCACCGACGACATCGAACAGCTCTTCGAGCTGACGAGAAGCATCATCCTGGTCCTTGCAGGCTTGCTACCCAACCTCCGGGAAAACACCCCGCTGGCCCGGTTCACCGTGGGAACAGACGACGCGCTATCGCTCATCCGCCTCTCCCTCTCGTCCCTCGTCCAGGTCGCCTCCATCTTCCCGTCCATCATCCGCAACGACCTCAACGCATGCATCCTGCACATCTTCACCACGATCCTCGCCACAGGACTATGCCAAGCGCAAGTCGTGCCCCAAGCACTCCCCATCTTCAAACACTTCGTCCACGCGATCAGCCAACCGAGTGAGGAACCCAGCCCCGCCCAAACAGACAACCTCAAGGTGGTATCCCGCCAACTCCGCGGCTGTCTCACGCGGTTCCTCACAACCCTCACCATCGCCCAACGGCGCGAATCAGACTCCTCGCTGCCCTGCGCAAAGAACACCCTCCTCGCCATCACCATCCTGCTCACAACCGGCAGCCACGTCCTCCCACCGCAAGACCCGGTGATCCCACGGGTCCTCACCGAGCTCCTCGACTGCCTCCAAGACGTCGGTCTCGCCAACGTCGCCGCCGGCTGCCTCCGCTCAATCCTCCTAACCTCCACACGGTCCTTGACAGAGGAATCCATCTCGCGATTCCTCTTCCCCCGCCTCGTCAGCTTCCTCATCGGCTGCCCCTCCGAACACGGCGAAATCCCCATGGACCCAGAGAACTGCAAAGCGGTCATATCCCGCACGATCGTCTCCTACGTTCCCACCGCGCGCGACGTCCCCACAGCACTCTCGATCGTCCTCTCCGTCCTCTTAGCCCGCGCCAAGCGCGACGGCTTCTCCGTGTACAAGGAGACAGCAGGCCACCTGCTCGAGCTGGCAAAGGCTAATCCGGTCGTGTTCCGCGCGCTGGTGGCGTCCATGACGCCGGAGCAGAAGACGCTGCTGGAGGAGGTTCTGCGCTGTGCGGAGGTCGATACCGATGTGGGTGGTAGGAGGGGGTCGAGGGATTCGATGCAGAGTGGTGGGGCTGGGCAGCAGAGTATGCCTAGTATTGCGTTGAGGTTTGATTTTTAATGACCTCATATATTTCTTCTTTTTTCCATATTGATCGTTTTTGTGTGTGTTCTTTTTTTTTTCTCTGTTTCTTTTTCATGATCTGTTATGGAATTGATGTACGTGCGAGTGGGATTTATACCTGACTACTACGGCGTCTTGTAGATCTGCTGTTGATTAATTGATTGACTGATTGATAGATGGGTTGATGGTGGATGGATAGATGATGAATGATAGATGTTTGAACTTTACACATGATTAACAGGACATGCATGCATGAGTAGTGGTGATATACATCATACGCCTATACTTCTATACCTCTCTTTAAACCCTCCTTTACATCCGTATCAAAGTTAGATATCCCCAGGAGGCAAGCTACCATCCCCATCATCCTTATACGGCCAGTTCCGCCAACATATCTCACGCTGATCCATTTCAGCCTGCCGAACCATTTCCATCCGAAACTATCGATTGTCTGCCACCGCTCTCTCAAAGTTATCAGGCTCTGTCCCGCCTTCTAGGTCTATACCGAGGTGTTCCCTAACCCGGGCCAAGAGTTGTTCAGACTCATTCCATTCCCGCGCTTCCGCGAGAGCTGTCTCTTGTTCTTCGTCACAGAACATAACAGGACAAGAGTCTGAGCAAATGCATGTGTTGATCATTGTGAACGCCTGTCGCGGCCGTGTAGTACAGATTAGCCTCTTGGTGGCGAAAGACGGTCATGCATTGTCTCTGCTGTTCGGGTCCCATGTCGTCAAAATCGTCGGGAAGGGACGGGGTGTGCATGCTTTGGGGTTGGGAGGAATCATGCTCGCAGAATGCGGGATAGCCTGCTTGCGTGAAGCGCGGGAATATCACTGCGTCTTGCCAGTCGATGATACTGGTGATTTTGGTGGAACCGGGTGCTAGTATGATATTGCTTAGGCTTAGATCGGGATGTCTCAGTGTTGGGATGCTGTGAGGATCTGGTGGAATTATATGGCGCGCTAATTGGAGGAATTGCGAAAGTAGTGAAGTGTGCTCAGAGGGAAGAATGTCATGGTCTGTTGGTAAAAGGAACGTCTGGCGAGGTTGAGCTTTGGCGTGGTGCTGGATGATAGCTATCTCTCGGCGGGCTGCAGACGTAATACAGTCTGCGGGTGAAAGCCCTAGCATTGATCAGTCCCGGTCGAAACAGGAGGGAAAGAGGAAAGGGTAAGGAAAGGACATACAAGGCCCACGGTCAATCTTCATTCTACTTCGTTCGCCATGCCAAAACTGCCTAGCAGACACAGGGCCGATACAGAACTCGTCCACGACTGGTATCTGGGGTTCCCCGTCAAGGTCCTTCTTGTGATATAAGCTCCCATACGCAGGAAAATGGAAGTCAAGAATCCTTCTCTCGATCTCTGCGATTTGCGTCATAATGTCCTTCATCTCGTCGGTAGTCAGAGACAACCACCGTGAAGAAAGACTCTCTCCCTTGACTCGCTCCATCAAAATATACTCTGCTCCAACGGGATTATCCGATGATGTCGAATATGACAAGATCTCTGGGACTGGAAGCTTGAGGACAGTCCGCAAAAAGTTCATAGTAGCCACCTCGCTGGCGTTTGTATAATGAGGAGGCCCGGCGATAGGAGTCGGGATTCGCGCGATCACTTCGCGGCCATTTTTTGCTCGCAGGAGAAACACCTTGTTGAAGCCTCCCTCTGTAAGCTTGGTGATACCAATGCAGTAGTCTTGGACTGCTTCGCCGGCGATCCGTTGGAGCTCTGTTGGCCGGAACTTGACGTATCGTTCGTTCAAACGATCGGATTCGTTGAATCTGCCTGACATTCAGTAATAAGGATCAAGAAATAAGGGGCTTCACGTACATCCATCGTCGTGATGTATTTCGAAAATAGTCCTCGTGGGATGCTGGTCCACTGGTGGATAGGTGATGGCGGGGGGAAAGAGATATGGCAGATTTCCTGGAACAGCAGAACAATGGTTTCTGCATACGAAGAGTGGGTAATAATCTTCTAGTAAAGACAGGACTTTGCAAAGAATTCGCCATTGTTCAATCAGTAGAACAGAACATTGAGTCATCCGGTGCGAGCACTTGGTTGACAAAGGAGAGTAGCCGCCCGCCCCTGCATTGCATATAAAATCGCCCATTTGGCCATCTTGACATTTATGGAACAACCAATGCTTCTATAATCGCTGGAACAAGATAAAAGAAAGTATCATTTTAGATTTTTGTCTTAGAAACACTAGAAATATCCTTTAACAGGTTTAAGTAAAAGCTTGGGTTGATATACCCTATTCACAACATTGAACTGGTTATTGCTTCTATATATCAATCTAATATACCTTCGCCCATTATCCCCGACCCTTATAACTTCTCGCCCACATAATCCCACTCTATAACTGATTCAAGTTCATAGACACCAGCTAAGAAGCCATCCGCTCAACACGACTCAGCAAAACCTCAACCAGATCCACCCCAGCCTTAGTTCCCTCATCCAAGGTCTCCTCCGGCAACCCAAGCAGCCCATTCTGCACCTTGGTCGAGAACTCGCCCGAATCACCAGGGTAAAACATCCTGGCATACAACATCTTGCCAAAGCCCGCCATATTCCCCGTTCTAACCAGCGCCAGCCCATCCTCGTACCGCTTCTTGCTAGCCTCGTGCGTAACAGTCCAGTCGGCGTCGGTGGTGCCCGTGACGCGCTTGACGCTCTCAAACATGTCGTTCTGGCTGACCACGAAGCTCTTAACATACACTCCCTTGTTGAGGAACGCCGACAGCGTAAGACTCTTGTCGTTCTCATCATCCGGAAGCTCCTTGAGACTCAGCACGCTAGCCACAGCGCGCCCAACCTGCGCCAGCGTCGAGGTCGAGATCTTCGCATTGCCATCATCGTAGATAGTCAAGGCCCGCTTATCAAAGTCGAACCCAAAGCGCGCCTCCCCGCCCGCCAGGCTATAATCGTACCAGAAACCACAGCACACGGTAATCCACTTCATGCCGAGGCTCTCAATCTCCGCCCTTTGGCCCTTGCCTATCGGTCCCAGCATCGTCTCGTTTTCGAGTCTGACGTTGTCAATGTCCCCGCCGTACCCGTTGGGCATGACGTAGGGGACGCCCGCCTTGGCGGCTGCTTGGACGAGCTTGCTGTGGGTGTCCCGGGGGGCAGTGGGGGCCATCGTGATGATCAGGAATTGCTGGTCTTTGAGCGCGGCGATGAGGGTGGCTTCGTCGGCGTAGTCTACTGGGGCGACGAGGACCCCGGCGGGGAGGGTGTTGGTGCTGTCTTTGCGGGTGAGGGCTGTGATGGTGTGTTTACCGGTTTGGAGGAGGGAGGTGACGATGTTTGAACCGATGGTGCCTCCGGCCTGGAGTTGTTAATTTTTTATAATGGTTTAGGCAGTGTTGAGGGGTACTTACACCGACAATGGCGACTCTCTCGATGGCATTCTCGAAGCCGGTGGGCTGGTCTTTGGCGTACTTGGACATTTTGCTTTCTTGAATCGTATCAAGTGTATCAAGTATCAACTGTTCTGATTGTTCTGATTGTTGTGCTTGTTGCGATTGTTGCGATTGTAGTTGAACATGTCCAGCAGAGAACGCCATCTATTTATACTTCAGACTCCGTCCGATCTCTCGATATCCAGGATCGGACTCGGAAATTGCGGACATAAATCCCATCGTATATCCGACTCCATCTGTATAGACATTCCAACTTGATTCGTCGTAAGCACAGAATACAATGGCAGTCAGCATATCGCCGCAGCAGCCGTTCTACCCTGCCTCGGGGCCCGCAGCGGCCGCCCACGGGGATCAGTACAATCTGACAGCGGCCGATGGACGGTCCCGCATTAGCCGTAGCAGCCGCACCGCACCAGTCGCTTTTAGTGATTATTTAGTATCAAGAGGAGAGGATGGAAATCCTTAAGGGGCTGGGTTTATATCGCAGGAGCAATTTACTGTCAGTCTTGCAATAATGGTATACCACTCGGGTACAAAAGATACCCGACATTCTCGTCTTGAGGTTTGTAAGTAACTTGAGCTCTAACTATATACAATGCGACAATTGTTTAACTCAGGTTACATATGTACAATGCTGAGCTTCATTAGAGCGTTCCAGATCGCCACACCATGTTGATGAGTTGCGTGTTGAATCCCCCGCCAAATGCCCAATGACGAACCCCCTGCCCCTACTACATATCAGGGCCGAGCATCGATAGATACGGTTCAATAAGAAACTGGTCCCAATCCTCCCATCCCAAGTCCGGCACAGCAGTGTTGGTCTCGAACTCCGGCTGCGCCTGGTAGCCCGCCTCGACAGCTTCCAGCTGGGCAAGCTCCTTTCGCTTCCTAGCCATACTAAGACTGAGGAGATGTCGTGCCATGGACAACGCCTTCCGCGTCAGCCCGGTGTCAGCCGCCTGAACCAGAGTCTCTAAGCCTTTGAACGCCGTCGGGATGTGGACGGAGGCAGCCGGCGTGTCGATGGCCAACAGCACACACGCATACTGAAAGACGCTGCCGATGGCGTTCCAGAACAGCAAACCCTGGCCAGCAAGCTGTTCTGCCGCCTCCACCGCGGCATTCCCGCTATCAATAACGAGCTGGATGATCTCGTCCGAGAAGCCCATCTTGAGCTGATAAATGCGTCGGTAGAAGCAAAACGCGAGGTCCGCCTTGGTTACTACCAGGAATGGATGCATGAAGCGGAGCTTATCCAGCGCCTTGACACGCTCAAACAGCTCCTCCCTCAAAGTCGAAGGCTGACAATCAAGCCGGAAGGGCGAGTTAGGCGCCGGGATGATCTGCGCCATTTGCACGAACTGGTCGGCGACGGACCCTGGCGTGGGGATGATTGCCTGGGTAGTCACGGCGCTGAACTGGACCGACGAGCGATCGTACTCATAGGACAGCATGTTGTGCCCGGCCCACGCGATCCAGAAAATCCGTCTCAGCCGGTCTGCATCATGTCCTACAGCCGCGGCGCCCGCGACGGACGCCATGTTCTGGATGTTGTCTTCCTCGTGCAGCCCGACCGCTTCGCAGAGGTGCATGACGGTGCACGACGCGATCCAGGCGTTGTTGGGGCGGGTCGTGGCGCGAAGGTAGAATACGCGCATGCCCCACGCGATGATGTGGTCGATGCTTAGCGTGCGCATAGAGGCCGGATCCTCGAGGATGACTTTGGCGTATTGCACTAGGTCTGACTCCCGCGGGTGTCTGTTTGGGGAGAGAAACGACCCGAGAGCAGCGACGCCAGCGGCCACGGCGCCAAAGGCTACCGCGGTGCTGGTGCTGCCGGCGCCATGGTAGTAATCGCGACATCGCTGGGCGTAGATCCTCGGGTCTATGAGGTCGCCGATGGGGCCTAATGCGGAGAAGTACACGCTCGAGAACATGCCGAGGTCGTCCTCCGAGATGAGCTTTCCCAGCAGGCCATGAGCATTGGACGCCTCCTCGGGACGGATGCCGAAGTTGTAGGCAAACGAGTGCATCTTGGGAGGGCTGTCCGAGCCGAGAGCCATGCCTAGGATGTGCGGGAATGCCATGGCCGCTGAGGCCCCGGCGTATCTGCACTTCTGCACGTCGAAGATGCCGGCCGTGGTGGCGGTGGTGGGTGTGGTGGTGGGTGTGGACGAGCCGACCACGACGGGAGGACTCACAACGGGAGGACTCTTCGTCACCGAGTTGTCGGCATACCTGCAGGTGTACTCATAGGTGCTGCAGGTGCTACAGGGATACTCGGCGTCGCATTTCCGCTTGCGCTGGTGGCATGGGATGCATGCCTTTCTCGCACGCTTGCGCTTGGTGATCGCCGTCGACATGGACTGCCAGGTATGAGCTTTAAATTCTATAATGAGTCGGATGGAGGCTATTTACTGCTCCCCTAGGTTCGAGATTGAGAAATTTATCAATTGGTTGGGATATTGAGTGATACTAAACAGTAGTTTGGTGGCTGTGTCAGTTAACAAGTGTTTACAAGGTATGTCAGCACTAACTACAAGTTAGCAGAAGACCAAGGGCGTTTTGTGGATAATCCAGGTTAAGTATATATAAACTTGAATCAGTTCTTGTTTATTTATTTTGACTGGGAATTAGACAGTTTATTGCCAACCTGTTTTGATATCAAATATTTCGAATGGGGGTACGGATATATATCCTCTGAGTACATGATCAGACTGGCCCAAATATCTCTTATTCTCATTCTATCAGCCTTTGGGTATGTCACTATATAATATGTGTATATCTCTCTACAAATAATCAGTATTTTAAATAGATGACCCTTGACAAGAATCAAACCCTCTAATCATGAATGATACTCTTGAGAAAACAGCCTTTCCCTTCAGTAAGACCTAGGATTTACTATATCGCTAGAACAATGTCAAATATAAATACAAGTCTCTAGATATTATCTTGCACTGATATTATCACTGTCTACTTTGCATGATGCAGAATCATAGGGGTACACATTCAAGGAACCAACCACTGATATACAGAGTTATAAGCTATACTAGCTATACTAGCTATATACAAGGCGCTGTAGTAACATGACCAAGTCATTGTATACTACCTAGGTCTATCACAGCCCTAGCCCTGTCTAAGAGGCTAAGACTGCCGTCTGATATTATCGCTCTCCTTGAGGACTTTGCCCCCTAGAGACTTATATAGATTACTGATTTCATCTACAGAAAGTGAGCATTAGTATCTCCTTTATGAATTGATACATACCACAGTGATGCTCAGTTTGTTTTAAGCCAGTATGTAGAGACATTCTATATGAAAACATGTATAGTTTCAGATGTTGATACAGCGATGTGTCTGGTTGATTTAAAAACCCACGCATGTACCTTCCAAGATTACCTGTTCAATAGATGGCAAGGTGTCCGACCACTGTAAGCAGCGCTCCGAGCGTGATTTTGTCTGCGAACAGGCACATTTCACCAAGCTCTCTCTCTTTCTCTCTTACTCTTAAGTTAACAGCCTAGGTTGGAACAAGTACGCCACCTAACAACATAAACCAATATTTGCCAACGGACGGCAAGGCTAACCTGGCCGACGATACCAGAAACCATTTCTATGATGCAGAATTGCAGCATCTTGCCGAGCACATCGACACAACCCTAAGTCGACCATTCTTGGTCCTCGGTGGGACAAGCACCCGGTTTGGCACTCAAAAAGTCCATACAGAATTGTTTATTGAGATTGGCAATTCTGTGGTGCGCGAGCAAGAGCGCCCACAAGCCCAATGCCTCGCACAAGACAGGATTATCATCCTGACAGCCCAAGATGGCAGGTATCCTCTTCCGAGCCCAGTTCTCATTGACGCGCACTATTCAATTGCGAGAATAAGTCACGCAACCGGCTGTGGAGAGATTGTTCGTCAAATACTACGAATTTACGATGCACTTCCTACACTTGCTAGAGACGGGACAACCAATGTAGCTCGACTACTATTGATTACTACTCTAGGGCCTTTCGCACGCTCGAAGCTGGGAGATGATAATGAGAATGTTGGTTCTGGTGCAGTGGACGCTCGCCCTATCGGTAGAGGCTTATGGAGGAAAATGATAGTTGAACAGCCGTTTGATGGTGAGTTCTCTGTTTGAGAACGAACTCTCCGGAAATTTTAGTACTACTCCTTCGAATTTATGGAGTTTATCAGCAGGAAGTGTCCGCCTAAAGAGGACGGAGAAGCAGCCTGTTCTTGTCTATCTATTTTTCTATCAATCTATCTAGTATACATACATCCATCCATCCATCCATTCATCCATCCCATTCTCGCAACAAGTCTGAATGTTGTTCGTTGGGTATCAAAATGTGAATGTCTTGGCGGGCTCAGCCACGTAATAAAACAAATGAATAAAAGAGAAAGAAAGTTAGAAGAAAAAGAATGAAAGAACAAAAAACAAGACATGGGAAATGGACAGGAGGTGAGAAGTAGATATTAGATATCGATATAATATTGTATAATAAGCAGGTAGATGCTCGGAGATAGAACAAACAAACAACGCTATTGATATGTCATGCATGTCATGTTAGTGAAAGGTGAGGAGGGCTCAACCCAGTGACTCGCTGACGTGCGCTTCCAGCATCGAGATCGGAGGCTGCTCTGCTGCGACGTCCTTGGAGACCTTCTTCTCGGGGGTCTCCTTGACGGGGGGTTCCTTTTGTTTCTCGGCGACGTCGTGGGTTTTGAGGACGGAGTAGTATTTGAGGAAGAGGATGATCATGACTGAGTGGTGTTAGCTGGCTGCGAAATACCCAATAACGAAGAAGACAATGATAAATAAAGAAGAAAGCTTACAAGCACTGATGGCAATCGCCATGGCTGCCCTCCGGGTGAGGATCCACCGAAGGCTTTCAATCTCACTCTTGCCGTCACTATTCAGCGACACGGTGATCTTGTAGTTGAGTTCCTGCACGGACGTGTCGATGCTCCGCTGGTTCTCCCGGGTTACCATCTTATGGTCGTTGAACATGCCCTTGATGTCGTCTTTCAGCCCCATAAGCTCCTGGTTCAATCGCTGGGATAGTATATCCGCCTCGTGCTGCAGCTGCGTCCGGGATGCGCGCTGTCGCTGCATTTCTGAGTTTCGCGAAGTCTGGAGAGATGATTGAAGCTCCGAGCAAGCGGCCTTGAACAGGTAGCTCTCGTTCTCAACGTCAGACTTGGAAGTCAGCGTTTGTTTTGCCAAGTCGTAGTTGTCGCCCAGGATGCCTCGGACCGCTTTCATGACCGTGACAGACTGGTCATCGGTAAAGCCGCCCGTGGAGAGATCCCGGACGAGAGAGTAGGTGTCGAAGTGGTGGACGTAAAGGGCTGGTGTCAAATGGGGTCCTTTCGCGTCATCGGAGGGCGTGAAGCCGGAGGTCGTCAGCTGGGAAGATGGCGACGGCATGTGAAGAACTCCATCCAGAGGGTTTGCCCCCAGATGATGGGGATGAACGTCCGGCCTAGGCCGTTGTTGTTCTTTTGCCGGTTCGTTGGGAGGCGCTACATCGGGTTCTTCCTCCGCCGCGGGTTCCTCGTTCGGTTCCGGCTCGTTCGCGTTATGCCCTTCACCGGGTTCTGCAACTATCTCCGCTTCCTTGGCTTCCTTGGGTGTCGATTCGGACGGCAGTGACTCTTTCTCTGGTGCATTATCGCTTTGGGCATCCTGTTCCGGCAGTTGCTCCGGCGGCGCGGCCTCCGCGGCCTGCTGGTCGCTGTCCTTCGGCACGGGTGGGGTTGGAGCGGCGCCTTTCGGGCGGGACGGGGGAGGCAAGTTCGCTTCCGCGGCAGGACCGTAGCGTCTGTGATAGGATTGCTGGGCGTATCGTCGACAGGAGGTTAAGGGTGCGTGTTTTGTCTTATTAGAGATCCGGATGGTGCGGTGGGAGGACTGATCACATGCGCGGACTGCGCGCATCAGGTTGGGATAAAGGAATGGGAGCCGTGGGGCAGACATGGCGAGAGAGTGATCGACGATCCTGAGTGAGCGAGGGACGAGGTAAGTGCCGAAGCATGGAAGATGATTGTGAAGAAGAAGGATAATTGGGGGAAAGGAGATGATGGAGAGAGAGACCGCGTTGCATCAATTTCCCGCGGCCAAGTGGAGGCCCGGAAACGTGACGTGGGCGGTGAGAAGATCCCCGCGGGCTTGACGGTTTCACCCAATGACGTTTTCCCAGCGTCAGACGGGAATCATAAAAATAGCAGATTAGGGTCTAGAATCATTGGGTTGTTTATAATTTATATAGAATTATAATTACGGGGTGTCTCCAGAAGATAGATCTGCCAGAGAGTCTATCTATCGTGTCTTGATCCAGAGTCGTGGTTGATCACAGCATCTGGTCTGGCTCATTTCTCGCTCCCAACAGCTAGAAGCCCAAACAGCAATTGGGTTCGCTTCCAGTACTCTTGAGCTCCTTGTTGCATAGACTGGACAGCCTGGGGACCCGTCTCAAGGCCACTGCGGATTTTCTCGGCAAGGTCTAGCAGCTGGTTGTTCCCCGAGTCCTGGTCCGCTAGAGCAGTCGCCAGGTAAACGGTATCGAAGAATAATTGCACTTTCCGGTCGTGGGTATCTTGTGCTTCGGCCTGATTGTCGTCAGGTTTATCGGACGTTGTTTCATGCGGCGTTTGGTCATCCGTAGGGGTATCGTCCGAGGATTTGCTCTCAGTAGCGGGAGCGGGAGACGCCAAAGCCTTGATAGCATCCTCGATCGGCTCGGAGAGCTTCGTCTGTGCGATTCCCTTGAGGAATCGCACGGTGGATGCATCCCAAAGACCAGGACCGTATCCATCCATAGAGCCCACGAGTCTGCGCAGGAACTTGAAAGTCGACGGTGACGGTTGAACGGGACATTCAGGATCACCCTCCCAGAGTGATCGACCCACGAGGGTTGCGGATCGGGAGCGAGGTGCCAGAGCTGGCAGGCGTGTATGTGTAGCAACTTCAGTGGTGAGGATGTCCTGCAACTGAGGGACAATGTCTTGTGCAAAGGCAGGCTTGCTGGTATTAAACTCGGGCGGTACGTCTCTCCGAACCAGCCGGATGACCTTCAGCATAAACGCGGCCTTGCGGCCTTGGTTGGCGGAACCGAACTCCTTGAAGGTACTGGTGAAGGACGTATATAGCGTGTCAAAGGCTTCTTGGACAGACGACTGGAGCGCTTCCCATAACAGCCGAGGATCGTCTTCGTTGAGCATGGCGGTAATGTCTACATCGAGGTCGTCTCCCTCACCCTCCTCAAAGACATCCGTCCACCGGATATTCCGCAATTCATCGGTGGCTTCTTTGGACGCCCCAATGGACGATAGCCACGTCTGATACGGTTTGAGGGCGGATGATACATCCTCATCCCGGCCAAGTAGCGTATCCGCAACCGCTTGTTTGAAAGCATCACCACCATTGGAGTAGTCAAGCGAGATCGTCTCCTGACCCCAAAGAGATTGCGCCACGTTGTGCTCTTTGTTTTCCCAATTCGAGACCGTGGACGCAACACTCTGTCCGAAACCCTCCAGCGCTTTTGCCTGATCGGACAAGATCTCCGTCAACCGCTCATTAAAAACCGAACGGGTCCCTTCGAGAACCTGCAAAGACGAGTGAGTCGGCGTAGAACTCCAAGAGCAAAGCCACAACTCCAAGGTCTTTCCGCGAAGGGAGAGCAAGGCAGGAAATTCCGAGAATTGCGATAAGGCCTTTTGACACCCGTTCGTAAAAACCCCAAACGCCTCCTTGGACCACTGCTTGATGACCTTCTCGGCGTCCGACTTGGAGACCTCGGTCAGTTTAATCCACGGCGTGAAGTTGCTGACTTCCGGAGCCACCCAGCGGCCCAACACATCGAGACCGAGGTCGTCAAGGCCACGAATCTCGGGGTCCGTCAGGATCGGGCGCACTTTCAGCTTCGCCAGCAGGTCGGACAAGCGGCGAGACAATAAAACTTTGGAGTTCTGTAGGGTAAGCACGTATAGTCGCAAGGCATTCAAGACGTTCTCGCCCGAGGGGTCACTTGATTCCAGCTGGCTTCCAATAACACCCAGGCGAACTTCATGAAAGTGACGGATGGCGTCATCAGACGAAGAGCTCGTAGCTAAGCAATACGCCGCCAGCGACTCAATAATCTCGTCGATCGTCGACGTGGCAGAAGCCAGGCGCTTCTTCGTCCTTTTCAGAAGCGTCCGTCGAAGCACGGCCAATTGGTTGCGCAAGCTCTCCAAAAAGGGCGGTACCGATTCCTGCTGCGAGAGGGTCTTGTGCAGAAGGCGAGAGACGACAAAAAGCTTCGCGACCAGCAAAATCGACCCATGTTTCCTCAGTTGTCTTGAGATCGATGTCGCGCATCGATGAAGCAGAGAAAGCTGCGCCGCCAATGCCCGTTGGCCGACATCTAAGCGCAATCAGCCGTGTTCCTACAACCAGAAAGTATATTTCTCCACCTCCCACCCATACCTTTATCACCGACGTCACCCTTGATCTGGTTGAAGTGCGCGTGCTTCTTTTCCATCAATCGCGGGTTACACCGTCGTCCAATGTCGGTCAGCGTGGAGTCGACCTGCTGTATGTCGTGGTTCATCGAAACAATCGTCTCAGCCGTCCCAACGAGGTCGCGATACCGTGTCCTAGACGCGAATCAGCCGTGCGTTCCATATAGAAAGGACGACGAGAGATTAGCCATACCCAACCAGAGCGCGGAGCTTCTCCTTATTACTAGCGATGTCGCGACGAAGCTCCTGTTCGACCCGGCGCACGGTGGGGATAGGATATTGGAAAGCATCTTGCCATGATTTCAGGCTCTGAGAATCTGGGCCCGCGGAGGCCATCGTGCGAAAAGCGTGGGGGAAGACCCAGTGCTGGCGTGGAAGGGCGAAGGGCGAAGCGCAATGAGAACTAACCACCGTGTTGGATCGATCGGCCACCGGTACCAGCAGTATACCGGCCGATGGGGGAATTCATGCCTGAGGCACCAAAACGGTCAGGATATCACCTGATCCGCACGTGGCCTGATTTTGCCTTGTTTGCCTGATCGCGCCGATCGTATCGCCGTCTGCTTGTCGGAAGTCCGTGATAACCCAAGCCGGGATTTGATCCACTGCTTCATTGCTCGTTTTGCAGGGTGATCCGTTTATATTCTTTTCAGAACGGATATCAGCGCTTTATTCTGCCGTGGCAATAGCCTTAACTCAGTCACCCTGAACCCGCAGCGCGAAAAAGTCAACTGAACTTTCGTGCCCCTCCGTGTCCTCCTCCTCCACCATGTCGTCCATCCTCCGCAGACTCCAGGGTGGAAACCTCGAAGTGTTCAAGGTAGGTCCCACTCATCTCCCGCCTTCACCAAAACGTTTAGTTAGGCTCGATGACTGACTGCCACTCCCACAGTTCGGCGTATATATCATCTTCCCCATCGGCTGGATGTACTACTTCGGAACGAACCTCGACGACCGCTTCAACATCACCGGCTTCTGGCCCAGCGCCGAACAATCGCACAAGATCCCGCTCGAGAAGGAAGAGATTGACCGGGAGTTGGCGCGCATGCGGACCGCGGACGCTCTCCGGCGCGAGAAGCGACAGCAGCGGGAGGCGTTGGAGGCGCAGGCCCATGCTCAGTTCCAGGCTCAGGCTCAGGCTCAAGCTCAGGCGTCGGATGCGCAGAGCTCGCAGTAGTGGTGATATTTGGATTTGGCTCTGTTCTGGGGTTGATGTCTTCGAGGGTATCAATGTTGGTGGTTCATCTGGAAGGGTCGACGCCATCAAATGAAAAGAAAGAAGAAACAAAAAAAAAAGAAAGGATAAAAGATCAAGATGCTTGATGTTCTGCCGGATTCAGAATTGTTCAGCGTCGGTGGAGTTCTACATGTTGGAGTTTTGTGTCATGTTCCTGTATGATTAACATGTGTATAACATCTTTCTCTTCTCAATTGGAACCTGGGTGATTTGACTCGTAATGGCGTGTTATAGCTTTGCATGATCGATAGCGTGCAGATCCGCCTTGCAATCGTCTTTTTGCCTTTCTCAATCCCTGCCTAACTACAATCTACCACCGGTTACATTGATCTACCCAAGACAGATATCCTATTAATCAAAAACTTCAAAGGTCAATCCTTCGTTTCGAATTTCAATGCAACGTGAGGTTATTCTATCAGGGTAACGACTCTAATTGCTCAATGCAGGAAATGAAACGAGACAGACCAAAGACAGAAACATAACTCCCAGGATGCGCCAGCCAGCTCACAACAACCCACTCAACTCCACGCAGAGAACACTTCACAGCGCTCTTATGTACCAACGGGGCCTGGAACAGAAACACCCTGCCGAAACAGAAACACCCATGCCGAGATGCGACCGTGACCAGTCGAGATGGGGCTCGGGTGTGGACGGAAACGGACGGGTGGCGAAGATTAAGAATGGTAAGAATAATTACAATAATGATAAATATAACAACGAAAAGAAGGCCCCGAAGGTATCATCACAGCGAGGAACAACGAAAGCCAGACGAGCGATTCCACAGATGGACCCCGCCCATCATGGATGGGAGATTCATAATTCTGCAATCGTGTTGGTCACCGTGGCCGCGGCGTTTTTGGCCGTCTCGTACATGACCTCCAGGCTCTGGGTGCCACTGTCGCGGAAGACGGAGCTGATCGATGGAAGACTGCCGGAGATGAAGGGACGCTCGCCGGCCCAGTAGTAGTAGAGATGACCGTAGATGACTCGGAGGTGGTCGGGGAGGTAGGCATAGAGGGAAGCGAAGATCATCGAGAGGAGGGAGAGGAGGAGTGTGTCTAGACGGCCATGATGATTAGTTTCTGCAATATAGATATAGATATAGATATAATTGTTAATTCCGCCACCATGGAGGAGACATACTAAAGATGACTTTCTCGGTCGGGGTAAGCATGTAAACAGCGAATGTGACTTCGTATTGATAATGCTTCAAGCGAAGCCAACGCACGAAAGACGTAATCATCCAGAGGAGAGTCATGATGGGTGTTCCGAGTGCGACACTGGCGAGGTTCGACAACGATGGAGAAAGGAGGTGGTGGAATTGGAGATGAAGGCGAAGGCGAAGGCAAATTTAGGACCCCTGAAGCGACCAAACCTTCTTGATCGAGCGATTCAATGGGACGGGCAATTATTAAAACCAGTAATACTTTGAGAAATCGTTTCCACTCGAGATTGAAAAGGGAGGGAGAAGTCAAAGATAGAGAGAAGGAAGAAAGAGCAGGTGAGATCGACGGATGAACAAGAACAAGAAAACGAGTCCGTCTAGCCTGCGGGGAGAAAGCTGCCGGAGCGGTAAAACCAAGTCTTCAACAACCCACCATTTATCTTCGGTCCAAGAATAATGGCTATTCTTATCCACGGATCATAACAGCATTGGTTTGGGTTATTCCAGCGCGATCGTCTCGATTTGCGCGTTTCAAATTTGCTGGGACTCTCCCTGGTGGGAGGCATAACTTATCCAGCTTTACCCACTGTCCCAGCCTTCATTGGATCAATTCATTCCTGGCAGATCCACCGAACGGGACTTTGAATTCGACGCCAAGCTCTGATTGCAGGATTACTGGTATTCTCGTTCGCATTCGATCGCGGACGGAATCCCGATCAATCGTATCTTGACAGCAACGTCCGTGTACACTCGTTACGACGCCGAGTTTCGATTTCCAGGCAGAGGTCTCAAAGACGGACTCGAGACAATCATGTCAGAACATGGAGGCTAAACAAAGAATGGACATTGTTTCAACCTGATGTGATTGAATCAATCATTCATAGAAGCGGAGTTCACGGGCGGACAAGAACCACATCCAGCCTACTACCTGGGTATATCCAACCACCTGAACGACCTTCCAAAATTAGCCAACACTTCAGCCTCATCATGAACCATGCTGCGACGTCCCCTATCCTCTCTATTACCCCGGGGCATTAGCAAATTCTTCTCTGTGTCTGCCCCTCTCGCCAATAAACCCTTACCCCCGCGTCTCAAGCTCCCCGATGCCGACCTGACAGTCTCCTACCTCAAGGGCAGCGGGCCCGGAGGTCAGAAAATCGTACGTCTCATCTCTCAATTACAATCTCAATTATTTTCATCGAGACTTATCATGATTCATATTCTCTCCTCCTCAAACCCACACCCAAACCCCAATCACAAAGCACAATAAAAGTTAACCAGACCATCTCCCCTCAGAACAAAACCAACTCCGCCGTCCAAATAAGCCACAAACCCACCGGCATAGTCGTAAAAAGCCAAGCCACGCGCTCCCAATCCCAAAACGAGAAGATCGCGCGCCAACTCCTCGCCGAGCGCGTCGAGCACCTCCAGAAAGGCGACCAGAGCCGCACCTCCATCAAGGCCGATCGCGCTCGCAAGAAGAAGGCGAGTAAGGTGAAGAAGAGTCGGCGGAAGTATCGCGATTTGGAGGGGGGTGAGCTGGGGGCTAGTGGGGGTAGAGATGGGGAGGATGGGGGTGGAAATCAGGGAGGTGTGGTGGGTGCGGAGGAGGGGAAGGTATGATTCTTACCATTCTCTAGGTATGGAAGTCAAGAGACCTGTTATGGTTATTGACTGCAGAGGGGGTAAGGTCCTGGAGAGATCCTAGGGCTACGTTCGAATATCCACAAATATAATTGTAACTGTAATATTCATCAAAACGTAAATGTGCTACTTATCCCCGGTCCTTTTAGTATGCCGACCAAATGCAAAAGACCGCCTTTCCGACACAAACTATTCCGGTGACCATCCCGCTTACGACATATAGCTGCTGAGCACGGCCTTGGCCTCGTCGCTGAGGCGCTCCTGGGCGAAGCCCGCAATCCGTCCGTTCGATTTCTTGTTGGCCTCCTTCAGGTAGTTTCCAACCCACGCCTTGAGGTCCGCGCCCGTCTCCGGCCAAGGGTCGCGGGGCTGCGCGCGCACGGTGTTCAATGGGGTGAAACCGACGCCAAAGGCCATGTCCTCGACGTCGTGCTCGGCGATGAGATCGTCCTTGCTGGCCGGGAGCGGGGGAAGCTCGAGAATCTTCAGGAGCGCTTCGCAGGTGAATGCCCATCCCTTCTTGTACCGGGTGGCGAAAGCTTCCGAATTCGCCAGCGTCTTGGTGAAGGACAAGACGGCCGTCTTACGGTCCAGGGGCCGGGCGAGCTTCTGGGAGTCGGGGAGAATGATGCTCAGGTAAATGGGAGTGAACAAGCTGGGTCCGGTTAGCACGTTTGCTGCTAGAGATCTAAGAAAGCTGGGTTAGAGGTACGTACCCCTCCTGCACTTGGTCGACAACCTTGATGACGAAGTCGGCGCTGTATCCCTTCTGATCGTGTGCCGACAGGAAATGGAAGAACCGAACAAATCGAAGGCTGAGGTTTTCCGTCTTGGAATTTTGCAGGCGAGTCAGGATCACTTGCATAATGTCCTTGAAATACGGTTCCAGAACAGTCCTAGAGGAGTCAGCACACAAAATGACATACAATCTGAGTATACACATTTCCACTTACGGTGGGAAGTTCGCCACGACAGACTCCAAGAGGTCAAAGCCGTATCCTTCATTGGCCTTGGTGGAAAGCAGCTTTTGGAAAATGCCCAGAATGAGGACGATTTGCTGGTTCTCAACGATAAACTGGGATCCACGGTGAACGATCGACGACAGGAGTCGCACGAGCGCGGGGATATTGCCCTTGGATTCCCACATCACAGGCATCAGGATCGGGGCAACCAGGTTCTGGTAATAGTCAGGCAGGGTCCCCGAGGGGTTAGCCTCGAGCAGAGCAGCGAAAAGCTGGAAGATGTAAGGCATGAACTCTAAGGCTGTATTAGTGTCTGTTGGTGGAAACGGGCGTGGATTGCAAATCTCTTACCTTGAACATCGCCCTGGAGGACTCCAGCGAACGGGGTATAGAAAGCTTGTTCAAGCTTCTCGGGGTTTGCGGGAGCAGCGAATCTAGAGCGGTCAGCGAAATGTATGACTTCTTGGGTCAACCGGAGCTGGGAGAAGGCATTGACGCACCTGATGAAGGCCCCCACAGCCTCAAAGTGGAAGTAGTAGAACCTTGGGTTGCTGGGGTTGGTGCTGATCACTTGGGTGATGTTGATCAAATGCTGCAGGACGAGGTCCGTGTGGGGAACGACGCCGTCCTTGATGACGATCAAGACCCGCATGGCACACCTCATCAAGAACTCGTTCTCTTGCACCTTCTCGGGTGCAGGATTTTGTTCGATCAAGGCGAAGATATGCTGGAGGAGATCCTTCGCGAGCGGAGTAATGGTGCTGGGGGCGATCACCGGCTGCCCTTGGTTGTCGCTGAGATACAGCGCTCTCTCGACGGCGATAGCAGCGTAGCTGTAGACAACATAGTTCGAGGAACCAAGGTGCCGCACGACCAAAGGAAGCACCTCCTGCCACTGCTCCTTGGTGATGATGCTTCGGAAAATATAGAGGTACTTGATAGCATCCACCTTGAGGATAGGGTTCACACCGTCCTCAGAGACCAGGTCTGCAGCAAGGTTGGTCTGCAGATATTCCGTGATGTTGACCAGAGGGTTAGTGTTAGTCACACCGTGGGCGGCGGTAGCAACACCCTTCGCTGCGATGGCCGAGTAAAGGTAAGTGGCTGTGTCTTTGGCTTTCCAGTTTGATGCTGGGTCTTTCGCATATTCGGCAAGGTAATGCTGGACGTATTTGAGGACAACTGATGTGACTGTGCCCTCGAACTTCTCGGCCAAGGTCCGCAGGAAATCCGTGGCAGCTCGTCGTCTGGTTTCGCTATCCGATCCTTCAAGATCGCGTCGAATGAACTCGATCGGTTCGTCTTCGAACAGCTCTTCATCTGATTCACGGAGGCTGACATTAGGCAAGATCACCTTCTCCACGATCTGGTGGAGAGTCTCTTCGGATTGGAAGACGCCGGAGTGTTCGGGCATGCCCGCCACTGATGTCAGGAATTGCAAAGCTTTGCTGACCAAGATGTCGTACTTGGTCTCTTGGCCGATCGTGGTCAAGAAACTCCAGGAGCTCTCGACGAATTGCCCAATGTGCGGCTTGAACTCATCCATATACTTCTGCACATAGAGCGTCAAAACCTGAAAAATCCCAGCTCGTGCAAATTCCAGTGGACCGGCCTCGGTCTCGTCATCGGTGTGTAGCAATTGGTTGTCGTAGGTAAGGTACTTGAGCAAAAAGGTGGCTATTCCGGAGATATTTTCCTCGAACATCGGCGGCAGATCGTGGCAGGACAGATCATAGAGCAACTTGATCATCAGATTGAGCTGCGTAAAGCCCTGGACAAGGTTTTCCTTGTTTGACTTGTTCTCTTCGAGATAGACGTCCAGTCCCTAACAGAGGTCAGTGTGTGAACAATAACAACGACAATAAGAATAATAGTTCAAAATGAAAATTTCCCAATAGGCAAACGACAAAGGACAAGGGGTTTTGGACGCAGTTAAGACCTACCTGCATAAGCGTTAAGAACGGATCTCCAAACTTCTCCAGAACATGGTTGATTTCCAGATACAGCTCATCGGATCGGAAAAGAGGCCTCCATCTCTTGAAGATGGAGTGCGCCACTTGTAATACGCCGATGTTGGCCGCAGGGTTTGTCGGCTGGAGTCTGGAAACAAGATCCTGGGTACGTCAGCTAAACAAGCACTAGAGCCCAGCATAAACGAGAAGCGCTTACAGCGACCAAGGTGTCCCATCTCTCCCAAAAATCACTGTCAGCAATGACACTGACAGCTTCTCCCAGCTGTGTTTGGATACCCGCAGGCACGGAGATCATCAGGCTGATCAGCTCCTGCTTGATGGTCGTAACCTCATCCAATGGAAGCTTGTAATTCCCATCCTCATCGGTCCAGTTCCGCTTGATGAAGTTCTTGAAAGCCAATGCACTAGCGAGGCGGGTGTTGTAGGGGTAGGACGCAGATGCGGTGATTTGAAGCAGTGCCAGGGAAAAGCCCGGCTTCTTTTCTTCCTGTCGAAGAGTGATTTCCGCTAGTAATCGTCAGCATTAGCATTCCTACCAAGATAAAAAAAAACACATAAAATAAAAACGAGAGGCACTACTCACCCTGTTTGTTTTGTCTAGGATCCAAACTCGCCTCAAGGAGCTGGGCAACAGCCCCAAGATTGCCCGCCATTTTGAAGTGGGGTATTGATGGGAGATGCAGCCAGAGAAGAAGAGGCTAGATAGGTAGATCAAGTCTCCTCGTGGTAATGGAGTGAAAAGAGAAGAACGCTGTCCTCTTCCGTGACGAAATCCCTTGATAGCACTTTTTGATACAACAGCCCAGTAAAAAGCCGTAGAAGCTTGATTCCTGGACGGGCAGTTTGTTTGGCCGCCGCTGGGCAATTTCCGGGCGGTGAAGGGCAGGTCCGCGGGGTGATTCTGCCTGGTCATGTGACCTGGATTAACTCCCATCCGAGCCTCCGCCAGATCATCATCATCGATCCCTCTGAGGGGAAAATGTGTCTTGGCACACTTTGATGACATTCCGAACTTGGTCTCTCTATCCACTCTCCGTGTACCAGGTTAGACTCCATCTTCATGCTCTTAGGAGGATAGTGACTCACATAAGCTGCAGATGATTGCTCTAGATTCCTTGGACTGCTATATACTGTCTAGATTGTCCATTACATAGCTATTCCGCCCAGCCGTTTCATCGAAGTGAAGCTTCCTACCCGTTGCGGTTGCCTCATGCTTGGACCTTCCTTCTTCTAATGACCTTTACCAATGGTGCGCAATGTTTTTCGTCTGACAATTCTAGCTTCTGGGAAGGTGGTGGGCCGTCATCCTGATTCCCAGAAGGTTCTTACACTTATCTATCTTGCTAATCCACTTCGGTCTATCACAGAGATAAACCCGCCGACCTAAACCCCATATAGCCCGTCCCTTAGGACGCATGTCTTCCGACGATGCACCATCACCACCCCACCTCAAACACGCAGCATCAAGTTTCGCAGACGTCTTCAAATCTCTAGGTGTCGCCCGCCCCAAATCGGTGTCTCCGGTCTCGTTTCAGGACAGCAGTGAATCTACGCTACAAACAACGGATGGGCGCAGAATTAACCGGTTGACGCTTGGACTTGAATCGATGCATCGTGGCAGCGTTGTCTCCAGCACTTCGGACGTTCCTGGTTCGCCGGACTTCGAAGCGTCACTGAGGAATTTGGAACAGCGACAGAATCTCACCCAGGCGATCGAAGAAGCCGAACATGTGTCAAAGTCGCAGCAGTGGTTTACGGCAGAGCAGTCGCTGGCCTTGTGGGAAGCTGGGTCGTACTTGATCCATGATGAGAGCTCTCCGGAAGCACGGAAGGGTGGATCGGCGTTGTTGGAGTCTATTGCGAGCCGCCAAGACCTTTCGCCAGCAGCAAGACGCATTGTCTTCGAGTCAATCTCATGCCCGTCAGAGCCTGATGTTGTGCCCGCACGGGTACAATCATTGATCTCCTTGTCAGACCATGGGCGGAAAATGGAATTCGCGCCAGTCTCCACTCTCCCAATCATTTCATCCTGTCTGCTACCCCT